TTCCAGTACTATAATTGTTGCTAATGGTCTGCTTCGTTAAATAAGCACTGCGATCGGGCTGCGCGTCAAGGACGGTGTTGTTCTTGCGGTGGAGAAGCTCATACACTCCAAGCTCCTTGTCCCAGGAGCTAACCGACGCATTCAAACAGTGGACAAACACATAGGCATGGTGAGTGCCCTATCAAGTTTTTAAATCGGCTTATGCACAATATCCGCTCAAGGCATCTGCCGGCCTTCTCGCCGATAGCAGGAAAATATCACAGCTGGCTCGTGACTCGGGGGCTCAGACTCGAAAACAGTGGAGAGAGCCTTTAACTGTGAAGGTGACCAGATTACGCTGGAATGCTAGTATATCACACTCATCCACTATCACCAGGCCCTGTCGGATTCTGTAAGCTGGAATGCCCAAACCTATACGTTGTACTCGTCTGTCCGCCCGTTCGGTGTCAGCACGATCTTTGGTGGCGTCGACAAGAGTGGTCCTTCACTGTATATCGTCGAGCCTAGTGGCGTCTGCCTAGTGAGCGCAGTACAAGTCAAACCATCTTGATGTTGATAATATACCAGGGATATCATGGTGCAGCAGTCGGCAAAGGCCGTCAACTGGCCAAAACCGAGCTGGAGAAGCTTAAACTGTCGGAACTGTCGATGCGTGAAGCCGTTATGGAGGCTGCAAGAATGTGCGTTGTCTGACACCTATGTTCGCGTTTCTCACCTGAATACTTCACTGCAGAATATACCTCGTCCATGACGACAACAAAGAAAAGGAATTCGAGCTGGAGATGACTTGGGTTGGTGTCGAGTCAAACAACCTTCATTTGCCTGTACCAACCGACCTCCTCGAAGAAGCAAAGAGGAAAGCTCAGGAGGCATTAGAGACCTTTGAATAATTCGGATAATAGCACGTTTGATATCATCGTTCCTCAGTTCGCACAGAAAGTGAAGGAGCCAAACATGAAGTGGTGTCTATACAATTTGCTCTAGCTCACGAGCGTACGCCAGGTTTGCCGCAATGAGCTTCTGCGTTGGAATTTCTACTTGTTCATCATTTTTCTTTGCAAACGTTATCGTGCCAGCCGTCAGATCTACCTGCCAACCGCGCTGTAAACAAGATCAGTGAGGGAGGGTTCCGGGGACCTTGAAGTGCCTACCTGTTGGGCGAACACCAACAACCCAGACTGTGAGGGAAAGAATAGCAGAGTTGTAGCATCCTTCAAAGGAAGGCTGTCATATGCCGACTCCTCACAACTGGCAATCTCATTCCTGACAATAACCTTCAGTGACGTTGATCAGACCAGCGGAAAACAGCTCACCGTATAGTGCCCATAAGACTGTCAACAAAAAATTTGTACTCTTCTGCCGGTGCTTCCTCACGAGCATTCCACACTTTGCTGTAGCTACCCTCCATGAGCCAGCGCTCGAGATTTACTGGATGTCTGATGTATGGATTTGCGTTGATCTCATCAGCAGGAAGTGGAAGTGATTCAAGGGTAGTGTGGAAATCAGCGATGCGGTTTTGTGTGAGCAAACGAATGAGGTTCAAGCCCCGGACTGCGAATTCACGCTTCGACGGAGGGAGGCTTGATCTGATGCCTGTGAGGAAGAGCTAATCCGAGTAGAATATCCATGCATACCTGTAGTCCGTGTAGAAGGTGTGCAGCTGGGAAAAATATCTATCGAATGAAGGGACGTCTTTCACTCTTATACTCCAGAAGACCCCAATTTCGAGAATGTCACCTATCCCACTGTCATCACATAGCAAATCACAGACCGTTCTGACGTACGAGCAACGACTAAGTCATGGAGATTTGTTTCTCCTTGGGGGATCAATAGACCTGCTTCTATCAAGCCAACCTAGCATGAAGTCAGACATGCATGTACAAAGCTATGAATTAACTTGACCGCACCTTTAGCTGAGCTAGCAGCGTCCCGCATTTCTTCAGATCTGACGGTCGCGCATCAAATGCACGCTGTAGCTCGTTGTATAATGTAGCCAAGTTCTGAGAAGCCATTGTGACTATAACAAAAGTTACAAGTTCGATGAATGGAAATCAGAAACAAGTAGAGAACACGCGTCCAGACGCGTCAGCGCTACTTAGCTACTCAGCCACAACTCAAGATTGTCATTGCATTTCTTCATAACACACGACGTCGACATCAGCATGGATCGCATTGACATGAACAGGCTCAAGAGTGGAGAGGTCAATCTCGGGGTATGAACGTTTAAATCATTATCCTGTTTTCGTTAATGTACGCCATTGGCAGACCTCTATCATGGCAGTTCAGTTCGACAAGGGCGTCGTCATCGGCGCCGACAGTCGTACGACAACCGGAAGCTACATTGTATGCACACTTATCCAATCACTGTTCATCTCCTCATCTCTAAAAACCCAAGGCCAACCGTGTAACAGACAAGCTTACGCATGTCCACGATCGGATATACTGCTGTCGCTCAGGATCTGCAGCTGACACGCAAGCAGTCGCAGATATAGTACATAACTACCTGCAGCTATATACGTACGTCTTTATCTCTTAACAGTCACGAATCTGCTTGCACTGAGCACTCTTAGACAAATCCATGGCGCCCACCCTCCAGTTTCGTCGGCTGCAGGCATGTTCCAGGATATCTGCTATGATAACAAGGATGCTCTCAGCGCGGGCATCATCGTTGCCGGGTGGGACAAAGAGGTTGGTCCAAGTGTATATAACATTCCTCTAGGCGGAGGGCTTTTCCGCCAGCCGTGGGCCATTGGAGGTGCGTCTTACCTGTTTCATGTTCGACACTGAGTCAGTTATATCATGTTTTCAGGCTCTGGCTCAACATATGTATATGGTTACTGTGACGCCACATACCAAGATGGGTGGGGACGGGATGAGACCATTGAATTTGTGAAAAACAGTGCGTGCTTGGCCACCCAACACCAATTTTCTGCTGTTAATCTATTTTTTTTACATAGCACTCTCGCTTGCAATGGCAAGAGACGGCTCATCAGGAGGTGTCATCCGCATGTGCGTGATCACGGAGGATGGTGTCGAGCGGCTTTTTGTTCCCGGTGACAGACTCCCTAAGTTCTGGGAAGGTCGTGAGGTGCTGTCAGGGCCGGTGAAGAAGAGTGTGGAACCAGTCGCAATGGCTATCGAGTAGATGTGTAGACTTTGCAAAATCACAACATATTTGTCTTGCAAGTGGACATCCTGATTAATATTTCTTGTGATTAAATGACATGTTTAGTATTATCGGTATGACTGTTTAGTACATCTGCTCTGCCCATGATAACCTCCATCCTGCATCGACCTCCCAATGGCTCGTCTCAACGGCGGAACCGTAAGCTTGCCCCTCCCACATCCGCAATCTCCAGAGAGCAATTGCCAAAGGCACAACGTCCGCTCGTTTAGCAGTATGCTGATTCGAACACAACAGGAATGCATGGCTTCCCTTGGCATCACCACGTGCTCGCGGAGACTTCTCATGTTCGGAAAAACCAGAGACCGGAAATGCACGCAACCGTGCTCTACGCTCCGCCCCAAGTAGCTCGCAAAGTGCTTTATGCAGTGCAGCTCGCTGTGGTCGGACAGGAAATAAAGACAGGCCGTGGTAGAGGGGAACTTGCGCATTTGGAAGAAGGGGAGAATTTAGATCATCATCCGCGACTGGACGGATAATGGAGAGGGGGGGAGGGCGCCGCGATGAGTTTTCTGAGTTGTTAGTATCGATTCGCACAACATCAGCGATGTCCAACTGTACGGATGGCTGTGACTTCTCCTTTGTTTCTGGATTCTGGTTGACTGGGGGTACTACCATCAGGGCCACTGCATCTTTGTAAGGTATCGAGTTAGTTTGCCGAACTACGTTCCATTCAGAACGGGTGAGTCTTCGGAGCACCGTCGCCGCAGGATCATCCAACGGGCCTGCAGCAAGCCTTTTAGTAAGAATCTCCAGCTCCTGCAGGACTCGTAAACGGAGCTGGTAACCGATGCGCGCCGATAGCAAAGGTTGCACGATCAAGTTCTGTGAGATTCTGCGCAGTGAATCTGAGAAGAGCTCAGTTGTAGGTGTAATAAAGTGGCAACTCGTCACGCACTTCTAGAAGTTGCATATGGAACGACATCTTTCCAGCATACAATATAACATGCAGGCGTGGATCGACGAGGTTTGAATTTAGGGTGCTCTATACCATCTGGAACTAGTATGTGTTGTTCGCGTGCTCCTTGAGAGGCCGGGAGGCGCACAGGTGCCAGACGGATAAGAAAGTCTAGGAGCAGGATGAAGAAGGTGCAACATGAGCTTTTGCTATTCACGCACCACAGGGTAGTTTTTTATGCGTTGTCTGACATTCTCGCAACGGCGAGGCGAGCATTCTGACTGCATCATAATGATAAGTAGACAGACAGTAGAAACGATGCACCCAACGCACGGTAAGGGCTGGACCACCATTCGCGTTCCTCGTTTGTCATTTCCCGCGGATGGTCATGCTCCCCGGTATGTTGTAATGGCTTCACAAGATGAACTCTGGGTGGTAGTGACTTGTGTCTGTTATAAAGATGGCCGTCGGTAATTGGGTTCGCGTTGTCCAACAAAATCGAGTGAGTCCTGCCTTCTGAAGTGAAAGTAGGCGTCTCTGGAATAGTATTTTTCATAGAAACACGCTTTTTGTAGCGCGTATATCCATTGTTGAACGTGTTGGGCTCCGAGGCATCTTGCAAGATTTTGAGCAGACGTGGAAGTAAGCGAGGCATGCAGTAAAGCCCGACCATGACAACCCTGACTACACTCGCCGAAATCACTGTGAAAATCCTTGTAATACACGACTGCCACGACCACTGCTGCGATGCACAGCAGAATGCTGATATCATTCATGGTATGGTGATAAGATACTGCGCTTAATGATTGTGTTCAGATATAGCATTCGATATCGGACCATCAAACCCACATGATGTCGCGTATAAAGTCCCCATGGTCTCGCTCGATCTTCAGGTCCAACGAATCCCCTTCTGCGATTATGACATCCCTACCAACTGAGCCTGTTACGTTGGCTGTCATCGGCTGTGGTCAGAGAGGGACTGTATGAACTTAATTGTGTGCCTTTTCCTTACGGTGCACTGACGCTTGTACGCAGAACTATGCTAAATATGCCCTTGATCACCCGAAGAACTGCAAGGTAGTCGCTATTGCAGAACCAAGGCCAAATACTCGCGATATATTTGCACATAATCACAAGCTCGATCGGACCCTTGTGTTCAATGATTGGCAGGAGCTCTTGAAGGCTTCCGCCGATACCATTCAAACTATCGGGAAGCGTCTTGCAGACGCAGTAATAGTTGCGGTGCAAGACTACATGCATTGTGAAGTGGTGTCGGCATTCGCAGCCCAGGGTTACCACATACTTTGCGAGAAGCCCATGGCTACAAATCTACAAGATTGCCTTGAAATGGAGAAGGCAGTTAAGAACGCTGGTATTATTTATGGATGTGGTCACGGTGAGCTATATCCCTTGTCATGCTACAAGCTTCGGACCTCACGTGCGGCAGTCTTACGCTACTCCCCTTACAGCAAGGCCATCACCGAAGTGGTCCGTTCAGGACAGTTGGGCGAGCTGATAAATGTAGTTCATATCGAGCCCATTGGTTACTTTCACTTTGCCCACTCTTATGTTCGCGGCCATTGGAAGAAAGAATCTGAGAGTTCTTTTTCTCTCATGACCAAGAGCTGCCAGTATGTAAGCCCTAATTCACCGCGCATGACATCTTAATTGATTGGGTACCCAAGTGATGTAGACATCCTCTGTCACTGGCTTTCCCCTGCGATTCCGACACGAGTCTCCTCGTTCGGCTCTTTACAACACTTTCGCAAGGAAAAGAAGCCTCCTGCAGCAGGTGCTGCAACTCGCTGCTTAGAATGTTCAATAGAACAAGATTGCCCATACAGTGCAAAGAAAAGTAGATCACCTCCAATCTCATTTCATGTAAACTGAGTGTAACCACGCAGTATACCTGGAACCTGTTTCCCGCGGAGACACCCACTGGCCAGTCAGCACTATTGTGGATGGAATACCAGACATAGAAAATATCGTCGATGCTCTGCGCAATGGTCCTTACGGACAATGTGTGTACGAAAGCGAAAATGATGTCTGTGATCATCAGGTACAACCCGATTTTGCCTTGCAAAGCAGCATCTTGATGCTGTATTTTTAGGTTGTGAATATCGAATATTCATCAGGAGCCACCGTCTCATTTACGATGGTAGCATACACCTCCTTGATTTGCGAACGTCAGACACGATTGCACTTCACGCACGGGGAGATAGTTGGCGATATGAATAATTTTACTGTCACCGACTTCCGCACGGGTCATAAGACAATGCACCACCCGAAGAATGAAGGTGGTGGCCACGGAGGCGGAGACTTGGGTCTTATTCGTACTTTTGTCGAGGCTGTGCGCACGAACAATCAAGAGCTACTGGGGACTGATGTCTCTGAGGTGCTCAAGAGTCATCTCACCATATTTGCCGCCGAGACAAGCAGGAGAAAAGGCACAGTGATTGATTGTGCGAAATTCGAGAAAGCTATCAGAGCAGAGTTGGAAATGAAATAAGTTTTTTTATTACTACATATACATTAACCATCACATAACATTAGCTGGCAAAGTAGGTGTGCTGCCTGGTTAAATACCAATGCCCTCTGGTAGCAAATAATCCAACTTTCCGTCGTCCAGGCTCCGAGGCAGCAGACTGAAAAATACAAATAGAGGTTTACATCGGGTGCACATGACGGGGAGGTATACTTGAAATATGGAAATTTATATTGTTGGTAACAGGCTGCGCGTAGTAGCTACGGGTGATGCTACATGTGAAGTCGTCAGATGAACATGTCAAAGTTCAATCAACAAGCTGGGATATCATTTCATCTAAGGCATGGGAGTCATCTGTGCGCAAACACCGCTCTGCTTGACCAACAAGTTGATTCGGCGATAGCTAAAGCATGAATGCAGCAGGCCGCTCCTACCCAATATCATTCGCATCGATGCTTCCAGCCGAATGCAGAGCGGATGTTTATATTGCAAGCAAAACTTGTCTGTGAATATGGTTGTCAACATGGCAGACATCGAGGATTTCGCTCAGCAACTCTTCAGCCGCACTACCATCCGTCTAAAATCCCTGTTTCATGAAGCGAGACAGCAGAGCGATGGCAAGATGGAGTCAGGCGTTATTTACAATAGACAATAATGACGATGGGATTTTGCGCTGCGATCCTGTAATTCTCCGACGGAGATCTCGAACTGCGAAGGGCTTCTCCATGAGACCCAATTAAAATGAGGCACAAACGCTAGCCCGGAATTCAGGAGAGGGCTCGCAAGGTCTAGGGTCTTTCTCAATACCTGCAGGAAATATGAAATCGAGGACAACTCACAGAAGTATGGGCTCATTCTATTTGACGACAATCTGATCTATGTCTACGGGTTTGTTCCTTGTATGGGATTCAGCACTGTCAGCCTTTACTACCTCACGGAAGTCATCGGGGATCCGTCGGAGGCCAAAAGTGAGATCAGTTGCACGAATGGCTTGGGAGAAATCGTTGATACGTGCTGAACGGAGATCGATACCAAATACAAGTAATGGCGACCTTTTGCACTCGAATGATGTATGTCTCTCCTGGGTCCTGGGGTTTTCCCGGGTGGCTTGGCTCCTCACCCAAGGCTTTAAGTGTAACATCGAGTGGGAGTCTATCGCGAAGCGAAATAGCAGAGTAATGACGAGATAAGATGTGATCAGAATCGCTTTTGAAAATGCATCGGTACGTGCTGAATGAAGATAGATGACACATATTATTGATGGCGAGTCGGCGACTTCTAGCATTTCAGAGGTTTGTCTGTCCTGGGTCCTGGGGGCGTTCTAGGGGAACTACCTGCGGAATATCAAACTACCCGCTGTAGAGTGGGCCTATCATATCTGTACGACTAGGGCATGGGCGTTATTAGTCGAAATGAGGAAGCAGGGCATTTCACACCGAGAAGCACTGTACTGCTGTCAGTCCGTTTTCCAGGCTGCAGCTGACATTCATTTCGCGGATAAGTCCATATGCATGGATATAACTTGCTGAATATACAAGTATCATCCATGGATACATCAAAGAGAAGACTGATGTCGCCTTGATTTTTGAGTCTCGAGTATGAGATCAAGTCCGAGCGTGCAGCAGCAGAATGGGCGAGCAAGCAAATTACGTTTGTATGATGTAATTGTATTTATCCTGGTAGCTGACCTCGCGTAAACCACTCTACCAGTGACGCTTTAATTGAAAGACTGTCTCGCAAGAGTCGTGTCACAAAGATGGGTGCAACAAAACGGTATGCTCAGCTTTGCGACCCATCGAGTAACGATTCGAGTTTGTCACGGTGGAGCCAACTTTCATCGTATGACCTGTAACTACCGTTGGCGGCCTTTGCTCGCCTTGTCCTTGTTTCTTCGTGAGGCTTCAGAACAATGTTACTTCGTTGATTGATTTGTGACTTGCAGCTGTCGTTTTCTTAACCGGTGACCGCGACCGCAGCCCACAAAAGGACGTGCTTGACTCGGGAATACTACGCAGTATAAATCGAGGACACAAGCGAATCCCGAATGGACAACCTGTGCACCTGCGGTGCCTGTTACATACGCAGCTCACGTTTGCTGCGTATTGATTCTACGTATCGAAATACCCAGCGCTTGTCCTCCCAGTACTGCTGCGGGGTGTTTCCTTTTCCGATTTATACAACCGGTCTGCTGACAGGGCATATATACTGGTCGTCAGGCTGTGAAGTTCATCCGCACAATATCATACATACCATCCTTGATTCATGTCTACAGACATCAGCTCTGAGGAGAAATTTCTTCCTTTGCCCGATGGGCGTACCTTGGCATACGAAGAAGCAGGAAACCCATCTAGCAAGACTGTCGTTCTTTACATGCATGGCTTTTTCACTGTTGGGGACGCGTCGCAGACATCTCATGTCCTTCTGAACAAGAATGTTCATTTCATCACGCCCACCCTGCCTGGATGGGGCAACACGTCGCCTCCTCCCTCATCGACACTATACCGCGACATGCCTCACGAGCGACATGACCACGCTTTTATCCCACCTATACCCAGATTTCGATGGCCGTAACATTAAACTGTACATTGCAGGGGGCTCGCTCGGTACAGTGCCTGCACAGATATTGTACGGTGCACCGTATGACAAGTTTCCATTCGGCCGGTGCATATCAGGCATGCTGCTATTAGGCGCGTTCAGCCCGTTTCGATACCAAAAAGATTACGCCAAACACATGACGTGGACGCAATATATCCTACCTGGCCCCATCGGGTACTACATGCCATTCAACCTTCTCGCTCATCTAATTAAATTCGTGCTGGTGAGAAAGTTGAAGACTATAGAAGGAGCAGAGGCATCGTTGCGTGAAACTGTTTTTGACCTGATGGACCAGGCGGAGCGGGAGGAGTTCGCGAAGTGGAGCGAGGAACGCGGGATGGTACCAGATGATACAGTGCGGACAATGGCGAAAAATGTCATGAAGAGCACCTCCAAGTCTTGGGAAGGTTTTATGCTTACGCCACCTCTTCTGCACTCAGATTGGGGTTTCCGGCCTGACGCATTGGACGAGGATCACTCTCGTCCTCCTATCCTGCTCACAGCGAGCAAGGACGACCACATGACTCCCGTGGCTTATGCATACTATCTTGCTGCCAATTACAAGAATGCACGGATCAAACACGTTGATGGGGGTCATATGAGTACTTTATACTACATGGACGAAGTATGGACAGAGTTTCTGGCTGACGAGCAATAGTCAATCGCAATAACATTGTCCATGAAACATCCTTCCAGAGGGGATGAAGCAAGCAATACATCGAGAAGTTATCTATATACATAGCTAAAAGTTAAAGAAACGGTAGACAAGCAATGATAGATGTTGGAGGGAAGGTATCGCACTGATAGAGTTAGAATAAAATAAGATGAGCACTGATCTGGAGCTAATCCTGTAGCTCCAGCTCTCTCCGAATGATTTCCCTCACTTCTCTGAGGCCGCCTATTTCGCGTTTAACTCGCCTGGGACTTCGCGTGAGCATTTCGGCGCTGTCGAGTTTCGCACGAGAACCGGGGCTAGGCGGTGGACCTATAGTAGAAGTAGATCGAACACCTGGACTGGGCGGTGGAACAAGTTTGCTGCCAACAGGCTTCTTGGCTGGACTAGGGGGCATCGACTTGTCAACGGTGCTAGTGTCCTGCACCGACGACGTGGATGGCATCTCAAGCCACTCTTTGCCTGCGATATCCACAGGTCGCAGGAAGAATGGACAAAGCGTCGTCAGTAGTCTGAGCGACTCGTTTGCTTCAAGAGTTGACATCGGCACGGGGGAAGACTTGATGATCGCGGCCGCGACCTCAGAGGTCGGAAGAGCTTTGCGTTTGCGAGTAGTCGGCGTAGAAGTCGATCCGACAGGAGCCGAGAAAAGCCTGTCAGATAAGAAATCAACAAAAGAAGAAGTCGGGTGTATGGTACTAACATCCAGGCACTCTCGGCGACACCACCTAAGCGGCCGAGCAGACAGCGCCGTCGGATCTCTTCCTGACCCATTTTCTGGATCTGTTCCCTAGAGAGTTTTCCTCCGACAACTTCCGCGCTCTTTGCTTTGGTTGGGCTGGTGGTCACAGACTTCTGACGAATTCGATCATATAAAGCTTGACGACGAGATGTACTCGGAGTTGAAGGTGCAGTCTCCGCGTTGGCACCGCGTTGGTGGACAGGCGTCATAGGCAGAGAGTCTGATGCATCGCTCTCGCATCTATGACGCGCAGGTGTCTTGGGGGTTAGAAGACCGACCAAAAGATCTGCGCGCCTCTGACGCGATGATGGTGTCTGAGGAAACGCAATGGAAGATTTTAATGATGATGCAAGGGCTGACTTTGAAGGACTAATCGCAGGAAATGGGACTGTAAACTCATGTGTGGCGATAGAACGCTTCACGGGCGACTTCACGGGCGAGGTTGGACTGGACGGAACCATATTCCTGAGAATTGAGGTACCCTTAGGCGAGGCAGAAGCAAGCACTCGAGTCAGCGAGGACGCCTTGACCGTAGTCACAAACTCTGGGAGATCTGCCATAGGAACATTTGGCACATCCGGAATATCCGGGTGAAGCTATAATCGGGGTTAATGTATATGATAATAGCAGTGATTTGGGGGACAAACCTTGACCCAGCGCTCAAGTTTATTTCGAAACTCAGTTCGTCGCTTCTCTGCATCGGCGGTCCATCTAGCTACTGCGGCCATGCCACCTCCCATATCTTTGTCAATATCGATTTCGACCTCGATACCAATACCATATACAGGTACGCGTTTGCCAGCGCCCTTGGAATAATGGGTAGTTGGGCTGATGACCAATCCCATTGCGCCTCGCGTCCAATCCTTGGCAGGAGGCTGTGCAGGAGCATCTAAGAAGGGGTTCTCATCATCAACTGTCTTGTATTTTCTTGTAATATCAGGAAGTGATTTTGCATCCCACTCCCATATCCAGCAAAGCCGCTTAAGATCATCGGTATCGAATTTGGTTGTGAGCCCAGAGTAAGTCATGATGGACATATGATTGAGCACGTTTCGCACTATGCCCGTGTCAGAGGAAGGAGAAACAGCACATGTTGCTAGTGCATGTGATAATGCATGCTGCAAGGCTGTTTGAATCGTGTTGAGTCGTGAAAGGTGATGTGGCAAGGGCGCATGATTTGATTTGCTGCCCTTGTGAGCAGAGCAGGGTGGTGTGGGTGGCCTTGAAGCACGTCGTCTATAAGCATAATAGCACAGTGTACAATAGATTAAACATGCTCACGCAGTTCGAAGTTTTTTCGGGGTGAAAGTGGTCTCATCGTCTGAACTGATGAGTTGGCGTTTCTTTCTGGGCGAGACTCCGAGGGATGTGTATAGGTCGGTCATAATGTTTGTACAATAAGTAGAGAGTGTATCAGCTGCCGGAGCAATGAAGGGTGTCGCAGAGATGAACAAGATCGAGTAAGTTACTTGACGCGAACCAAATGATCGACGACGCGTCTACGTAAGCAGTTCCCACGAGCGCGTCTTTGCCGTGGTCCGTCACGGTGAGGCAGACTCCAGTGGCAGACTACATGGTATTTGGTACTTGGGTTCTCATTTGTTCATTTGCTCATTTGAATCCTCAGCACCCTAGCGCATCTAGGCCGTGCACTACTCAAGGCCACTTTTATTATTCCACACGCTGATCAATAAGTCCAACGGTAAGCAATTTTCTTCATGGTCAACCATAGCTCATTTTCCAACAAGCTTGCTCGATCATCTTCCCATTGCTTGCGTACAATTTTGGATTCCGTGCCTGGTGCTGGGTTTGACTGAACCAATGCCTCGAGATCGCATTGGTTAGTTACGTATCTATTATTCATGACAAAAGGTTCCAAATGACAGGTCTCAAGAGAAACAGCTCTAGGGCTTCGACATATAATCTCCATGTCAGCACACGCCAAAATGGAGGAATAGAACAAGACTTTCGAACAAGAACTTCAGAAGGTTGCAGCCTCACGACCTAATCAGATCTAATATTGCAAATGGAGCTGATATCAGCGAATCATGCGCCTCCTCGACTTCTCTCATGATCTGATGAAACAAGGCGGCGAAGGTAGCCATCTTGAGCTAGCAACAACTAGAAACTCCGCGGAGAATTTCTGCATTCAATCATGGTACAGCGCAGTGCCATTTCTAGGAATTTCTTTTTGCGGTAGGCGCAGTTCGCTCTCCACATTCGAAAAACCGGATCTCATTGTAATGAGGAACTGCATTTGACGATCTTTGATGGGGTTGAGTCAGGTGGCCGAATGATTCAGAATGGTCGATATTTGATGCATGAAGGAGTTTGATACAGAGTTCAATATCGGTAATTATCAAACAGCAGGTATGGTCGTGTTGTTGCAAGGCTGATGATTTAATCTTGAGGACTTGTTGCAGACATGTGATCTCCCCGATTGACAAATTCATCATCGTCACGGTTTTCGTGCCATGTCACGACAATGGCCACATGAACATTCGAGCAAAGCCAGCGATTATAGATCCACGGGAATGAAGGGTCGATGGCCGAAGTAACTGACTGCTCCCCATGCCCCAGACACTATCAGAAAAGCTATGGATGAATGCGATACATATCATCTATGGATGTGTTGATTTCGAAGATGTCTGTCACGGACTCTTATGTGGCTGTGTCTAACAGGCTCACCTGACCCTGCAAATGAACTCAGGTTCTGTATACCCCTGTTTACAGTTACCTCGCAGACAAAACAAGCTGGGTCACTGCCTACTAGGCCTTCGTTTGATCACTAGTGAACTCGTGCCAATCTTGCACAGTACTAGATGATGCGGCATATCATTACAGATGAGAGTATTGCATCTCTGGGTGTTAAGTATGACCCATTTTTGTCGATGCCCATGGCCAGAAATCTTGTTTTGTTGTGGTCACATCTTCGAATACATGGGCCTAGACGTACGTGTGAACAAGAAGCGAGTTCATGAATGCCTGCATGCAAGGGTGCAAAATGCCACGAGTGAACCGCTCAAGCTTTCTGCTCCTCAACTTTAGAAGTGAATCTTGATGGCACACAGCACATGCATCGCCTTGACCAACATACCACAAAGGCGAGGATCACGTCAAAGGGGTTGAGTTTATAAACTGTGGCGCGGCACGACTTCTCTCCTGCTTCACCAGCACGATGAACGGAAACGAAAATCATGGAGTCATCCAGCAGCATGCGATGTTTGTACTCGGTTACCTTGCTACGTGGAGTACTGAATGACAGCCATGCAGACGAAACACTCTCGAGCACCTTTCTGGTATGCATGCACCTCTGACGTGAAATAGTATTCATCCAGGACCACAACACGTTCGACAGGTGAAATACAGATATTGCTGAAAAACGAAAGCCTCTACGAGAATCGTATTCGAGAACTTTCAACAAATTTAGGTGTTTTCCAAACAGCATACTCTGCTATGGAGGACCGCCTTCGAAGACAAGCGGAAGAGAAAAATGATTTGTTGCACGAATTGAACGCCTTAAAAGTGCGTTTACTTTTTACTCAGACAACTATCTTTATGACCAGAACTCGTGTTATAGGGACTGGAAAAACGAGTTATATGTTTGCTTGATGGCGACGGGATGATCTTCACGCAGGAATTGATGAGCCAAGGCCAGGAAGGTGGCCTAGCTGCTGCGAGAAAGCTGACCGAACGCGTTCGCCAATTCATATCTACCAGTGAAGGATTTGAACAATATCAACTTTGGGTGTATCTCTTCTACAACAAACGCGGCCTTCTAGAGACGTTTGGCCGAGTGGGTCTGACGACGGTTAGAGCCAAGTTTGATGACTTCATGATGGGCTTCAATCAAGCTGCTGAGCGATTTATCATGGTCGACGTAGGAGGTAGCAAAGAAGCTGCTGATGCAAAGCTTAAAGGTAAGTTGACTCGTGTGATTATATGCACGGGGTCATTGAAGTTATTTCTGGATTTCCAGTCCATCTTGAAGATAACATCCGTCTTCCACACACTTACAAAATATTCTTTGGTGGTAGGTTCCACTTCACCACCCCAAGCGGTTTACTGATTTTCGCCAACCAGGATGCCATGATAATGGCTATGTGCACAATCTTCGTTCTGTCGTCACCTCGAGCCTCGGTCATAAGCTTGTTCTCATGCCTGGTTATTCTGATGTAGCGATTGATATCAGAGCGCTTCAGCTACCCGAGCTCAGAATACCCGAGTTGTTTATCACAACTAAACTCGTGGCACCATCTTATAATGTCATCGCGACTGGTCCCCCGCCAGGACTGGCGCCTACTACTCCAAAATTGACCGCAGCGCAACCTGTCTGTCCTCCTGCGACTCCACCTGGTATCAACTCTTTTTCTGGAGAAGGCCAGGTAGCGATGGCTCGACGTGGAAGTCTCCCGAGTTATAAATCAGCGCTGCAAACACCGCTAACAATGTCGACGCGGTTTAACTGCCCATCGATGGAGTCAAGTGAGGGTAGTAGCGAGTCCAGCGAAGCAAGCGAGATTCCGTTTCGCTTGCCGCGATTGACCTCTCCTTCTCCACCGAAGCAGCGACGTATCAATAACCAACTGGTGAGTTGTATTTCCCCTCTACGTTTCTTGATACTGTCCTCACCAAATTACTGTTAGGCATTGTCTAAGCGTATGTTCACTAGGCGTCCATTGTAGCGATCTGATATTGATCTTTTCCACACAGATGTTCCACCTCCGTGCACTTTATTCTATTTGGCACAATGCAGGCACGGTCCGAGTTGTAAATATTCGCATGAGTATATCTTGGAGGCGGAACACTATCAAGAACTTGGAGAGAATGCAAAGAAGACGCCTTGTAAAGTTACAAACGAAGGTGTGCTTTCCTCACTGGCAATTTGTTGAGCATGATGTTAACTGTTCATCAGGCGGAGATTGTCCATTTGGAGATGAATGTGTTTATGGACATATGTGCCCGAATGGAACAACTTGTTATTACCTGAAGTTAGGAAAATGTAAATTCGTCGCTGGTGAGACATACCGTCGCTCTCCACGCAAAACCACTCTCATCTTCGCTTCAGCTGGTATGCATCGGCAACCGAACAACTGAATTAACGCGCGCCTTCCATTTTACTATGATAAAGTTTCTTGTTATAACCATTCGAGGCTGTCCTGCCGGAGATGGGCTCGGCCTCGGGAATGTCTATTTGTACATATATGCATGCAGTCACGTCTTGACATCAAGGTTCAGTTTTTGCTAACCTCCAGATCATCGCGGAGAAAAATTAACAACGTAATGCTGATGGAATTTTTCCATTGACGTACTTGAGCACGTACAAGTGATTCTCAACGAAGAGCGCGCACATTCACTTGGTTCGCGTGACTTAGCCAAATCAGTCTCAACTTCTTCGAATGACAATATGACCTTCAAGTCGCTCACGATATGATTGCCTTATCTGCGGACTTCTCCAATTGCACGAATCCCGCGATCTAGCCTGATTAACGGCCCAGCCCCTTTACAGGTAAACATCGTGGCTTCGTTGGTTTAAAAGGCTGCCGATTTTTGTTAGCATTCCTGTGTTTCCCTAATATCTAATATCCACTCTGTAACCCCGTTCGCTCACCCATATGGCAACCTCTCCGGTAGCAGAGGTCAGCCAGCAGCTCTGGTAGGTCATTTATTGCATGGCTAAAAATTTGGTTTCGAAAATTTTCTTAAGGGATGAGACGCTGGGTAGACTTCTGAGTAAGTACCTCTCATCTGAGGAATCAGCTTATAACCTAATGCTGTTTTTGCAGACCTGTCATCGGCGACGATTCAACGGAATGCTGACCTCGAGAATCGCTTAGCTGAACTCGAGGTCGAACTTGCGGTCTGGAAGCAAGCCCATGCGACTGCTATCGAAGGTGCAGACAGGGAGGCTAAGGCTCTCAAAGGGCGGTTGGCTTCTCTTAATTCTCAGGTGGCGTCAATGGAAACTTTCATGGTCAGTCTATTTCCTGCTCGAGCGACTGGCTATCTAATTTTATCCGCAATTTCAAACAGAGCCAGAGTCTACTCGTCCTCTGCGTCATTGATGGGGATGCTTGTATATTTAATGACTTGCTCCTTAGGCAAGGTCACGAAGGTGGCCGCCAGGCCGCACAACAATTGACGAGGGCAGTCGCAGATTATTTAACCAACGAGGATGTTCATGTTCTCGGTCGACTGTCATTTTGGGTAACAATTTACTTTAACAAGGCCATACTGGCGAGTGTTCTTGAGCGACATAAATTATGTAGCCCGGAGCAACTTGATGCCTTCATTATGGGCTTTAGCCAGTCTTCGCCTAGGTTTGTCTTGGTTGATGTCGGATACGGCAAAGACGCCACCTTCACGAAAATTACAGGTCAGCATGTGTTGATCGATGATGTCCCTCACTTACCCCCATTTAGAATATCTACAAACATACCTTCGCTTCCCTCAAACTCAGAGAATTTTTTTTGCCGGCAAGTCTCGTCAACGCTTGTTGCCGTTTACACAAGTTGACATAACGCAGGTGGTCAGGAAAACACTTACGCTCCAACTATTGCTGCGCTGCAAAATGACGGACTTTTGGGAAAAGTCGCCTTCTTGGAGGCCTGCCGCGCGAGCCCTAACTACGCGCAGAAGCACCGTTTGCCAATTCTGAATGTGGACACATTGTTTATCAACCAGAGGCTTTCGCCACCATTGAGGACTCCTCCACCATTGAATATGAATGGTCTCAGTCCCACACTGACATCTGGTGGATTACCAACACCGCACTCGCCGCCTAGTATGAGTGCTTCTGCGATAGGAAGGCTAGTGGACCCAACCTTGGTGAGTCCACCCTCTCGTAGTATATTTTCGATGCTGATATCTTTCAGCCTCTTCATAAGCGTGAGTTAAGATTGTGTTAATTAGCTGTGGTCAGTGCCTAGACACTCGACATTTTACCGCTTACACAGATTCTCCCCCACCTTGTAATGAATTCTATCTTATGTCCTGCACTAAAGGCGTATGTGTGACGTGCGAGTCTTCTTCACTTTACTGATGAACGTTTCGGTATCAGGGGGCATGTAAATATTCGCATGACTATATCCTGACGCCAGATCAGTTGGCTACTCTTGCTGCTAACGCCAAAAAAGCTCCTTGTAATTTTCTGAAAAATGGCACGTTTATCCAACACTTGACCTCGATGCCTCATTGAGCGTTTGGTCATTATAGGTCTCCAGTGCCCATACGGCGAACGGTGCTGCTGGGGTCACGTATGTCCCAACGGTCCGAAGTGTTTCCACCTGAGTAAGGGCAAATGCTGGTTCAAAGGCGGTTCGTGTCATACCGTCAGATACAAAACGAGTGCTAACTGGAATACTTTGTCTTCAGAAAGCATGCACGATGTTTCGCCTCATCTATCACCTTAGCGGCTTAGCCTACTTCAACCCATGCTTGCCTGTTATTGGTTGGTTTATCTTATGAGCCACATGGCATGTACGAAGGTCTTAGCTTGACGTTTTATCGCGTTACCCATCTTCTGCTCTTATTTGCTTACAACGTTGTAGTTCATGTGTGGTTTTTTACATGTTATTGTATGGATCGGATATGGGTTATTATCTATGCATTCGGAACACCTGCTGGCTCCAACAGTCTAGAACATTTGCATTTGTCCGAGTATGGCATGACCCCAAAAACCCATGCCAAGACCTCCGATACTCATCACAAGTCTGCGTTCAGCTGCCACCAGATGTTTAATGGAGACGTTGAAACGTTGATCCTTGGTCTGGTTCAAACAGCTCTTCAATGAAAGCCTTGTCGAGACTCGAAGCTTGAGCCTATCCGACAACTACAAAAAAACTTAAATGTTTGGATCATGGCCAGCCTAGGCACCAGGCGTGTGAAATCAGATCAGTAGATAAGTGTCTGAACTTGAACAAGATAGCACTGCCAATCGCAGAAGGCCCTTGGAAACTGCAACATATCTACCAGTACCACTCATCGACCTCTTCATAATCCTTCCAAGCCTCGAGTTTCACGTTTTGAAATGTCTTCTGTATGTCTCGAACATTTACCTCGATTGCGATCGCTGGCTGATTGGTGTGTTACCGTAGAACGATGATCAGGATGATCTGAAGCCCTCTGCCACCCCAGGTGAACCAGCATTGAATGTAGGGAAAACAGAATGAGCAACTTATTGAATCTGTCCCAGGCTACAAGCCAACTGGCACTACAAAAACAGCAGACGAATACGCCAAACTCGACGCGGAAGATGAGAGCTTGGCACGGTGGAAAGCCAGTCTTGGTATTGTGCCCGGAGTATCTACTGGGGACGCCTCAGGACCAAGAGTATGTTGCTTCCAGTATTGTTTGTACTGAATTTAATGGGTCGTATAGGTGACAGTTCTGACCCTAGAGCTTGATTCACCTACACTGCCTCCTGGCAAGAAGCTCGTCTTCAACCTCAAGGACACTGCCATGATGGCCGATATCAAGAAGAACCCAATCATCATCAAGGAAGGCGTAGAATACAAGTGAGTGCTCTGAGCTTGTTTTCGATGCTATCAGGCTGATATTGTCACAGCGTTCGGATCACGTTCAAGGTGAACCACTCAATTATTTCTGTGAGTGGCTTGTCTTCGTTTTGGCTTGACAGGTCTTAATACCTTATTGCGAAGGGTGTACGATACATCCAGCTAGTCAAACGCGCCGGTATCAAAGGTATCGTACATTCTCACCGTGGTTCAGGTCCTTGATTTTGATCACTCTATCATAGTGGACAAGCTCGAGCAAATGCTTGGGTCATACGGTCCGCATCCCCAGGGAGAACCATACACGAAGAATTTTGAAGTAGAAGAGTCGCCGTCGGGGCTTGTGGCACGTTCAGGATCGTACAGTGTCAGAAGCCGCGTTGTGGACGACGATGGAGAAGTATACGCAGGTTTGTGTTAATAGAAGCTGTGATCAAGGTCTCTTCAAACTGACCTACCATCTTTCTAGACTGGGAGTGGTCATTCAAACTTGCCAAGGAGTGGTGAACGAAGACTTCTCGCCTTGTCATTTTATGACTTTTGTTGCATTACTCTATGGCATCATTTTGCATATCGACTCTCTGGATGTACCTTTTGTATCCTTTCAAACAGTCACCACCGACATCAAGTGGCCGCTGAAGAAGAGTTCTTCAGGCTGACTGAAGTTTTCCGCCGAAGGAAGTGTTCAGATATACTAATTGCAGGCTATTCTGATGGAAAATTTGCCCGGTTAGCCTGTCGTAGCGGACCAGCTGTGATGCCTTGTTAAATACGCTAAGCACGCAGCAGATTTTGACCTAGCTCACAGCAATGCAACTAGTATCTAATACTAGTGCAGACGTCCGGAAAACGGTGTGTCCTGCCAGCGAGCACTGAGCGAGAGAACGAAAGTGCCATATCAAGCCTGCCGCAGGACACCGTGATGTTGAAGTGGCGCTCATGCCCGCGGCCTATGTCTCTCTTCCATGTATGGATAGCGAAATTCTACGGTCCACTCTTGTTCTTCACGCTTTAATTTGCCGCCTGGCCTTTGACATGTTATCAAACGCGTTTACGAGTACAAGGTCGTCCATAGTAGTCCATCCTCCTGATACTCGGTGTTTCACTGCAATCATTAATCGTTTCCTGCAAGCGAATAGAACATCACGGCGAGATAAAAGGGGTCCGCTATATGAATTGATATTCGGCCATCGTTCATACACGTTTTGACCCACATGACGGGTCTAGTATCAGGGTTCGCGGCTGCCCCCTTACTTATCGTGGGAGTCAGGAACATACCTGCAAGGCGAGAACTTATGTACTGCAGTGCAACATGACCATCACATTACTTACCCGGTTCTCCAGGTTATATGCAGGATGCTGTTTGACGAGGAACTCGGCGCGCAATATACCATGGCTTGGTAGGCACACGCCTCAATCCGTCGGCATCTTGTCTTCGTCAACAAGGGTATTGAGCCGTCATGTATCTGGGACTCCATCAAGTACTCCAACTGCACCAACAACATGGGTCGACCGTCTTCCACCAAAAATTCGACCTTACATCTACTTGATAAGAATGGATAAGCCAATTGGGACCTTATTGGTGTTTTATCCTTGCGGTGCGTCACGAGGATTCGAAGTTGTGCGCTCTTCTAGCTCATTCTTCCTCCATCTAGCATGGTCCATAACCATGGTCTCGTATGCCTTAGAGGCACCATTAACGACGCCTCTGACATATCTAGGCATATTTGGACTTGGAGCAGTGGTCATGCGTGGTGCGGGTTGCACCATCAACGACATGTGGGATAAAAACTTAGACAAAGCCGTAGGTAAGTAGAACACGCGTCATCGTCGCGTCTTCCTTTGCACCGACGCGTCATTACAGACAGAACACAAAGTAGACCACTTGCAAGAGGTGATGTCAACCAGAGACAGGCGCTGGTGTTCTTAGCTGGACAATTGACAGTGGGATTGGGAGTTTTGTTGCAGCTGAATTGGTACAGGTACGCATCGTATTCTCGCTCCGCTGTCGCAGATATTGACCTTTTTATTCATAAGCATTCTGCTTGGAGCTTCATCTATGTCTTTGGTGACTTTATACCCGCTCATGAAAAGAATTACCAACTGGCCACAACTCGTACTAGGTACGTGTTAGTAGTTTCTGTCGTATTTCAGCACTGAAATGAAGATGCTGCAGGACTTACTTTCAATTGGGGAGCTATGCTTGGCTGGTCTGCCGTTGCCGGGGCAGTCAACTGGAGTGTCTGTCTCCCTCTATACGCAGGCGGAGTATGTTGGACTCTCGTGTACGACACCATATATGCGCATCAAGTGGGTATTGCTGTACAATAAGCACTCTACCTTCTGACTATCGCAGGACAAAATCGACGATGTAAATGTCGGTATCCACTCCACTGCCCTACTTTTTGGAGAGCAGACCCGCCCAATCCTCAGCGCGCTCTCGGCATCAACCATTTCTTTGATCGGTCTCGCAGGCGTCCTCAACGCTCATGGGGCGCCATACTATCTTGGCCTCGGTCTCGGGGCTGCGCAGCTCGCACGCGTTCTTTGGAAAACAGACTTTGAGAGTCGTCCGAGTTGCTGGCGGGGATTCGTAGGATGTGGTTGGTCTGGATTTTGGATATGGATGGGAGCTCTAGCAGATTACGCAGTCCTGATTTCAGGACTCGCATGAATGATGGGACTCATCTGGTCGTATTGCAAAAATTCGAGCGAAGCACTATAGTGACCGTCGATTTAGTCATCCTGATTGCATATTCTTTTTCTGGAAATTTTCGAAGATGGACGACCCAAATATCTTGACTTGAGTACTCGTCCGGGCTATGGCTTCCACTTCATCTAGCATCGTGTTCGACGACATCTTCACGATCAACGCCATCGACAAGGATGGCAAAAAATTCGATCGAGGTCCGGACATGCCTACTATGCGTGCGCTACCTATGATTGACTAAACCCCAGTCTCTCGATTATACGCTCGTTCAAAGAACTACGACATGGACCTGACGCTCGACTATAACATCGAGCTCTTCCCTATCATGAACGGGGACACTTTTGCGATGGCTCTCGCTTCGTCGCTCTCGCGGGACGGCGGTGCGCCTACCGCAGATGGAGAAGAAGATAAAGATAGAGATGTATGGAGGCCGGATGGGAAAGGGAGGAGGGGATTGGAAGAAGATTATGACTATGTGATGTATGGGAAGGTACGGATAGGTTTCATCGCAAACGGGGTCTGGGTTTAAGTTACTCATGGATTCGATAGGTATACAAGTTTGATGCTGGATCTTCCGATGTCGTGTAAGTCGTTGGCTTGTACTAGTTCTAGTGGTATTGACTCGTGATATCTTACAGCACGGCCTATGCGTCATTCGGTGGACTGCTGCTCTCGATAACTGGATCATATCGGCACTTGACCAATGTCGTTCTTGGCGATCCGGTGTATGTGTTACTTAGGAAATGATCGTCGTTCTGCAAAACACTGCGGCATCCATCGTGATGCACGTACTCGATGAACCGCATGATTGTGGTGCACCTACTGGAGTCTTGGTCGAAATTGTCACTTCAGCTCTTAAAGACGCTCACAAACCCATTAAGCGTACAATCAATACAGACATAAATATTTCGTTACTATACAGATGGGCGTGAAATCGTGTAAGAAATTCTATGAATTATCGTTGTAAGAGCCGCGAATATACCGGGGTTACCAAGTACTATAGATGTGAGCAAACATGCTGATGAAAAAGAAAATTGGAAAGCAATCGTGAATCAGTGGTTACGGCATCATGGACCTGAGAGCGGGTAGCGAGGACTGCTTCGGGACCTGAGCCATCCTTTCATCGCAACGAGGCAGAACGTCCAGCAGAACGCGAAGCATGTGATAGCAACGGCGACGTTGAGGAACATCATCATATCTATAACAAGTCCGTGTTTCAGTACGGAGGTACGTCGGGGTAGAGGATCACATACCATCACGCCCTTTCCGCATAGCCGCAATTGTAACTTCTTCCGTGCTGAATATAAACATCAAACCACCACATGCAAGGAAGAAGCTTGCAAGAGCTTCTGTCGGCGGTCGAGAGGGAAGGATAGAGCGGGGCGGGCCAAGCCAGACAAAGAAGTAGGTGAAGCACCTTAAGACCGAGAATCCCAAAAGGAGCCATCCCCATAGCTCGTGTATCTGTACCTGTTTCGAAACCAGATTAGCCGGAAACGGAGTGGACAAATTACCAAAGTACCTGGAAGAGATAAGTCTGGGCGTGAGCGCTCATTGCAGCACCGGTTACGCCGATGACGAGAGCAGGGAAAGGGTTGAAGCTGGCACGGTAGCTTGGGGGCTCGGAAACCTCAGTTGGGCCGATAGCGTCTACAGCAGGTGCTGCAAGCCAGCGGCGAACACGCTTGGACTCAATTCCCATCCCAACGAGTCCGGCAAACCAAAACATGACCTAGATTGCCGTCAGATACGAACAGGCAGGAAAAAATTGACGTACAGCGATACTTATATGCTGTACCTGCTTGGTGGTGTAAGGGTCACCGGAGCGAACGCCAAAACGTTCCATCCAAGTGTTGGTGATCCCGTAGAGGAAAATGACCAGCGACTCCACGAATTCTGCAGAAACATGTTCACCACTCGGTGAAATATTCCAAGCCCATCCAAGCTCAGAGAAAGATCCAAGGTACCGAGCAAAGGTGACCAAGCCATAACACCAGAAGATGCCGCCCTCTGCAAGTCTAATAAGTGTCGATGCCTTGGCATAGAACGAAAGCTACATACTGATTAGATGTGCAAGACAGACGTTTATATAGCTGTCACGACAGCCACCGGTGTAAACGACAATGCCCGACAGTGTCATACCAAAAGCTGCAAAGACCAATGCTCTCTCGAAGGTAGCAAATGCTGCTTGACTAATGCGATTTAGGGGAGCACGTGACTCGATGAGAGCAGAAAGTTTGAAATCATGCAAGGTTTCGTCAGAGTGCCTAGAACCATGGGGAGAATCAACTTCAAATACGGTCCTCTCCGACAAGCTAGACTGCGCATAATGGGTTGCTCCTTGAGTATTTCGAGAGTTGTTGACCCAGGGCGCTGTTTGATCATCATCGGGATCATCCAGATTCTGGGTCTGAATGGTTGGAATGGGTTGATTCCGTCGCACATGAAGAGGTTCAGCGAGCCTCGGAGGTTTCATTTCAGCTACATCGAATTCTGAGGCTTCGTCGACGTCTAAGGTAGTGTACCTGGCTGCGAGGTCGTAGACATCGTTACGTCCGAGAACAATATTCTGCCAAAATGGTTTGAAGGCGAACTTGGATTTGCTCTTGGCGAACGTATATAGACGAATGAAAAAGCGGATGATGTCGACCGCGGAAAGGCATAAACTTAGGATTAGGAGCAAGTAACCGTGGGATGCATGGGTTGATGCTTCATACCTGGAATTGAGATTGTGAGGAAGATGCCGGAATGGATGATCGGACATTGGTTTGGCTTACATATCTGGTGTCAATTTGGTGTATAATGTACCGGAAGCACACCCGAGTGCGCATAAACTATAGAATGCGAGTAGGATGAGACCGTGCCATGAATGGTTTAAAGCACGCATTGCTATGCCTATTATGTAGGCCATTTGGAGTTAGCGCGAAGGGGTAGGTACGTGATATTTTCTCACCGACAGGGAGGGCGACGAAGAAGGCGAGGGTCATGAAGACTACGTGCAAGGCCATGAGTCCAGGATAACGGGATACCGATGAGTCAGGGTTCTCGATATCGATGGACCAGTAAGAGGGGGGAGTGGGAGCATGCCACTCAAGGATTGCGGTCTCGTTGAGCTCGGTGAGAGGAGCACCGTGATGGGTATGCATGTGATCATCGCGTCTGAAAACAAGGAAGTCTCCTGAGGATGTATGTTCTGACGATTCTAGGTCTGTTAGAGGGACTGCTGATGCTGGTTCGAAGAGGCTGATGGCGAGAAGAGGTGCGGTGACAACAAGAGAGAGCCACATTGCGGTGGGCAAGAGAATGAAAGAAAAGAGGATGAGTGCAAGCTAGGATAATCCTCCTATAAACATTCGGAGGTTTTGTCAGCACTAACTATACGCGGCTCCCTGCGACCAAGTTGTACAATTGACCAAGCTATCGGCTCTGTCACCGCCTGGATGTACTCTTTCTATGCGTTTCCATGAGATTCTATTGCGAAGTTAGGCTATGAGACCAACTAGATTCATTTTTGAAAAAGTGAAGAGGCTAAGGTATCATAGCCCCTATCGTTTTCCCGTGCCTCCCGTGCCATAACATCGGCTTGCTCCCGCTATTGGCATCGGTCAATGCCGATCGGTGATCCGCCAGCTCTGACTCATACTGCTTACTTGGTTCAAGTTGGTACCACAGCTGACCGGTGACCTATGCTCTCTAGGCGAATGAAGTCGCTTTCCCAGATCTTTTGTGTCACACCGTCGCGAGCGACATCATCTAGCAATTCGCTTTTCGTTGGGAAATCTGTTGAGAGGTCCTTTCTTCGTAAGACTCTAGTCCGTATAAGTCGATATTTATCTCTTTTCAATTAGTCAAGGTTTTTTACATAAATCAACAGCTAATTATAGCATTCCGTGTACCTGCGCCCATCTACCGTGTTCAGTTTCTTCGTTTGCTATCACTTCAAAAGCTGACACGGTCATCCCACAGAATGCGTTGGCAAACAGTCAGACAATTCCTCTGGGGAGAGATACCCTCCTCAAAGTTGGAGCGAATCCTCCTCCTCAAATTGGACTGGTTCATTTTGTCTTATTGCTGTCTCATGGTATGTTTCATCGACCCTAATCTTGTCAAGTTACTCATCGCAAACACGTCACTGCGGTGGTAGTATTTCACCAACTGTGAGTTTCACCTAGCTTACCTTTCGATACTATATGCACTGCCGCAGTTTCTAATGCAAGAAGCCTTCCAAAACGTTACGATCCCGACGTTAACCTTCGACGATGTTCTCACAGCCAAGCCTTCTCCACACCCAACCCATTTTCGCTTAAAGGCTCAGGCTTCAGCGTTCACGTTACTACTCGATAGATTCGGGGAGCTGTCGCTAACATAACTTTCGTAACTAGATCTGGATCGAGCGAATGTAAACAATGCATACGTATCCGGGATGAAGCAAGAACTCAACATGCAAGGAAATGACTTCAATGTACGTACTCCATATCCTTTCAGCGAGGTTTATTTGAACACCTTTCCAGAAAATAAATACCATCTTTACGTGCGGCTACATCGTCGGCATGATTCCAAGTAGGCCTTCACCGATCATCCTACCCGGGGTGCCTTATTCAATGCTTGCCAGACAACTTGATGCTCCAGGTCGTCCCACCGAGATTGTGGTTTCCATCGATGCAGATAGTATGGGGTATCCTCACCTTCTGGTTCGTTTCCATCGTCCAGAATATAACATGTACGGCATTGATAAATTGAATGACATAGTTCGAGTAGCGTTCATAACGTTCAACAGGTAACATCCTTCATGACATTATCTACCTGCTAACCGCTTCCGAAATAGTTGTACGCTATCAGATTCTTCCAAGGTATATCAGAAGCATCGACCTTCGTAGGCACCCACTATATTCTCGGATCGTCAGTGTGCTTCATTTCTTCAAGGAACATTCTCTTATTCTCTTATACGCTTCTTGAAGATGGTATAAACCCGGCGAATTGGGCAAGCGCTCGGGCATCTTCACAAGTTCTGGTCTAGCTGGGACACTGTAAAGTAATCATCCAACGTTCGTTCATTTCGCTGATACTCGATAGGTTCTCTGGCGTGCTTCAAGCAGCCGTCTACCAGTAAGATATTACGTTTTCCACCGGGAGCGAAAATTTCAAACCAAAGTTTTATGAGACATCTTGGAGGCGTCGGCGGGAGAAGCGGGTGGCGGTGGCTGTAAGCGTCACCAGACTTTCTGATGGGAACGCCAGCGCTCAAAGAACCAGGTTCATAATTGATGGCGTAATCACCCTCCCTATCGCACTTTATGGCTTTCTCGTCTTCCCTGATGTGCCATCGACCACCAAAGCATTTTATCTTAACGAAGAGGTATGTTATCGAAGACAGGGTCAATTTTCTCAGTCATACTATCTTCCTTACAGGAACGAGCTCTTTCCCAAAACCGTCTTGATTCGGATGTTATCCATCATAGCCTCTCTTGGGATCTTGCGAAGAGAGTACTTAGCCGCTGGCGTTGGTACGGATGTAGTCTCCTCGTAAGCATCTTCCGTTTCTCGACCAGTATGGATAAACGCAGTTTGTACAGTTCGCCATCTCAGGGGAGACTGAAAGTTTCGGCTCCAACAATCTGATGGGCCAGTGGCTATCTGCCATAGGAGGTTATACAGTCGAACAAGTTGGTGGGAACATTACGTGCCTGCATCTTTCTTTCCCTGATACATTTTACTATCAGATTACTATCCGAGTGGCGTCACAGCTTTCGGAATTGCTTCCACACTCGTCTGCGCTACCTGGACAGATTACACACGAGCAAGATGGCCCGTGCTCGTGTACATGTGCTTCTGCTGCACAGTCGCTGCGATCTGTATCCTTGTTTGGAATAGTCCCACAGGGTTGAAATTCTTTGCATATTGTTCGTGATCTCCGCTGATTCAGGGTACTGCTTTGCGAACTTAGTTCGTCCCCTCTTAGATTTCGCAGGAGCCTCGTATGCTGGACAAGCTACCACATTCGCGTTAGCTCCATCTTCGCGACTTCTCGGATTGACTCGTGCTGATTTGGTTTTTTGTTCTGCAGTTGGGCAAACCAGATATGCGCAGATGATTATCAGGAACGTGCTATCGTGCTTGCTTCCATGAAGTGATTTCTCTTTCGTTTGATCCCCCCAAAACTGACTTGGACATCAAGCATGTGGAACAACGCGGTCAATGCCTGGTGGCCACTTCTCTTCTACCCTGCTACGGATGCGCCTCGTTTCAAAAAGGGCATGATCGCAATGATCTGCACGTGTGGCGCGACATTGGGGGTGACTTGGCTGGTCTGGTACCTGGAGCGGCGAGAGCAGCGTTTGGCAGCCAGGAAACATGTGGACCAGATGAAAGAGGATAGTCCCGTCGAAAACGGCAAGCCCTTAAAGGACGAGTAATAGCAAAGTTGTTTGCGTGTCAGACTTTTCAATGCACCCTCAAACTGTCTGATTCATGAAAAAAAAACTGTACGGATACAATGATGCTGGGAACTACAACAACGGTCTGGAACGGGTGACCAGTCACCCTAAGTCTACACGATGAGAACAACATTTGATGAGCACAGCACACCAGAATGTATTAATTGAAATCATAAAAAACGGTAACACAAGCGTCACTGAAAACAATTTGAAGGCAATGAAGCATAGTCGGACAGGAAACCAACAAAGCAACTGCCACTTGGACGGATAAATCCAAGAAAGGTATGGGGAAATAAAAGGATATCGACATCACTGGGGTATATTTAGTGATTGACAACCTGCAGACATTAAGCATGTTGTGAAAGTTCAACAAGAGTTCAACATGCCTTGAGCATTCCTGTGTAAGGATCGTCCTCCGATTCATCATGCGCAGAAGTCGCCAGATTACCAGGGGGGACAGGAAGGTTCATTGATTGAGAAATCGGGGAGATCGGGACATCCTGGTTCTGCATGTAATAGTGCGAGGGAAGAACTGGAGATTGAGATGGGTCATAGACGGGATTTGGCAGGAGAGGTGGAACAGGTTTTCGGTTCGAATATTTGCGAGTGAGGTTGGCACCACCCGTACTGACTGTACTAGCCGCATCGGTTGCACCACTCGATTCAACGGTGCCACCTGCGTTAGCTGTGCCATCCGTGTTAACTGTGCCACCAGTATTAACCGTGCCACCCGTGTTGACTGCAGTGTCGAGGTTATAGACGGGGCCTCGAGTGGGAGGGACATGATAAGCAGCCGGCTGCTGTTCATATCCTTGTGAGCCGTAGTAACCGTACTGAGGAACGGCCGGTGGCATGTATACAGGCTGGGGACCGTATCCAAAGCCATGACCGTGACCTGAGGAACTAACACTAAGCCTGTACTTGTTCGTTCCCTTCTCCTCGTCTCCATAATGCTCCCTTACCACCGGATCGAACGTGATAGCATCGGCGACGTCGCTCTCAAGGCGATCGCGCCGACGACGACGGAGAGCGTACGTGACCACGACGAAGATAATGACCAAGATCACGATTCCAACTACGGCAAATACTCCACCCTCCAGAGGCTTGTTCTCAAGGAATGATTTGGGAGCTGCAGCGATGGCAGTCGCTGAAGTGGACACGGTACTAGTCACGTAGATGATGCTGGTGCCAGAGGTTGAAGTCAAAACGATTAGAGAGGCGGATGATGTAGGTGCAGGTGCAGGTGTGGACGTGGGTGTAAGCACGGGTGTAGGTGTAGGTGTAGGCGTCGGCGTAGAGTTCGGTGTGACTACCGGCGTGGATGTTGTCAAAGGAGTGCTCGTGCTGGTGGTCGAACCGGTTAGTCTGCTGGCACCACTTGCAATACATGTGTAACTTACGAGGGAGTAGGGGTACTACTAGAGCTGGAAGTGAGGGAAGGGGTGGAAGAGGTGGAAGGGCTAGAAGAGAGGAAGGGTCAGGAGTTGACTCGTGAATATAGTAAAAGACTCTAACGTAGAAGCAGTGACAGTCGCCCCGCCACCAAGCACGCTGCCTAAAACACTAGTGAATCCATCAAAAGGGCTTTCAGGTGATGATGTAGTGCCAATGGTTGGAGGGTTGGTCCCGCCGCTTGGTGTCACTTTAGCTAGCAGCTCACTGTTTCACGACGAACAAAGTCTTACAATAAGCTTCCTACTGCTGAGGGCGTCAGAATATCACTTCAAGATGGCAAGAAATCGCTCACATAAATTCCGTCGGACAAAATGAGTATCATGTGCATCCATGAGGAGTCGTAGATGATTTGACAGAAACGAGCGGTGATTGAGTGAGTGTGTGGATGAGAGGATTTCTTTGAACTTTTGTTGTTAGTTCCTTTGGAGCAAGCTATCAGCAAAGCTTTGCCCAGATGATGAATGAAGAGATGTGAAGAAACCAGAAAAGACTGTGGTGAAGTTAGTTGTTGTTGAAAGTTGAAACGATGACAATCGAGTTGAAGGGTGCTTCCCATCACATAATAGCACTAATTTCAAAATTTCAACGGTTAATCACTTTTTGCAATCCTGGACCATTCGTTGGCATCACAACTCAATAGAAACAATAGTGTCGACGTGGGTCTATGAGACGGGAAAACCATGATACTGGACTCGAGAACGTGTTAATAAAAAGACAACGCTTATAAGGGCGCCTGACAACAATAATCATAGTTGAGAATACAATAATAACTTCACAAGACACGAAGGGTATATGAACTCAAGAAAGGATACACCAAAAGTCCTCTTATCAATGAGTTAATCTGGACGAAAGACCATAACTTTCCCCAGCCTTTCTCTCCATTATCTCCCGAAGAGGTCCAAGCAATCGTGTGAATGCAGGCGCGTCCAACGCTGCAACCTTTAACTTCGGCTGCGACGCGTCTGTCCGACGCACCGCACTCACTGTTGCCGCTCTAGGCTCAAGTCTAAGTAAAGATAGCTCTGTTGAGGCGAACGTCAACTATTTATGAACCGATAACAACACCACAACACTCACCGCCAAAATAGTCACCCTTTTTCAGCCGACCCACTGTAATCTCGCGGTACTCACCCTCTTCTCCTCGTTGTGTCTTAGTAACAATGGCCTCGCCTTCTTCTACGAAAAAGAAAGTATCTCCCATCTCTCCTTCCCGAAGAACCGCTTCTCCATCGGGGTGTACTCTGCTGACCAGGGCGTCTGCTATTTTGCTACGCTCTCCCGACTCAAGGGAGGACAACAGGGGGACACTAGCGAGGAACTGCTCATACATCGTCCTGCGCCTGTGAGCCGCTTTCAAAATGATTGTGCGGAAAGTGGTACGGTCAAGAGCCCAGACAGTGGAAGGCTCAATTGCCTGCACGGTTGCCGCACGCGGATGTCCATACATCAACGCAAGCTCGCCGAAAGAAGCTCCAGGCTTGCACTCTGAAACTTTCCGACCAAAGACGGGATGATATCCTGGTTGGAGGAATTTTTCGGGCTGCGAGGCATGATTTTGCGTATCTGCTAGCCAAGTCGGCGGTAGCGGTCCAGGATGGATGTAGCAATAGAAAAGTCCCGATTCGACGACGTAGAAGTATTCTCCTACATCTCCCTGCAGTATAACCACATCATTTGCGGCGAGCTTGCGCTCTTGCATTGCATTTAACACGCCCGTCTCCTGCTCCTCGTCGAGATCACGGAAAACCAAATTATCTGCAGTGGATGCTTTTATGCGGCGAAGTTGGTCGGCTGTCTTGGGGTATACGGGAAGTGGATCGTCATGATCGCTGTCAACCGCGATAGGCTCAGCACTGACTGACACACGGCGTGCCAGTATGGTGGCCGATGGTGCATGGAGATAATCTCCAAGGCCAAGAGAGAGTGAATTAGACATGGTTGGCGTTGAAGACACATCATACCGTGTGAATGCGTTAGGATCAGCTGTCAATGGCGAGGTTGGGGGCAGTTCACGTCCATCGAGGGTGAATGTCGGGGCAACCATGCCATTGGAAGCCCCGTTGGTGTCTAAGGATAGAAGTGCATTTCCTGGCACATTAAGCGTCCCAAACGGACTGTGCGAGAAACTTGCATGATGCGATGCGCGACGCTGGGGGACCTGAGAGAATGGAGAAATGGGGGTGGGGGTGGAGTTACGAGGGCCCATATTAACAGGAGAGTCGAGATAGAACTCGGATGGTAGTTCATGGACTGTGGAGAGACCACGCTGGTGCAGGACGTCTCGTATTCGGGTCCGCTGTTCTTCCAGCCGAGACTGAAACCAACTAGCGCAGAATTGGAGGGCGTCTTTAGGTTGCACCCGACATACGTCGCGAGTCAAGTCTTGAATAAGACTATCAAATGTGGACATTACTCTAAATTGTAAGATCCTCGCTGTTCAGAACGGTGATCAATGGGGCTTGTTAGATATGCGTTATGCTGGATGTGTGAGTTTGTTTTATAGTCGTGAGCCACTTGGTAAACTTTTGGCAAGGCACCGAAGGAAACAAAAGACGCGTAACCACGTGTCATTACCTTTCTTGTTCGACCCGAAAACATAAAATCTTCATTGAAAGCCCTTTCATAAAATGTCGCGTGTTGTCCTTCTCGGATCAGACAAACGTGTGCTCCGCCTGACACTTGTCCTATCTAGATCAATTTCAATGATCCTCCAACTTCAGAGATGCTGTGAATTACAAAGGGCAACTCTCTTTTGGAACCTCTCCTTGTGGGACTAACCGACATGATAGACTACTCCTCGTGGCTGCAACGTAAAAACAGGTGCTGTGTTACAAGACTAGTGATTACAACATTCTTCTATCCCCGAGGTGACAATACATATGACAGGAACAAGGCAAAGGGGCGAAACATCGAATACATTAAAAAAATTCTACACCATCAGAAACCTTGCAGTACTATCGTGCATGTTGCTGATACTGCGCAGGAAACCCTCCAGGGTATCCAGGCGCGACCTGTTGACTCATATGAGCTTGTGCATGGGCATGTGCCTGAGCCTGAGCCATTGCCTGAGCCTGGGCCTGGGCTTGAACTTGTGCCTGCATCCTTGCAGCGTCTTGACTACTGTACATGGGCTGCTGTTGGCCATGTGGATAGACTGACGACGGGGTTATTGAGATTTGAGACGACGACCCTGGTGGAGGGATTGGATTGTGGGGTTGCTGCTGCTGTTGTTGCTGTTGCTGTGCATGTGCATGAGGATGAGGAAAATTGAATTGAGGGGGTGGCATTGACCCTGGAGTTGAACTCGGGCCGTATGTAGGGGCCACGGTGGAGGTAAAGTAAGGGTGCGAAAGGGCTTCAGTGGCCGTCATACGCTTGGCGGGATCAAATTGAAGTAGACGTTCAAGTAAGTCGAGGGCTGCATTGCAGTCAGTCCAGGCCCTATAAGTCATTAGGCCCCATTAATTACCTTGTGGAGAAGCCTTAGGAAGCACTTGGGCAAAGGAAATCTTTGGGTATCTTGGGTATTGCTTTAGGGTAATTTCGGGCTGGAAGAAAAATGAGCATTATCCACTTCTCGCCATAATTCAGGAATCTCACTGATTCAGTCGCTATTTTCCTCAGGACTCGATCGTCTGGCGTGCCGACAATGCGCATGATATGAAGTAACTGATCCTGGTTGTCACGACCACGGAAAAGAGGCACTCCAGAGATCATCTCCGCGAAGATGCAACCGCAGGACCACACATCAATTGATGTATTGTATGTACGTGATCCAAGAAGTACATCTGGTGCACGATACCATAGTGTGACAACCTAACTCCACACCTTAGCTGTGGTGCAGAGACCCACTATACATGAACGCACCTCGTTGGAAAATGTGTTCACCGGCACGCCAAATGCGCGTGCCAGACCAAAGTCACCAAGCTTCAACTCGCCCTTGCGATTAATAAGAAGGTTCTGGGGCTTCAGGTCTCGATGCAAGACCCTGTTCTCATGACAAAATGATGTGCCCTTCAGGAGCTGGTACATGAAACTTCGCACGGTCATAGGGTCAAGCGCTCCGCGATCGCCGTGCTGGTCCATATACTTCTTAAGATCTTGATCGCAGTACTCGAAGATAAGGACGAGCTTTGTCTCCGTGTGTATAACATCGTGGAGGCGGACGATATTGACATGCTTGAGTTCCTTCATGAGGGAAATCTCACGGATGGCGGTGGAGGGTGTCCCTTCCTCTGCGTCAAGATGTATCTCCTTCAGTGCGACGATCTCATTAGTCGTTCGCGAACGACCCTAGTACTCATATAAATTTCAAAGAAATATTTAAGGAGAAGCTGTCGTGACGTACTTTGTAGACGGTGGCGTATGTACCTTCGCCTGCATAAGCAGTGGTTAGGGTACAATCCTCAACATCGTGCATCACAGATCATACCAAGTTTCTCTAACTACTTTATGTCAGCTTGCATGTCAAAAGCACGACAGAATGTTTACCTGAATGTAATTCATCGTTGGTCCCGCCACTGCAGCAGATTACCTTGGGTGTTAGGATATCGTAGAACGGTAGAACGTAACAAACTCGGATGAGAAGATCGTGAGCAGGCCCTTCCTGTCCCTTTTTCACACAACGATAGACAGTAAATACCAAGAACGGAAAGTTTTGTCGGGCTGGCGTGAGTGCTGACTTCCTAGTAGTTCGAGGTGCCTTCGAGTCACTTCGAGGAATTAGGCTAAGTGAGACTGAACTTCTTCAACTGGAATCCAGGAGTTTTCTCTTGCTCCCGATTGGGAAATGCATTAGCCAGCACGTGACTTGCAGAATATTTGTTTCTCCTCGTCTATCAACTTCAGGTATATGCCTGTTTCATATTACTGTCCCAGATCGTTCTAAAAACTGTTTGAGCAGGTAAAAAAAAAGACAACGGCCATGTCCAGTGTCCCCCCATTAAAAAAAGCGCGCACTAAGTCATCTTCGCGCAAAGCCAAGCCATCGATATCACAGGCCACCCAAGATGAAGTCCTCATAGACTCGGAACCTGCATCCACTGTATGTATTCAGCACTGTGACAAAAAAAAACTTGATGTACATTTGTTATAGTCCGCATCCAAAAATGCCCGGTACGCCGAGCCCTCATCTCTCGCGGTACACTCTGGCGTCGAGCTCGGGGAAGATCAAGCAATGGAAGACCTTGCTGCATCTCAGATCGAGGGCGTACTAGACGCTGATCTTGCGGAGCTCTCTCTTGGCCAGCGTCTCGCGACAATATCAGGTGACGCACGCCCCTCCTCATCAGACTCTGAAGAGGAACAACTCCAATCATCACGAAAACAAAAGCAGGACACGCCGAACGTCATACCTGCACATTCACTTACTCGGACACTTATACAAGCGCTCCACTCGTCTGATTCGAAACTGCTTGAGACTTGTCTTGCGCATTCTGACCCAGCAATGGTGCGGAATACCGTGCGGCGGTTACCGCCCCAGCTAGCGGTCCCGTTGCTCACGGCATGCGTAGAGCGTCTCGGCCGTGGTCCACGCGCAGCAAGCATGAAAGGCGGTGGCGGGGGTGCCAGTTCGCAGCGCGGAATTGGACTTATTACATGGGTCAAGACCGTACTTGCAGTCCATAGTGGTCACCTTATGACGGTACGTTTCTGAAATCAAGAAAAATCGCTATCCGCATATATTACAAACCAATTTCAATTCCATCTATAGATGCCCGACCTCGTTTCACGGCTCTCAGGTCTACACGCGACACTGACTTCCCGGCTGGCATTACAAGATTCTCTTCTTTCACTAAATGGCCGACTAGATATGGTGCTCTCACAGATTGAGATGCGTTCTTCCGCAGCACCAACAATCCTCGCACCCCATAAGAACGGGTTGTCTACAACATCACAAGGCGAAAGGCAGCCAACAAGATACGTCGAAGGCGAGAGCGAGGAGGAAGGCATGGAAGCTGGTGTGGAGAGCGGAGAGGATGAAGGAAGTGTAGAGGATATAGAGCTCGGTGGTGAAAGTGAAGCTGAGGAAACGGACGAAGAGGGGAGTAACGAGGAAGAAGATTCAGACAGCGAAGGACCTACATTAAACGGGTTCATTGATGATGAAGCAGAAGAGTTCGAGGACGAGGAAGAGGATGATGAGAGTGAATAGTATACACCGGCTTCGCGCCTTGCACGTCTAGATGATCTACTGAACATCTAATCCAGTATACACACCCTTTGAATGCAGAGCTGGCCGTGCAGAAGTCATTTTAAAACAAAATAAATATCTGATTATTATAATTTGTTATAAATCATCCACCCACTCTCCGCCTCTGACACGCTGAATATAAGTTTTCACCCAAGGAGCACGCCTTCCATTCTGCACTTGCAACACAGCTGTCATCTCCTCCCTCTTTTTGTCTTCTTCACTCGGTTCCTGGCCCTCCGATCTCTCAACCTCCCGTTCCATTACATTCGCTTCTGTTCGCAAACGCCCTTCCCTTGTCTTCAAGGCTACGCGCCTGCGATTCCATACCTCCGGATGGAGAGTCAGCACAAGCAAGCTTACGAAGGTCATCACCTTGTGCATCAGGCTCGGCGGCGAAGATGGGGTACGCGATGAAGACGTTGGCCAGAGTGACTTGTTCTCTGTATCGATGCCTATGCGCGCGAGGAGTTCCAAAAGAGAGGTAGAGTTGCTGGGGGGCGGAGGACCCTGCGCTTCTTGATTATGTATTGATATGTCAGACTGGGCAGGCGGTGCAGGAGTCGCTGGGGGACCTCCAGGTTGACCCTGACCTGGAGCCTGTCTTGCAGCCTCCGCGGCAGCGGCAACACCAGCTAAGCGCTCCCTCTCCCGATTAAGTGGTCCGAGCACAACGTTCCGCACATTCGTCCACATCTCATATATTATCCATGCGATGATGCACAAACCCAAGAGCGGCTTGCGTGTTGGGGAGAAAAAGTACAGCAGGAGTAGAGTTCGGAATAATACCATCACCAAGGGGGCCAATAGTACACGGACCGGGATATCCGGAAGTATCTGGGCTTCACCTCCGGGTGCTGGGATGTTCGCTCCGCCCAACTGACCATTAACATCAACGTCAACATTAGCGTTCGGGATAGCACGAAGTGTGGGAAGACCGAGTTGCTGGAGGAGGTTGTTTAATTGATGTGGTACAGTCTCATGGGAAGAAGTGGTCGGTGTTGGCACCGGTGGCTGAGGCAATGGTTGAAGGTGCAATATTGAAAACGTATATGTCAAGACCTTCAGAGCATGTACTTGCTCAACGGTAGGCCTCGAACCTGGGTTGCGGAGGGAGAGGTATGACTTGCCACTAATAACAATTAATTGAAGCACATCTCACTATGAGCAAAAATAGGCTCACTCAGTCATCATCAATTCGTATTGTAGTCCAGAGCCATCACCATGCTGAGAGAGAGGGTATGGTTCATCCAAGACTGAAGGCCAAACGTATCCCTTCTTCTCAAGGTTCTCCAATGCAACTGTGCGAGATGGAATTATTGAACATTGTTGGTGCTCAATGAGCCCTCTAGTGAGCTTTGATAGAGCAGCTTGATGGATATAAGCAATGAATTGGTGCTCCAAAGGTAAATGTGCGAAAGGATGAGATTGCATCCCGGGAGACGCCGAGGGGGATGTTGGAAGGAACGTCTCTTTGTGATAAGGGAAATTTCCCTTTGTCGGATGTAGGGATTGTGGTGGTTGTTGCACTCGAAGATGGGGGAGCACCAGACCAACCGGAGGGATGCACTGATAAATGGACGATGCGTTGCTCATCTGCCGTCTAAAGCTGGGATCAGATGTTGTCTGCAAAAGTCGTAAACTCCTCTTTACCTTCCATATATCTGAAATTTTCTCCTGGTCCCCGAGGTAGCGCCCCCTCCAGATTATGCGCTGTCCCTCGACACGGGGCTGTCCGGGGCAGGACGCTGAAATTGCATGTTTGACATCGAGCACGGTAGCAGAAATAGAAACTTCAATAGTAAAAGAGAGAGAATAAGTGGGGAGCTCGATGCGAACAGTGACGAGGGACTCGGACATTGTTGTTATGGTGGTGCCAGAGTGATGAGTACTGCGTTCTCTGACACTGCATAGTTCTCGGCTACGTGGAACTCGTCCACGTGACTACCCCATTGGATCAAATCTCAATTTACTGGTGGCTGACTCTGAATGGTCGATGTCCTTGAATCCTCCAAAGTCGTACGACGTCCTGAACAGTGTACATTGCAGGTATACACATCATGCACGCGACATAATACGTCTTAGACTCGCAGGTCGCATTAATATAAGGAGAGTATTAATACTGCTTAACGTAAAGTGTCAACGCGACTCACTCCACGCATTGGCACCGTGCACTGGTGTGCAACATTAATATTGATGTTCCTTCCTCTTCAGTGTTCTCTTCTTTCCCTTACCAGTGCGCGATTCCTTTCTCTCTATTTGAATTTTGCTCATTCATGCTGATCATGGGTCTTCGCGGGTCATCAAGGAGGTGCCCAGGAGTAGCTCAGTTACGGTATACATTCATATTCAAGTGTTATCCTTGTACTGCACCGTCAAATTAACTTTCGCCGGGTATTTCACATCCTGAATTACCTTTCGGCTGTGCAGGCAGTCTGATTAACGCAAACCCACAGAGACTATTGGAGAATAATCTGAAGGTGGCCTTCGTTGTTTTCAAGTACGACTTTCTATATCATGGACACGAATGTATTCTTATTTATTTCTAGGACGTTGCGGTGCCCATTCGCTTGCGTCACAAAACGTGTCAGCTCAATTGGCCCTTGGAGCATGATCCTGAATGTCGCAATTGCATTGTACTGCTAAGTACAGAGGACGGACAGGGGTTGTTGAGTTCCTTATAATGGTCGTGTCTTTACGACGCCCTTCATATATGCCAGGTGACTCGCCCGGAGAGTTTTTTGTATTGGGAACTCGTGCCACCCAGTGATGGTATCACCTCAGGACAAGAAGGACAACGATAAGGCCGAATCAAGTCCATTGGCTGTCCGTCTGGACGAAGGCATTTGTCCTACATCGAGTGTATGCGATGCGATGTTCTTTGCGTGCCTTTTGTGGGTTGGATACTTGAACGGCGTCTCACGTTCTACTTGGTATCATGGCACGATTCCTGTCTCCTGCACATTTGGACCTTTAATTATAATGATCCGCAGGACATACACGTTGCGTCTCAATGATAAAGACACACCATTTGCTGTTCTGTCCGGCATCGAGTGACAACTGCATTGCGTTAATCTAGTCCCATGTCCAGCCCTGCAATTGCGCTGTCCTAAAGAGGTCTGACGCGTACATTATCCAAGTACGATCCATGAGGCTTCAGACCAGAACAACACTACACTTTAGTCCTTCGTGAACTTTCTAACGAAGTTGCTTAGACATGCGTCACGATGATGGGTGAGCTGTGGACTAGTATGATCACACAGATGATCTTGAAGCAAGTAGCAGGAACGAGTTTTCAAGGTCGCAAAGAGAGATATACGATGCGGACTTGTCGACATGGTGGAGCATAGTATTTAAATACATTAACAGACAATGTGTACAATCACGATCCGACGGCACATGAGCTTTATTTCACCCCTTCACCATTTGTACTCGATCATAATCTGCAGCGTCTTTCATCAGAGACAAACGGCTTCCGCATGAGATCAGGCTCTATCTTGATTTACTATATAGTAGGTTCACACATAAGGTGTGCTGATCACGTCGAGAGAACAATTTTGCATCGTTCTGATGTTAAATTGAGGCATTCTGCATTGTGCCAGTCCAGAATAAATAGCTCCTCTCCCAGTCAATTATACTTATGGTATGCAAGAATGGGGGGGAAAGCATATGAAAGTACATGAACAGAAATGCACGATAATGATAATGTTCCCTAGCTATTAAAACCCTGAAATTTCCAATCATCCGGAAGCTCAAGATAGGGATGTCGTCTCAGGTGCGAAGCAGATGCGCGTTCGTCAGGATTGCTGTAAGATTATAAGTTAAGTGGGATCATTCGAACGAATTGAATAGCTTGCATTGCAAAACATAAATCCTGGAAATTGATTGCAGGATCTGACAAGGGAACTTCAGGGAGAATGGGTGGGCGCTTATTTTGTTTTACCTGCATACAGAAGATAAGTAATTGCTCGTGTAATGCAAAGGCACAAGACAGACTTTGATGGTGACCATGATTAGTTCATCCTCATACCAGGGTCGCTTTCCTGTCAGCATTTCCAACAAAACACATCCCAGACTCCAAATATCGGCCTTGACGCTGTATCCTTCCTTCTGATGGCAGATGACTTCCGGTGCCATCCAAGGTAGTATCCGTTGTACACTGGTGAATGGAAGTTTATGTATTTTATCCTCCCTTGTAGAGAACTCTAGATCAGAAAGCTTGCAACTCCCATCTCTCTCAAGTAGGACGCTGTCGGCTTGCAGATTCTGACCGGAATTAATAAGAATCCGTCAAACATGTCAAATAGTCCGAAACGGGTCACATACCCGGTAGATTATTCGTCGTGAATGGAGGTATCTCAAACCTCGAAGTATTTGAAGCATGAAAAATTTCGAGACATCCTCGCTGAATCTGCCCTTTTCGCGAAGACAATAGCCCAATGCACTACCCGACACGTACTCCATAAAACTACTGGAGTCAACACACTACCAGGTGGTTACATTGCTAGAAACTCACATATTCATAACCCTTGAATGATCTACAAAGCACTCTTCAAACCCGAGATATTGGACGATATGACGATGGTTCAGATCTACCAGTAGCTTGCTCAGTCTTTGAACAGAATGTACGAAAGTGGCTTGACACTGGTCGTTCTCGTCTCGGATGATTTGAGGACTATCAACTTGTTTGACGGCAACCAGTTGTGACTTGCTCGTGGTCATGCTAAGAGCCAGGTAGACGCGGCCATAAGTTCCTCTACCAATGAGCTCACCGCGAATCCATTTGATGGGAACTGTTGATAAAAACGCTGAACGATTATTTTCCAATACTGTAAGAGCTTTTTGAACCATACCATTGCTACAGCGAGCCCGACTGTCTGAAACATTTCCTGCAGGCCTTGGACCCATAACACGACAGCTGGGGATTGGATGAGAAACTTGCTTATTCGGCATCACAGGTAAGGGACGCGAGGGTTCATTCTGACGCCATGAACCCGCTTAAGGTCCTTATAATAGTGACAGCAGTTCAACAGTGAACCTGGGGGTGGAGCGCTCGTAGCACTGCAGTGGGCCACAGATAGTACTGTGGCAGTGGCGAGTTTGAGTTTAATTTGCTGATTCCCGTGAACGATCCTAGGACCTAGTAGGAGCAGGCTAAGTAGCTGTATGATTTTCATTTGCATGATGTGGCAGTACAGCTGGACTGTACGCTTAAAAAATGACAATGGTTCTGCCCGACTTGTGCCCGAGGGGCTTCACTACTCTGGGAATACCCGCTGTCTTCAACCACGTAATCAACTCCTGACAATCACCACTTTTCCACAATTCCATGTTAGTGATTAACCAACTACATCGTACTGTCGACCCCTTCATCGATCAAGGTATCAGACAACTTTCGTTGCCTGTCGAAAATGGTCGTTGTCAAGGACATCCGAGTATCTTGGTCGTCATTGAACTGCGGCGCCCTACTCCATTTTGTTCGAGCATGCTATACTTGTTAATCACGCGCAGTCCAACGGGGATCAAGACTGTACAGATTTATACTCTTATCTTATCAGGCAGAGCATAGCCGTTCCCCACAGTATCATTGTCAATGGATCAGGCGGGTGTCTGTCATTGCTCTCGCTTGATCCTCGAGAGATCAATATCAATACTCCAAGTCATTGGTTCTGACGACAGTACTCGAAGTCTGCAGCGTGACGCCAGTATACTAACGTATAAAATGCGATCAAACTGCGAAACGCACTCTTACTTACACTGTAGGCATTTGTTCTTAACAAGAGTACGGTGTGGCTCCGAAGGGAATTTAAGCACTATTTCTATGATACATTCTCGAGTATACACCGCAATGAAGTGCATGTCGATATCGGCTAAACAATCGGTACCTCCAAAGTGCGACCTGCAGCAGAGCTTTTATAGGCCAATTCGATCATCTCGATCACCTGCGTCGTTTCTGCCCACTTCACCTTAAGTTCCTCGTTATTACGGATAGCACCAGCAAGATTCTTGAAGAGGCCAATATACTGGCCGGGGGCATCTGAAGGCCAGCTATAGATAACCATCAGCGCCGCCAGGAAATACGATCGAAAAGAACGATTACGTTGTCTTTGTTATCGTTACGCCATCATCAGCGATATTTTCGACGATGCCGTAGATGGACTCAGGCTCCTGTCCATAACTTGGTTCAAGGATACTGCTGACAGAGGCCATCGCTTTCAACTGTTCCTCTTGCGTATCAAGACCATACTTGGTGAACATTCCCTTTGTGCCACGGACTGAGTAGCGTAGCTGAGGGGACTTCGCTGATAGGATGTGCGAGCGGAGAAGCACAGTGAACTGGTTTGGGAACGGAGTCCCAGACTTGTAGTGTAGATAGATAGTGAACTGTAGATACACATTAAAAATGCTGCTAGAAAGCCACGATGGTATCGGACTTACGATGTCGTCAACTTCCGGTTTCGTGACGCCACGGATATTTTGGATGAACGCAGTGATTTGCGCGGGCCGACCAAAGAGTTTGAGAGCTTGATCTAGGAGATGTGAACCCAGGTCATACACAGCGCCCGCACTATCCTTCCAGGAAGACCGGATTCCTGCACGGTAACGATCATAGCTAAAGAAAGGTGAGGAAATCAAGTTAGTTTGATCGACGATGTTCCTCACTGAGACTCAAATTCCAGTAGGTTACCGAGGGAGAGAGGTGAAGAGGCAGGAAGTGAAAGCAGGCGCTTCAGCGCAAGGTGATCCGAGTCCCAGCGTCGATTTTGATAGCCATAGAGAACAAGGCCTTGGGCTTTGGCAATGGCTGCAAGTTCATTTGCTTCCTCGACTGTCTTAGTCACAGGTTTGTCGACGAGAACTGAAGTGATTGAGAGTGATTTCTGCGTAGAAGAAGAGTTTTGCTTACCATGTTTTCCGGCTTTAAGAGCAACTTTGGCAAATGGGTAATGTGTATCATTTGGGGTTCCTACAATAACAAGCTCGATTTCACGGTCGTTCACAACCTCTTCGATTGACCTGTGTATTTTTATTGTAACTCCAAAGCGCTGCTGCACCTTTCCTCCGGAAGACTGTGGGTTACGCTCCAGGACAGCAGTAAGAGTGAAGAGTTCGGGCAAAGCGAGCACGAATGGAACATGAAACGTGAGCCCAGCAAGACCCACTCCGAGGACACAGGTCTTGATCGGACTGAGTGCCATGAGAAGAGTAGTTAAGATAGAATAGCCTTGGTACTGTCATGTCCACTTGAATTTTATATAGAACTTTCGGACGGCCCGACTCTGGAGCAGGTCTGGAGTGTGACCATGACATGATGTGAGAAGAGTAGGTACTGGAGTTCTCAGTCAGTCGGCGGCCCGGAAATGTCATAGTCACGTGGTTTTTGTTTTTGCGAAGTCACGTGGCTATGGTTGAACGCGGCTGACATCGATCAATTGAGTCTGACTGCTTGTGAGTTTGTACATTCCGGAAGACATATTGGTGCGTATATATCATTTCACGACTCCTCATGTGGACGCCTCTGTTTTTCGTTCTCCTTGCTTCCTCGCGGGCATTCGCCCAAGTTCCTCTTCCCGATCCCCCTTTCTTGCCACAGAACGCGACAGCTGGCGCGTCTCCGTCCTCTGCTGCCATTCCCAATTCGCAATGGTCTTCGTTGCTTGGAAATCTGCTTTATTTCTATGAAGCACAACGCAGTGGCAAGTTGCCCAGCACGAATCGAGTCAAGTGGCGAAACGACAGTGCTCTCACCGATGGGCAGGACGTCAAGTTGGATCTGACTGGCGGGCTTTATGATGCGGGCGGTAAGTATCGCGTGCACCATGCAGTTACTCTATATTGACAGTTCTGTTAGACTATATCAAATGCACTTTCCCCCTGGTAAGTTTCCTCGGCTTGTGCTATATACCACTCCTTCAACTCAGCTCCAGTCATTCACTGTGATGTCAATTTGTTGGGGTGCAACGGATTTTGGAAAAGGTTCGTGCAACACTTGGGAAATGCTCGCTCGCCAATAATGTTGTATAGGATACGATCTGGCAAACCAAACCCCTTACCTTGATGACATGCTCCGATGGAGTCTTGACTGGCTCATTAAAGTCAGTCTTGTATTCACGCATCAAACAATCAAGTCATCAACTCAAGATAATTGTTATAGGCACACCCCGCTAACAATACCTTGTTCGTCCAGGTAGCTAATGGTAAGCATTCGGTCTGGATGTCCATTCTCCGCTCACATATGACTGCAGAAGAGGTTGACAACGCGTACTGGGGAGGCGACCGCAACATTCCTTCGCCACGCCCTTCATATCAAATCAACGACACTAGGTACTCTTCCACTGTGTATCATTGAATCATTCGTTAACATAGTTTTAGTCCTGGAACGGATGCTGCTGCAGGAACCGCTGCGGCTTTCGCGGCTTGCTCCAATCTTTACGCCAACCGCATCTTCTCGAACTCTTACTCTGGCCCAGCTACACTTCAAAATGCAACATACGCTGCAACCCTTCTCGAACATGCCAAACAACTTTTTACCTTTGCTACTAGCGCCTCTGGTGGACAGGCAGTATACCAACGTTCCGTGCCTGAGGTAGGCAAAGCGTACGCTTCATCTGGATATGGAGATGAGCTCGCCATTGCTGCACTCTTCTTGTCTTGGGCAACCAACTCCTCTTCGTTGTATCAACAAGCTCAAGGTTATTGGCAGCAATATAGCCTCGGCAGTTATGATGGAGTATTCAACTGGGATAACAAGACACCTGGCCTCTCTGTTCTTTTTGCACAGATTGCACAAGCAAACCCAAGCTTTGGCGGCAATGCATCCACCTGGAAGACTGTGGCCGAGAAGTACTTTGATGGAATCGTCTATGGCGGTGGACCAGGATATCAAACTCACGGTACTACAATAAAATTGTTTGCTCGTTTTCCAGCTAAACATTATTTAAAGGCGGACTGCTATACTACAAGGGTGACTCGGATGATGCTAGCTTAAATCCGTCGTTGAACGCCGCTATGCTGCTAACGCGATATGTCCCACTGGCATCGACTCAAAGCAGGAGAAATGATTATCGGGTGAGATCTTGGTTCAATCGCTAATGATCAGCGCGAGACTCAACCATTACCTTTGACAGAACTATGCCAACGCACAACTTAACTATGCTTTGGGTAACAATCCAATGCAAGGTGAACATGGATAATATAATTTTATCATTCTGGCTCACTCTGCCATAGTACCCTACATCGTCGGTGCCAACCCAAACTCGCCTCAAAATCCCCACTCCGCGATGGCAAGCGGTGGCAATAACATAAGCAATATCAATACTTCCCCGCCACAAGAAGCCTATATTCTTTATGGGGGCGTTGTTGGTGGTCCAGACAAGTACGATCGTTTCTTCGACATCCGCGCGGACTGGCCAGAAACTGAGGTCGCACTGGACTACAATGCACCAATGCTCACACTCGCTGCAATGCACGTACTCAACGACACTGCCGACCCGTTCTACACATCGCTGAAAGCGGGCGCATATGAATCCAAGAAACCACAGGGCATGCCCTGTGATGAAGCATATACAGAAGGATGTGGTGGTCCACAGCTAAGCCAGGGTGGAAAAATCGCTCTCGGGGTTATTCCTGGCCTCACTGGCCTTTCCATCTTTTCTCTTCTTGTATGGTGGGCTATGATCTCTCTTAGAAGAGAACACGATCCCCTTTATTGACTTTTTACTTACTAATCCTCTAGATGAGGCGACTTCTATTCTTGCTTCATCTTCCCGATTTTGTGGCTCGATCTACTATTTCTTTGGACTAGAACATGACCTTACGACAGATATTGACGAGCAGCATTCAGACGTAACAACCGATTTGTATTCATGTTAGATATATCGCATCATTATACCCTGATAATGACAACAGCGATATACTGTGTAGAACAATCCCTTCTATCAGACCTCGAGAACATAACCCTCTTCTCACCTACTCCTGCACGCCATCGTGTCAGGTACGAATCATTTTGTATTATCAGCGCCAGTCTTGTATGAGGTCTCGCACAAAGGATCCTCGCGGCCTGTGCTCTCGCACGCGAGGCTACTAAGTGAGAACAAATAGACATAGGTTTTACATGACCCAATTGCGGAGCAAGGTGACATCTTAATCACTCAGCTGGATGTCGCAAGTATCTCCAGCCATGTGTAAGATAGCCACGATCAAAGGAAAATGCACGAGGAGTCGAGAGGCGCACCATTACGAAAGTCGCATGAAATTGCTGTTTATGCGCGCGCCTACTACACATGACAGATGGTACCTGATGCTCGAGGGCAGGTCACTTGATGATCGTACACTCTAATGCTGTGTACAACCGTAGCCTTCTAATACACCTCCAGCACATACCGCTCTTCTTCCTTAAGACCCATCAAGAATTCCCCTGCGCTCTCCGGGGTATGTCCCTCGTTCTTGACCAGCGCACCTACAAGTGCTTCGTACACGTCAGGTACTGGCCAGGTTGGGCCACAGAGGTAGAACACCCCTGCCTGATTCTTCAACAGGGACGCAAGAACAGCAGCATCCTCGAGCATGAGGTGCTGGATGTACACTTTTTTGGGCCCATCGCGAGAGAATGCAAGTCCAGCTTTCGTAATCGTGCCATCCAGGATAAACGCTTCAATTTCTTCACCGTAGAGATATTCTTGGTGTCTATGCCGCGAACCGAAGTAATAGTAGGTGGGTCCTACAGGAATGCCTTGTTGAGCGAGTAGAGCGCGATGCTGTAGAAAAGCGCGGAAGGGAGCAGCTCCAGTACCAAGACCTGCCATGATGATGGGCTGCATGTCGTCTGGTGGAAGCTGAAGAACAGTACGTCAATGGGAGAGTCGCGGTTGACAAGTCAGTCGACACGTACCTTCATAACACTAGGCTTGATGGAAACAGAAACTTTCTGTCCAACCTTAAGACCCGCTAGATACCTAGTACATTGTCCATAATGAGGGGTGCCTAAAAGATCCGCTCGTGAGAATGAAAGAAACCGATTCAAAAATTGCATACCATTTGGTGTGGTCCATTCTACAGTCACCACTAGCAAGTCGACTCGATTGCCAACCACACTCTGCGCGCTTGCAATGCTGTAGTGCCTGGGTTTGATGTCTCCAATCATCTCGCAAAGAGTCTCAATGCCTGGCTTCGCGCTAGGATATCGTTGCAAGACCTCTGCGAATGTGACAGTTTCTTTCTCTCCCAGCTTCTTGAATGTGGACGACCCTTCAGGTGCGCCTATAAATTGAAGCGACAGCTTGTCAGCAGGGCTAGTAGCATATGCAGCTAGCTCAGAATAAAACGACTTCGGCGGCCGGCCAAAGAGGTCGATTTGCTGCTGAAGCGCCTGGAAGGTAGTGCGAGTGTACATCTTCCCTTCGTTTGCAGCTACTGGGATGGTGATCAACCGCTCGGGATCCACGCCATACCATTTGCAGAAATCAATAACTTCTTGTTCATCATTCCACCCATACACGCCCAATGCCTCTCCAATAGCGTACTTGAGGCCAGTGCCCACTGTGTCGAACTCCAGGTGGAAGACGTTCCTGTCGTAGTCCAGAGGAGTTAAGCGGCGATTGACTGTGCAAGTTACCAGATAGGTATGCTCAGGTACCTCTGGTCGCAGAGAAGGATCCTTAAGGTACCCTTCAGCTTCCTCCGAGGGGGGAGTCGGAGGTGTGAAAACGGATGGGAATAGAAGGTGCTTGGCAGCATCATGCCACGAAGAAACTTTCGAGCCATTAACCACAGTCTGGCCATCAGCAGTCTCCACGGCGATAGCATTAAACTCAAACTGCTTGAGAGGAGTGGGAGGTTTTGCATCACCCTCATTCACTGCCGGAGGGATATATAATTCAACCTCCTCGAGAGCAGCCCAAGAACTGGCACTAATCTTCGCGAGCTGACCACCCTGGGCCACCTCCCTTGTGACATCCTCTGCAAGCTTGCGAACGGCAGGCTCACTGGCGGCTTTGCCGAGATAAAGCCTTAGAACTGCAAGATAAACGACTACTCTTTGCAAAGCGTCCTGAGTTGCCCCGGGTTCCGCTTCGAATCCAGACGAGACAGCTTTGCCATCTAGGGTAAAGATCCGGAGTTTCTTCTCAACCGCTACCGACAATACAGCAGCGGGTAGGTTGTATGGTAGCTCAGAGGACCATGGGGAAATGACGAGTACTATTGCTCCAGATTTGGCTTGGTTGAGCAATGAGTGGGACTTCAGCAGATTCATATCTAGGATGCAAATGAAGTCTGCTGTGCCTGCAGGAAACGTTGCAGCCATAGGAAGAATTTCTGTGCCCTCGCTACGTGGCGAAAGAACAATCTTGTCCGCGGTGACACCTCCCGATTTGCTGAAAATGTCATGGTCGGTAAGGAGGCGGGCAGAGACTGTTTTCGAAAATGAATTTGCCACAGTCTGGGGGAGAGGAGAGAGCGCGGACTTCGGGGTGCTGAAAAAAAGAAGCTTTCTGGTTAAAGATGCTTCTAGATGCGTCGCAGAAGGAACTTGGTGTGAGAGTTCGGTGAGGAGGGCCGAGAACTGAGCAGGATCTGAGAGGAAGAATGATGTCCTTGTGGGTGTCACCCGGTGAGCTCGCACACGCGGCCCTGGAGAGTTAGGGCCATACAATGACCCGAAAACATCAACGAATAGGCTGCCTTGGCAGACTTCATTGGGTACATCGTCGAAGACATGAACTTCTTTCACAGCGTCAGGAAGACAGTGCTTGAGGGCATCACCATCCCATGGCCTCAACACTCTGACAACTACAACACCAAGACCACTAGTGCGAGTCGCAATGGACTTCGCCATCAGTGCCAAGGGCCCATTCAACAGGACGACCACTGTCTCTGCATTGGAATCACCCACGTAGTCGAAGAACTGATATCCAGACCACCGAATAAGGTCTGATGTATCAAGAGCAGGAGTCTCCTTAAGCTGAAGAGTGGGGACAAAACTGTGACCACTTTCGCGGGAGTTGCCGTGATGATCGAAGATATGAACAACGTGGGAGGACGTAAGCTTGTACGAAAGCGCGGCAAGATCTATGGACTCCTGAGGGGTAGCAGATAAGAGGACGACAAGATTATCGGGAAGAATGGCGAAAGTTGCGGAGAGGGATGCCAACGTCGGGGAGAGGGCGAAGCTTGGACCGACAGTAGTGACTGCCGGAACCTGGATAATCAACCTACTGTCACTGGTAGCAGGGGGCAAATATGACAATGATTCAGCCATCGCAGCGAGCCCAGCGGGCGTAGTGTAAGCAGTGAGAACTGCTCCCTTCACCAAATCCTGGCTACTGCCTTCGGAAAGCCGTCCGACGAGACTAAGGCCGGCGCCTGTCCTCGTCTGGAGGCTAATCACTGGTGCGGTGGACTCCATGGCCGATGACCATGTTTTAGTCAGTGTTCCAAACCCTACTTGCTCAGCGACATCGTAAATGTAAACAGCAGAGCTGGTAGCTGAACGAGATGCGAGTAGTTCGATGATGTGAGATGCCGGACTATTGAATATGCTAGCTCCTTGGATAGGCGAGTCCTTGGGGCCCTCCGTAGGAGTACCTATAAGCGTTGCCGCTGCCGACAACGGTGTCATTGTGCCAGAGAAAACCTCGATAGTCATATCCGAGTTCAAAGCTGGCATTTCGGAGAACGTCGGTCCGCATTTTTGTTCGGAAAGCGTCGGAGTCAATGGTGCGAGATGGTGCGACTCGATCGTGATAATCACACCTTATTACTTGGTCACGTGATGACCTTACAAACAACATCAGCGTAAGTGATTCAGAAATGACATTACTACATAATCCAGAGGGGATATCCATCATACTCTCATAATACATCGCTTCAATCGTTACATCCGAATAGTATTGAAGAGACGGTCACCCTGCGAAATAAGTTGGAAATGCCGTTTGAAGACAATAACAACGGACTCACAGTGTCGCCCAATCCAGGAGATATGAGGCCGTCAGGTGTGAGTGTTGGATCCACGGCTGCTACCCAGATCTGGAATACGAGTGTCAAATTTAGAGGAACAGCAAAAGGAACGAGACGAGACCTCTAATTCAGGATACTCAGCGTGTACATGATTGAGTCCTTCTTCTGATCCGAGTACAACCAGTAGCTTAATCTTTGATACTATCAGACGGTAAGTAGTGCTTCACTATCATGCAACGCAACGCTCTTACTAGGAACTCCCCAGTCCATAATCATGGCAAGTGCAGCACACGCAGTGCCACCGGTAGCAACCAAAGGATCGAGAATGAAACATGTGTCTATGGGAGGGACCGGAGGAAGTTTCGAATAGTCTGCCACAGTTATCAGCCCGCCGTATTGTCATGCGGGAAATGGACTTCAAATCTCACATTCGACTGGTTGGAGGCTGACCTTCTCTCGATAGAGTCCAAGATGGTAGACTGCTGCTGTCCTACAAGACATGTCCACCGATACGTCAGAAGGTGCAACAGGGTTGTATATCCGATCACATACGGGAAGAGGGACAGGAGTGCGTCTGTCATGCCCAAGCCAGCACGTAGAATGGGTGTCAGCCCAACCCTAGGCTTAATAGTTGTACCCGTAAAAGGACCAACTGGTGTTTGCTGGGTATTTTCATCAGCACACAGGCAAATTAAGTCGTTAGCACGCATCCGCAGAGAAATCACGCACACCTTGAAAGGCCTCCTCTTCCAGATTGCGCGTAGCTTCAATGCCCAATATCAAACTGATATCATGAATGCCCTGCCTCGAACGCTTTGATTCCCGACCACTTCACACAACAGCTGTTGCTCACCTCTCGAAATTCCTTTGAATTTGTATTAGTCTGCCGCAATTGTGACAATCGTGCATTCACTAAAGGGTGCGATAGAACATGGCGTCTCTCGTTGGACATGGTTGTTCAGTACAGATTAGGTACGCCAAATGTCGTGCCACACTCAAGCTAACTGCCAATTTAGGAGTGTATTTAAGCTATAGGCAGATAAGACTGTACTTTCGACTACGGAACCGAGAGCACAATCCTCATCTTCTCTTGTATTCGCAAGGTTTCAAAAGGCCGCTATTCGACAACACTTTTGACCACTCTTTATCCGTCCTCGATGCGCGACCTACTTTCTTGAATTCAAACAATGTAAAATGACTGTTGTGATCGTCCTGGATTGTAAAGAGACTCAGTCTGTATCACCGAGTGCTCTGGACGCGCTTTACCTTTTCTTTCATCTTGAATCCAATAGAGTTGATTAGAGACACGAATTCATCCACGTCAGTAAAGCGACTAGCAACTTCCGCAATTTTCAGCTCCCCCCTAGATCAAATTGAGCACGCCAGACATTATATGACAACGCAGAACGTACCCCGGTTTTAGAATCCTCCATGCTTCCCGGATGCACACAGGCCAGTTGGTTCCCATAAGGCTAAGGGCACACACAACCACATCGACAACTTGCGCCTCGCCTTCAGACATCTTAGACGATGAAGGCTCAGAACCGGGAAGAGGCACATATGAACATATGTCCGCCGCCACGATATAGGCACCGTCGGGTATTAGATCAAAAGACAGCACTTTCAGCTTCTTTGGATGAAGGCCGCGAGCAAGTGTGGCGTCCCCGCAGCCGAGATCTGCTATGATTGTGTTTTGCGGGTAGGATGACAACTGAGAAATGTAATGTGACACAGGATTCGATGGCCACGACTGCACCTGGTGTCGAAAACCGGAGTGATACTGCAGTACAAAGGTATATGACGGTTCTGTAAATGATGATACAAATACATACATCGTGAAAGACCGCTGGGTCTTCTTTCATCATTTTCACCGCCTCTGAGCTGTCGGATTTGTAGAGCAATTCATTTATCCACCTGCAGCGTGACCACTTATGATATGCATTAGAACATCATGTGTCAACATACACACCTGAAGCGAGCGCCATCAAGACTCTCTTTCATGCCCTTCTGCAAGCTTGTGAGGCCCGAGACTTCATTAGCTGTGGGCGAAACATTTTGTGGCTGTGGCTCAGATTTTCCACTATCAGGCTTCAAGTTCTTCTTTTGCTTGCGCAACCCCGAACCCCCTTTCACTGATTGTTTGACTGCGTTCTCCTTAATGGACCCACTAGAGGAGGATGAAACCTTCTCCTTTCCCTTGTTAGAGGTTGTGTGTTCAACTTTAGCATCCAGCCCCCCAGTGGTCTTCCCGTGATTCTTCTTTTTCTTCTTAGGCCCTTGCTTATCCTCCTGGTGTTTTCCAACACTTCCGAGCTTCCGCATAAGCTTGTCCAGGTTGACCTCGACGGATTGCATCATATCAGCATCTTGAGATACCGGTCGCTTGCGTTTCTTGGAAGTTGACTGTGCTGATTTTGAAACAGGAGCAGTAGGCACGGACCATCCAGGAACCTCGAACAGTGCCATCAGAAGTAGTATGGGATGTGACGAGTTGAAGACAGACTTGGTCCTGTCTTCAACTCCGCGAAATTGTTGGTCGCATTGATCCCGATGCGTGACTTACGACATCAGCTTGTGCTATTAATTCGCGCCTCGAGGCCACAGAATTTTGTGATAATCAAGGGAATATTCACCATCAAACAAGGGATTCTCAGGCTACCCAGCAGCAATTCTCTATGTAATTATAAGTGATCCGCGCTTCACAACAACTCGCGGATACAGCAAGGAGGACACCCGGACGCGGCATGTAACTTAGGTTTTTCCTATACTATCAGGATCACGCACACAGCATGGATGGGCTCTCCACGCTCGGCCTCGTGCTTTGCACCCTAGAACGAAACACGCGGCAGACAACCTGGAAGCTTCTTAACAGAAGGATGCGATGCTTATTTACCAACTGCCTTGATTTTATCTCGAATCACCCAGATTCATTCTAGCATGTCTGCCAAAGGCAAAGAGAAGATGAATGCAATGGTGACGGACCTCATCGATGGAACGCCGCCATCCAAAGACGGCGTACCCAAGCAGTCCATTCCTCACAGAATGCAGACAAACGCTGTGCTGAGGACAGCGTCTTTTGCTTTTATCGTAAGCGCTCGTTTTGTGTGGATCTCTCACTGGCAGTACGTAACTTCGCAATGTTAGCCAAAGCCTCCCCCTTCGCCTTCTATTTCTGCGAATCGAACCAACGGCAATACAGTGCAACCATCGTTGCCGAACAATTCGCACATAACCCTTGCGCGACAAACATTGGTTTGGCAGATTCTTTCCCATCGACAAATATAAATTTACGGATTCTTGTCTTTACCAGTCTAGCACTCTCTCCCCACGTACGTGATATATCTCAATATGCCAATCATAATAACTCAGACACGACCCACACGACCAGGAGAGGTGAGCCTATCCTGTGCGATCAAATAACGGTCTAAGATAGCTACTCTCTCAGCTGAATGGACACTTGGTCACAAACTCAAGCAGCGCCAGCACAGTAAGTATACTTGTAGTATTATATCATCAAAATACTTTTACTGAGACTCGGGTAGCGCTCTGGAGCTTCTGCTGGTACTCGTGATCCTGCCCATGTAGGCGTCTTGTTCGAGTAAACTCTGATCGACTCACATGTGACCTGTGTCAAGGAGGAGCTGGAGCTTCTTCATGACAGCATTAGTGACGTTCGAGGAAGGAGCAAGGATCATGAACTTCGCACGGCCCCAATCATAACCCGTGATGCATACGTTGCGGCAGGTTATCGTGAAGGCGCCACTCAGTACGGCGTCTTAGGCAGTATTCTGTCCATCCAGTAAGGCAACCCATAGGTCTTATATTCGTAGACCGACTACTCATGATTTTTACAGCAATAAAAATAATATTCCATACAAGCCAGTGAATCCTCAGCTCTATGTGAACACAGTATGTAACTCCTTCATGTGAAACGCGTGTTCAGCGTTTTCTCATTTTTCGCACCCCTAGAACGCACCCTTCTCTGCTGTGGTCTGTGGGGTTCAGGGCTCGGGGAAGTCACACACAGTTTCTCTGCTTCTCGAGAGTATGTTTGTTCCGAATATGCGCTCTACTGGAACCCTGCAGAAGCCGTTGTCGGGGCTCGTTCTCCACTTTGGAGAAGGGGGTCCCAGCTCTCGACCTAGTGAAGCTGCATGGATCAGCTCGTCCCACATCCCTGGTGTACAAACGCCATCCGTCAAGGTTTACGTTTCACGTTCTTCTCTCAACACCATGAAGGCTGTCTACGCGCCATTGGGCGACGGGGTCACTGTCGAACCACTGTTCTTCACTCAAGATGAGTTAGATGCACAGGCTTTTCTGTCCATGATGGCTGTCGGCTCCTCTGAATCAGCTCCGCTCTATATTCAGGGTATTTTGGTGCGTATTTCTCTTTTGAACGGCTATCTTTGACACCATTTCTATAGTCGATTCTCCGTGACCTTGGGGAAAACTTCACTTATCCCGAATTTATGCGGCAGTTGGAAGTGAAGAAGGAGTCGTTCAACAACATGCAGCTCGCAGGCCTTGAGCAGAGGATGGCACTGCTTACGTCGTTCATGAACCCAAACATGAAATCGCGAAGCCGCTTTGCGGAATCGCAGCTCACGATCATTGATTTATCAGACCCGTTCATCGACCCAGCGTCAGCATGCGGACTGTTTGAAATCATCACGCGTCTGTTTGTCAGAGCGGACGTGGGGACCGGGAAAGTGCTAGTGGTTGATGAAGCCCACAAGGTTTGCATTATGAAATCAAATTGTTCAGTGTTATTGACGATATGATTGCCACAGTACCTGTCGCCAACAAAAGGCTCATCTGGCTTGACTAAGTCTCTCCTGACACTGACTAGGGAGCAGCGTCACCTAGCCATGCGCGTTATCATCAGTACACAAGGTACTTGACGCTGATGTCTTCTTCATATCGGGTCCTCACACCTTATCTGCCAGAACCTACGGTTGTGCCACCGGTTCTGCTTGACCTATGCACTGTCGCAATTTTGCACCGATTCTCCTCCCCATCGTGGTGGGAACATCTGGCAAAGCATGTATCAGCCGACATATCAGCAGAAGATGCTTTCGATTGTGTCGTTAAACTGCAGGTGTGTTGCCGAGGTCAATATATGTCACTGTTATTTAACATGGCATCGCTGCTCAGACAGGTGAAGCGATTGTGCTTGCGCCCTCTGGCCTGGGAGTATTCCCAGATACACCCGATACTGCCAGGACAGGACATGTAGTCCCAGTGCCGAAACTTGGACAATTTGGTCGCCGCTACGTGCTCGTGAAGACTAGACGTAGGATAACGAGAGATGGCGGAGCATCCATACTCGTGATTGACGACTGAGTCGTGCAAGTGAAGACAGAGCGATGTTGACAGGGGGCTTCTCGTTCTCACTCTTGCAGATGACGGTGAAAGTTAGTGTTTAGTGCAAAATTGGATCATCTTGTTTATGCTTGAGGTGTTCCAATGTCATGAAGATGAGCCTTTGCGTGTAATACATAAGTGCAGTGTTTATGAAGTACAAATGTATGCATGCGGTAGGTACAACAGTTAAAGAGACAACAAAGTAACATTTATGGGACAACTAATTATCAGTATGTGCCAGTATGTGCGAATGTTCTTTCTGGAAGAGAATGCAGGGCAAGGCAAAAGGTATTCTATGGTGCTTGAAGATATTATAGTGATTGGTGAGTGCAGGCAACTCAAAAAGAGATTTGTTGAGACGCGCGGCAAGAGAAAACTATGATGGAAGTAAATAAGCGGTATCCGAAGTTTTCAAGCCCATACGTCCCCGGGATTATAAAAAACGTACATGTCCGACATCATCAGGCGATCCGCATAGGACTTCCAGGCGGAAACGAGTGGTCATCTATGTGGACAGCGTGCGATAGTGGACTCGATTCCGCAATACCAGGACTTGTCTTTTTATTGCGACGACCAAGTAGGGTTGCATTGTCCATGTCTAGCTGGAAACCTTGGCCACCAGGTTGACGGCGACCGCGGTCTCTTGGGCCAGCGCGACCGTCCAGAAGACTACGATCGGCTTGATTAGGCCCACCAATGACATTGCGCTTTGCGACGGTCTTCGCTCCGGCGCCAGGCAACCCACCCAAGGTGGTGAACGCTATTGGTGCACGAGTTTCGAGCTCCCCTCTCCTGTTCCGTGCATCATGTACGAGGACTTTGTCGTCGACGTTGTCTTCCTCGTTCTCATTGAGCCCATGCAGGTATCCTCGGATACCGGCGCCGCCACGACCATTGTATGCACGCCGACGTGCACCTTCTTCTTCCATACGGTGGACTGCATAGGTGATGTCGAATGCTTCCTTAAGCGTTGCGAGACCAGGAGAACGGGCCTCTAAAACGCCACCACGAGCAGCGGTAAGCAGAGGAGAGTCAAGCGGACGAGAGTTGGCATAAACAGGAGTGGATGATACGGGTGGTGGGGCAGGAGCGGCGGTGCACCACGGGTGAGCAAGGAATTCGTCTATGGTATATCTCTGAGCAGGGTCCACGCATAACAAATGTTGAATGAGATCCTTCGCTGAAGACTAGTCAATAATCACATGGTGGATAGAAAATTCAAAAATAATACCAGAATGGCTGATGTCATCCCACCATGGACTCAAAAACGTGTAATAACCCCGTGCGACTTTTTCTGTTAAGACGTTGATACTCTCGTCGTAAAATGGCGGGAACCCGCAAAGAAGTGTGTAAAGCACGCAGCCAAGTGCCCACATGTCCACACTTTGCGAATAACGCTCATCCTTGACGATTTCGGGGGCAGTATAGCCAACTGTTCCGCATGGCGTCATTGTTTCTTCGTTCCAGATCACTTTTGATAAGCCAAAGTCTGCAATCTTGATTCGCCCGATTCCGCCTCCACCAACGCCTGGAATAAATTCACCCTCATCTTCCTTTTCCTCATCATACGGACGTTGTACGGAACTTTTTGAAGGAACGATAGGTATCCGTTCGAATAACAGATTTTCCGGTTTGATGTCCCTATGACAACTGAATGTCAGCGAATGTCATTGCTCCACAGGAGATGCAGATACCGATGTACAACACCACGTTCTTCGTGAAGATAACGGATACCTTGTGCGACCTGGAGAATCACGTGTCTTGCTAGATTCTCACTAAAATACGTCAGTTTGACGATCTGGTGGAACAATTCCCCGCCCTCCATAACTGCGTGCAATTATGAGTTACCGACGCGGGAAAGATCGCAATCACACATACGTTCCATAACCAGAAAATAGTGTTCTTGTGATTCGGAAAATGAGATCAACTTTACGATCGATGGGTGATTTGTTCCCCTCATGATTTGCACCTCTGTAATCTAGATCAGTGCCGGGAATAATCAGAACAACACGATACGCCTACCTTTCAAAATATTGGCTCGCTGCATGAAGATAACACGGTTAGCGATATGTGGAATCATTCAATTCCAAATGTCACCTCTGTTACGCGCGGCTTTTTCTTGAACTGAACATTGAGATGTTTATCGCCGGCCTAACAGAGGGACAACAAGACACAAGCAGGGCAGGTATGAGGAGGACAATGTACGTGAACTATGTGAGGGGCGGGGGCACGCATCTACTTACCTGTGAAGCATTCAACTCGAATTTGCGAACAACTTTCACTATGAAAAAGTTTATCAGCCAGCTATAACAGGAGAATGATTGAAAAAGTGAACCTGCGACTGTCTGCCCAGTTGTTAGATCTACTGCCTTGTAAACATTCGAAAATGCGCCGCTAGATAAAAAATTAAAGGTTAAATATTTGGTACGGAGACAAATTATACAACACCCACTCTCCCATCTTATCCAATAGCTTGAAGTTTTCCAAGCCTTTGTAGGTGGGCAGTTTGATTTTGGGCTCTCGATCCTCGGTCATGTTGATTTGTGGATGTCGAGTATCAGGCACGGGTTCAGGCTGAGGTGTATTCTCAGGCTGCTGCTTCTCAGGTTGATGTTGTTTCTCAGGCTGCTGATGTTTCCGAGAATCCTGTTCAGCCCGAAGCTTAGCCTGCTGTTGCGACTCCTGTTGTTGTTGTTGCTGTTGCTGTTGTTGTTGCTGTTGTTGTTGTCTATGCTGAGGCTGGTGACTTGGCTCCGGCACAGACGCCGTGTATGGTTGGGAGTCAGAGTCAGGATGCCGATGGTGGTGATGTTTGCGGATGAGATCTGGGGGAGTGACTTGAATGACTGCCTTCCAAAATAAAATAAAAATAAAAACATACTCTTGAAAGCATCTACAACAGCTGGCATGGTTGTAAGGAGAATGGAGGAATAACCCGGTAGAATGAGTTGGCGGTGCGTACGACAGAAGCCTTTTTGTCGTTCCAGCCTCTCAAGTGACGTCACTTGTAGCGACTCCAGTCACGTCACTGCCTTTTGCCTAATTTGTGTTGAAATAGCGCATGACTCTATATTTGCACCGAACTGGACTAGTACTAATAAGTATAATATTAACATATTAATATCATAAATTGCTTCAAGTAATATTTCCACTAGTACTTTCTACGTCCCGATCCCAATAATCTGCTCGATCCCTTGGTGGGGTATGAACAAGTAGCAGATTTCGTGCAGGGGAATACCCTGCTAAGCTCATCGTGCTTTGCTTATTCCTGAGCACCGGGGTCTCCCGCGCGGATCTCGGTATTATAAGTGCCGGGCGACTTCGTGCATTCAATGAGCCTACAGGAACGCCCCGTACGCTTCCACTCGGTGCGATTTGCTCGCCTGTGTCGCCTGGTTGCCTGCTGACCTCATTGGTGGGCTGCCCTACTCCTTCACGGTTGTTTTCATTGGCCCACGCTATGATGAACACCCCCGCGAATGTCGCACCACAACCATACGTAAATGTGACCATCTGGTGGAATGTAGCCCGTTCGAAGTCCTTGTAAAGGACAGCAGATCCGATAACGGCAGACAGCGTGAACAGCACAAATTGCGTAGGTATGACGATTTTGGAGTCAAAACGCTTTAACGCACGGTTCAAAAACCGAATTTGGAGAATGCCTGTGATGATTAGGACCTGAACAGGGTTAGCACATGAAATGCAATGAAAAGCGATGCTAAGATACCGCAAGGACGGGATAGGTCACCCACTCCGCAAAAATTTTGCCCCATTCTTCTGTCAGCAACGTGGAGATAGCCTTAGTTGCTAAAACTGTGAATCCACCTGACGCTGCTATGAGCTCATATTTGGTTTGATTCAAATCGACCTCACCAAATATTGCGCAAAGTCCGACGTCAACAACCACAATTCGCCTGCCGAAACCACCTTCGCTGAGCCCCGCTAGTACCACAGCCCCTACCAGGTATATAATGGTAAATACTACAAACGAGCGTTGTGATATAGCCGCAATCAGGGCGTCTGGTGTAAGGGGCGGTGGGCCTCCATCAGTGGAAGGTGTAGAAAGAACGACAGTGATCGCTCCTATCATTGCGCACAAGATGCCAGCGAGATCATGCTAAAAACAACCCCATAAACAAATGATTCGACTGCAGCCCAGGTACAATCTTACCACACGAAAACGCTCTTTCAAAATGAGTGGAGCAAAGAAGCAATTAGCAATGAGTGCGAACTACGATATCAATCAGTAGAGACAGAAAGAGCTAACAGAATGCACTGACAGTGCCTAGAGGAGCGACCACAGAGGCTGGTGCAAACGCATAGGATATGAAGTTGCCCGTTTCTCCGATGTTCATTAAAACGAATCCAGACCACCTGAAACCATATCCGTTGTCAGTGGCAGTATCTTCTAGAATTACATATAGAACTGACCATATCTTCGAACGCAAGTAGTCACTCTCCGTACCTTCTTCTTCCCAGAGCTCAGGTGAGGGAGGTGCTCGCCTGTCATTGCCGTTCACTGCAACTATGCGCTCTGCTGGGATCACGTCTACTGGAATCGCCAACGTTCCTTGGGTATGTGATATATTTTTATTAACGCCGCCGGGCTGACCGGGACGGAATGGAATAAAACGCGATACCAAGCTGGAATTCCTTGAAGGCTGTCCTGGCCTCCGTCCACGCGCTGAAGAAGAGCTCTTCCTGCTCCTCGAATCATCGCGTCTTGTCCCAGGTGAGGTACTAGTGCCATAACGTGTACGTGAATGACTGGCAGAAGAGCCCTGGATCAAGGGCTGTGTCTCGGACTCATGAGAGCAGGCAGCGGGATCGCCAGAAAGTCCCTGATCGTGTGGTGATCTAGAACGCAACGCATCGCCTGATACATGTAATTCGCGTTCTATCCTCGCCTGTTTTCGAGTTTTTTCGAGTCGGATATGTGCAAGCTTTTGTAAATTAAGCGCAAGCGAGATAAGCACGTTCCCCGCAATGGCTACTGTGATGCCGATGGCAGTCTGCAACGTGAGGTGCGGCAGGTCAATACCCAGCTCATCGATGTTGGTCGTGTGGTTCTTGCCCTTTGACCATGATGATAAGTCCATGTGCGCAATAACTCAATGACGAAAAAAAAAACAGCCTAAGAGCAGTTCAGAGTTAGGACAACATGGTCCCGGCATCTGATTGTCAATAAACTAACCAATCTAATAAAAACTAGATTACTGACGGAGGATCAGATTGGGGTATCGTCAGTCAGCCTACAAGTCGTCTGCGACTGCAGACGCTGTGTGTCAGACGTCGTGCACAAGGTCACAAGCGCTGCAACAATTAAGTCAACGTTAGTTGGGGGTCATTCACGGCTAGGATAAGTACTTTTATGATCGCACGTGTTTGGAAGGTCATTCACACGTTTATTAGTTGCAATGCACACGTCGCGCTTTGAGTTGCAGAGTTCTATTCCGTCAGAAGCTATAGACTAGTACACCCGGTCACCCCGTGTCTATATCAGCTTCAGCTTTACTGTAATACTCCACCCTATATTACACTCTTTTCTATTATTCGACGCGGCCATAAAATGCGCGCGCAGCATACTACTCACCCGCTTCCCGCGTTTCCAGTGTATTCATGTGCGTTCGTAGCCCCCGACCAAATGGTCGTCGGAGGTGGAGGCGGCGCTGCCAAGACTGGAATTAAGAACAAATTGGTGAGAAACCGGAACTATTTCAAACTTGCAGTCTGACGTATGTGGGGTAGAGGTTATTCAATATCTCCCAAGACAGACAACTTAAAATGCTCTGTGAGCATGAGCTGGAGAAAGGCGAGGACGCCCCTATGAGTATTTCAGCTCACCCAGAGGTCTGTCATGCTACCTTGTTGGTAGTGAACAAGATTCTCAAACATCCATAGAGCAGAAGCTTTGTCTGTGGAATCAATAGTTCCGAAGAATGCTTAAAGAGGGGTGAAAACGAGAACTGCAGGGTATTTTCAATTAACGATTCTGGAAACACGTACGATCTGTGACATCTGTGTTTACACACAATATTGACTATTCCCTACAGCCTAATCAAAGGAGCTACGCGAGGTACATTGCCCTCGGGAGCGCTTGAAGACTACCAGGTAACTCATTCTCTGTTGCAATTACTCTATATCTCACATAGACAACGCAGCGTGTGACCGTCATATCACCGGATGGAAAACTCCTGGCAGTGGCCGGCGAACGTGATGTAAAAAACAGTACTATCATTATCCGCGTGGACTAACTTCGTGTTGTAGTTGTCTCTTCTCTCATTTCCTTCTCTTTCTCCTGTCGTCCAGTCTGTCCAAGTGCCAAAAGGTGAAATTTACGATGTGACATTCTCATCGACACACGTGCGCCTTCACCTCGTTCATCCCATTTCGCGCTGCTCACGACACTTCCTCACAGCTTGTACTAGCCACTAGTCTGAATCTATTAGTATACGCGCTTCCAAAGCCACCTTCAGAAGATAGTGATGAGAAAACACCAAAGAAGAAAAAGAGCAAACAAAAAGGTAAAGGAAAGGAGAAGGAAGTGCATTCAAGGACACCGAGCCAGACTCCTGAACTGCGGCTTGTGGACACGATTGATGTTCCTTCGGTCCCTGGCGCTCCTGCACAGTCCGTTGTAACATTTCGAGCAGCGCGGTGAGTAAGACAAGAGACATCTGCACATTTTGGAATCATAATTTTGTTGTAGCTTTCACCCTTCAGACTTCAGCACGTTGTTTACGGCCGTCAATACTGCCGCGCCTCGCGCGAAGAAATCCAAGATGGCCAAAATGCAGGCTTACATATTGAAATGGAGAGTCGACCTAAATGGGGAGCAGAAATCTGCTCGGCCCATATCAATGGAGGGCTCCCGCAAAGCGGGTGAAGGTGGCCTGACGTGTTTTGACGTTAGGTCTGTGCTTAATTATGTCAAAAGCATACGTCGTGTCCGTCTTACACTATTTCTTTCTTTTTCAGTCCCAATGGGAAGTTCCTTGCTTTTGGTTCATCAGACTATTCGCTGGGAATGCTGGACAGCACCACTCTAAGCGTAAGTCATTAATGAACGCTGTGATCATGCACTTATATCGAACCTTAGCCACTCTTGTCTATACTCAAAGCGCACGAGTTCCCTATAACCACTGTTCGTTTTAGCCCTACCTCAACGATGCTCGTATCCGGTGGTGTAGACAACTCGATACGGATTGTTACTGTACCAGAGAAGTTTGCTGGCCAACGTGAGCTTTTTCAATCGAACTCTGGTGGCAGTGAAACTGACAAGCAAATTGCAGCATGGACCATGATTATTTTGATTATCCTGGCCCTTCTTGCCATATTGGTGGCATTTTTATTGCAAAAGTAGGAGTTATGGTTATGTTACTATTGGAACGTTTATTGCAGCGGTTGGCCTATGGACCTTATAGCATATATATTAGAGTAGGCTACAATACATGTTCAAAGCACTTCTCGACCGTCGCAGGAAAACCTAATAAGAGTCTTCAAGTCTCTAGTCATAGTCATCTTCCTCAACAAGTTTTCGCTTCACACCGTTCGTTTGCGTGTCTCCTGTAGTCTGCACCTCCTCCATTGCGTCGTCACCTGAATTATCGTCGTCATCATCACCCTCTCCGCCAAATAGACCGTCCGCTTCTTCCGCGTCGCTATTTTCTTCAAGTGCTTCTGCTGCGACGACGGGTAAAGGTGTGCTAGCACCGATGTCAACGTCGGTTGGTGTTATGGGAGCTGCATTGGTGTATGGTATGGCAGCGGGCTCCATATCAGCATCCTCATCATCGTCCTGACCGTCTGGTAGGTCATCGTCTTCATCATCTTCCTCCTCAATCTCTTCGATCTCCTCGTCGTAAAGTTTCGCTTCTGGTGGTGGTTTATTGGGTACGAGATTGAAGTTAACAGCAGTAAGTGTCTCGGACGCGGGTGGGAGCCTGACACCGAAGACTTCTGGCACAGAAGGAAGTGGAGTAGCATTCGTCTGAGATGCTAATGACAAGACATACTGCAAGAATGCATTTGAGGACGGAAGGTGAAGCGGACAGTACGATCAGCCCACCTCCTTGGGAACACGACCACCAAATTCCCAGCCCACGCGGGCTTGTATAGCGAGGACAACATCATCCATCTCTATTTTTGACGCGCCGGAACGCCCTGCATGCTCTGCGTATAACTGTGCATCAGACAGTACTTGGGCGGTATATCGGTGGGCAAACTCTAGGAGTTGATGCAAAACGCCTGGTTGGGCATCTTGTACCGTTGGTGTGGACGCAAGAAGAAGAGCGATTGCTCTTGCTGTTGGTGGAAGAGTGTCAGCAGGCTGTTGAGTCGTTGAAGGGCGCGCCAGAGACATGATCAATTGGAATTCACTTGAGATGTGAACCTGATAGTAAGACTGACGAGAATGGTAATTTATTCTCACAAGTCACGCGAGGTTAAGGCTGCCGGTCGCGGAGAGATGTGGTAAGCACGGAGTTTTAAATTTGCAAGTGCCGATTTTGCCGTTGGGCCACGTAACTGCACGTTCACGCACACCCTGAATTAAAACTCCGTGCTTCACCTGCCACGAGATCGAGTTTGACAGTGTGAGTACGTCTCAAGCACTAAGATACGTACGTCAGACTAATCACGAGTCTACTCACGCGCCCGAAATCTCCGAAATCACCAGAGAGATTTTACATAGGTCAAATATAGGCCGCCTTCTCTGGGGATACTTATATCAGTGGGCTGAGGTCGGGCTGCGGTCCTGCGGCGGCCTGTCGCCGCATTCGCCAAAAAGCTCTCGCGTGTAACCCCAGATCAAATCAGATAAGAATTTCTTTGTCAGATAAGATTCCCACTGTGACGTTATTCGAACTCCGAACACCCTTTCTTATTAGGCGCTCTGCATTGGATCTTCTCGCACTTCTCTCATTATCCACCATGTTCCGCTCAGCACTCACAAGGACTACACTCAACTCCATAATTGCACCAAAAGCTGCAAGAGCTGGTGTTGCACCAGTGCTCGCCCGTGGTTACCACGAGAATGTTATTTCGCATTACGAGAGCCCAAGAAATGTGAGTTGTTTTTGACCGTTCGGTTGCGAGGCCTCACTAAGCTCATGTTATTTCAGGTGGGCTCTCTACCCAAACACGACGCTGATGTCGGTACTGGGTTGGTTGGAGCACCTGCGTACGCTCCTTTCTTCTCCTTTATTCACCTTTCAATACTGACTATGCCTATAAATCAGCTGTGGAGATGTCATGAAGCTCCAAATCAGAGTAGACGAAAGTGGCATCATTAGTGATGTCAAATTCAAGACATTTGGTTGCGGTAGTGCCATCGCTTCGAGTTCATACATGACTGAGCGCGTGAAGGGCCTTACCCTTGAGGAGGCAGGTAAAATCAAGAACACTGAAATTGCAAAGGAGTTGTGTCTTCCTCCTGTGAAGCTTCATTGCTCAAGTGAGTCTTTTCTCACACTACATTCGTAAATGCATTTGACATGCGTTGTTTTAGTGCTGGCAGAGGATGCTATTCGTTCCGCTATTCGGGATTATCGGGCAAAGCGGAGTAAGCTGAACGAAGGTCAAAAAGCGGGCTTCATCGATGTAACGCAAAATGTGATTTCCGGGGAGACAGTGGCCACTGCACGACCCGGTCTGTCTGCATAAATAGACATTTTCTCAGGCCGATGTTTCTTCATGTGCTGTCGTCGTGCACGTCCCATCATTTTGTTGGTTCCTCATATCCATGTTCGCATCGATTTTTGCATTTATGTTCACATATTCTCAAAATGTCCTAGGTTGGATGATTAGTAGTTAGTTGTATTAACACGTCGCAATGATAATTTTAATGCTATGCGTGTTGCCCAGAGCGACCAAAACTACATGTGCATAAGATAGTCCATGAGACGAATGCCTTGCCTTACACCCTGCTATTGGTGCCTTTCTGTCCCACAAATGAGAAATTCCCGGATGCAAACCAGCGTTCATTTGCTTCCTTCACTCGCTGAGCGGCGGCAGCACGGTTTGTGAGCTCGAAGCCTATGAAAAGAATATCAGCGGTTCATTCCACGCCAACTCCCCAAGGGTTCTCACCTTGCACAGGTGTGACCGTCAGTGATGTTGCTGTTCCAGACGTTGACGACCCGCCCTGCGCAGCACGCGTGAGCGCTGCGGTACGTAACTTGTTCGCCTTCGAGAGTTTCGCTGCGGAGGTTGACACGTTTTAGGTCTCGAAAGACATAAACAAGAGGCAGGATACTTACCACGACTCTTCGCCTCTCCCATGCCAGCCCGGACCTTACCAGTGCCAACACCGATCATTCCCAGACCCTTAGTCTGATCAAACGCTCCAACCTCCTCTTCAGCCTCACCAAATGCCATTCGGTTCTGCAGCTTCCGGAGTTCAGTCTGTGCATACGCTTCTTTTGCTTTGCGTGCTCTACAAGTGTGTCAGTGAGAACGATATCCAATGCACGGGGATAACTTGCCGTTTTCCCCCTCTGCGTTTCTTTGGTCCATCGTTAGGTATAGGAAGTGCCTTTGTGGTCTTAGCAGGTGGTGGTGCTGCCAACCGATCGATATGTTTTTCGATTTTTTCTCGAAGCTCTTCGCCATATGAACCTTGGTATACCATCAGCCAGAGATCCGTCAACGCCCAAGAACTAAACTGACCGTCTCTTCGTGTCCGTTCGAGGTCCATGCGTGCAGCCAGAACGCATTTCGCTCCGACTGTCCGCTGAACCTTCAGTTGGTATTCAGCTGGCGTCTGCTGTATCAAGTCAGACTGGAAGACGAAACCGGTGTGCCGCCGTTGAGTGTACGCAGAGAAGCCTAGAGCGATTTTCTTCTGAGCGCCTAGTAGCTACATGAAATTTATGAGACTAATAATGTGGACGGAGTAAGACTGCAGCATACATGGACATTGCATGAGGGCATTTTGGCAAGGGGACCGAGGCCGCCTGCCACACCTAATAATTTTGCAGCTGTAGTAGTACCAACGATGGCTGAAAGATTTGGTGCCAGAACATTCATTCTTGAGCTGACGTACATGAAAATCTGCTCTCCCTTCATTAGCTACCGCGCTTATTGCGCAGAAGAGACCTTTACTCGCCTTTTTACGTGCCTCCTCAAGTTTGTCTGCGAGGTCACAGGCTTTTTCTACAGCACCCCACTGGGCTTCAGTGAGGGTTTGACCACTTGTTGTTGTTGCAGTTATGAGCACACTCATGACCACCGCAGGCGGAAGAACACCTGCAAGGTCAGCTTTTGTGGGGTCCTGTAAGTCGACAATGAGCAGAGATAGTTTGCGTAGAACCTAATCTTACCTCTGTATTTGCGAGGACGCGAACCGCGCGAACATACTGTGCAGGCTCTGGAACGAGTTGCTCCAACTCTGGAAACTTCGCCGCATAATGGTCACGTATGAACTACAGACAAGAAGTCAGGGGGTTAGACATCAGCAACCACACACCATACCTTGTGTACCACAAGAATTTCATTGTCTACATCCACTGATAAATTGTTCGCTTGCACGATGAGAGTGTATTCCGGATTCAAATGAGCTGGTAATGACATCGCTTCCGGTGTACTGGGATTGGCTTGGTATTTCTCAATTTCCTGGATGCACGAGTCAGCTCAAACCATTGGTTCATTAAACAAGTGTCGATGCATGCCTGTAATATGTCTGCCATTCGTTTACTGCCTTCTAGCTTCGCTACGGAGTCGACGTCCTCGAATTTTCCCAAGTCCATTTGTTGTACGTCCTCTGCATCAAGTTCGTCTGCGGGCTTCATTCCACCTTCGAGGACCAATCCGCCGGTTTCGTCTGCTTCGCCCTCGCTGCCTTCCTCTGCCTCTGACATATCTGCATCGTCGGCGGCCTTTCTCTTCAGTCCGTTGGTGCCGTTACTCGTGGAGGGCGCAACTGATGGCGCTTGCTCCTCATATTCCTCAGCACCACCGTCTGACAGATCGTCAATGTCAGCGAGGAGTTCGTCAGCTAGTCCACTCATCAGGAGAACTGTTCTTCAAGGTTTAAGTTAAGGAGGGAAGGTGCGATGACGTAAGCATTGTCAACGATAGGTTGGCCTGTAGTACACAAAAGAACTGATACAACCTGTACTTTGTTACCTTACATTCAAAATATTCTAAAGGGTATGTAAGTTGAACATGGTATGTAGGTAACTGTGCAGATTGAGATATATGCTGATGTCTAGATTAATGACGATGTCCTCTTCCAAATCGCCTACTTAATGGTAACGAGTGATTAACAGTTGCTCACCTCTTCATCCGCGTGAAGAGTCTCGAAGCTTCGTTCCACCTCTCTGCGTACTCCCGTTGATCATCCAGTGCGTGGATCCACGAGTAAAGTACATGGACTGTACGCGGTAGGACACCAGACAAGAATGCAGCTACCTTTGGTGCATCGTGGATTTTCGAATAAGTAACATCAAAAACAGAAAGGTGCCGATGAGTGGTATCTCCGACCCAGTGGTGCCACTGATCTTCTTGCTCTTCGATAAAGGAAAAGTCGATTTCAAGCGTTAGTTCCACCAGGTCGGGACAGTGCTTGAGGAAGCACAGGAGTCCAATCGGGGAAATCGACGAAGGCAGAGTAGTCTCTAGAAATTTGTTCAACATGAGTTGCACGATATTTGGCCATGCCTGTGCCAATTCTAAGGCGGCAATGTCGTCCAAAGAGATCCCACACCCTACATCAAGATGTATGTGCGTTATTCGGTTGAATGACAGAAGGGGGTAGAGATCTTCCAGCTTCAAGACAGAAAACGAGTCATGTGGAGGACGTTCTGCAACCATAATTTGGAGGCGACGAAGTGAGTAGTGACTGACGGAAGTGGAGAGGCGACGAAATAATTGTGCTAAGACAGATGCTCCTGCGTGATCATCGCTGAAGATCGAGAGGTTTGTAAGCTTGTTCCGCATTCTGCTCACGAGGTCGACAGCAGATGTGATATCTTGCGCATGCACGTCAAGTAGTTGAAGTTGCTCAAATAGAAGCTCGTTTTGGAATTCGACATTGGGCTGGAGAGCAAGTTTAAGCTCTAGTAAAGACGGCAGACGCGACAAATGGTCCAGAACCTCGGCATCGAGAACTCCACAGTGGATTGTAGTGAGATGATGCAGGTGGCAAAGAGTTTGAGAAACGGAGTGGCGAAGATGATTTGATAGGGCCACTGAATGCACATTCAATTTTCGCAAAGAGGGGCACGCAAAAGCAATTGAGGAGATGAACTGTTGCAGGTCAGGAACTGGTGAGATGGCCCAGACCTCGAGGAATAGAGACGTGAGAGACTTGGTCATGATTCGACGGATCAGCCTCAAGTCTCTCTCGTCATAGATAATCCACTCAAGGGATGTGAGATTTGGTAGGAGGGGCTGGGTGGCATCCATGGAGGCGAGACTGGCGAGTAATTCATCGTCAATATCAACCATCAATTTTTTCCCGCGGCGGACGTCCTGGGTGGCAAGACTGAGGTGACGGATGCGTAAAGCATACCTGCGGAAGATATTCCAGTCATCCTTGGTCAATTGCCTATGAAGTTTCTGACAAATTTCACCAGTAAACGATGTTAGCAATTGAGACAGAGCAGACAGAGATCCTCTTACTAGACAAATACAGCCTGACTCGGATTTGATCATGTCTCCACCCCATAAATCATGAGGCATGCACTGAATCGCTCTGGCGATAGTGCCAAATTGTTGCCAGAGGACATCTAAAGCTATATCATGAAAAGCATTACAAGTCCTTGCGAGAGCAGCAAGAGTAGCTTGAGCGGGGTGTTTTTCATGGCTCGTATCAAGCACAAAAATCCACTGAAAAATGGATAACTGTATCTCCGAAATAAAGAGACATTGAGCCATAGTTAAGCATCATCCAGAGAACCAACCTGTACTCATACTCCTACACCGCTTTTAGCATATTCTGTATTTGGTAATTATAAGATAGGTGGTGGTCCGTGCACCAAGGGTCAAAGGTATATAAGGCTGCTGTCGACACTGTAACAACTCATACTTACCTTGATGGCACAGGCTCCTTCATGTACCCGGGTTTGTGGGCCGTGGGGACCCTTCATAGCACGGCGACCTTGTCCATACAGAGGGTAATTACGGTTTGTATGGGCTCCGGCTCATGCACCGTCTCAATATTTTCCAGTCCTGCCACGGCCACTCTGGCTGGGCAGGCCACTTTTTTTTTCGACTTTTATAGGTCCTAACCCTAACCCTAGTACATTTTACATATAGTAATTTCAATAAACATAGTTTGTCATCATCTCTCTTAACCCTCATGCCAGATGACCTCATACAATCCTGAGTCCCAGACATTGAGCTCGCATGCGCCAGATTCACCGCGCTCTTCCCAATCACCCCCGCCTTCTGGTGTCCAGGGTGATTTGGAATTAGAACTTCTCGGGCTCGCCAACGCTTTATACAACCTCGGAACCACCGTCATCAGTGACTCCACCAAAGATCGTGATAGACCAGGTGGTGCGAAGCTAGTAGGCCTTGGGGCGTGCGTTCTCTTTACTACTTTGGTTGTCTATGATTTTAAAGATTGCAACGGTCAGAAATGAGGTAGTCAATCACCTTATGTCCATCGATAACAAAGCACAGGACATTCGGACCATGATACCTTTTCAAGTTTTGTCTGATATCGACAACGCACGCAACCCCATGCAGTTGACCAAAGAGCGTCTAGAAAGAGCAGCTACTGAAAATCAATTCATGAACGGAAAGATAGCAGCTATTGACGTAAGGACCTCCCTGTTTCACTCCACTCTCGTTAATGCCCTTCTCTTGTAGTCCTATCGCAAGCTTCTGAACGAGGCCTTAGTATTGAACTTTCCAGAGACAGCCGAATATCTCCATCCAAATCAAGATGAGATCAAGATGGAGCCATAGGCCAAGCCCTGCCGCCTATGTACAATATCGCCATTGTCGCAGAGCTACATCTCGTCGATGGTTCATTGTCAATCACATATAAGGGGTACGCTCGGATTAATTTTCCAATTACCCTCCCAAAAGGAAAGACGAAATTGGTGGGAGACGGGGAACATTCCGTTGCCTCATTATCACTTGTCATTATCGGGACAATTCGCAATAATCGACCTGATTGAAACGAAAGAGCTAAATTTCTCATTAAGGACGCCCCCGGTTTTTTTTGACCACGCCAAGATAATACGGACGCATTCGGGTGACTCACCAGACAACGCCGCGCAAGCATGCCCAGGCGGATCTGCGGCTCTGGTCATCTTTGTGCCAGCAAGATGCTTTATCTATTATGGCCCCTCAAAAGGACAAGTGGGTGGCTTCCTCGGACTTATTTGCTACCGCCGTGACTTCTCGAGCCCTTCTTGGATGGGGGCTTTGTGGCGTAGCAGTATACTCAGCGATGGTCTCTCACCGCCACCGTCCATGCATCATCGGATTGTCGCGAAGCGGTCAGCTGTTAATAGTATTCAGATCTGATGAGAGACATATGGACGTGTGGCAATGTTTTGATGACAGTGTGGTATTGCTATAACTGTAAGTCTTGAGAGTAGGAAGTGGACGTTTCCGCTCTAACGGCACACATGTTTCAGGGATCATCTCTTATCTCACGTCGCTCGGGGGTGCATTTTCACGATGGCCAGATCCTCCTTTATCATCATCGGCACGGGTTGTCTCCGAATATTACCACCTTGCTTGCAGTCCTGAGCTGGGTACATGATTGATGTTAGTCATGAGAATTTTGTTGCGGCTGATGAGGGCTGATAGTGTACAAGCACCGGGAAATCAACAAGTTTACAGCCGTGTCTTCTCCGACGAGAGTGTCTATTTTAACGGCATCCCTGCTGCAGTGTCGGTGAAATCATGATTTTGTGGAGAGACTTGGTCAATGTCGGCCTTCCGCGTTTCCGTTTGTAGGAGGTAGTGGACCCCGAAGACCAGTAATTTTATAATTGAACTGGTTCGATTTTGATGAGGCGCCGAAAGAAGAAAGTGGAAGCCGCATCGCCACTAGCACGCCTATCGCTCAGATCCTCCGTGGTTCGATCTTGGCCTTGTATCACCGCACGATAGGAAGCATGGGAGTGTACGCCCGCCTATCCTGGCGCCCGCTACGAGAAAGTTATCGTCGGCAAGTTTGGCGTTTTACAAATGCGGTTGCAATACGAAACTAAACCTTAGCAATATTAATATTTAAAATCTGAAATGAGTCCACACCCACCCATAGCGACAATGAGCTACCAAGATAACGATATAGGCAAGTTCGTACCGAGATACCTCAGGGATGTGAGAACAGATTTCAAACAAAAACCTGCGCATCACGACGTAAAACGGTCCGTGAATGAAATCTGGGATATAGGGGCCATCAAGTTGACCACCAAAAGTCAAGTTTGATGAAGCACTAGAACGGACGCCAATTGATCTTCTAGACAATGGTCAAAGAGGGTTCTCTCACACGGATGTACGTACATCCACATTCACCGAAACAACGCACAGGTAACTGCAGCCCTGTTGATCTCGTATGTGATTCAAATCGTCATTTGAGTCCGCGGTACCTGACAAAAGGTCTAATGGTAGCAAGTACAACACGAGGCGATGGATCAATGCGATCTCCGGTTCCGCTCGTTGGTCTACTGACAACGTGCCCCATGATGATGCTATCAAAGGCGTGTCTTGACGGTCCGTTCTTCGCACACAACGAGAACAGCTGCTGGTAGGCCGAACTGTTCCGCCGCCCCTTGTGAGATAAGATATGAGCGGCAACACCCGGCATTGGCTCAAGGTTTGTTGTACATCAATCTCAAGATTGAATCCTACTTTTTCAACGACTTTCAAATTTGGTCTAGTGCGAGGAACATCCCGTCCAACGGAGTCATTTCCACCAATCCCCGGGAGCTTCAAGTCATCAACGTAAAACTCATCTTGACCACATCAAGCTGAGGACGCAGCCGAACTATGACCTTCAAGTAAGAAAGCAATCATGACGAACTTATGCATGAAGCAACCTCCTTCTCAGCATCAAGACTTTTCCAATGGACATGTCGGCTTGACGTCACGATCATAACTCATCAGAATTTATGTATCGATTAACGCGCAGAGAATTAGACACTAGACAAATCCAGGGTCGACAGCGAAGTTCTGGCAAACCTGAAGCGGTTCCGTGTCACGATCGATGTAGTTGTCGAGTAATTATGCAATTTCGTGACATATCATCCAAGTCATCGAATTAATCCCCAGAATCAATGGAGGTCACGGCAGCCCATAGGTATCTCACGAGGCTCTCACCGCTATGGCGGTACATGTACAGAACAAGGAGTCCTACAATTGTCACCGGTCATGTGTTAGTTAGCAGATCAAAAGTTAAGTAAAGATATGCCCACATTAAAAAACAGTTCGTTTAAGCAGACATCACCGTCTTCCCAGTGAGACACCATATGGGATCTGCAAGTGTTGATCAACGATGATCGATGATCAATTTATAGATCGCGATATTTCCTACCGGCCACCTTGCCCCAAATTCTCTGTGATCTGGACCAAGACCATATACTTACTGTGTCAAGTATATCATACAGGTCACGAGATGAGTTCGATGTAACCGGCCAGTCATCGCACGTACAATCCATGTGGCTGGATCTCCACCATCCGCTCTTTGACGCGTTCTCCTATCTCCTTCATCCATCCTTTTACTTGTTCACGCTCAATATGTTGCCACACAGCATGCGAAAGCGTAGCTGGCAAGAGTTTCTTCACGTATGCTCGCAACACCTCCGTATCGAATGCAGGTCTAGGTGCTTGAGGAGATACCGCACCAGACCGCGAAACAGGAGAACGGAATCCTAGGGTTGTTGTCATCCTTCCTCAGACGAGAGGAAAACGAGGAGCAATTTTGAACGCAGTTGAGCTAAAATCAGAGACTCCAGTTGTCGACTCTAGGGCTTGAGTGAATGCGTTTACATTTGTTTGGTCTTATGGATATGTCACGTCGCCCGGTCCGCTTTCGTGAGAAGTGCGACTTGAATACGAGGCTCACTTACTTACAACCTTCCTGTGCACCGTCCTCACCTTTATCCTAGCCACCCGTAGTCTTCTCCAATTGATTGAAATCGATCTCTCCAAAACGCAAAAAATGTCTTCGATATCGTTCCCGCACTCAGGCGACGAAATGGGCTCATCTTCCAGCTCACTGCACGACTCGATGCAGGCGCCATTCTACACGCCCCCTGCGTTCGACATGTCGAGTTCCTTTCAAATGAACCCTCTTTCTGCGCACCCGCCTCGTACACCGCGCCCGAGCACTGCGCAGTCGCACTTTAGGAATATGAGCATGAGTATTAGCGTGTATGACGAAAAGGCGGAGGAAGAACAGGACAGAGAGACCGTCAAAGCAGATAATGTGGAGGTAGACGAAGATGAGATCGTGGAGCTGGATGAGGAAGATGTACATGTCAAGGAGGCTGAAAAGTTGGTCGGGGCGCATGAGGTGTGGCGAGATATGTTTGTTACAAGTAAAGGACGGGACAAAGCATTTGTGAGTGACTATGATTTACCTGCTGAACAAGTGACAGAAACTGTCTCTGGAGTAGAAATTAATGCAATACTCGATACGTGTGTATCTGCTTTTCCACAGCAAGGTTTTGTTTCGTAACGGAAAGTCCGCTTGGCAGCGGGAAATAGTACGAAGGCTTTCAGATGCGAAATGGGGGCTTTCTTTCACGAGGTAGGTAACTGTTTGACATTGACATCGTTATTGACAACTGACGGCACGCACAGAAAAATGCTTATCATGTTCGACTGGTTAGCTCCCCTGAGTCAGGTATTAGCGCAACAACCTGTGCCCTTCTCGTCTTCCGGATCTTCCCTTGTACCTCATAGCTTCACGGATACCCCAGCATCATCCTCAAAATCTTTACAATTGTCGGGGGGTCCTTTTCTTTCGCACCCGGTCCTCCGAGCTTTGCTATCGGCTCCGCCCCCTGTTCTCCTCGAACTTGTAAATGGCTTGTCGGAAGATATACACTCGCTTTCCAAGCTCGGCCTAATTGGCTCTAAGCTGGGAGCGCGCGCGGCCCGTTTTGCTGACTGGTGTTGGCTCTTTTCTACGCTGGTCGGTCTGGTGGAGAATGGTGTCGAATTGGGAGTTATTGAGGGCCTTCAACGAGAAGGTGAAACAATTAAATTTTTTAACCGCTTAAAGTCCAGTTGCTTATTTGTTCTAGTTCAATCGAGGGCATACAAAGAGTCGCTAGCAGGGGCTACTTCTAAATCACAACCAAAAGCGTCAAAAATTGACGAACGTGAGCTAACGCGACTAGAAAAGCAGAACTACTGGCTTCAGATCTCAAGGGCAAAGCTTGTTATGGATCTCATTTTCGTCTGTAAGTAATTTGACTTCATAAGTATATCCCTGATGTCCTTGCGTTGCAGCGTGGGATATCTTCAGGATCAAAGGGTGGAAAGACAGCGTTCAGTCTTTCACTGGCCTTGCAGCCGCGGTCCTCAGGTAATATGCACCACCATCATTTGTCATTCATACTCCTAATTGGTATTTGGCAGCTGTGCAAAATTATACGACAAGTATAGAACTACGCTTGTCAACAAGGCCCTGACTAGGTGAACATCATGGCGCTAGCCATTCGTGACCTGAATGAAGAAGAGGTGATTGAAGCATGTTAATTTTCGCTTCTTTCCGTACGCATGACATGCTTCCAGCGTTCGACAGTTCCTCGTGTGCTTCATCTGTGTTATCATGCATCTTTTTGTTACTACCCATCACCTCGCATCGCATACGCATTTTGATTGTTCTATAATACCTTTTACTGATTTAATAATGTTTGATTTCGCCTTGCTCGTGTATTTATTTATTGTAGATAAACTGATGGGTTTGGGCTGTTGAATTTTACTATGAATCCTAGATGATGGTTACACGTATTACTATATGAAAATCACCACGGCCACCACTTAGAGGCAGGGTTGGGTGATGATGAGACTGCCGGCCGTTGTAGGGCCCGTTCCTGCTGTAGCCTATCCACCTCTTCTTCGAGTTGACGTACTTGTTCTCGTGCTTCATCTAGAAATTTCTCGTGATCCAGCTGGCTCCGTAATAACTGCAACCCCTGATGAAAATCAAAGCACGAAATCAGGCAAAGATATTAACACGTTGATTTCAGATCATGACACGAGGGAAAGCAGCGAAGAACGCCAGTGACCCACGATGCGAGGACGGACACTACTTACCAAGTACACAGCAGAGCCCAAAAGAGCCACCGGAATCATACCCGGCAACATGGATGCATACCATTGAGAATGTGCGGACCGTGGTTCCGTTGTTGATGAATATCCACGGGCCCACCGTTGAGGAACGCGAAGAGATTGCGTTCGAACGAGGCGCATTAAGGGCGCCATAATATGATGTTTCTAGAAATCGGAAAGGCCTTCCCGATAGTTGGACTCGAATGGACGTGAAGCAATTACTGGTGTGCGTCAAGGTTTTTACTTGCCCGCGGTGTTTGGGTGCGAAGGTTTTGTGTGGGGTGGTCGTTTACTATCCTGGCGAACGGCCTTTTTTTTTTCAAATGAACAAAGTTCAATATTCAAACAAACGTGGGACTGCCTGTGTGATACGGTGCGGAGTGACTCAGAGAGAATGCATGAGATTTCAAGAAATGCAAGAGCGCACGAGATAGGATTTGCTTGGACTTTGGTGCCAAGAAAAGACGGCGATTCCGTATAGGAAAGTTTTTTTGCAATCTCAGTTCTTACCAGTTGCTACTAGTAAATTTGTTGACAGGTGAGATGGACGGTGAAGCTAATGAGTTGCCTCCTGATTGCATAATCAATATCCAACTTCTCAGGCTTGGATAAAAACTGGTCATGTCTGGTTTACTTTGCATATTGTGCCCCAGAAAATACACGCAGCAGATGCCAAGGTTAATGAAGCTCTTCTACGACAGGCGTGCCCACTTCTCCTGTTCCAGAGCTGACTTCAACATATCACTCCCAAGTTTGCTCCCACAGGACAAACAAACAGCAGCTGCTGTACGTCCTCGATGCACGGAGTCTAGAGCTTTCCGGGGCCCTCCGACACCTGTGGGGCGACATCTTGGAAAAACTTTCGAGCGCGCTTGATGTTCCAGTCGCGGGGCCCAGTCACGCATTATGTACGAAGAAGACTAGACCATCCTTCCATTTCTTTTGAACTTTTCCTCGGGAAGACCAGGCGTAGCGCTGATCAGGACCCGACCGAGACTCAACTCGGCATTCAATGGTGCACCGAGACGAAAGAAAAAAATCTGCAATCTCCGCCATGGCGCTACGTCCACATCTCGAAGTAAGGCTACTTTTTCGCCTCCACCATTTTACACCAACATTCGCGACTAGAAATTCATGCGTACATGCCGAAAATGTCGTGTTGCAGAGAGGTAACAGCGTTTCGAGACTTTCTTGGTGGAATAATGAAGAGTGACATCTCACCCCGGCCCCGCACAAGCTGCTTCTAATTATTTTTATTTAAAAATTACCTTTGGCGCTAGTTGGCAAAAGTGTAATCTTCGCTCCATCGAAGCTGGTTCAATATCTTTAAGTAGTAAGGTTACTCTTCCGCCTCTAGTTTGCAACCTTAATATTTGCCACCAGAAACTTATGTGCGCATGCCGACATTAATGTCATGTATAGGATACTGTGGCGGGGAATGAAGAATGCGTCACCCCGACTCCACTGCTTCGCATTCTTTCACTTAAAAACTATCTTGGGCAATAACGGCAAAAACATTAATATTCTTGTTCGCGTGCACACCCCAGGTTCAACAGGCCCAGGAAGGTGAGACAGCAAAATAGATGAAATCCCTCCGTTTTCGTAAGTTATCATCCTCCATAGCATAATTTTCTGATTTTTGCTCGTTATACATATTATTACATTACGTCCATCCGACTTGCTCAACAGATGTTTTTGACGGCATGCACTTCCTTACTTCTTGCTTTCAATGACACTGCTGTCTGCTCCTATTACTTGTAAGATGCTTCCTCGCTTCTTACTTTCAATGACACTGCTGTTCATATTGGGTGATATATATTAGCAAACAGGGACGAAGTCTTCCCTGTTCACCATTCTGCTCCTCCGTATCTCCACCCGACATCAGGCCGCTTTTTTGACACAGACTCATCAGCTGGACGTTACGAATTGCAAATCATGATGGGGTGTAAATTCCACGTGTCATGGTATACAACGTGGCAAGTCTTGGGCGCTCGAAGGCTCTCCTACGCCCGAATTAATCCGTATGGGCCGTTAGATCTGTTTAGCATTATAAAATTACGAATGTTCGTCTACCTATCTCGACGATAATCCGCAGCACCACGTAGCATGTGCTACAGACTCGCTGAGCCAGTCATAACGATTCTATATAATAGTAGTGGCGTGAGACACTACCAAGATAAGGCACTCAGCAATATCTTGGAAAACCATATTAGCATGCTCTTGCTTGAGACTTAAAAATATTGCATCGCCTTGCAACCTGTCGTTCCTTCTCTCTGTTCTCATTCTATCCCGACTACTGTTCACTGTGTGCGCTGAGCAGCGCAATTCCGGTTTGAGCATCTTGCGACCCGAATTCCTAGACGCCCAGTTGTCGATCTGAACCTGCCAAGGCAGCCAAGTTACTACTATGGCCGTACAGCTCAGCGTTGATTCACCGGTACTCAGTGAGAAATCAAGCCCAGGTCCACTTTCAAATGAAATACCTCTCAACTGTCGTTCTTCCCCGAATCGAAGTTCGCGTCAATCTCATCATCTCATTCCAATGCGTACTTCTTTTTCTGTTTCCTCTTCATCCCTTTCGGCATCACAAACTCTACCACAATCGCAGAGATATGTTCGTCCGCGCGGGCTGCGGATATGGAATCTTTTCAAACAATGGTTGCCTATCTTCGCGTACGGCGCAACTAGCCTTGGTTTCATCTTAGCTATCGCATTCTGGAAGACGGAGGTTCTTGACGGTAAGTCATTGGTTCCTATCGGTCTGCTTTCGTGACCCGGTGCCCTAGCGGCCCATTGCTACAGACCAGTGCAGTTACCCTCATTCCTCGCTTGCACGATTATGACAGCGCCATGTTTCGCTTGTTATTTTACTCACAATGTTTATTTCCGGCAGGTCTCGAGTACCTCTCACACTGGTTGCGAAACGACGAGCACTTCGGCTACGCAGTACTATTCTGTCTCATTTTTATCACCACTTTTCGTATGTTCTATTCTTGATTTATCATTGGTCAAAAATTCACGCATGTGCGTCAATTTTCTCACGTTTTAATAGCCCCTCTCCCACTGTATTCCACGTTGATCACATTATCGGGATATACATTTGGGCCGTGGATTGGCGCTGCTATCTCGTATTGTGCAGCACTCTCTGGTGCTGTCGTCGTGTTCTGGCTATCGCGAACGTTCTTGCGCGAGCCAATCGGTCGTTGGCTTTCGTCAACGCGCACTTTATGCCGCGCAGTCCGAGCTGTCGAGCGCAAACCACAGTTATTGTTCCTCGTCAGACTCGCGCCATACCCGTATAATGTGCTTAACGCACTTCTAGCAGCCACGCCGACGCTCACTATGCGGACCTATGTGATTTGCACAGCCTTGTCCCTCTTTAAAGTTATCATCCACACCAGCATCGGTGCAGGGATTCGCTCGTTCGGCGCCAAGAAAGAATCTGATGTTCAGGAGGAAGAGGATGATACCTGGAGCAAAGTCTGGACTATTGGCGGAATCCTTATGTGCGTTGCGCTTTTCATCTACATCAGTTTGTTAGCGCGTCGAGCAGTGGACGATGAACTCGATGATGAGATTCCTAGAAGTGTGTCGGAAGAAAGAGTGGCATTTTTAGATGCAGAGGATGACGATACTGGATCTCGAGCACCACGGTTGCCCTTGACTTTGCAGAGCAACATGAGCGAGGCACAGCTGGTATCGCCGCATCGTGTCGTGTCCAGTCTTACTGCAGCCTAGTCGCTGCCTTTTTTCCTCTTAATGGACTCTTTCTCGAGCCTAGACTTGCATATTATTACTCAAGGATATCGTATCACATAAAAGCCAACCTTGTATGTTGTGTATGTATTTTTTTTTGGAACAGATGTACTTTTTACTACTTTGGATATACAACACTCGAGTCACGACCAATGAAATTCGCGTACCTATACCGTAGGAGATAAACGTGTACTCTGCCCCTGCAGCAAACGCCACTGCCCACAGCTGTGCAGATTCCAGCCCTTTTACACAGGGTCGCCCCTCTTTTCCTGTTGGTACGATCATTTATGAAGTACTCCACCACCATCACGGAAAATCTGGAACAGGCGCAGTACTTTGCAGTGTGAAAAATTGATTATCTTCCGATTCGAGTCACCTGTCGCCGCAAAATCCCGAAAAGGCGGCAGCAAGTTTGAAGTTGACGCGTTACGTTAGCCATGCGAGCCCCCGATCAGAATTCTGTGCATTCGCTCTGATCAGATCACGCGAGATCAACAACTCGTTTCCCGATTTGGTACATACTTATGCGGTCGCCGTGTATCGTAGCATGGTGGGAATTTTATGATTTTGGGGTGTCATGATACGGTAGACAGCCATCATTGGACAAGCAAGCAAAATGTATTGCAGATACTATCGAAGAAAAAAACATAGCCGGGATATCAATGAACGAGGGTAACCGTATACGGGGTAACCGTATGAACACGAGAGCCAAAGACGAGAGAGAGAGGTATCAAAGTGGGAGTGATGATGGGGTGTGGTACTACAAATGAGGAGCAAAGTATACACGCTGGAACTAGATGAGAGAGCACATGCAAACGCAGCCAATCGTTTTGTAACGTTCATGAAAAAGATCTTCCAGTTTCGTATAGCTTCGTAGAAGAAAGAAGCGGGTAAAATGAACCGAACAAAGGAAAGTGGGATCGTGAGGTCAAACGCAAACACAAAACAGCCAGAGCAGTCCAAAAGTCAAACATGAGACACCAAGGAATTGAATTAAAAGGCAACAAGTCTACTTTCTCCACGGGAACGTTGCGTCTAAAGCTCGCTCACAGTTTTGGTATATTGCGGAGGAAGGTGTTCGTTCATAGCGATAAACCCAAAGTCAGGCGAGACTGGACCCATTCAAGAGACTGACAGTCAGTAAGCCAGGCCGTGAGACATCGGAGGGCGCAAGGGGTAGTCGCGCGACTCACAGCGGTTAATGTCGGCTTCCCCTGCGCCGTACCCGTCCCCGAGTGGTGGCGTGTTCGCCTGGGACGATGAAGTGTGAGAAGCAGCACTGATCGACGACGCGCTTGTGGAAGGGCGCGGTCCAACCTGATGGTGACCCCAACCACTCCGTCCATCCATCGAATCAATGGATGCACCGCCAACCGCAGAGTATGCGAACTCAGTTTGCCCAGAAGGGAAACCATACGAGTCCACAGACGGCAACTGGATCATGCTGCGCACTCGTGGCATGTTTCCATCATCAGGATGAGGCGATGTCGATGGCCTCTCGTTGGAAGGATGCTCTCCATACGGAGACGGGTATGGACTCATAGCCTGACTGTGGCGACGGGGACGACGAATGCTCAGCGATGATGGACCATACTGCTTTGAGGACGACGGTGGGCGAGACAATGATGGTGAAATAGGGCGGTGGTGGCTCGACCCGGGACGCGAGTAATCAGCCTGATGGTAAGTGTGGTGCGATGGTGATTCCTCATATGGCAAAGATGATACTGATGAAATGGAGTATCCCGTGGTTGGGCGGCTATCCGGAGATAGAGAAGGTGGACTATTGTCGCTCTGCATCGAAACACCCGAGTAGGTGGATGAGTAAGAGGTATTGATGGTCGGCGTCGGGCGAGGACCATAGCCATTGTTGCTCGGCGGGTTTAACAAGGAAGATAAACTGCCCGAATGGTTGGAAGTCGTGCTGTTGGGAGAGTACTGCCAGTTCTGGTCAGTGTAGGGATACTGCGAGGGAGGGACAAGCATGTCCCTGTTGCTAGTATGTTGAGGGTGGTGATAACCACTTCCTGGACCCATTGCGCTGAACTGAGCAGTGGGAGATTCCTCTGCAGGAGAGATGGGCTGCAAGTGAGACTGATTGTACAAGTTATGATGAGTGGGCTCAGAAGGGACAGTGAGGGGAGGCAGGTTACGAGTGTGAGGATAAGTCGCGCTCCAACCTGGACTGTTCTGATTCAAAGGAGTGAAGGAACCTGGTGCAGAAAAGCCACGAGCACGGCCACTAGCATTGGGTAAAGTGCCCTTTGGACCCACAGACGAAGGGACGGTGAGAGGGACTGGACCCATACCGATCGCGGAACGGGGAGGAGGTATTGATGGGGGCTCCTGAGTATCACGCTTCCTTGGCTTTGGAAGACGCGGAGGGACGCGGCGTTTGAAATTGGCCACAACCTCAGGGGGGGAGTGGCGGTTGAGGGTGGGGTGGGCTGCGGAACCGTACTGTGAGTAGGGGCTTGAAGTGGCACTGACGCGGACTTACACCATGTGCTTGCGTCTGGATCATCAATAGCGGGGTCGACGTTGCGGAGGTTTACTTTGCGCATGAAGCCATAGATCTAATGGACGAAGTGAGGTCAGTGAAAGGTTCATTTCAGTTAAGGATTAAGTGGGCTTTGGCGTCGACAGAGAAGGATGGAAGCACATCAGACATACATTTAGTTGCCGGGAGAAGCTTGCAAATCTCGATTGACGGTAAATGCTTGGGAGGACATGGAGAGCCAACTGTTCTGGTCTCTCTACGATGATGTGTTCTCCTGCAGGATCCCAACGGATCATATGATGATTTTCTGGACGTTCAAGAAGACTAAATATATGACGCGTTAATGAAGGACATTGTAGATTGGAAAACGCGAACTTACGCGTAAAGTTTTGTTAAGAAAGTGGCCTGAGGTTTTGCCTCTGACTTTGGAGGGGGTGGTTGCTGCTGCTCATGAACTTTGAGAGAAGCAGGAGGACTATCCTCTGTCGGAGAGCCATTGCTAGAACTAGAATGAGAAGCTGATGGCTGTTGTGGGTAAGTAGGACCCGTTGTATTAATCTGATGATAGTCAGTTGGACGGGACCATTGTTGAGCTCGTTGATGGTTTGGGTATTGAGAAGTGTACAGGTCCTGCATTGTCGTTGTTCGTAAAGTGAAAAGGAAAGGAGGAATTGGAAAGAAGTGCGAACTATGTAGGTGTTGTCTAAAAAGAACCAAAAATGAAAAGTAGTTAGTAGTCTCGTCGTCGATCGAGACCTTTTTGATATTTTATAAAGGTAGCTAAGTATAAAACTAGATGAGCGGTGGAGAATAAATCATCAACCGAAATCGTCAACACCGAAATTAGGTTACGAATAAATTTACGTCAACATTCCATATCCATTTTTTGTAACCGCTTTTTCCTTTTTAAATAAAACGTAATCAAGGGTGCCGCGGCCGGGTTCGGAAATCACCTTCGGTAAATACATTATAAACAATTACAAACAACTATAACATCCAAATTGGGTCATCATTCCACTACCTCGGCGCCGAGGCTACCCTCGTAAGGAAGTATTCGTGCCAAATTTCCATGTGACAATTTCGAGTTGCCGCGAGATCTGAATCTACTCTGTTTTCCCAACTTTTTGCTTTTCAGCGGCACCTCAGGCCTCAAGTACTCCATCCTGTAAAACTCATAGCTACACGTGTAATGAATCTATGAATTACATTTACAATTACATTTTTTATTAAATGATCCCCTTCACGGCCGCCATACAACCTTGTTCGCTTGCCCCGCACCCTTGTACTTTTTCATTGGTTCACTTTAGCGCTAGCCGGGGTCCTCATCAATTACTCAATTTGGTAAGCCGTGGTTCAACTTGACCAAATTTAGACTTACCGCAACCAAACCTCCCCAATCTTCTCGCTTTGCTTCTCCTCCTCAGCGATCCGCCCGACTTTCGAAGAACCACTCCCCGCGCCCTCTATCTCCTGTCCCTGCTTACATATACACAACTCACTATCATACCTAACACAATTTCAAACAGCGGTCTCAATCGGATCATCATCGACAAACGCACAACTCACGACCACTTATCTGATGAATCGCAGCGGCTATACTGCGTCATGATCAACTGATTAGAAAAGATCGTAAGGTGTCGGACATAATAACACTAAAAGCGAGTGATGGATGGGTTAGAAGAGTGTGCAGTGAAATAATACAAGTGAACCTATTGTTTCCCTAGAAACAAAAAAAAAAACTATGCAAGCAAAGCATCAATGAAATAAAGCAGCGGATGGTATCATACAACGAAAGTATCATACCACGGACCGGAGATCGCATCCGATCTTTCGTAGCCACAGGGGTCTAGACGGGAATACAGCGGAATCAACTTTCCCCATCATAATGTAGCGTGACGCTGTTGAACGCGCCGAACAAATCTCCATCAGCTGGAACATCCATCCCATCATCGCATCCCGGTGTCCCAGGGCCCGCCGGTACGTTCGCACCTGCTACCCCCCGCATTTGCTCCTCTAGATGAAGCGAGCGTGACTCCTTCAAGTGCCGGAAGTTCACCGCATCAAGACCGTTAGAGGATGATGGAATGATCTACAAACGGATAGATAAGGGTCGCGTCAGCTAAAATATCTCTCAAGCCGTATCAGATCAGGCATGTCTCACACAAGGGTGAACACACGCCATAAGCGCCCAACACACTTTGGGGCCCAGATGTATAAGAACAGGTCAGACTCACCGGTGGCCGCTGATGACGCAACAAACCCCAGTTCATTTTGGCAAACCATTTATGCTGCTTAACTTCACTAGCTCCACTCCTGCTACCAAACCTAGTTCGTTCATCTTTGTCGAGCAGCCGAATGACAATATCCTTGCAAGCGCTGTACGGCACATTTTGGTTAAAGTTTACTCATGACTCAACGTCCAACTCGAGCCCACCTCGTAATTTTAGGAGCGTCCCGGAAATGAACTGGCAGAGACCGGATGTTGGAAAAAGTATCGTTCCTCTCTTTTCCCTTGAAGGGCGTGGTGGCGAACTGCACAAGAGCGTCAATGATTTTTCCCATAGTAAAATCCGATCCAAAGTCCGCCGATGACTTACAATCATTTCGTATATCAAGATACCAAGCGTCCACCAATCCACCGCAGCGGTGTGACCCTGGGCAGCTATCACCTCTGGAGCAATGTATTCTGAACAAGGAAGCCGCTTAGGTGAAGGCCTTGATTGTTGATAATTAAAGGAGCCTTACCCTCGGTACCGACAAACGAGTTGGTCCGAAAATCCGCTGTACATGACATGGTATCTATCATAGGTATCTGTAACATAGGCAGAATGTGTGAATGGTCATGGAATGGATGACAAGGAAACGGCTTACCCCGTTTGGACCTAGCTGGTGAATCGTCGCAGGACGGCCGCCAGGATGTCCAGATTGTTTAGCGAGATCGAAATCCGAGAGCATAATGTGGCCGGAGTGATGGAGGAGAATATCTGGAGGAAGTTCCAGCAAGTACGGAAGAGACGGTAAATGAAAGGTGGCAATAAAGTTAAGCGTTTAGTACACGTTGGCGATCAAGAGGAGAAGCGGCCTACTTTCTGGCTTGAGATCGCGGTATATGAAGCCATTTAAGTGAAGGTACTCCAAAGCCGCCACAACCTCCGCCGCGTAAAATCGTGAACCATCTTCCGGAAGGCATTTTCCCGGACGAGTTTGTAACGCGCGGAAAAACTCGCCACCCATGCAGTACTCCATACAAAAGTAGAGGTACTCTTCGGACTGGAAGGAATGATAGAGTGTGACGATGAAAGGGTGATTTGAAGTAGCTAGAATCTCTTGCTCGGTCAAAGCACGTTTTATCTTTTTTCGTTCGATCATCTCCTTTTTGGATAGGACTGAAAAATTATAATTGAAGACAGTTTTGAAGTGTCGTAAAATCACAAACCCACCTTTCATAGCGAAAAGCTTGTCAGTCTTCTTTTCTCGCACAAGGTACACACGTCCGACATCGCCCTTTCCAAGCATTTTAATTTTCAAGAAGCTTGATGGGCCGACCTCGACCTGCTTTGTTTAAGAAAAAATATGCTTGCAGAGAAGCTTTTATAACGTACCTGTCGAACTTTGATTGAATTACTAGAGTATGTCCGTCTGAAAGCCATTTTTCCAGGACCATCATGTGCCCCATTCACAATTCTAGTCTTTGTTAAATGTGGATATCGTTCGTTCCGGTTGGATCTCCCTCTTGAAGAACCAGACGACAAAGTCTCCAATGAATCATCACCGTGATCAGATGACGTAGAGGATGCACCAGGTACTGGTGGAATCATATCTGCAGGTGCTAATAGTCCATTCTTCGTGGGCGCTGATGACCGACTACCCGAAGAAAAAAGATGCTTTGCATTTGGTGCAGACGCTACGCGACGAATGAAGCGCGTGGCAGACGCACCCATAGCTCGAGGAGACAATGGCCCCGAGCGACTTGAAGACGCAGCATGACCTTGTGAGAGTGGGAATGACTGCTGAGAGCCCGTAGCAGTCTGAGGCTTTGTTGGTGTCTGCGGAGGGTAACCCTGCATCATACGCTGTTTCTCCGACTTTGTCCCTATCCGACTTTGAGTTTGTTGCGGGGTAGCCATTCCATTCGCTTCCACATTCGAAACAAATGACTGTTGCTGGCAAGGGAAGAGTCGGGAATCAGGCACAAGGTACGGTGAGTTCGGTATAGCTCCCACGTTCGAATCACTAGATCGGGTATTCGAAGAGTTGTAGGAGGAACGCTCGTCGATAGGCAGGAATGAGCCAGGAGTCAGGGAAGGACTGGGTGCTACGGGGATTTGTTTGGCTGTCTGAAGAGGAGAGGTAACCGCGCGAGGCGAGCAGTCAACAGCGAGTATTGAACCATTGCCATTAGCACGATGCTTCCTTGAGGAACTTGCTAGACGAAAGACAGATTTCCATGAAGAGTGTAACGGAGTAGACGGTGGAGAGTGTGCGTGCATGATGGAAATTGTTGATTCGCGGTCGATCCCGAGCGCTCGATCGGATTGCACAAAGGCTGTTAAACTTCTTCAACAAGTTCAGACTTCGAGTCAGCAATAGCAGACACGGACTACAGAAAGACTGAAGAAAGAAAATTGCTTTGGTATCGGGGGAGATACAAACTCTCAAATTGTTGTCCCCTCAACATAACGGTAGCAGAAAATGGCTAAGCTTAGTAAGACGGCATCTTCCACTTCATTTAGGCTTCCCTAAGAGAATCTTTTATTCGCGTCAACGGTTAACCTTAACCATTACTAGTCGAGACCCGTAGGGTCGATGAAGGCCTGCCCGAGCAATAAAGCGAGCTGCGCTCGTAAAATTCATAACTTTTGGCGTGATTACTCGAAGATTCCCCACTTACCCTGGTTCAACAAACTTGCCTTTGTCACGCAATCAACGTGTCCGTCACGATGCCATAAAGTCGTAGATCCGTGTCATGGTCACCGTCCCTTGTGCGGCAATTCTCCCACCCGATCATCCAACAGTGCTAGTGCCCCTCGGTACGATGTACTTTTGCTGAAGTACCATGGTCAAGAAAGCAGATCTTCGCGGAAATGAAAGTGCTGCCACTCGGACGTTGCGCATGCAGGTGTAACGGTTATGTAAGCTCGAGCAAAAATTTTGTCATTTATCAATTTGTAATACTGCCACAAAGGCAAAGGTACCGCGGGCAGTCATTGGATTTGCAGTTTCGATCTTCGTCGAGACGGAGTCCGCGCCAGGTCCGCGTGTACCTCTCAGTAACTAGTATTTGCGGTTGCCTCGGTGCTTTCCAGTCTCAACTCCATACACAGCAATGACCCACACAAGCATGCCGTCCGATGAGTTCGATTCTGTAGACACGAGGCAGAGATACCAATGATCCGAAAGGCAAGACTCGCCTTGTAGATGGCATAATTTTTGCAAGCGATGATCATCCTTGCCGTGCACCATGGACTCTCACGAGAACTTCTCTGCAGACCAACGAGTTCCCTGAATCCTGTCGAGATAGCGTATTCCATAAACGTTCATCACTGCCAGGAGGAGACTGCTGTATCATAAAGCTATACGCGAGCCGATAGGATGATATGATATTATCGAGCGAGGCTGTACCGGGGCGATATCTTTCTTCATGGATCGGAATTACAGCAGTTGCCAAAAGTTGATATGCTGATGAAGGCAGGAATACAGCGGTGCAGGGACTGCCTGTATCATTATGAAGTCCCAAAATGCAGTCCTAGCGCTCATTCCTGCGGGCCGGTTCGACATGGGAATTGTGTGGAACCTCAGCCTGGTGCATCATCGCTGACTTTGACAACATCACCATCACTAGGCCAAATCTGGGCTTCCGCAGGACACGCACTGGGCCCTAACACAGCAATGTCTGCCGGAGGCAGATACTACTTTTATGATATGCGGCAGCTGAGCGCCATCTGTGGTTGATTTGTGACACGAAAAGTTGTGATAGCTGCCCAAAACTGGGGTTGAGGTCATCATGATGAAACCGCATCAGTATCATCTAGAAAAGAGATGTTAATACTTGGGAAATTGCTTCATATCTGAACCTACACATGACCATCCAGTACGTATGACCTTGCATGCATATGCTGCGATTGATGATTGCGTTTCGCTGACAAAAACAGAACACGAGTCTCTATAATCGTTCCATAACATTGCGACACCTAAACCGGTCAATTCATCAATTCTCGAGAACAAGAGGTGCGATCCTTTAATACCAATGCAAGGTCAAGGTAAAAGAAACATACTTCGGGGACATAAGATGACTTCACTGGCTTTTAAGTGAAATTCAGGAAGCACGAAGTAAAGATGGAATTTTCCGATCCTAAAAACAGAATCATGTCACAGGAACCTATACTGTAACATGAGCGGGCTGCAACACCACCTTTCTAAAGATACCATGCCTCGTGTGCCACACATCATGGCTGGTATGGCTTCATACCGAAGCAGAGAGCCCACATGGCTCACAAGAGCCTGCGAAAGAGAAGGGAAACATCCCAGCAGCGTGTACGATCGTGTGAAAGAGGATGTAACAAAAACTCACCCGGTTGGTTCGAAGAGGGTCGAAGATTCTGGCAATATCTATCATATCTCAGCTGCATGATCATGGGTTTCAGAGGCAATTTCAAAAGTTACTAGCAATGCCGTAGTATGTCGGCCGCGTCTCACGGAGATTGTGGTACATACTTCATCCTAGTACGTGGATTTTAGCAATGAGGAATAAGTAGTCGGCCCCGCAATCAGCCCTGAAGCTGACCAGAAGCACCCAAAGGCAGCTTAAGCAATATTCCGGGCTGTAAGGATGGTGGGTAGACGAAAAAGACAGGCGTGACAGATGTGTCAATTATTCAGATCCGAAGCTGAGGAGGGCCTAGCGTCCGGAGAGTGCGGATTGAATACTAGCAGCAAACAGTGGCAAAAAAAGTGGAGCCTGGTGTACAACACTAGTCTTGATCGTTTGCTATGAGGGAAATTTCGGTTTGATATCGAATCATTAGCTTGAAGGTCTTAAAGTTGAAGGAGGAGTTGAGGGACTTGTTCGCATTGAACCGGCCGGTCCGGGACCGATGTGAGCGGAGAATGACACGGGAGTGTACTATGAAGATACGTCGCTTGAGCATCAGCGGCAGTCATATATTTCTTTGGAAGACCTATAAGCATGTTCCTGCGCGTCAATCATATCCAGAAATTCTAATTCCCCTGCCTTAAAATCACCACGACCGAGACACTTCTGCCCGCCCTGTCGCCCTCTAACAAGTCTCATACCTACTCGGATACCCCGCAAACGATCGTACGACCCCACGTATGTCATCGAGGTCATCGTCTAAAGAATCCCAGCCGTTGCTCCGTGACCGTGATCGGGAGTCTTCTTATAACTCTGTGCAAGCCTTAGAGTCGAGCTCACCGATTGACCCACCACCGCTAAATCAAGTCTCTCGTGTTGAACTTTTTTGGATTCTTGCAGGTCTTTGGAGTGCGGTGTTTCTTGGATCCTTGGATGGTGCGCTCCCAAGCTAGCAGTGAATGAAGAATGGATCAAACCCCAAACTTCTGTCAATAGGCACAATTGTGGCAACACTTCTCTCACCAATAGGAAGTTACTTCAATAAATCTGAACAGTCTTCGTATCTGGGGACATCATACTTGCTCTCAGTATGCTGTTTTACTCCTCTATATGGTGAGCGCGACAAAATTATCGTACCATCGTGGATGTCCAACTTAACGCCTATCAGGTAGACTATCAGACATCTTGGGTCGTAAGGGAGCAATGCTCCTTGGGCTGACTCTATTTGGTGCGGACAGCGAAGCTGATAGCCATTTCATCACTCTAATATGAAATCTAGGATCGGGTACTATCGCATGCGCATTCGCTCCCTCTATGGAGGCGTTGATTGTTGCGCGCGCCGTCGCAGGAATGGGCGGTGGAGGGTGCGTACAATGGAATGATTTTTGCAAGTCTCACTGTGCTGACATTTGCTTCAGAGTAATGACAGGTATGCTGGGCGCTGTTATATCAATCGTCAGTTGAAATGTACCTTGTCGCAGTTAGCAGTATCGCCATCAGCGATCTAGTGCCCTTGTAAGTTCGGGTTTCATGGCGTAACAATACAGATCATTATCGTTTTATTATTAGGAAACAGCGTGGCCTATATCAAGGAATGACTAATATGTAAGTGGCTACGGATTTGCTCATTGCGCTTGAACGAACATGCTCGATCAGTTTGTTCGGCCTGGGCGCCGGCCTTGGCGGTCCGTTTGGAGGATGGGTAAATGACACCCTGGGTTGGTTAGTAGCCAGTCGGAAATGTCTCCACGCCGCCTACTGAATGATCTTGACAGGCGGGCAGCATTTTTATTGCAGGTCGGTAACCTGGTGTATTTCTATCTCGTCCTGACCTCACTCGAACTCAGGCGCCGTTATTGTTTATATCTTTTACTTTGGTCGCACTCAAGGTCAACATAAAGTTGCCCAATGAGATTGAAACCCAAAGCACATATTCCAAATTGCAGCGCATTGATTTCATGGGATCCTTCACGTTAGTTGGTGCAGTCGCCGGATTATTGCTCGGCTTCAGTCTCAAGACTACTGAAGAGCTTCCGTGGTCACACCCCCTAATATGGGGACTTTTTTGTACCAGCGCGGCTTTTTGGGTTGCCTTCATATTAGTGGAGGCTTACTGGGCTCCGTACCCTGTAATGCCCCTGCGTCTAATTACGCAACGCACCCCGTTAGCGATATCTCTGGCAAACTTTTTAGCTTCTGTGACTGCCTTTTCGACGGTGAGGGCTAAAAAATTTACCCGTTAACACTTAATTAAAGCGGCATCTTGTCCAGATATACAATGTCCCTTTGTATTTCTCAGCCGTTAGGCTTGACTCATCCACGAATGCCGGTATGCTTGGACTATCTCCGTTTGCACTCGTTGAGTAATACATGCCCTTTAGGTTTACATCTGCTTCCCCATTCTGTGCGGGTCTCCTTGTGTTTTTGTGACGGGAAATACTCATCTTCTTACAGGTTGCTTTATCCACGGGAAGTATGATCGCAGGCTGGTGAGGTCCTGATGACCATCCATCATTCTGACTAACTTACCGCCGTGAATATAGGATGATGCGGCGAACAGGCAAACTATATCACTTAACGTTAGCCTCTGTTGGCTTGACCATCATTGCCAGTATCTCCCTCGCCCTGTGGAATGATAACACATCGCAGTACCATCTATGGTTAGATATTCTCCCACAGGGTTTCGGAATGGCCAGCTTAATTACTACTACGCTAATTGTCAGTATTTTTCTTTTCCCCTAATTCGTCAACCAAACCGATTCTGAATTTGCAGGCAATGATCGCAAGCGTTTACAAGGAGGATATGGCGGTTGCAACCGGTAGTAAGTGCCGCTTGACTGCTGTGAGAGGACCTCTGAACTCAGAATGTGTAAATTACAGTCACATATCTTTTCCGAACAACTGGCCAAGTTCTTGGTGTTAGTTTATCAGGGGCTGTGCTCCAGAGCATTCTACTCAGAAAATTGCGCCAGCGAATTACTGGACCTGGTTCATTAGAGGTAAGCGGCATTGGTGTGCACCTATACCGTCCGCATTTCATATGAATCCCCTTTGCCCAGATCATCGAGGAGATACGGTATGATGTCGAAGACAATCAATGCGGTGCATACACTTACAGATGCTGTGTTCAGACACTCCATAAGCTCGATCCCTGATCTTGCGCCTGCATACAGAAAGGCTGCAGTCGAGTCGTACGCCGATGCGCTCCATGTTGTTTTCATCTGTCATATTGCGATCAACATTCTCGTTTTCATTGCATGCATACCCATCGAGGAGCAACCCCTTCCGTACGTGATTGTGACGTCCGATCGTGTGCCGATGCTAACCTGTGCCGACATTTCCAGAGGAACACTTCAGGAGCAAGAAGAACATTATAGAAACCAACAACTTGCGCAGGATGACACTGCTTCAGCAGTAGACTCGTCTTAGACATTCATTTTACTGACTTGACCGTTTGTGTTGGGTGTAATTAACCTTCAGTAACTTTTCAGCGACACCCGAGCATGCTAGTACCACATTATGTACTTATTAGACACCCCCATGCCATGTACCCCGCGCTTTCATAAACCTCATAACTCTGGGATGTGTAGTAGTAGTAGATGGTAGTCGTGTACGCTGTATATTGATTGTACTGGGTGATGTACAGAGACGGTCTAAATCTCCACGTCTGGCCTCCTCGTCAGCAATGACTTAAGCTGGTGTATCCTCCGAAGAGGGCCTCTCCTGTATCCACCTTCTCGGCATCTTCTCCACCACTGGCGCAGGCCTCGTTCCCCCTGCTTTCCCCTCTGTATCTCCGTATCGGCTCCGGTCAGGTCGTACGGGACATGGTAACACGTTGGACGCGGAAACCGTCAACACGGATGCAAAAAATGTGAGGCCGAACAGAGTCGAAACTAATGTGCGGCGTTGTTGGTATGTTAGACGAAAACTTTTGGAAATGGTCATTCTACAACTTTTCGTGCAATCTATTATCAGTGGACAAGGTGTAGAAAGCGTACGGATGGTTCACGCACCGACGCTCTGCCCATCCTCTCGAGCAAGATGTGTTTGCGTTCAAAGATGCTCGACGCTAACTTTTGAGGTCGTGCCGGATGTCGCCGACCATGCTAAAGGGGTGATGTTTGCACTTGTTTTCATCAAGCCTTTAACCTACCTTCCAAGTCAAAATTCGTCTGGTCATCATGCCTAACGCTCGCGTACTCCGAGACATCAAGGCCCGCAACGTCGTAAAGGCTAATGAAGTCCTCCGCAGGGCCTACCTGTATGTCGCGCGGAATGAGACCCTGTCCCCGCAAGTACGACACCAAGCTCAGCTGCAGCTGAACACATTTGGGAAGTACACACGTCCGACGACGGTGAAGAACCGTTGCACAGAATCTGGACGTGGCCGGGGGATTATCAGCGAGTTTGCACTTTGTCGAGTATGTGACCCGCGTGGTTTTTTTTGAACGCGTCCTCATCTTGTGACTTTGGCAGTACCAGTTCCGACTGAAGGCGCTCAATTTGGAACTTCCTGGCGTGCGCAAAGCTTCTTGGTAGATGGAGGCTACGCGTGCATAAGATTATGTGGTCTGGTGAGCTTATGCGTCTTCATTCAGGAAAAAGCTCATGGTGTTTAGTGCAGTACATATTTAGTCTCCCCTAACCAGACCATTATAGACGGGACAGTCGCTCCTGCGTGACTTCTTTTGCACACCTGTCTAGATGTAGCTCGCAGCATAAATATATTACCGCACGGAGTCTGCGCATGTGTAATTATGTACAGTAATAACTTTACAAGGCGTCAGCATGAAATCACATATCTGTCTTAGGACACGGGAGAATCCCCTTGAGCACCGATATCAGAGAGCAATAAATCGGGTTCACCACGCTCGCGCCTCCAGCGATTACAGACATTTAATGTTACCTTGTCAATCAGGTAACTAGAGCAGAATGAGCATACAATATGAACGTTGCACAGCTGGCAAGGCGCACCTGTATTTCCGTAACCACCACTCAGCAAGTTCCCAGTTATGCTGGGCTAGAACATCGTCTCCATGAAGTTTGATGGCCTTCTTGTAGTCAAAAAGACAATCTGCTAACGAAAATTGCCCTGAAAAATATCAGAACATCACCATGCTAGAAAATTGCTATGCGACTACCTCGGAGAAGGATGATGCGGTCTCGGAGCTCAGGATATATGATACGGTCGATAACACTTTCTGCAAAGGAATCAATGCATGTTAAATAAAAGGCGAAACAAGTATACCATGATTAATCGTTCTTAAGGATGTCTAGTGAGCATGTGATCATCGAACTGGAGAGACTCGCGCTCACCTCTGCACCAGAGTTGGTCGTAATGAAGCGGGAAGACAATAAGCACTGTTTCTCATGAAATTGTCGAGGTGATATCTGAAGGGGCACTCGTATATGAGATACATGACAGGAATGAATCAAAGACTGACTTGATTAATTTCATAGCCTCGATCTTTTTGGGATCTCGAAGTTCTGCCATATCGTGATCATCAGGTTCTTCAGTTGACGTGTTTTGAGGTAGAACCCGCTGAGGGGCAGTTGTATTGGTTTTGTTCGAGGGGTAGGACATTGCCCCTAAGCGTTGTTCGACGTTCATGTTCATTTGGGGCACATAGGGTTGAAAATCAGCTGAAGGAGTATAATGACTTGGTGTACTAGAAGTTGTAGTGGGCATGAAAACAGGCGAATTTCCTGACTGCATGAGATCCGAAAACATATTGTCCTGAGGAGAGCGTCCTTGCAGGGGTGGTGGGGGATATAAGGAGCTAGCAGGAGCCACTGCGGAGCTCACGGGTAGCATGAGCGGGTAAGAGTCTCGACGTTCACCGTTTTGCTCTGAGTTATTCATACCTCTTGCCTTCTTTGCGGGTCCAGGCCCACTGTCGTCGTCTGATGGGCGCTTTCCTGTGTTACTTGCCGGGCCAAGCATTGAACTCATGGCGTTTGATGTTTGCGAAGTCTTTTGAGAATGTTTGCGCGATTGGAAACTCTCCCATGCAGTGTCCGTTTCTGCCTTATTGATGAAGCTGTCGAAGTCTGCCGCATCCCAACCAAGCTTCACCAGCAAACCACCGGCACCATCGCCGATAAACCCTGATACGCTCTTTAGGAGGCCGCGAAGGACGTGGTTTTCGGCCATAAGATCTGAAAAATATAAACTAGGACAAGCGACACCAATGCAAACGGATATATTTACATACCCCTAAGAATTGCCCTGCAGTCAGTCAGAGCTTCATCCTGAGACGCAGAAAGTAATTCTACGCGCGCCTCGAGGTCACGAATCTGATTGTCGGACAGTGGGAACTTAGCACAACGATGCCAAAAGTAATTACGGACCGGCGCACCCTTTGCTGCTTCCTCAAGCGAAACTCACGCTGGGCGATACGATTCTGGTCCCGACGGGCTGCCTGCGAGCTTCTCGGCGGTCAATGGTGCTTACGAAAAGCAGTTTGAAGTTGACACACTTTGGATTTTTTTTCCTGCCCGGTTTATTTGGTTCCCCTCCCCCAAGTTCATCAACATGGTCGAGATGAGACTCATTATCAGAATCCTGTGGAATAATTATTGGTGAGATTGACGAACAGCCAGTAAGTTTTTTTTAAAAAAAGGAGCATACTGGATCAAAGTCTCCAGACAAACTGCGGGATGCCACATCATCAGGCATTTTTGTGGAAATGAAGTTGGTCAAAAGTGAGTACTAATCGATTGGCGGGTACAATGATATTTGCAATGGACGGCGTAGTCAGCACTAGTCAGCCCGTCGGCAGTTAGTGAATGGACTGCGATGCCGACTCCAACGACCGGTTGGTTTTGATAGCCGAGCCGTTGGATACCGGCATGTGAAATTATCTATGCACTGCTTGATTTTTTTGACCTTCGGAGGCACCAACCACGTTCGGAACCGCCCATGATCTCATTGAACTCTGTTTTCCGTCTTTTGCTCTATGATCTCCTTGCTGCGAGCTAGTTCTATGACAACTTGAATTACATTCAACTGAGTTGTCGACTCGTCGTGTATCGCTCCGCTGATTTTGATGAAGCTGCTAGTCCCTTACCTCAGTTTTGTGCGGCATCGATAAACTATACCAACGAGCATCACAATAGGCTCCGAGGCAACCTCTGTCAGAAAAGTTTCATGGACAGATGAGTCTGTGAATGTATTTCGAATATGTCCTTCTTATTTGGCTCAGGTGCAAGTCCTTCCCCTTCAAAACACGCTATCCCCACCCAGCTCATGTGAACCTTCCGCTTTGACACCACCATTGGCTAACGTTTACACAGCTTCGACGAAATGAGCGTTTAATCTGAGCAAATTGTGCATTTGTTGGCCTGTAACCTTCTTCTCTTATCGTCACTGCACAGGGTGTTGCTCACTGAATCGCCATGTTCTCATGATGACCCTTAACATTGACATCACGCGACAAAACATCCGAGCCACCTGTATCACGTCTTATCGTGTCTCGGACCGTTTGATCTTCGGAGCCAAAATACATAGGACCATCCCTACACCATCAGCTAGATGTACGTCGTCATGTTCTGATTAATGTATAAACACCCCATCTTCCTGTTTACCCTGAGTGATGCGGTTGTTCGTTGCAGGGTGTACGAAATCCATTCGGCTGTTGGTCCTGCTTGTATCCATTGACATGACACGTGGTTTGCAGGGTGTCGACTTCGGTGATCCATCGTTCTCACTACCTTGGCATTTCCTGTGGTTCGACCAACTCGGTGACTCCTTTATTCGCGTCCGCGCGCCACACACTGGCATGGCTTGAATCAGACAAGACTGAGGAGTCTGAGTCTTATGGCGTTTCCCCTGGGGTTTGATGATAAAACGGCAATGCCTGACTCTGCCTCTCGTTGTGGTGCTCGATATTGAGCATTGGCTCACCCTGAGTAACGCCTCAAATTGAAAAATATTTTGAGCCGGTGTCGAGGTTGAGCACAGTTTGCGTCTTAATAAGTACACGCTTTCAGGGCGATTACCTCATGTTTAGCAATCGCTTATCGTCTCTATGGCTCATTGTCGCTCCCTCACACCGAGTCAATGGCTTTGCTCTTATTGGGATGCGTCATAGGACTGATAATAGACTAGTGACCTCAGCTCCCAACCGTATATTCGGGCGGATCAACAGATCTCTCCGCGCAAACGCAAAGCGAGATTCATTACTGCAATGATTAAATTCCGTCTTGACCCTTCAAAACTTATAATCATGTAAACCAGTCTGGCAACCTCTCTTTCTCTCTCAAAGTCCAAACTTCACAAAACATCCACAGCTATCATGGTTGCTGAATCTGACATGGTCTTTCGCTTTGTCAATGTGAACGACACCAGCGCCGACATGCGGTCATTTCGAGTGTATCAGGTGATAGGAACAGCAGCACGCGAGGAATTGGAACTATACAAGGTATGCTCTACTCATCTACTAAAATTCATGAGTTTGACTGCTCTTGCAGTTTTCACATTCAATGACCGGTTCTCCTGGAGGAACCACAACTTATCAGCGGAAAAATATGAACAGTTTGATCTTTGAGACTGTTGGACAGATCAGCTGGAGCTCAAACGTTATAGCCTCCGCCGTGCATTTTGGTTTGGAGGAGGTGGGATTGTGATGCTGATGACCCCGATGCACTCCGCTGATGAGTTGCTTGCCAGGTTTCTGTCAAGGATCTCCGCAAGGTCAAAAATGCGACCAGCCAGTGGAGTATTTTGCCTGAACCCATATCTCCGTACTGATTCATTTCATGAATTTTTAGTTCACGCAGATTTAAATCCGGTGTCGGTGCCGGATATAAGTGGAAGATATCTGAGAATAGGACTGACTTATACGTACGTGTCACCCAAGTTTGAACATGTGTCTCCTAACGTATTCCTACGAAACAGTGTATCGATTCGCAAGACAAATACATTGCATCGTGGTCAAACCACGAGAGGATCCTACGAGTGACCCCACGCGCCAGCGCAATGTTAGATCGGCTGGTGGTGACTTGCTTCCTGAATGTGTGGTTCAAGCAACTTGGGCGGTGGTAACGAGGTCGTCAACGTCAGGTGTCTATCCTTATAATGTATAGTAATCAACCTAATCGCAACGTCTGTAATCCGCGTTTAGCATTTTTAGTACACTGAAATACCTCCATTACTACTCGCCTCTGATAATCGTTTTGCAACTGGGAAACTTGAACGTCACCGGGCTTCAAACTGAACCACTATTGGAAAAAGGTCAACAGTTGCTTGGTTTCTGGTTTCAAGAGCAACGAATACGCACTCCGCTTTGTTCGTTTCTTGTACATGATACGATGACCACACTCGCGACAACGTATCGGTTCCCTAGACTTGATTTCATTTTTAGCACCACAATCTTTTTTTTTTTTCAAACTTTGATTAGATTTATTGATTCTCGCGAGCAGTGATGCCAGTACCTGCGCAAATGTATTCCATATCCTGTCGTGGTGCAGGTATAAAGCTACCACCACCCCCACCAGCATTGGCAGTTTGTTGTCCTGGCTGGTTCATGGCAGAGCGAGAACAAAAAAGCTTGGTAGTCGAGGCGTGACAGTCGCGTGATGTGATACCCACGTGAGTCACGGGCGCGCAGTTACTACTCGCCGTATCTAGTCTGAAGTTTTTCAGGTCTGGTTGGCCATGTGCATGACTGATGGAAACAGTTGGTTGCAGTGTGGACGTGGAGACTGTCACCCTGGATTTGAAGTTCTACGCAGCCTGGTAATTGTTATTCTTGTGCACTGCATGGCTTATAAGAACGCGAAGCTTGTGAACGAGTCCCTTGTTAGCATAATAACAATGAAAATTCGTGGTACTAGTCCAAGTACTATGATTGTGTGGTATTAAAAGCAGTGTGTCCATCCTTATTAACTCTATCACCTTGCCGACCGGCTTGGAACCCTTACTATTGATAGTGCAAACCTTCAAGAAAATAAAGTCACAAGTGCAACTCCAGAGTTTCGTAGGTGGCGACCGTCCTTCGTGACAACCGTGGGCGGTATCCAAGGGGTTCAAACTACATCCTTATAACTATGGCCCTCTTACTTTATCACCCATCGAAGACTCCCGACATCGCATAGTACTACGTTCGAGATCGTCTTATGGCCGCTCTCCCTTCTTTTATTGAACTCATGGCTTCTCTAGGCATAGATGATGCTAAGCCAGCAACCCCGAGTATAGTCAAAACTCGAGATCGTTCTTCTTCATGTTCTTCGTCTTCTTCATTGGGCAGCTCTGCTGACGGTTGGAGCCCCATCCGTTGTGCCCGCGACATTGACTTGGATAGGCGTTCTCGTCGAGTCAGAGCAGTAAGATATTCACCATACATTTCAGCTACTGTGAGTGCTTGGCTTCACAGCTCTGTTCGTTGTCTCATTGTTGCCAAGTCTACTGCCAGACAAAGCAGTGTCGTATCGTTGACACATAGCCAGAGTGATCCAGAAGACTCTAGTAGGGTAAGAGCATCGACTTTTCTCTCTCAACCCACTTTTTTTTGACCAGAAGATACAGTCTTCATCACCAAATCCCCCTTCATCTCCTCGGCACACACGACGGCCTTCACCGCTTCATTTCTCCAATAGAGAAAGGTCATCCATCACACCTATTTCCTCATACGTTCGCCGCAAGACACCACAGAACTCGCCTGTCGTCCTTACTTTTGCTCAACGGGAATACGTTGAGAGACCCGAAATTATCATTCCACCATCATTGATGCCCATGTCATTGCCCACTATCCCATCAGTCTCTCACTAGTCTCTGTTTGGATCAAACAATGGACTCTATCTCCACTTCTATTCCCCGGCCTGCCGATGATGTAGTTGCCGTGTATCCCAAGGAAGGACTTACGGACCTTTTAATTCTCTCTCTTATACACGCATACATATCTCTCCTTTGCATTTCGTCTCACCTCACTCGTTTCCTTCTCATAGCTGCCATAACTTCGCTCTTTGCTTGTGAAACTTTCGCACTCACAATTGTACTACATCTTGATCTTCTTAGGGAAATGTGTAGGTTTAGATCAATCATATGATTGACGCTGGTACAGAGGGAATCTAAACATCTAGTCATGATCATCCTCTTCAGGCCCAGGGCAATTCTGTTCCAAATCAATAGCATCCTCATACTGTGTCCCGCACCAGAAACAGTACGAGTATTTCTCCCGGAGATAATCGAGAAGAAGTTTTAAGCGGTCCCGCGGCTACATGAGATTTGGAGTTAGGGGTACGCATTAAAGAATAAAGATTGTATTAAAAGTATACTCACGCCCAGTCGTAAGAAGTAAACCGCTTCCTCGATGACTTCTTGCGGGAATTGTTCCACTGCTGTGGGTGTTTTGCTGTCTTCGGCATCTTCATCTTCATCCAATGAAGTAACCGGTAACAGGGCATCAGCTGCCATTTGGGCGCGTAGACGTGCCGCATGGGAGGCATCTCCTGAGGCGGAGCGCAACGGTGATGCATGCAGTGTATTGGTTGATAGCGCGTCCACAAGACCCCCTGGGATAGAGTCAGGATTGTTAGGATCCAAACAGAGAACGTTGAACTATCACGCAGATCAATAAATTTAGTATCCTTGCACCCTTGTCTGGATAAAACGCACTGTGATCCCCGCCTTCTCGTCAAGTGTGAGGCACGTCTGTCGTGCCGGGGAAAGGCGTCCTTCTGCTCGCCGTTCTTCGTATTCGCGCCGGGCGCGGTCTCGGAAGCTCTCATGACTGGCAGCTTCTGCCATCTTCGCCATCTTTGCGAGGCGATCTGCGGCACTGGGTGAGCGAGCGCGCTTCCCTAGACCAATACCTTTCTTCCCTGCAATGATAAGCCATCAAGTCAGTTTATTTTCCTTCCATATGTAGATTTTCGGTGTGGACATGCCTTGCCACTCATTGAGGGGTAATGGTTCAACCTTGTGTTGAGGTCTTCCTTTCAAACCCTCTCCAAGATCCGCAGATTCTGACTGAGCCCTAGATATGCCCTGCTCAGACTGGTCCTCGGACAGACTAGGACTAGGTAAGGGAACTGTGGTCTTTGGAGGGCTATCTTCGGTCTTTCCCAACGATTGCCCGACCTTGAACCCCATTTTCATCATGATGCCCAGTGCCTTGCTCCCACCTGCGGCCATTTCTTCCTCCTGTGCGCGCTCAAACAGGCTCTTGCTAAGCCCCTCTTCCCTGGACTCTTGCTCCCTTTGCCGCCGACTCTTCTTTCGGTTCTGCTCATCCTTGACTTGAGACTGCTTCAAGGCCTCTCGGCGTCTCTGAGCATACGTTTTCGGCGCGGACTCGGCTGCAACCTGGGCAAGGAACTTGTCCGAAAGGTAATCATCCTCATCAGCCATGGATGGACTTCATAAATTAGCCATAAACATAGCCGAAGTTGACAAATATGTAACAATTACTTACGGACACACGCTTATTTTGAATATATGGAAAATTAATCATTCAATGACAATATCCATGAAAAAAAAAACTTTCGTAGTCCTAGCAGACATCGCAAAAATTGACTGCAACTGCAAGCGAGTCTACAAAGTTCGATGAAAGAAGGACACCCAGAATGAAAGCACGACTTGACTGGTAAACATACGCGAAAAATCATAGCGCAAGCGAGACGAACAACACTAAGTCACGATGAACTTGCACCGGAAATTGAACATGCGTTAAGGTAAGGTCAACGGGACATGGGATCAGAGTCATGTATGGTGTAATCAGGTGGCGTACTCGGCTTCGTCGACCAATTCTTGACGGGCAGAGTTGACAGCAATTTTGACAGCGATAGCACGGCCGCCAACTTCCTTGCCCTGGACAGCCTCGATTGCCTTTGCCTGTTCCTCCTCAGTGCCAACATCGACGAAACCGTAACCTTTGCTCCTCCTGGGTGTTCCCCACCGGCGACGAACCACGCGGGCGGAAACGACATTGACACCGGCTTCAGTAAAGAGCGCGGAGAGGGCATCATCGTCTACGCTGAAGCCAAGGTTGGCGACAAACAGGGTGGTCTTGGAGGGCTCGCCAACGGGATCTTCACCGACGGCGCGGGATGCGCGAGGAGCCCTGGGTCTCCGAGTCCTGACGCGAGGCTTCCTGGGGGCAGGTTCAGGAGCACCCTCTGCGGCAGGCGCCTCGTAGCCAACCTCCTCGTGTACGGTTTCACCTTCGAGAGGAGCAGCCGCTTGGCGGGACTTGCGCTACAAGCGAAATGAATTTTGATAAATCAACGCGTGTTAATTACATACGTTGCTCTTTTTCTTTTTTCTTTTGGGCTTAGCTGCCTCGTCAGTGCCCGAAGCAGCAGCAGGGGCAGCGGCATCCTCCGTCTTGACTTCGCCATTTGCCTCGGCGTCGGTGACTTCACCAGGAACGGCCTTGGCACCGCGCCTGTTGGGTCTCCTCTTGGCCCTTTTCTCCTTCTTTTCTCTGTCCTTTTGATCGGCTGGCTTGGCAATCTCGACGATGACCTTGCGACCGTCGAGCTCCTCCGAATTAAGGAGGTCAACAGCTCTTTGAGCAGCCTCTGCACTGGACATTGCGACGAAGCCATAACCTGCGGATCTAGGGCCTCGCAGGATGACCTGAGCAGTGATACTGTGAAGCGAAGAGGAGTGAGATATTGGGTACTAAAAGCTGTGCAGAAATCATCTACTTACATGTCGCTCTGTACGGGGGCAAAGAAAGTCTTGAGCCCTTCATCCGTTGTAGAGTACGCAAGATTGCCAGCGAAGACCTGAGTTATTATTAGGAAAATGAGGATTTTGAAGAAGAAATAGAAAAAGAATAGATACTTTGAACGGGGGAGCTTCTTCGATGACATACTCTTGCGCAGCCGGAGGCACGCCATTTTCTGTAACCTGGGCGGCTTGGGCGTCGGACATTTTTGAGGGATTGGACGATTGGGATGAAGGATGAACGCAGTGATGAACTATGTGATGAACCGGTTTCAAAAGTTGACAGTTGAAGAAAAAGAAACCGTTTGAGCGATTTTAGACGCTGCCCTTTTTAAATCATTACACAATATGATTTAAGACGCTAACTGCCTCATGTTTTAGCCTCGAGGTACTGTTCGGTCCAACATTTTACATAAGATATGCCACTAGTACCCTGCGTATTTACGATCACGTCTTCTCCTATGATCTACCTCATCGTTGAACACGACGAGCTACTCGGTAAATGTAGACGGTGATCACTCACAATAAAATGAATGTCATGGCGATTGGAAGCGGCCGTGCGATTGCTTACATAATTCAGTCGATAAAATTTGTGGTCTTTTCTGGTTTCTTTACCTTCCCTTGTTCATTCATTCAACGCCCTGAGCTTTACGGCTCAAGCCCACTCATTTAAAACCACACTCTCTCAATTTCCGTGTCCATACCCTTATATATAAACTATCCGTCTTAAAGACGATACCCTCAGTCTGCATCTCAGACAACCATAACAACCCAAAAAAATAAAATGGCTGCTCTCAAATTATTCAATCTTGTTGCATTGGCTTCAATCGTTCTTCTGGCATTCGAGTCTGGTCCTACGTCTGTCAGCGCCTTGACTACAGATCGTGCTCACGTCGCTCGCTATGCTCGTGCTCACGAGGCAGTAGCAGTAAATCGGAAGCGCGACCCTACATCTAGCCCTGGTCAATGCAAGCCTAGGCCAACAAATTCTGCCACCTCTGCGTCAGCTTACGGTGACAGCACTCCCGCTCCCTCTTCGTACTCGTTCTCGTCATCTATGGATTACACACCGGCACCCTCGAGCTCAAGTTCTGGTAGCTACGTCCCCGCGGCATCCACCCCCACTAGTACCACTCCCACTAGTACTCCCACTCCCGCTGTTACCCCCGCGACCACTTCATCAAGTGGCAAGAAGTGGGGTTTGGGCTGGCCTAATGGTGACGCTGACTACCTATCCACCTTCGCCGCTCGTCCCAATGTTGGCTTGTAAGTGCTTGCAATTCCCTTTCGTTATCTTCTCTAATCATAAAACAGCTTGTATACTTGGAGTCCTTACTTGCCCACTAACATCTACGGCCTCAAAGGGATTCCCATGTTATGGGGTTACGATCAGGTTTCTGACTTTCAAAGCTTGGTTGTCGCTGGTTACGCCAACTACGTTCTTGGGATGAATGAGTATGTTTCACAGGATTATTTCCGACCTAGATCTTGATGGTTTTGGTTTTCAGGCCCAACGAACCCAGTCAGTCCAACATGAGCCCCTCGGATGGTGCTGCGCTCTGGAAGCAATATATCGACCCGCTGAAAGCCTCAGGCTACTACCTTGTGTCCCCTGCTTGCACCAATGATCAGGCTGGTCTTGACTGGATGACTAGCTTCTTCCAAGCCTGCTCTGGTTGCCAAGTTTGTCTAAATTTATCATAATTCTATCCGCCTTCTAATTTTTGTAATTAGGTTGACGCTGTCGCCTTCCACTTCTACGGGACTAATGCTCAAGATTTCATCAGCTATGCCACCCAGCTGCACAACACCTACAACTTGCCCATCTGGGTTACCGAGTTTGCTGACCAGGTAATTAATTCACATTTACATCAAGTCTCGTTAGTTAACATGTCCTTGAAGAGCTTTAGTGGTGGTGCACAGGCTTCCCAGGATGAAGTTTATGCTTTTGCTAGCACTGTCGCTAACTTTGTCGACAGCACGTCCTGGTTTGAAGCTGCCTTCCCCTTCGGTAAGATTAACATTCATTTCCGTGCCGCATTAACTGATTTCTCGCACGCCAGGCCTTATGAGCGACCTTCAAGGTGTCAACACCGCCAACTCTCTCCTCTCCAGCGATGACACGCCCACATCTCTAGCCTACAACTACTTTGGCTAAGGAATTGTCATGACTTATGGATAGCCCGCGGGGTTCAGGCTTGTTGTGGCTATATCTGCTTCGCTATATTCCCGATGATACCCTCATTTTATATGCCAGTCGGATTCACTTCATTTCACTTATCGTTCATATCATCGTTACCCTTATTTGGTCGCTAGCTTGATGTAATGTGCTGGTTTCGCATGTCGCCTGGTTTGCGACGAAGCATTTGTTGAACAATGCGGACACTAAGTGTTTTTCTTGTAACGGGCTCAGGGAGCCTTTTAAATTCTCACATCAATTTAGAATGTTCCGTAAAAGGAAGTAGCGATCTATTTGAGTTTCACTTTCATAGAAAATAATAATAATTTTGCTCGATTTAGAATTCGAGTGAGCGCTACACGTGTTTTCGAGGACGGGATCCCGTATACGGACATGGCCTTTCCCAAAAGTTTCCTATTCGGGAATAACATCGGGCAAACTGCCCGTACACGGCGTGCCGTACAAGGATCATCAGGTCGGACTTGCAAGTCCGATTTCGTGTATATAGTCCCTTTCATTGCCCGAATAATGCAACTTGAGTATACGACATGGTCAAACATTTACCGCCTGCAGTTAAGCACCTTTTGACGCTCCGTAACCCGGAAGCTTGGCCAAGCCCCTCTCTCGGAAGACTTCATAACGTGTTCAACCGTACCCTGAACGAGGCAAAACAACGAAACGCTGAAAACGGATGGCTCGTCCTCTCGGTACGTATGCCTCTTGCGAAATTGCTCTTCTAGCCCCATTCAATCGGAGATAACAGACATGCACACTCCTTACCACCAACAGACCGTCTTCTCTTGGCCACTTGTATCGTTTCGTTTCCAGGAGTGATCCAAGCTTGCTTGAATCGCGAAAGAGCCTTGCGGACGTCGTGTACAAAGCTGCCCTCATGCGGGAAGCCGCACTAAAGAGCGTCATCTTTGTCGGCGTACCTCGAGTGAGTGCAGTTACATGAAATTTAGAAGTTTGATGGCCTCGGATACCTGCGCCGCCGAGGTCAGGTGACTTAACGTAATTTCAGACAATTCTCTCCTTGACGGGGCTAAAGGACGCACTCGAAGAAGACGTCTACGCCGCGTTACGGAAAAATTCCATCAGGTATGTGGTATCTGACCACGAGGCAGTGCTCAGCGTCATATCTTTTTTGTTTTCGCAAATTTTCTTCAGGGAAGCAACTCCGCAGAACATCGAGGCGACTGTCGCAAGGGGTCAAAGGTTGTGGGACTCAATTTACCAGCCTCATGCGGTGAAGCTGTACAATAAGCTGGGGGACCTCCATCCTGATTTCATCAGTACGTTCTTCATTTCAATTACCCCATGGTCTTATCAATCCGCCTCGAGTTTTATTTTGCTACACATACGAACCTGATCTCCTTTCACAGAGTTCATTATTCAGGCCTACGGTACGGTCTTGTCTCCCTTGCCGCGAGGGGACTTGGAGCAAGGAAACCTTACCCGTGCTCTTGGATCGGTAGTCGGCATCGCTACTCTCCGTGCTGAGAGCAGAGTCGGACCTCAGCTAATCAGCCACGTTTTCGGTCTTCTCAAAGCCCGCAATGAGGAGAACTTGAACGACGAAGATAAGTATTTGTCAAGCGATGAAGGCACCGAATGGGTTGTACGTACAGTGGACGAGATTGTCGACGCCGTAACATCAGAAGAGCCATCCTTGACAAAGGGGAAATTGTAGATAGATACGATACGGTGTCATTCAGACTCAGATCGTACGAAATCAAATGACGGTCTGATTATGACGCCTTAGCGCGATTAAGAGCACAATGAGGTATGCTTGCATCGTGCACTCACACGTGAGTGCCGGAAACGCGTGTTACCGATCATTGGAAGATGTCAAAGTCGCTGTTGGTGCTGCACCCCCGGCTCGGTCGGAAGGAAATTTTCTCTTGTATGAAATGAATAGCATTACATGTATGGAAGAGTTCGCCAATGATACGTACAAAGAAAATGTGGGCCAATTTACAGTGAATAGGATTGCTAACATGCGTTAAAAATGATATCAGAGACCAAATGCCTGACAAAATCGGTATAGCATAGCCGTTACCGTGACCGTGTCCATGATTGGGGGATGCATCTGAAATCGGGAAAAATAAGATTAAGCCTTCGCGTAGCAAGTGGGGTAACAAGTACTCACGATAGTAGCTGCCCCAGCGTTTCGCAGAAAGTGGAGCTCACCATAGACATCTCCAATCTGATACCGTGTTGGTCGTGTGGGGCGGAAGACTGCAACGATATTTCCAGCGGAATCTTCCAGCTGCGGAAGCAATAATCAGCTTTAAGTTTGCCTCCGGAGGACAAGATTTAAGCACTCACTACGACATCAGCAGAACCGGGGGTCTGCCGCCAGCGGTATGTTAGACCATCGGGTGCGTTGAATATGCGTGCGCCCTATAGATGGATGTTGTAAGCGATATCGCAATCAGAACATTTGATGTAACTGACCGGGAAGCGTGGATCCGGGCGAACCAAGTCGGCCATCGGTACTGTATTCTGAAGGGAACGCGGTCAGAACAATGGGACCCAAGACGCCACGAGGTTTATTGTACCTTGCCGATCACTGCACGGCCGAGGCCGCCATTCGATGCCCATTCCAATTTTGCGACGCGGTCCTCCTTGTTAGCCCGTACCGCTCGCCAGAGGGTAGTAGTACTCTGCCCACTGGGGGCCACTACAGTCTAAGGATGTCGGTCAGGGTCTGTTTTGACTTATGAACGTTGTAGAGCTGCATACCGCAAACCGATAGACAACACCCCAGGCATTAAAGAGTTGGCTCTCTCGCGGATCCTGACTGGTCCACGAAAGTACTTCATTTGATGGTGTTGCCATAGCGTAAACAAAGGAAGAGCTGTCGAAGTTTGCGGAGGTAGGTACTGGTTTTGTGGGGAGTCCGACAATAAGAACCTGGTCTTTTATATCGTGGAATAGCTTGATAACATCCGCATACCCCTCTTGTTTTTCACCTGATCGCGAATTTTCATCGACAACGTGGACTTGTGACAGATAAAGATGAGGACACAACAAACGTGTAGACGAGGAAGCGTGGTGTCGTTATGTGGTCTGGAGACTTGTGTGGAGCAATGGTCCAATGCAGCAACTCAGGTCGAGGCCGACATGATCGAGGAACAACACGCGTTCAACACACAAGCGCTGATTCCTCTGAGACAGGTAGATTAGCGTCGAGGTCACTAGCATGACACATTCAACCTTCTATCTCACAAAAGCACAAAGTTCGTTTATACACTGAGTTACCGATAGATCAGCTAGCAGCCTGGCATGAGAAGGTCGCCGAGAATACTCATAAGACGCACTAATCAAAGAAAGAAACAAGAGGATGAGGAGATCTTCACCAGTTTACATGCGGTAAGGAAGCCTCTTCAAATGGCAGGTCAGATACATGACATTGGCGGTGGAACTAGACCTGAGAACGTGTCCTATGAATGCGGGATAGATGCGGTTAAACCTGCCCGAGGCGTGTCAACAGCATGGCGGGAAATCCCATAAGCAAGACAAAGGTACTATTGATAAGCCCATGACCTCTGCTAAACGCTGCGACAAAAATACCACCTAGGCCTGAGGATGAAGGGGGTGGAGGAAGTTCAAATAAAGTTTCATGAATTCTGCATAAGGTAACCTGGCCTGGAGTTAAGGGAGCGCTCGCTAGAAGACAACCTCGGTTTACGAAGACCGGAGTGCTTGTTCAAATGAAGAGAGAAGCGTAATTTAAGGCGAATGAACCCAACCTTGCTCAAGTTGCTCCTCGTTGCATCAGGCGCTTCCTTTTCCATCTCTTCATTACACGATGTAGATTAGTGTGCATCCAGTCCTTTGACTTTGGAGTGTGTCCGATCATGGGCTATCATACATATATCGACTGGGGATGCGGTGGCGACCCCGTGTTCTAAGGTCTGGATGAGAGATCTTGCGTCTTGATTCAGGTTGATAAGGTGCGGCACGCACGAGTCGAATCTCGATCGTAAGCCCATCGGGAGAATAATGCAACACCATTTGCGTACCTTTTCTGCGAATATCTGTGACAGAAGGTCACGGCACAACCTGTAAACCCAAACTTTTCGCTGTGCCAACAACAGTACTTGCGATCGATTCGAGCTTCAAGTGCTTGAGATGTGCGTCCTTCGCTTTAATTTTTGCGACTTCATACACGTGTTTGAGACTAATTGTTCCGGTGACTTCATGACCAGGTCGACCTGTGCCCTTTTCTATCCCCGCAGTTTTTTTCAAGAGGTAGGTCGTTGGTGGTGTTTTGGTGATAAACGAAAAAGTGCGGTCAGGCTCGACGGTGATTAATGTAGGAGTTGGAACCCCAGGTTCAATATGCGCAGTTCGAGCATTGAACTCCTTGCAGAAATCCATAGATTTTACACCACGCGCACCAAGCGCTGGACCGACGGGTGGTGTAGGTGCAGCCTTTCCCGCAGGAACCAGAATGCGCTAGAATAGTTTTATTACTCAAGCGAGAAACGTTGCAGAGAAGTACTTGCCACCAGCTGGTCTTTTGCCTTCAGAGCCTTGGACATTGACGCGTTGGAAGGAGAGAAGAATTGGATATTTTCCGAATTGGGTCGTTTGTCCACAAACAGTTGCAAACACAAGTGCACGTTGTCACGCGTTATCTACAGGTAGTAGGAGGTGTGGTCATCGTTTTCTGAACCCACAAGTCGACGCACGGTCATTCGGTAATCTACTCATGGATCCCCATAACCCTAAGTCTTCTGGAAGCTCGAAGAATATCTGATGATTTTAGATGCGGTGTCCTTCTTACGACCCACTACATGTCTTCTGACCTGGGAGGGTATCTGCGGACTTCCAGTGCATCTAAGATTAATACCTGGCCAAGGCAGCAATCTACCACCATTTTGGAGACGTACAACATCTAATGTTGGAATCCTCACATCAACCCTCGGCAAATGAATCTACTCTCAAGCTGCCGTTACAGCCTCCTTGCGGCAGGCAATGGTGAGGTCAAGGTTCTTCCATGACTTAATTTTTCTATACAAGGTTCCCTCATTCTCGAGCCGATCAATGATTTTTTGTGCTGAAAAAGCTCGCAATATACTGCTGGATCGTCGATTGTCTATATGCGGTCTCCGCTGCTCTGATATCTGGCACTATCTCCTTCAGTAGGTCAATGCAGTTATTATGGCTCGGATCAAGCGGAAACGATTTATCTCTGACCCAATACAATAAGAAGGTAAACGCCATGCGCAAATTCACGCACGGGGACCATTGGCGACCTGAGCACGGTCACTCTTTACTCTGACGGTGGTGGCGTAGAGAAGTTAACACAAGACGATCGTATGCAACAGATCCTTCCGTTATTACATTTCGAGTTAGGTTTGTTCCATTTGACATATCGTTTCTCGAGGTTCATCACATGCAAAGCGTTGATCACCTCCGTCCTATTCGCAGATTCAAGATCTATGCTGTGAACGGTTGGCAGAAACATCGGTAATAGAATAAACATGCGTAGTTTGCCAGGTCGAGTATCTACATGATTGCGCCACAAGGTGACGAAGAGGACGGAGGTATAGTTGTTAACTGTGCAAAAAGTCGTTCAAAAACGTCACCACACCATCGCTAAAAGTTGCTACGCGGCCATCCGAGACCACTGTATGCACGACCGACTTAGTAAGTTGGCTTTGCCTCTTCGTCACAATGTTCTTCGTATGTCGGAGTAAGAAAAAATGGACATTCGACAGCAAATGAGTGTACCTTGACGTTACGGAAGTCCCAGAGGACCACAGTGCCGTCTTGATGGCCACGCACAAAAAAGGTATGGTGGATGCTGCCTCTCGTGTATGATTGCTCAAATTTTGCGCTAGTATTGCGATATCCAAATGTGCAACATGGAGCTTTGTCGAAGCCACCCATCCTGCGGTCGAATATTGCCATCTGATGATCGAGATGTCGGACCTGCAAAGCCTATCAAAGTCCAATTCTACAAATTAAGGGAGCATCTCACCTCCAGCAGCGTCAAGTGTGGTATTTGGGGGTGAACATGTATCTGATTGACATAGTTGGAGACCTGGGCTGGTCTAGGCGTGTGGGATCGGGTAAGGTCCGTAACATATAGTCTCTTCATGTCAGAGGACACGAGGGAGTTGTCGTCGTGGCGATAAGCCATGGCAGACACGCCAGATTCTAGAAACACATTAATCTTGGTGACAGTCGGCTCTTCTAGACATTGCGCATCGACGCTCCACTTAAAAATTCGTCGGTCATGACCGCCTGTAAAAAATTCAACGGAACCGGCTGCCGCATTCATTGCGGCGAGGCATCTTACACCCTCCCCGGAAGATTTTGACATCCGAGGAGAGCTGACATGCGGCAAAGCTCCCGAATTAATTCTACGGGGAGCTTCCGCCTAACGAAACATGAATGTTTCGTAACACGTAAATGCAACACACGCACAGTAACAGGAAGAAATGTAACCTGACTGGGCCCGCTATTGAAGCCAAGAACGACAATGTCACCTACGACGCATGCATCTTCCACATGTTGTTGGACTCCCGGGTTAGGTAGAGAGTTCAGAGTGAGACGGAATCTGACGTTTGAAGTGAAGATGTGAACGGGAGGTAATGGCATCGGAACTCACTGATCCCGACGATCGATAAACTGGGCGTCTGCCCGCATGCTTATCGCAACCAATGGTAGGTTATCAGAAACCGGGATCAACAACCTTCTAGAGCGCCCATACGGAGTCTTCGGCAGCGGTACTCGTTTAAGCGCCGGCAGTCTAACGACTTCCTCATCTGCACTTGATTCCGACGATAGTGAACTCGCCCGCTGCAATCGTCGCGGTCGCAGTGAACCAACGCTTCTATGTCTGTCCTCCATCGATGTCGTAATGTCAGAAGCGTGATTATTATTTTGTTTCCCAGGCTGGGAAGATGTACTACCGAGCGCAGCTGCGGTGCTTTGTTGAATGGCGGGCCTTTGTCCTTGCAATATACCAACTGTCCCCGTAAGAGGGGTTCTGACTTTAATTCTCGACGACGAGGACTCTGCAACTTCGCTAACGCCCGCAGGTTCATTGAATCTGTCATCATCAGAACTAATAGAAGTCACGGAAGAGCTTCGCATACTAGACCACCAATCTCCACACAAATCGGCCATTGCTTGGTCTCGGCGTGAAGAAACCGCTCTCGACCTCGCTGAACCAGCTATGGTCTCAGATGAGATTCGCTCATCATCAGAAATGCTGTCGTGGGCGATTGTTTCGCTCCTGAGCCGATCATGAAGCTTATGTGAGCTTTCTTCCGGGTGATCGTTTTTTGTCACCTCATCGACTCCAGCAAGTTTGCAGGAGATGATTTCGATTTCGGGAGATTCTGCGGTATGGCTATCATACATAAGCTATCTTGTAACTCATCAAGTTGTGCAAGTACATCATACCTCGGGTCCTTATAACGCCGCACTGGGTCGGCAGGTCCAGATGTTGAAGTCTGCAATTCAAGCAATGGTCCATTGGGTGATGTTTGAGAAGCAGACAGCTGCAAACTCAGACTCGGTTCCGCTTGATGGCTGTCCTCGATATGAGGGTCCAAGACCCTATCAACTCTGTCACTCGGTAGTTACTACTTGTGTCTGAAGAATATATACCAATGCAACACGATTCCGTCGTCCCTTCGTACGGACCCAAGATCAGCGCTCCGACGTATGGGCAAGTCCAATCAGTGTAGACTCACAGGATCAGAGGTAAACCAACAACCCTTCGGCCTTGGGTGAAGAGGAGATGCTCCCTTTCGCGGATCATTGTTTCCAAGTCTTTATGGCTGAAAGCGGAGACTCTAGTGCCTGCAACGTATTTTATTGCCTCCACTCCGTAGGTCGTTGTGAGTGGGAGTGGGTGAGTGTAGGGCGCATATCCGTCTGAACTATCACTCTCAGACTTGTGACGTTTCACCGGCCCATGTATTGGAGAGCTTGATCTCTTGAAAGAGGAAGATAGGGCCATGCGGAAGAAAGGTGAAATGTTTGTGGTTGGTTGATAGCGGAACCAAATTACATAACGGCGCTTAGTAACGCCCCGCAGCTCGAATACGTGTCAGTCATTTGTCCATCCCCAGACCCCAATCATTGAGGGAGAGGGAGCTCAAATTTAAAACGCCCAACGCTGCAACGCAACATCAGCTTGGCCTTGTCCTATATGACGTGCACCTATGTTGATCCGTGAGAAAATTTAGCACAGCTTTGTACATCTGTTAGAAATGTGTGTTTGAATCGAACCTGCGTGTTGGGAATATGAGATCTATCCTGTAATCCCCGTTTCTTGTCCATGAAACCAGATGGAAGATCGACAGCCAAATGAAGTCCGTTTAGATCGCAAGGGAAAGTCCACCGTACCCGCTATCACAGTTACTCGTCGTGGAGGGCATCGTGGATCCTTCAGAGGTTTTCAAAATAATTCTAGTCGAGGTCGTCCGCCGTATCGCCCGAACGTGCTTCCCCACTCTACCACGTCTCCTGCGTGGAATCATTCGCATAAAATTTCCTCAGTCTCTTCATTGAGTGTACCGGGCCGTTCGCTCGATCATGTCAGACAAGAGCCCTCGGACCATTTAGCGCAGTCGAACTTGCGCCCGCCCAAGCGAACGAAGTTTAATTCTCAGCAGTTTTCCTCAAGAGAGTCTCAAAGTTCAGAGAGACACTTCCAGAGGCGAGGACTTGCCCCATAATAACACTCCTTTGCCTTCACCATGCCCAAAAGTCATCCTTGGTGATCACGAAGCGCAGGCTGTTTTCTCCCCTTATAGAACAATACGCAACGATCATTCTCTGCCCAGAAAAATGAGTCAAGGTGAACATAAAAATATCCTGAATGGCAGTCATTAATATACGGACTTTTGGTTTCTTTGTGTAACAGCCGTGCAACGTGATTTACCTAGTGGTAGGGCGCATGCTATTCGAATTGAGTCCCAGTATGATAAAAGTGCGATTAGCACTCGGGATGTTGTAATGGTGCATGGCCTGTACTCGATCATGGTTAACTCCCGTACTGAATCGCAGAAAAGGGCAGTACTTTTGGATATGGCAAGGAGACCCCTAAAGTCAGCCCTTGTGCAAGCGGCTCAACTCCAGGACTGTCGCATCTAGCGAAATCTTCTACGCCCGCGTCCTCGAAGGCGGTTCTAGGCTCCTGCTCAACACATGCAACAATACCTCAAAAAAAGGGCTCCGCTATACCAGGCAAGCAGAGAGCTCTTCCATCTCGAGTTGTATCTCCTCTAGAAGAGATCATCGACCTTACTGTTGATCCTCCGGACACACATGTGATTGTTCCCCCTCCCATGTCGACACGTTTCTTTCGTTCCGGAGTTCTTAAGATAAAATCGGTATCTTCTAAGGCACCCTCCGCAGGGGATATCACTTATGCGGCGGAATCGATTACCTTACCCGACAGTGATTCCGATGATATTGCCCCCCTAAGGGACCTTATCAACAGAGATGGCAGCATGGTAGCGAAGCTTCGAGAAGAACCAGCTCAGGTATCCTCCGAAACGCTAGTCAACGGCCCGAACGAGATTTCTTCCTCAGTTTCCGCTTTGTTGCTCAGCTCTAATCCCGGCCCTTCCCGTCTTACTCTCGACACCCACGATAAGCCCCGTCGCGTGCTCAGCGCACACTGGAATTCGTCTCTTATAGCCGTATCTATGCGCGGCTTCGTCGAGAGCCTGGGTATGCCTAACCTAGTGTCCCAGCATAACTTGCGTAGGCCAACTGCCCCAACTCAAGAGTCAGTTGATGATGCCTGTATACTTCACGCGGGTGACACGTCAGTCATCGTTCTGGCCCATGCACGTGAAGAGAAACAAATTTCGTACTTGACATTTCAAACCTCCATGGTAAGCATCGGCGGGTGTTCACGTTCATTGTCGCCGTTTAAATCTATTTAAATTCGTAAGGGAACAAAATATCGCGTTGTCGATCGTCCTTGGAATCGGACAAAGAAGGCAGGGGCTAGTGTTGTGTCGACAATGATGCAACCACTTATGTTTGCCAGTGGGGGTTATGATCATGCCGTTCATATTTGGAATTTCTCTCCCGATTTTATGGGCGTCTCCTCAACACTTTTGGCAATAAAGCACACATCTGTGATCCAGTCCCTTCTTCCCGTTCGTGATACTAGTCACAAACTCATATCCGCTGGTGCGGATTGTAGTGTCCATTTATGGGACCTATCTCCGGAACGCGTTGTACATACATTCAAGACATCCAATTCTCCGTATCACGCACATAAGACGGAGTCACCTTTCTGCACCTTACTCGAGGTGTGCATGGCAATGCATTGGCATATGATTCTGGTTCTAACGGGACTACAGGTTGGCCATCGAGATCTGCAGTTCGAGCTTCGTGATCACCGTATGGTTCCGGAGCACCCGGCTGAACGCTTTGGCTTTTTCACGACCGAGCTGCATGGTCGTTACATCAAAGGAGATACTTGGTCTCATTTTTTTGCCTCGGGAAGCCGCAATGGTGTTGTGCGTCTCTGGGACTTGCGCAATGTTCGGGAACAACTTGCATCTGTATGTTGGTTTCACCTTATCATGCAGGTTTCGTTCATTTAACTTCAATTCACCGAAGGTCTCGTGTTTCAGCAATGAACAGGTGATACAGGTGTTGAAGACGGAGTCTGACATGTTGGCTTTTTCAAAGCGCGGCGATGTAATGACATTGAATCATAAATGAAGTAATGAAATGTGGCACTCGCAGTTCCGACGATTATATTATTTAGTCTTAAATTTCTAATTGTCTATCGTCATATACTAGCATGGGTATTGGACCGTTGGGAACGATAGGCGTGTAGTACCGCACAAACATATCATTCAACAGCAATTTCATAAGCCCATCGTTTTGTTCCGACACACTCCGAGTAATGTCAGATCGTTCTCGGTTACAGCGGGAAGTCGATGCAGCATATAGCCTACAAGTGAGGGCCGCGACCAAGGTGCAAATGGTTCCGCGTGCTATTCGTTGGATCACAGGCTGAACCAAAATATTGAACAGGGAGCAGCCCAAGGAGGAGCTGTTGGGGTTGGGGTCGTAACGTTTGCCCATTATGCGTGGCCGCTCTTCCGGTGCGAGTGACGACGGATGGCTGCACAATAACTCACACCTCGTATGAAAGACGACAGACACTGCCATTCAAGGCATTCCTGGTCTCTGGATGTGAGTGTTGCCGAGAATGCCGTCCTCGCTTCAGGCAACTACTAGTGTACCCACTGACTCTTCCTTCCTTCCATAGTCACCATCGCTGGCCTGGTGATTGGGGCAGATAATGCCCTTCTAACTCACGAGGCGGAAAGGCGGAATTCTGAGCATGCTATTCGGCGTGAAGCCAGGATAGATCTTGCTCGCCGAGGTCTCGTCGGCACGGAAACTGAAATTGCAAAGTGGCGAGCAGAAAGGACTCGGCAGATGGAAGAACGAGAACACGACTCGGACGGCCATCTTCGTGATTCTTCTGTTCAGGCTGGTTGAGGTTCAAAGGGGATTGATCATCGATACAACGTGTAGAGGAAGCATGTTTGAAGGCACTACATCGGTTTACGACGTTTCTCAAGAACGGACTTTGCTTAGAGTGGGAAAACACTGGGTTATTCTGCTAGCGAATACGAGGCTAGATGCCAGACTATATACATTTGCGAGTGAGGCGCACAAGATATCCCTAAACTTCAGGTCAAACACCGTTTTATAGATCAAGTCCAGATACAGCAGTTTTCTACAGGTGTTGCCTGCTAAGGCCTAACGAGCGACAGTGCCGTGGATCAACCGTGGATGTCTAGAAAATGGAAGGATTTACAATCCAACCTATGTCTACATTGCTACTGTGATGGAACGTTATTACTATACATATTCGATTATTGCCTATCACCCTGTGCAGACGCTGGTTGCCCATAAGTTCCTTGCTGACTCCAATGAGGATGATCAATCATCAGTGGAGGACGAGGGGGCGGGCCAGGGAAATAAGAATGATTGACGGGTGGAGCATTTAGTGATGGAGGATGAGACTGTCCGTGACGTGGCAGATCAGGTGGGGGCGGGGGTGGTTGAGGGAGGGGCTGATATGCAGGCTGCACTGGATGATATCCCATAGGAGGCTGCGGGAGGCTAGGCCGTACTGGGGACACATTTGACTGCGGCTGAGCCGGTGAAGTCGGGAAAGGAGCATAAGATGCCTGCGCCTCCACCTGAGGCGATGGATGGCTAGAATGCAGCTGTGCGGTGGAATGATACTGAGTTGGAAGGGGCGGGGGTGGTGGGATGTTTTGGTAGGTCGAACCGGTTGGAAAATTTGAGGGGAGTGGGCTACGTGCATTCAGTGATTGAGGGAAGCTCGATGAAGGAGGTACGGCAACGGAAAGATGACGAGTTCGTGGTGCATTGTTAGCTATCTGAGGTTGAGGCAGTGGTCTCGAACCTCGTGATGCTGATAGATGCTGGGAAGTAGATGCGTATTCTTGAGGTGGTGATGGCAATGTGGGTGCATATGTGTGGTATGTCTGAGGTGATGGTATGTACTCTTGTTGTGATGTTGATGGGAAGGCTACAGATTGTCCATGGGGATCTGGATATTGATATTGATCATGAGTGTGTAGCTGCGGCGTGCTGAATGAGTGTGAGATCCGATTAGATGCATTGGGGGGAGGTACCGGTGTGATAGCAGGTACTGGGAGAGGGGGGTGGGAAGGATGGCTGATCTGGTGAGGAGGCGAGTGGTTGGCAGGAGCTGGAGGGTAAGATGGAGGGATCGGTAATGGAGGTCTTTCCGGCACTGAGAAGCCGGACGGCTCTGATGAGTACGATGTCATCGTTCCAAAAGAAGACGAGGCTGGTGATGGCACGGGCATGAATCCCGGAGAAGAAGCCGGCAAGCTATACCGTGGTCCAGCTTGTCCTTGCCGAGATGGGGGAGGAGGAGGATGGTTGACAGTCGGACCACTTTCATAAGGAGGGTAGTATGGAGCAGGGCCTGAAGGTATTCTGGATGGAGAAGCAGAGGCTGCTCTCCCTCTATCGTGCGAGATCGTCAATGTTCCGTTATCAAGTGTATGCTGATCATACGAGTGCGAATGCGAAGGCAATGAACTAAAGCCTGCGGATGTCGAGGGACGCATCGTTTGTGTGGGCTAAGTCACCCACCGGTCATGACAAGACCTACACCGTAGAGAAGGAAGACATACCGGAAAGCTCTCCCGTCTTCTGGGATCCATGACGCCCAACTCCCCAAAATCGTTGGCAAGCTGATCGGCAGGTGTTGGGGATAGGTGGGTCCTTTGCTCATATGCAGGTGCATAAAGCTCTGCTCTCGAGTGTGATGAACGAACAGTAGACGGCAGATGGCTGTCAATAATACTAGCAGAGACAGAAAGTCGGGAAGGAGTCGAATGTGCGCTGGACCCATTCAAAGAGGAGGTGCTGTCATTAGCTGGCACGAAATTTCCTGGACCGCCGTAATTGCTATTACCAGTTGCTGGTTTCGGCGCAATTCTTTTGACTGGAGGAGGCTCCTGCATACAATTCCATAAGATGACCAAGACAGGCAGGCCAGGAAATTGACAACATACATTTGACCAGAAAGTCAGCTCAATGTACACCTCTCCTGCATATTTGTCCTTGTTCATGAGTGTGAACCACTCTGCCATGACTAATTAATTCAGATCAAAGATCAGTGCAAGTACCAGCTTACCATCCGTTTCTCCCTTTGTGATAACCTCTGTCAAGTCGACCGCTGCCTCTCCGATTAAGTCTGGTTCCCGGGGATCATCTGCATAGCACTGAAGCTTCATCGAATTCCCGCCCTTTATCTTCTTTGGTCGACCCTTCTTCGGCGGAGGGGGCGGCGGCGTGTTGGTTGATTGCGAATTGATTGCCAGCTCATCGTCAGTAGCCTCATATACCGTAAAGCGGAATTCTTCGTCCCATTCCGGATGTTGACCTCCCCGCTTGATGGCCTTTGTACGACGTTTCTCTTCATTCAAGAACGCGCAGCAGTATGGTGCTTGTTTTCCTATATGCCTCTTATTGGGCAGATTTTTCTGCTTGCCACGTCAGGGAGGGACATACAGGCTAAGAGAAGGTTGAACTCAATACGCACTGCTTTCAAGACAACAACAATTAGTGTTCCGATCTCGCGCGAAGCCAGCGACATATAATCAATATGAAGGAGAGAGTAAAATGTTCAAGCTTAAGGTTGAGGGATGAATGAAATGTAGAAATCTCTACCAGTCGAACATGAAGCGGTTCAGTTGATCGCAGTACTGATTCAAGAATATATACAGCAATAGTCAAACATGGCTGTGGCTCAGCATTTAGTTGCAATACCACCACCCACACTTAGGTTAGTTGACTTTGCCGCAGCACAATGCATGAGTTCATTTCTAGACAATGGCAGTGGATGGTATTGCATCATATTAAACAAGCCCATCAAAATATCTAGGTTGATGCGATATAGCATCATGCATCACTGTCCAGGTTTGTACGGCGTATTATCCTTGAAAATAAGGTGGGGCTTTCTCTGCGCGAGGTCCAGAAGCATCTCAGAGAAATAACTGTTAGCCCATGCAAACCAAGGTCGTGTATAATCTGAGGGATTGTAAATGTTGATCGACTCGTGGATCAAACCCAGGCCGCCAGTGTTCTACGTGCGTGGTCAGCATAGGAGAAGCAATATCTTCCGACACTCACATTAACAATAGTGTACAACGAGGTCAAGATTTCCTCATCATCATTGGTTCCAAATATATTGGTGACCTGAGACATGGGCCTACATAGAAACGATCAGACCACTAAATCTCAAGCTCCAATCCGCCAATCATTACCAAGGGTTCCAGGCATCTATGTGAGGTCCACTGCCCTGTGTCAGAAATAGATATTCGTTCTTCCTTGACTACACTCACCCAATGCCACTGAAACTTCTGCCCTTGGTATAGTAAGGGTTTCCGCGGGACATGAGCATTTTCTTTGTCTTCACGTAATCAGAGTGATTCATGTTGAGGAAACCAAGGTAGGGAAGCGACAAGAGAGACTATTCATAGTTGTAGCTTGTTTCAAGATAATGGCATGTTACACCTACTGGAACGTTTGCATCATCCATCACATAGCGCGAACCCAATCCTAGAAAGTCCTTCATAAGCGATGCAAACAATTGCAAAAGACATACCATTAGTCTCGTATGCAAAGATGCCATCAACAACCTGCGATGAACGTATCAGCGAAATGCAGACCTTCTGCCACACTCGACGTACTGTATGTCCCCAAACAGCCTGTTCTATCGTTTTGCTCCAGTGCTTTGCCTGAATGCTAACATTGGGGGCCACACCAGCGTGGTCCAAAATGGTAGCCAAATTGGTTAGCTGAACGCTCAGCATGGCATTGGCTGGCGTAAGGAAAGCTGGAAGCGAGGGAATAATTAGAGAAACCAGGTCGCCTCCACATAAGCTTACCGAATGTGCTCAAGTCATCAGAGGGTCTGTGGTGTGTCCCGACCATACCCGTATATCCTTTAGGTTCACCATTCCCGCCATTGTTTACTGCACCGGCAAGGGAGCCTGCAAGACCTGTCCAGTTGTAGTAAGAGATGAAGTTCCAATCAGCATCAAAGGAAGCCTGAGACTGCTCATTAATGACACGGAAGATCTGGTCAATTGCGGCGAGCCCTGCATCAAGAATGAAACCCCAGTACAACAAGACTGGATAAAAAAACAAACATTCTGCATTCATCATGGTTGCATCCTTTGTTGCTTCATAGTAAGAGGAGGAAAGCTTGAGAAAGCCGCAAAGCGAGTCGATTTCATACTGGAGATACCATACAGGTCAGTGCTAAAAAAACGACGATTGTCAAGACGCAAACCTTGCACTCAAATACTGTTTGGTTATCCACAGGGCTGTGCAAAGAGTATCACATGACGCAGACCACCAGCGTGAGCGAAACACTGACGGATTAACGAGGACGCCAATAGCCCAATCATTGACGGAGGGTGCTAAACCACTTTCAGGGGGAGGTTGAAAAGCACCACAATAAGGATATTGTGAGACATAGCGGGCTTCGTTATTAATTACAGCCTTAACCAGGTTGGCGAGGTCAGCGTCAACAGAGAGAAGGGTGTGGTAATGAGCAAACTGAAAGAAGAACACGCTGAACACAATTTAATTGCAAATTCGGAGAGCGAGTTACCTGGTTGCCAGTATCACGCAGCCATTGCGCACTTCAAGCGGACAATGAACACCAATATGAATAATCCAGGAAAGGGAGCAACGAACGTGATATCCTGGACGCAACCATCAATATGTTATTCATATTGGAGGCAGGCAACTCACTCCAGTAATGATAAATGCCAAGTTCTCACTCTTCAGCAGTTAGAACGCGTAGAAAACAGGCATCTTCACTCATACCTTGTTGTAATATTTCACAGTAGTATCTGCCAAAGTTTCATGAACGTCCATTGTTGCAGCAACTAGGGGTACGTACCGAGGGTATTTGGGAATGTATTCTCAAAGAGACGCGCGACGTCAGGGTCTTTCAGACGCGACTTCATGTCCAGAATAACTTTCTGCAGATAACTTCCGAGTTACACGTTGTCCTACCAACAGAAAATGCGTCATACTTCGACTGAAGTGCTGTGAAAGGTCCTGCATGCATGGTCGGGCCGCATGTAAGGTAACCCCAGAGGACCAGAGGAGGGATTCCCTTGAGGACTCTGCGTTAATGAGCAAGTAATTCAGTTCCAGCCATCTTGGAGCCAGTCACCTGTGCATAGGTAGTGTAGTCTGGACAGTCCGCCTGGGCGGTAGCAGTCACTAGGGAGATGGCAATACCAGCAACTCTGAGTCCCAGCTTCATTTTGGCTGCGCCCCACAGATAAACAAGGCCGTAGGTAATTGTTCGAGAACCGACATTCCAGCTGTTGTTAAGACCACTTATGAAACTGCCAAACAGCATAAATTTAATAGGCTAAGGCGGATAAATGCTGGCAACAATGAGCAAAGTGCTGCCTGATCCGAATTTGCGCGTATGACCAACCTGCCCTGAACTAGCTATTCAGTATTGAGTATTGTGGTCAAGTTGCATCCCATTTGTACTATGTTGATCTTGTATGCAGTGGAGATTCGGGAGTATCTTACGAGTTGTATGGTTACTTCCATCGGGTAGCGAGCAAATGCGTACAATAAATCTGATAAGACGACAGAATGAGATGCAGAGCTATGTAAATGAGTGTGATAATACGCATGCCAATGATGATTAGAACAACGTCAAGGAGAGTGGTAACTGCAGTGTATAACATGAACGAAGAACATACATAAGGTAGCAAGAAGGAAAGCTGCGGTGACACCAGATTGTAATTGTATCTCACCCTGGCAGCTCTCAGTGATCAAGAGTGAAATCGATATTACCTCCCACGTATTCTAATAAAAGGGGAAAACATTTAGTCAGGAGTCCACTGATATACGCTCATGCACATGCCTTAGGTTTCCACCAGGGAAAGCTCGCGAATTGCTACGGATCCTGAAGTCCGGCCAAGGGTAGCAGGAACATTATCAACAGATTCGGAGGATCGATCAACCACCGTTTCCTTGGTCGAGTCGTATCCGTCACCTGCAGCAGGCGTATCAGGTGGGGACACGTCGACTTGCTCTGGTCCGTCTGAAGAATCCTTTTCCTCCAGTGAGGCTTCCAGACCACCGGTGACTTCTTCATCATCCACGCTCAAAGGTCCGCCAGTTTTAGCACTATTGTTTGTCCACAAGCTCTTGCTACCCATGCTTATGGGGCCACCCGTTCCTAGAACCCTAGCACTCCACCCACTAACCTCACTATCCCAACTTCCTCTCCGTGAGCTCCGTGGACGAAGAGCACGCACGCTGGCATCTACGTCGCGTTCTACATCAGCATCATGGCGATCATCATCTCCAAGCACAAACTGGCTCATGATGTCGCCTTCTGCGTCTCCGGTAAAGCTGCCCTCTAAATGAGAAATCGAGTCTCCACCTCCGATCAGTCCCGACAGTGCAGTTGAACCCATAAATCCCATTGTTAAACGTTGGCCGGGCATAGCATAAGCCGAAGAAGCGAGGGTCAAAACGGAAGCATTATCCATAGGTGGAGAAGAGGGACGAGGATTGTTCCTTGGATGATACGCGGTATACAGAGGGGCCTGTAGTCCAGGCATGTGAGATGACGGGCCTAGTGACACCGGCGTGGATGAGCTGAAATTCAGGGAGGAAGGCGGGCGAGAAGATGATTGAAGAGATGGCGGGAGAGCAGAGAAGGTAACAGATGCACCACTACCTATCAACCCACTATTTGTTCCGGTAGATGATGTCCGTCCATGGGGCTGAAAACGAGGATTGGTTTGGGAAACCGGTGTAATAGGAACTTGTGCTATGTGTCCTACTCCGGCAGGACCAAGATCAACGCTTAGTACTGTTGTTGGTTTCGTGCTTGCGGCAATACTTCTGAAGGTGCGAGGATTGGATAGATATGAAGAAGAGGAGTGGGATAATGAAGGAGATGGAGGTGAACTTGGGGGGAGAGGCCGAAGAGAAGCATCTTCATCTGCTTCGAGAGCGCTTGCAGGAGACCAAAAGGAGTCGCGGGCTAGTGACGAACGATAAGTTGACGCGTCAAGATCTTCGTCGTCTGATAGTATGAAACCGGTATCCAAATCACCCTCTCCATTTAGGGAAATAGTCTTCCGTTGAGACGCGGTATAACCATTTCGACTGCCATTTCCAGGTACTCCCTGTCTTTGCGATGAACTTGGTGTGAGCTGTGGCAACGGAGAAGATACTGAACGACTATTCGACCTCGAATGAGACGCGTTTGTACCATTCTTGCCGTTGGGGGGCTTCTGTGAGTTGCTCGGAACAAACGCGTTATCTGGAATCCTGCTCGGCTTCACAGTACCTGATAACTTGCGCTGAAACCAGTTAATGATAGGTTTGCTAGAGCGATGTGTGTGCTTCTTAGTGTAAACCTGCTGTGGCTTTGTCGCAGACTCAGTGACATCGGGTGGCTTGGGTTCAGTTTTCTGAGGCTGGGCTCCCAACCGAATGGTATCACGGGGAGCGGGCTTGGAGGTTATCAGTTTGGATGTAACTTTGGCGGGTTGAGGTTCTCGAGACTTGGTAGGGGCCATTCTCGTTGTCCGTAGCTACAAGCACTGATATTTAAAATGCAGTAGTGCTTACCTTACGTAAAAGAAGCACCGCGATTCGGGAAACCATATCAGGTATCACTATTAGGCGAAAACATGTGGACACCGTCCGATAAGTTTGTTTGCAACAAAATTCATTTGATACCAGTACAAGTACACTATCATATAGATCACAGGAATAAGACATGTTTTCTTTGGCCAAATTTCAGCTTTACCATTCCATCTTCTTGCTCGTTTTTATGTCCCGCAACAGGAATCTTCTGACCCTGGTATCCAAATCCATCTAGCCAAGACCAGAGAGCACTACGTTTCTCTTCAAATGAGGTAATTGCCTGCTCCCTCTGCAGGGTCAGACCGATATCGTCTAACCCATTGACAAGGCAGTGTTGCCTAAATGGATCAATGCTGAAGGCGATAGCCGGCTTTCCACTACGTCTAACTTCCTGCTTCTCAAGGTCCACCTCAATCTCCATGCCTGCCTCAGCATCCGCAGCAAGGTCCTTGCAGTCCTCCTCAGGCAGGGGCAAGGGCAGCATGCCATTTTGCATCGTGTTGTTACGGAAGATATCTGCAAAGCTTGGCGCGATTACGCAACGGATTCCGAAGTCATTCCTGTTGAAGGGGCTTTGTGAGTATGTCAATATGTAAAAATGAAACGATGCTCACAGCGCCCAAGCTGCGTGCTCTCGAGAGCTACCACAACCAAAGTTTTTGCCGGTGCAAATGAGAATCTTGGCTTGGTCGTAAGGAGACTTGTTAAGAATAAAATCCGTCTTTTCCCCGGTTTTCGGATCGAAGCGCTGAGCGAAGAATAAAGCGTTGGCAAGACCGGTCCGCTTCAGAGTTTTCAAAAACTGCTTCGGGATGATCATGTCGGTGTCAACATTGTCGTTATACAAGGGTGCAGCTATGCCTTTCACAATAACGAACTTCGAGACTGCGGAGCCAGAAGAAGCATGCTGCAAAGAGGTAGGTGTTGCGGTCTGAGTGTGCGATGGGCGCTCTGGCTCAGTCGCAGGTCCGGTAAACTCGGTCAGGAAGTCGAGGGCACTCGCAAGAATCAACTTAGGACCAGCAGCAACCTTTTCCTCTGCATCTGCGCCGAAAAACTTGCGAACGTCTGTCAGCTTGCCTGTCATAGCTGCTGCCGCAGCCATAGCAGGGCTGAGGAGGTGCGTACGACCACCGGCACCCTGACGGCCTTCGAAGTTGCGATTACTAGTGCTAGCGCAGCGCTCACCAGGCGCCAACTGATCTGGATTCATGCCTAGGCACATTGAGCAGCCGGCCTCACGCCAGTCAAACCCTGCGCGTTTGAAGATGGCGTCTAACCCTTCCGCCTCAGCGTGCTGTTTAATCAAACCAGATCCAGGAACAACCATGGCTTGGACACCTGAGGCGACCTTAGCATCGGGACCGGCAGCGAGTATGATCCGAGCAGCTGATCGAAGATCTTCTATGCGGCTGTTTGTGCAGGACCCAATAAACACTTTCTGGAGGGAAATGTCCTCCATGGCCGTGTTCGCCTGCAGGCCCATATAAGCCAAGGCCCGCTCTGCCGATGCACGTTTCGAGGGGTCGGATATCGTAGACGGGTCAGGGACCTTGCCAGTAATCGCGACAACATCCTGGGGGGAGGTGCCCCAGGTGACGGTAGGAGGGATATCTGCGGCGTCAATCTTGATCTCAATGTCAAACTTAGCGCCGTCGTCACTCTTGAGAGTTCTCCAGTAAGCCACTGCATGGTCCCATTCCTCACCCTTGGGAGCGAGGGGACGATTCTGCAAATATGCAAAAGTGATCTCGTCGGGTGCAACCATGCCTGCACGAGCACCAGCTTCGATGCTCATATTGCAAACACTCATGCGAGCTTCCATGCTCATGTTGCGGAATACCGAGCCGGCGTACTCGATAACACTTCCGGTACCACCAGCAGTTCCGATGACCCCGATTATGTGTAAAATGACATCTTTTGAGCCGACGCCTTCGGCGAGCTCACCATCGACGCTGATGCGCATATTTTTGCCTTTCCTCTGCAAGAGGGTTTGGGTAGCAAGAACATGTTCCACCTCGGAGGTTCCAATACCGAACGCCAGGGAACCAAAGGCACCATGTGCTATCGCAATGAGATCAATGTCAACTCGCATCGAGAAGTAGCACGTTGAACATACTTGAGGTGTGTGAGTCACCGCACACGCAAGTAATGCCAGGCAACTGATAAGGTTCAATCAGGTTTATGCTTTTACATGCGTCTGATAGATATGAAGACTTGCCGTGAAGCCTTGCTCCGGACCAATAACATGTACGATACCTGGAAAGTACCGTGTCAATTAGCATTCGCCTACTAAGCTGCATTAATTCAAACCTTGGCGCTTGTCAGATAGCCCAAAATAAGTCAACCCAAAATCTTTGACGTTTTCTTCCAGTTGCATGACCTGCGCACGCGAGTCGGGTTCGGCTACAAAGGTATTAACAGACTTGTAGCTTTTCCGGGAAATGGTGCTGGCGCAATGTGAGCCTATGTAAGGCAAAAATGTAATCATTCAACATACGGGATGTTATGATCCACGGTGGCAAGAGTGCAGTCTGGGCGACGAACAGGCCTACCAGCATTCTTCCTAAGTTATTGTCAGCATAATGTAACGATGGTCAGCTTGGTGATTATGCTCACAAGCCTTCAAACGCCTGAGGACTCGTGACCTCATGGACAAGATGACTGCAACACAGTAAGTTCACATCGATGAGGCAGCCTGTTTACGTACCGGTCGATGTAAATGAGGGCAAGGCCATCTTCGTTTACATCTCTATCTGGTAATCAGTACAGTCCGATATACAAACAGGGGGAGCCTCACACGACATGATCGTCCCAGATTTTATCATAGAGCGTTCGAGGACCAGTAATTGTGCCAGGCATGATGTTGAGACAAACGGCGATGGGGATAAATGATACGGTCACCCATCCAGCCTTTAAAGCAGATTTTTGTTAAAACAAAGTTGTTCGGCCGATCAAATTGGATTCGGCCGATGCCAGATTTAGGATTGGATAACAGCAGATTCGGCATTGGCTCAGCAAGTCCTCTCTGATCACGCTCTCACGGGTGATTACCTCATGTGGCTACGAAACAGGGGCGTCAATCAAGGTTGCAAAAAAAATCAACTGGGATCAGAAAATGCGCTTCGTGTTCCATGATCTATCAATCGCCTAGCGTCTTGTCTACAGGCCATGTCAACCCTGGCTAGTAACCAGCCCATTTATGGGGCAAGTCGTCGATAGACGGACTGGTAAAAGAATATGATTTACGACTACTGTATGACTTTTGACATCGAAATACATTATAACACACTACACGCATCAAATTATCGTAAATTGTCCGCGGTCTGCGAATTTCGACCGCCATACATCTCCCGTCGATTCGCTAGGAGAGTTTTGGCATTCCGATCCAGAGTTGCTTGCAGTCTCGCAGCCTGTGAGAGAGGAATGGATAAGGGAGTATCACGAGATAAGATCTCCAAATACGTACTGCTGCATCTTCTGGTCGCAAAGCACCTTTCGCCATGTTATGTTTTCCAAATTTAAGGCGCTTGATACGTGTGGTTTGTGACTTGCCAAGCGGATCCTGTTCCAGGAGGGCTTGACATTCCTCCTCTGTTGCTACATATCCCTGCAATAGTGAGAAAAACTTGTGTCGGAGGACGGTCTTGATTTTCTCCAGTGCCTGTGAGCTATACCACCCATCTCGTTCCTACCAACGCACATCATCAGTGAAAACTCGTTCTCACATCATTAGTGACTCACGTCACAGACTTCCCGTAGGTCTTCGTCATCTTCAATCATCTCCTTCAACATAGGGTCGTGAATATCGCATAATTGGAACGCAGCCGTCTCTTTAGTGAGAGTCTTCCCGTCAAATATGTGTGATTTACTAGTGATCGTTTGCATTGAGCCAGACACAGTGTCAATTCAATTATAAAAGCTTACCGCCGGTCAGCCTCGAACGACTCCTCTTGCTCGATGGACCTGCTGATATATGTGGCAGCTGACCTGCCCTCTTGCCGACGCGCTACAACGGAAGGCCGTGCCATGGGGTGATTAGCATTCCGAAAATATATCCGTTGATATCTTCAGGCCTTGACAGTGAGTGTTCGCTGATAACAATACACACAAAACTCACATTCGAGCATCCAATTCTTTCCGAGGGTCGTATTTAAATCGAACCACTGCATCTCGCCATGGTCCATCTGAGAACATATATCCGGCCAGGGGCATGATAATTTTCGAGCTGTAGTCGCTTGTTAGCCGTCTGTGATTACATGACGTAGTGCGTACTTGTGTATTTCTCTCAATTCTGCAGGCGAAAATTGGTTGTAAAGAGCAGCACGAGTCCACACAGGACGTTCATTCATGAACTGCCCAAATGAGCAAGCAATCAAACAAGAAGGATAAAGAGCAGCTCACTTCCAGTATTCGATTTAAAAGTTCACTGCTAGCTTGTGTGCGCACACTTTCAACTGTTGGAGGAGGGCCCTCCGGAACCTAGTGCAGAGAGTCAGAAATGCTGCATGAGTCATGAGAGGTTAAGTCAAACATTAGGATCGCTGAAAGTAATCGTCACTGGCCCGTGACCTTTCCATCGGCCCTTGTTAATGAGCCTCTTGCGCTCTTCGCCAGTTTCTTCATTGATGAGGGACGTCACAATCGAAGCAGGGTTGGCCTTGAAGCTGCGGGCTGGTCAGCAATTTAGAGTAGAACGAGCAGAACACTCGCTTGTAGTTTTGTGGTACGTTTTGACGGCTGAACAGCGGAGGGGGGAATAAGCGTAAGTTGCTGCGAAGTCCAGGAGTTTGCTCGCTTTGCTCTGTCAATGCTGGGTCTAGCTCGGGTGGGTGGATAGATGCTGGAACCACATAGTCCTCTTTTTCCTCCGGAATCGAGTATTGTCGGATTGCATCGACTTCGGAATGTGAGGTCTGCATATCAACGGACTGCAATACTGCTTACCATCCATTCGATCCATTGCAAGGCGCAGCTGTGCCAAAGGATCATTCATGTCAGGCTGAAACTGATAGTCCGCCATACCTTATATTTGCAAACATGTTAGTGAGACACTTGTAATCGTAGATTAGACTCACTGCGAAACCGTGCGGTCTTCGGGATGATACCCACCGCCTCAGCAGTGAACTCTCCAACACATTCTCCATTCGAGTGCCTTCGTCTCCGTCTCACAACTTTCAACAGAATATTGTTGGTGCTGACTATATCTCCCGGTATTGGGTGTGCAAATGGATTCCCTGGTCGTAGATTGAGCTCAAGAAGTGCCTCATTCTTGGCCGCGGTGCGCTTGAATGCGGTTTCAAGGCGTGAATGCCCTCCAAGATTACTTACCGCCAACGGAACAGATTCGGGTTTGACATAACCCGGATATTCAATAGAATAGAATGGTGTAGATGGCAGGGGTCTTTCCGGGGCTTCGGAATGTATCGTGGTGGTGGGTGCCTCATCTGACATGACCGTGATTAAAGAAAGTTTACAAGGGGCTAGTAAGTCGCTTATATCAGAGACTCAGACTAAGAAGTACTATTAGACACCTATTTTACGCTACAGAAGCCATTTTAATCCCCTCCAGCCTTCCTGGACAGGCCCATAAGCTCCTGTATAGTATCCTGGCAAAAGGAATTTGACGAGAGCGTAAATTTCGGAGAAAGTTTTCCTCACCTGCGAAGTGAGATCCACACCCGCCTTTTGCAACTCAGAGACGACTTTCTGCGCTGCTTCCCTAAACTCTGAGTTCGCAGCCAACTTCATCATCTGGAACGCCGAGGGTGGGGTGTTTGCGTCAATCCCTGAAGCAAAATGCATGAATGTGTGAATAACAACATAATTCGCGACTGACCTTGAGCCTTCATGAGTTCCGCAAAATCTCGGAGTGCCATCAAAGCTTCTGGTTTATCTGCAAGTTTTCCGAATATTGAAGTGTTCTTGAACTGGGAAAGGAAGGCGTCTTCATTTTCTGAGGCTTGTAGTCGTGGTGTGTAGGAGAATGTTCGGCGACAACGAAGGGGTGCCAGTGAAGTCGGACGAACCGGTCGTCTTGCTGAAAGTAATGCTCGACGTATGTAGTTCATGATAGAAGGTTGGAGGTTGAAAGAACCGTGAGTGTTGGTCTGTCACTACTAAGTTGGTAACAGCCACAAACGCGTTTTGACGAACGCGGTCATTACCATGGATAACGACTACTTTTCGATTGATGCTATTCTAGCTGAAAATCAGGTTTGTATGATGTACTTGATATTCTAATACTCAACATCTGGCTTAGAAAATACAATGTACCTTCAAAGTCGACATCCCTGACATGGGTCACCTCGCAGGTGGATCTGACCGTGACGTGCGCGTCTCAATTGCCCTTTTCACGCGTATTATTCAAGCTACCTAGATCAAATCATTGACGAAGGCTCCAATACCGATCTGGCTGGCCTATATCATGTTGTTCTCGTGCGTTCAAGTCATATATAGCAGGCACAAGGACAAATGGATCTTCAGTGACTGGGCTGACTTCACTATCCCTTCACCCTTTGGCACACGAGTAAGAAACGCGCTCAATGCTGAGCCTCGGAGCGTAAAGCTATCCAACTTGGTTGGTGCAGGTGGACTATGGTACGGTTTTGGAAAGATGGTCATGGATATGTGAGTCTCGCTGTTGATTTTAGGGAGCATGTTTGACTAGGTATAAGTTTGAGTGAAGAACAGGCAAATGGTATGTCAGAGGTGCTAACAAAGGTACATTGCCTGCATACGTTGTGTGATATTATCAATAGTTGTTTTGTTCAGGCCTTCAAGGGGCGGTTGCTGGAGGTGATTGATCAAGCGCAGCATTTCGCGGCGCTTGGCCCTGCGGGAGGAGGAGGACCTTCTACCGATACTGCACAGTCATTCAGAGAAGGGCTTGATTGTACAGAAAGAGAATGTCAGTACTGCCAAAAACTATGGCTTGGGTGCTTACTTACCGGTCTGTAGTATTTGCGCTGGCTCAAGAAAGCGCAAAACGAATAAAACGTTGGCATGAAGGAAATGACAAAGCACGTCGATGAAGAATTCTATGATTTGCTCTGTATACTACGATAGATCATTGTTCTTTTTTGTCTGTATCCGTCTCCATACTAGTCGTCACATTCGCAGGAGCTTTCTTAAGTTCTTGCACGAACCTATGCATTGACCTCAGTTTACTGTTCAACATTTGTATGCCCAATACAACGTACCATTTTACGCTCGCCCACAGAGCGAGCTGTATACCCATCAAAACGAAGAAGTGCGGGTTGCCTTTCGTTAGGTACGCTGACCAAAGGAAGACGAAGAACAGCAGTGCAAATGCAGCATCGACGGCGAAAAGAAACGTCGGATGGAGGGATGAACCTGGTTTCAGAATGAAAGAGACGATCGAGAGGTCGTCTGAGTTTGACGCCATCATGGAGTAGCGGATGCAGTTTGCAGTCCGAAGTCCGTTTGAACCATGAAGTGACAAGTCGGGAGTAAAAGTTCAAAATTTTAAATTAAATAAAGTTGTACTCTTCAAGTTTGAGTTTAGTGACGGGCCTTCTGGCTATGGCAACCTCTACACGTGTCAAAAAGTATGTATCAATGTTGTAACCGATTATAAGGAGACTAGTACTATTACAAGGTCACAGGTGGAAAGGGCCGAGCCGGACTCAACTCCAGGCCTCAGTGTACAGAAATCCCAGGCAAAGCCAACCCCACGTCATCACCAGTGAAATGTGATTGCAAGTTCCTCACAGCGGCCTGTGCGTCCGTTCTGGAACTTCTGCCCACCGCCACATGATATCTGATTTAATGTCACTGCCTTGCTTGTGCAATGTGAGCGTGCAGCGGCGTACTCCACTTCCATCAGATGAAGAATCAGTCTCTGCTGATGGAATGGATCAGCGAGGCGAAACAAAAATAGAACAAATTAGTAATACATCGGTTAAACGTGGCTACCCATTCGAAATACTTGTGTGTCACAAAAGCGATGGGTTCGGGTCGAGGTGTTTCATCGCCGCTCTCTTCTCCGTCGAAAACGGGGACAGCTGGGGTCCGTAGGACGGGGAGCTTCAGTTTGTCAAGTTGTGAATCAAATAGAGCGAAACGCATAGGAGTTCTACATAAAAATGCTCGATTTATCGTTGAAATATTGCATTGTCATCCAACGCACTGTGATCCTGGGGAGAGGAAAGTTGCCAAAGCCAACGCATGGCTAACAAGCTGGAGATATGAGGCGATGGTGTGCCTTGGCAACGACCGGTTTTCCTAAAAACGTGATGCATACCGCAAGAACGAATAATACATACGGTTTGTTTTCACTCGTAGGCAAAAAGTACGCAGATAACTCGTGCAAAACAAGCAATGATGGAACAGAATTTAGAGTTGCTTTGGCATCGAGAGGCACAGGATTGGAGGCCTCGTGTGTTCTAAACGCGGATAATAACACGGCCAGGTGATTTGGGGTTGGAGGGTAACTGGCAAATTGATCACATTACCTCCACACACACACACAAAAAGGGACCAACAAGATATCAACCTCGGAACTACTGCGACAGGTATTCCCTGTTCCAGAATTGGTTAGTAGCCATTCGTCATTATACTCCCGAAGGCTGCGTATAAGAGCCTGTCGAGCAGAAGAAAGAAGTAAAGCCTTGGCACCCGTTGGAACTGACAAGCACATGTGAATTGGAGCTGAAGGGTGATAATCTCCTTGTACTATAAGAGATTTATAAGGCGGCAAAGACGGATCAGACGTGGAGAACATTTGAGTCATGGTGAACACAACTGCTGGCACTGCCAGTAGTTCCTGTGCATGAACAAGGGTACAACGCCACAGCATCTACCACCACGTGATCATCGCATGTGAAGCGCTCATGAACAGAACTTTCCATTATACTGATTTTGGATCCTGGGAGCCAAAGAATCCCTTTCTTATATCCTGACATGCGTAGGTGGAGGATATTTCCGCAAAAATCGCACGTCCTATGCTTGAGCGCTAATCCTCACGTGTGCATCGCACAGCACTACATAAACCTACGACCAACTTGCGATTATGCAGGTTGCGCCTCCTCAACTGCCCTTCTTCAACTAACATTCTCGCATCCTGAGCCATATTGTCATTAATGGCCAATATAGCAGCTCGGACGCTCGTAAGTGCAGCACAGACAGCTGCTCAATTTGCTCCAGTGCCATGGCTCGCACCCGCTACGGGCATAATGGTCGCATTGATCAACATGTTCGCAGCAGCGGAAGCAAATAAGTATGTAATATCTCCGATGGCCCACATATCCGAGTACTGAACAGTCCATCACAGACATGGGATCATTCTACTCCAGGATCGCTGCTTGAGTCTCATGTCCATCATCAACAAGGAGGGACAGAGTTTGTCCCCTGATCAACAGCTCAGGCTGTGTTCGGGTGCCCATGGGTTAGCTATGGTCTGACTTGCGCGCTGATCGATCAACTGATCTGCCCATCAGCACCCTTCAAAGTATTTTGAACAGAATGGAGCCGTGGTGCTCCATGTCCAGGGTCAAGCTGTTTGTCAAACAAGACGAGCTGGCTGGTACCATTCAGCAATGCCACACAGATATTTCAGATTGCTTGGTCAAACTACAGGTACAAAAGCGTGCTTTAGCAAAATTGTCCTAACGCCTTTTCAGGTCGCCTCTCATATATCAATTCATGCTTGGCAGGAAAGCTTTGAGTTAAGTCGCATACAAGACAAGGAAGACATCCTGCAGTATCTGGGCGACATCAGAAACCAACAGGAGCTTATGCAAGTCGCACAGGCGAAGCAAGCTGCAGATCTGCATCAGATCATGACATTGATGCAAAAGGTCACTCCAACTCACTGCTAGACTAGTCCTGATGAACTCATCGCTATGCAGAATCTTCCAGGTCAGATTCCAACCACAGATCGTGGTATGGAAAGCAACCTGTACTACATACAACATTCGTCTCAGTCGCTTTTACCAAACATGAATCTCAAACGCGGTGAAGTGAGACGCATAGGGCAATATGCTGTCAAGGGAACAGGATCAGCAGATATATGGGAAGGCTATTATTTGAACGAGGAAAAGGTGGCCATTAAAATCCTACGGGCTGTCCACTGCGAGCCTCAAACGCTTCGGGTACATTATCCCTCCCCTCTGCTCGAGATTGCATCCTCACATCATTTTCTAGAGGTTTAAGAGAGAGGTAGAGATCTGGAAACGCGTGTGGGAAGCCGACCGCGGAGAGCATATCCTTCCTTTCTATGGCTTCTGTCAAAACGATGGGCCTTTCCCGTAAGCCCTTCCTCCACATGGTTGTCCACTCTTCTTACCACATCATTCGATCAGGTATGTTGTAAGTCCATGGATGGTCAATGGCACAGTGGACGAGTATATAAAAAAGTACCTCAACGTAGATCATCGTGCTCTGGTATGTACAAGTCTTCTGAGAATGTTTGGTGTGATGTTGATTCGTTACAGATTACAGGCATCTGCGAGGGCGTGAATGTCCTGCATAGCATGACACCCCCGATCGTACATGGTGACCTCAAGGCGGTGCGTAGCTTTCATCTGCAATTTTGAGGGCCCGACGTGATTGTGTGCTTAGTCCAACATCGTCGTTGATGCACGCGGGAACCCCCTGTTGGCCGATTTCGGCTTTGCCAAGGTAGCATCACATTCTAATAGTCGATTGATCACATTACTGATATGTGAAATCAGGTCTTGGAAGATGTCACGGGTGTAAATTTCACGATGTCTGCTGGGTACTGAGATTGACAATGCGATTACTTGCGAAGTACTGACCTAGTTTGATTCAGGGTTTCCAATTCCCAGAGGTGGCTTGCGCCAGAGCTCTGCTGTGATGGCGGCATGCTTACCACCCAATCTGACATCTTCGCATATGGCATGACTATACTCGAGGTAAGTTAGAATTTCATTCGAGAACAATTTGCATATCTCATAGTATTTCTTAGATTATGACTCATCAAGTACCATGGTACAACATCCGCCACACAACACATGTCATCATCAAACTTTCTAGGGGGGAGATGCCCCCACGTCCCAGTGATCCTGCGGCTAGCCAAAGGGGTCTAGATGACCGTTTATGGGGGTTGGTCGAGGGCTGCTGGTCAGCCCCCGAAAAGAGACCTTCAACGAAAGATATTCTTGCTTTCCTTGGGTAAAATCAAATATCGCTATATCTCATCACCTTCTCAGCCGCACCTTCTCATGCAACACCATCCCTGGCCCAAACCCGCGGCTTCCACAGATAGCTCATCGTTTTCATTGTAATCTGACATTGCAACTAGCTGCAGAATCAGTGGGGTGGACTGTGCAACAAAGCAAATTATGTTTCTCTGATCAGCGCCTAGTAGTACAGTAACCAAAGTTCAGCTACCATAGCCAACATGCAGAATGTAAAGTGGTGATCTAACATTTTGCCGACATCAATGCACTCATTTACATAAAGAAGGAACACTGAGCTGAAGGTGGTGCGAATCATTTACGTAAATATTCAGGCCTTAGAGATGCATCCATTCGCATCCTATGTGCTGCGAAGTTATTATCGTTCAACAGGATGGAACGAAGACAACTTATACGCCAACTTGACCCGTTCTTCTAACGGTATGTCCTTCAGGAAATGTATTGCTAGTCTGGGCTAAAGCACTCGTACCATATAACCAGCTATACTGGACTTCAGCGTCCCTCGTGGCCTGCATTTGTCCATATCCAAAGCTCCTAATGGACTCTTCAACACCTCGTATTCCATGAACGCTATGCCGTCGCTCAACGGCTCAGTAGGCTACATATTCACGTCCTGCAACCTCGACGTGAAGAGCTCCGGTAGTGTCCGTTTCAAAGACATGGTCGAACGTTTCAAGGTGTACGACCAGCCCCGCAGGCCAGAAGGCAGGGAGGAAGAATGGCTTGCCGGAGAGCGCACTGACACACGTGGTAAATCTTCTGAGTGTGGTCGTTTTCAAGTATTGACGTGCGGGATTCAGATTATCTGCTCTATGGCCGCCTGTACCTGCCTACTGGTAGACTTGATGCGCTCTATTCTACGCGCTTATCACCCACTCTACAGGCACTTGTTGCAGCCATATCAGATCCACGGTCCACTCTCTCTTCCGAGAAGCGGTCTCGAGGCGACAATGTCAGCAATGTCATGTTCAGCTTACAGCATGACATCGGAAAGTGGTGCTCTGAATATACGTACAGTGCAGAAGACGGCATGCTGGGTGTACGCGTATTACACAACTTTGGCAGGCTCAGAAATCCAACTGAGCCTCCTGAGGATTTGAGCTCGTCGCCTGGAACAAGACCTAAACGTGTTGACGAAGAAGAGGCAACTGGTGGTGGTCTGAAGGGCAGAGTTTCTGCTGGTGCAGAATTCTACATCAGCGCAAAAGAGAGGAGTGCTGGAGGTAAGACGAATGATCTTAATCACTCCCAGGCACTGATAATCCACTTCCAGTATCCACAGGCATTCGTTTCACAACTCTCCCCGATGCAACCCCGCCATCTTTCCAACTCCCCCAACCATCATCATCACCACTCGCCCAATCCTCTCGATCGCCCCCATCTCAACCACCGACAACTATTACCGCTCTTTTTAATCCGATGATGGGACATATATCCACAGCTTATGCTGCGCGTGTAACACGCGACCTCTCGATGTGCTCTCGGTTCGATTTCAACGTCTACAGTTATGATAGCGAGTGGACGATGGGTGCTGAATGGTGGATGCGACGAGCTGCCTCGAAACACGACGATGAGCTCGAACCATCACTTATTCCTCCAGAGCAACCATCAGTTCCTGTTCCACAGGTTGAGTCTCTCGATATTCCTTCGGATATTCATGGAGTAGTGAAAGCAAGAATCTCGACTAACAACGTGAGTTGCAATGTGTCATGATATGCCGAGGTCGCTTATAGCTCAATCCAATTAGAATGTCTCAATAATGTGGGAGGGCCGCCTGAAGCAGATGCTTGTTAGTTTGGGTTTCGTGTCGGATCTCTCCAGTAGGTCAAAACCAATAAAAGCCATAGGACTAGAGTTATCATATTTCAGCGCTGGTTAATCCAGAGTCCCCTGCATACACATATCTTAAACTGACAGGAACCATTGAGAGTTGAGCGCTCAGCACCAGTCAATAATTGCGTGTAAGGTATTGTACATACACCCCACATCGGTACAGGTATGAGAACAGAGCAGCAAACCGTGGAGCTAAGAGCGTAGAAGGGTATGTGACGATTATATGTGCAGAGAGAGTTAGTTGCAATTTTAATTATCCAACAGAACCACGAAACAGAGGGGTCGACGTGCAACCAAGAAACCGGAGAGTACAATTGTCGATGAGCAAAAATATACATACCACGTAGATCAGGGCAAGAGATTAAGCATTGGTAACAAAATGGATGAAAATAGTGGAAACATTCAGTCTTTTGCGACGGCGACACTTTGGGCACGGGGCATGCCTGGTATACCGCCAATCGTTCTTGCCAGCCGAGATAATGCATCTCCAGTGATGACTGGCCGAACGCTATGTGGGGTACGTTGCCCCGCCCCTCCAGGAGGTGTCGAATGGGTTCGCGCATGCGCTTGGACAGGCGGACCTAGGGGAGAAGATGTACCTGAACGAACGGCTCGCTGATTTATCGCTGCCGTGCGCGGATGTGGAAAGGCAGGTCGGCCTTCCGTCTTCGATCGACTATGCGATGGACTATATGCGTGCGCAGCAGACGGGGCACCTGGGGTCGCTAACGATGGAGCGGAATGGGATTCCGGAAGGCCCTTAGGCGCATGGATGGATCCAGCGAGGCCGTGATCACTGGAAGAAGAACTGAGAGTCTTTTCTAGTGCTTCTACCTCGACAAGGGAGGGAGCGTGGATAGACTGTGAAAGGCCTCCCCCCCTAGTTGCAGGTGGCTCTGCACCACCTACGATCAACGCTGATTTGGCTATCGAGTTGGAGCGTGCAGTGTTTGAATGCAGGCTATCCCTTGCCTTGGATGGATGAAGCGAAGGCTTATCGACATGCATGATAGGCTCAGGCGCGACAACGGTAGCGGGAGAATCATGCGCATCTGCGCTGGCCGTGACAATAGTATCGGGTGGATTAGATAGGGGTGAGGAATCCGACGTGTCTTTGGTGATTTCGCCATCAGCATCACCGTCTAAAGGTTCCACGTTATGTTCCTCTTCCTCGTCCTCAGCGTCTCCTTCCGTCTGAGGTTCTGGCAGCGGCTTAAGCGCATCTGTCAATATGGGTGATATCCTATTATTTATTTCATCTGCGCTGGTATTGGTCCGAGTCGTCGTAACACCCCAATCATCAAGGTCGGGCAACGAGTCATCATCTTCACCAGCCCAATCGATATGGCTTCCAGGGGTTGAAGGCCTGTTTTCAGCCATTGCAACTGCCCTGACACGTTCGACCAATGCGTCAATATCGTGACGAATTTCAGCCTCGTGTGCAGCTGCCGGATGAAGAGGGATATCTTTATGTGGTGCGATAGAAGATGAAGTAGAAGATGCTGCCCTTGGCTTCTGTGGAGGTAGCGAAGTGGACGATGGTATACTTGGCTTAGTAGCGCCATTTAGGGAAGGCTTGGCATGCTGGTTGGTGTTAGTGCGTCGACGTCGGCTAGCATTATGACGACTTGGTGTGGAAGACACGTTGCGCACAGAATCTGGAGTCGGAGAAGCTGGAGCTACGGTTGCAGCCGGGATACCGCGAGAAGCACGCGTTTTAGGCTTGTGAGCACGGTCAGCTGGACTAGTAACAACTTTTTCCGGAGTTGCACTAGTGGCTTCCGATGGGGATAGGCCCTTACGAGTTGGTGAAGGCTCGACCTTAGGCGTGGACACGTTTGGGACGGAACCGTGGCTCTCCAAGGGTTCTGTGTATGAAAGCTTGCTGCCGCCTTTGATTACTGGGCTGTTTGAAGAGCGACCACCACCCCTTCCACCACCACGAGTACCTCTGCCCCTTCCTACACCGCGAAAAGCAGATCCTGCCTCTCCACCGCGCGGCTTATTCCAATCTCGCGACCGAGATTGGGGCTGGGTAGAAGGGTTTGCACTGGTTGGGGGAGTTCGGCTGGTGGGGCTCGCCATGAACCGTCTTCGATAAACAACGATTTGGCGATGGAAACGTTATGAGTTAGCTAGCCTGTTATATGGTCTAAGCAGCGTTCAGCAGCTGAATGAAAGCGACAAACGCCGACAATTGGATCTTGTCTAGGTTAATTTGGAGGAAGGGTACGCCCGGTCAGATTTTATACAGAGCAGATAGATTGCAATATACGGCCAGTCAACAAAAAGGGCGTTATGGAGCCAAGTTCTAATAGCAGATCTGGTATCGAACCAAACACTGCAAAGCAACAAACCTGCTCAGCGACCCTGACAGTGACTATCATCTGTAATAAGCATGTCCAAGGCATCACAACCAGAACTTAAGAAGGTAGACTTCTATTCAAGTCCTGCCTTTGTATGCTAAACGGCTTGATTTAGTTTATGGACAAGAAGTTGTTCGTCCATCTGCAAGGTGGCCGCAAAGTTAGCGGTACTCTGCGTGGCTACGACCTCTTTCTCAACCTCGTTATCGACGATGCTCTGGAAGAGTCAACTCCAGCTCAGAAACATCCCATTGGAACGGTGGTACATCCCCTCCCTCACTGCTGCCTGCGGGGAACACCTTATTCACATCTTTGCAGGTTATTCGTGGTAACAGCGTAACATCGATGGAAATTCTCGAAGCTGTCCGTCAGTAGTAAATGGCACCTTCTGCTTGTTACACTTATAGATTGCTGGACGGTTCGGCTTCTACTATCGCTTCTGGTACTACCCACGCTAACTCTTTAATTCTAGCAAGCTGATCAACATTCCATTGTATATTCTATCGTTTCAAGTTGACATGGCCTCCGTCTTGATCGCTGGGTCTGATGCAGTGTAACGGAAAAGTACACGCACCTTGCTGTTGTAATCGTATCTATATTTCTGCGAGCTTCGCAATTCTATACGAAGCGTCCTCCGATGATATCAGATACTAATCGAAATCTTTCATTGATCAGTGCGAGCGAAAATTCACCCCCATTTGTGGATCGGAGAACCATCCTAAAAAAAAATGCACGATGTTGCACATACGGACACCCGTTCGTTATCAATGCATCTTAGATTGACACGAGAGGATGTCGTCCAGCAACATGCAGCGAATATAATTCTGGCCGTGATTGCAATACAAAGGCGAGGATTGCGCGTGTACAGCGTAGGTCATACCTAAAGAACTCAGGATGGTCAAAGCGCGTACACATGTGCTATACAACTATTGAGAAATTATATATAAGTTTTCTGACTCTCAGGCTCCGAGATCGTACTGCATGCGACAAGCATCATGTGAGGGAAAACTTGTCGCAAAGCTGTAATTCCTAGAAAGGAAGTTGGTACATTTTTCGCCGGAATCACTTCAAGCGAATTTGTGGACTGGCATCAATTGCAAGAGGCTTCGGATACTACTGGCCAGTCCTGGCGCCAGACTAATTACTGTTCCATGCGGAGACAGCTTTCTAAAGTCTGTCTTTCCGCTACAACCCAAATTCATTCCCTGCGTCGACTTGTTCATACATCTACTCGTTGCTTATCCGCTATAACCCTTCCGTGTCATATCGTGCATGATGCGTATTCCGGTCCAAGCACAACCGCTGCTTCACAAAAAAGTTCCAAGGACATCATTCAGAAGGAAAAGCTTTCCGCTCTTATGGAGGTCCTCTCGCGTGAGACACGGAGCTATCCCAGAGTATGGTCATGCTATGTCGATTTCATGAATTACGCAGAATGCGACGATCTTCCTCTGGAAGTTCATCAAGCAGTTCTTCGACGTTGTGTCCCAGGCGCGTATACCCTGAGAACATGGACAGCGCGTCGCATGCAAACAGGTCAAGCTCCTCGCATTCCTCACCATTTTGAGGCCCGTCTCAAGACCGTCATGCGTAATATCCGAGCAACAGGCGCAGATGCTACTCTTGACGACTACCATTTTGTTCTGTATCATTTTGCCGCCGTGGGTCACTATACCGGTGCAATGCAAGTTCTCACTGAACTTACGCATGTCTGCAAATTGGACCCTGAAGCGAGAACATTCGGCTTAATCCTCAAAGCAATCGCACACCGTTTGTCTCTGCCAATATATAAGGTGCAGCGCGAGGACATGCTTGCTGACGCGAGCAAGCTTTGCCGGAAGCTGCTCAAGGAAATGTCAGCTCGGAATATGCCTTTGACATCTTTCAACCTTGACTTGGTGATCCGTATCCTGAAGGAGGTGTTAGATCAGGAGGGGTTCTATCAGCTCATGAAATTGGGCTATGGTATAGACTTGGATTATCCAGACCACCCTCCATTACAAGGCTCCAGCATGTTATCACCTTTTTCCACCGCCGCTCTCAATACCACCCTTGACATGCTCGGTCGCCTCGGCAATGTAGCCAAACTCGTACAAACTTTCGAGGTCCTCACTCAACCCCTTCCACCACAAGCCAGCCAGCACTATTCACGGGAGTTCGATGATGAGGATGACTTTGGAATCGCAAACCCCGCTTCAACAGAGCCACACCTAACTCCTCACGCCCGGCCCAATACCACTTCATATAACATCCTGCTAAAGCATATCTCGCGCGCGGGCCACGCCACCTTTGCACGACATTACCTCTACCAAGCTGTGCGCCTAGATCGTTCGGTCGACCGTCTTTTACGGAGTCAGCTTTATCGTGATCCCCATGGCACGCTTGCACCACATTTCAGCCTAAACCGGGGCACCATAATACCTGTCTTTGGGGAGGCCAACAGAGACAAGAATCTGGAGTTGATGCGATGGGTTGGATGGGTTACGAGACAGACCATACGGAGGAAGAAAAATGATATCGCGTGGTACTCTGACCAACGTGACAGTTTCCCTCCTCCATCTCCCTTAGAATCAACCTCCTCTAGTTCTCCCAGCTCCCCTCCACCGGACGTCTCGACGGCTCTAGACGTCGACCTCGACACTCCTTCCACGCCTCCAGAATTTCACCCACCGGAGAAAATATTCGATAGTAGACCTCCATCTTCGGATCCTCCAGAAAAGTCTAGACGAACTAGTGACGTGGTATGAGAACCACTATGAAGTCGCGCTCAGTCGGGTGACGCAAAGGGTGAAGGAGCGACTTGGCAGACGGGTATGGGCTGGGAAGAATATCTATTTGCTCAGCAAGGGTGCCCGGGTAATTGTACCAAGGAATGAATGGACGAGGATCGTGAACTTCAAGCAAGGAAAGGCTGGCTTTTTAGGAGGTCATGGTGGTCGAATTATGCGGAACGGATGGGTTGCAGGATATAAAGGGTTCAGAGCACCCAGGCCCCAGCCCTTGCAATTTTGTAGGTGATTTAATGATGACCTTTAATGTGACTGATTGGATGTCTTTAGTTGACCCATCATCGATGAGCTGATTTGACCAAGTGCCGTCGCCATCTGGTCATCTATACCACCTTTTGCGCAACATTCATGTCAGAGTACTAAATTCACGCGGTTTCGCTGCAACTTGGATAGTGTTAATAACATGGATTGATTGCGGGTGCAGGTATCATACATGTTGAGATATGGGGCAGAGTCCAAGAAGACAACAACGTGATGCAAAACATGAGAACGGGGTTTCAACTACAACAGTTTTTTGTGATCTGCAGCTCTTTCATCGAGGACTTTATCCATCGCATCCAGCCATAAGCGTATGTCAGTTTGGAATCGGGACTTCTTGAGATTGCTGGTGGTCGACGATGTACTAACGCCGACGCCAATGTATCTCGCAAGTGCAAGAACAGGCAAACGCCGAAGGGCGCGTCCTGAAAGTTGCTGTGCCTGTGGGAGTTCCTGAGCCACGAATACCGAGGAGAATGGTTAAACCTACTCTGCATTTATCAGCAAGAGCCAGCAAAGTATACGCAAGCTCCTTCGGTAAATTAGGCAACATGACATTACTTGCACTAGAACGATTCTCGCCGTTCTTGTCCATGTACAACGCTAGGTCAAGCGGTGGTACTACCTAAGAGGCATCATCAACAAGAAGATCTACGATGAGATCAAGTTCATGGCCAGCTCACTGTCTCCTGTAGGATTCCTTTGTTTATGAATTCGCACAGAGAGCTACGAAGAATCTCATAGATGGCTTCGCGTGAAGGTAAGTCAACGTATTGGATGATGTCTGCTCGATCAACGAATGCCGAATCTTCAAAAGGTAATCAGATATCCCAGACATCCCGTATGCATGGCCCTCCCGCATCCTTACCTATGGCTTTTGCGAGGTTACTCGTGGACATCACTAGGACGTTCTTCTGGTGCCTTAGCTTGTCCAGTTGCGTGAGGAGAGCATTGACCACCTATACACTTTGTGAAGAATGCACATCATGAGAGACACTTGCAGGCGTACCCTCAGGCCGTCTGATGGTTCTGTGCCTGCCATGGCGCCAGCTCTGGCTGCAGTAAGAGATTCCACTTCATCTAGAGCGCTATAAGCAGATGTGACAACAGCCTATACGCGTGCGGGCTTTACCTATTAGCACAACAACGAAGCAGTCTTCATCTTCCACCATTTCCATGATGTTGGTGAAAAGACGTTGTACAAGTTTTCCAGACTCAGAAAACCAGCGAGAAAACAGGGAGTGAGAGTTAATCTCTAGGAGGCGTGACTGAGAGTATCTGTTCGTTGCGAGAAATGTGAAGTTCGTGAAGAAGTTCATATATTGAACTTACCGATGAGATAATCTTATGGACAATTTTTGAGCTAGTGCTCGACATAATGATGTCTTGCCTGTCCCTGGAGGGCCATGTAACAAAACTACACGGTTCCATGTCACCAAGTTAACTGAGATAGGGTCAGCATAGATCACGGTTGCCTAATTGCTTCACCCACAGTCGACATCAGCATCACTCAAAACAAAAGTTGCGTGAATGTAATCGAGTAGCTTTAGCTTGATGTTATCCGCATATATCAAGCCATCCCACAATCCCTCCCATGCCTTGCATGGGAGTTCGCACACGCTTGCAGCGAGCATGTTCTCCTCACCATCTCTACCTGGTGTTCCGTTAGCATATTCTTCGACCGCATCGGCTTCATGTGGTTGGTAAGCGTGAATTTCCAGTGACACCTCTTTGAGGCGCAATGACATTGATGGACTTGCTGATTCTGATATTGCGATTCGGTCCACCGACGAAGCAAGGGTTGGGTCTGTTTGCCATCCATCAAGAATGGACGGGAGTTGGATTGGATCGTAGTTGTTGATAATGAAATTTCGGACAAGACCTTGGATGACGTCTACGCGTCGTCTAGATTTTGTCGAGAGTCGGACCTCGACTAGTATGCGTCACGATCAGATGATGTTTGATATAATTTTAGTTGTAACTGAGACTTACCGTGCACGGTCCATATTACATCTGATTTGATCTCATCCATGTCTGAGTGCAACGTTGGTACCGCGTTCCTATTACCTGTTAGTCGTTGGGGACATGTAGGAACAAACAACGCGTCAACAACGATCGCATATTCACGTGACCTACTTATCACTGATTGTTGTCAGCATCAATTCCATCATTAACCGAGTCGCCACGATGGCAGAATCGGCTGGTGTATTCTGTCCGCTGCCCAGTGAACAAGACAATGTAGAGCTGGCCCAAGGAAATCCTGTTCTTGACTCGTCAACTTTCATTCCACCGCTTCCACTGGCGTCGCCCAGCATTATCATAGAATTCTGCGACCGAGTACGCAGTACTTGTTGTAAAAGCTTACTATGATTGATGTACTATCTGCTATCTAGTGTCGATGGTAAGAGGGATCAATACTGCTAACTTTCAACTTCGTTCATTGCTTGTAGGCTCCATCGAGCGACCTGGGTTTCCACAGAACTATTCCTTACATTCCCACCTCCAGCCTTGAAGGCAATATCAATCATTCCTCTGAATTCTGAGGAAACTGGAGGTCGATTTAGGGTCTGGCTCAACCTCGAAGGCAGTCCCCCCCAATTGATGTGGGACAGGAAGATCGAGGGTGGTTTCCCGGAACTGAAAGGTTTGGTTAGTTCAAGGTGTTCTAGTCCATGCGATGAGATCTTTAACTGATGCCCTATCAGAAGCAGCGTATTCGCGACCACGTACAACCTGGAAAATCTTTAGGTCATTCTGATAAAAAGAGCGAATGACGTGTTAAAGGGTTCTGGTCAAACTTTGTTTGGAAATCATTCGAAGTAGACGGTGAATAAAGAAACGTTGCATACTACGTCACGATAGGTTCGAAGAGTGTATGATATAGTGAGAATCGGTTTGTTGCATATACTTAAGTGTCCGTCGCGAGAAGTGCTTCACTTTGTTCTCCGCCACACCCGCACACTCGGACGGCAGTAAACCTTTGTGAGCTCGATTATTCGGTTTCTCTTCCTCTCAAACCAACATGAGCACTGAGAGGCTCGAAAAGCTCATTAATCAATGCAAAAGCAACGGTTGGTAGTATGCCTTGGGAATAGCCGCATCAAAACTCACGGTGTCCACAGACGTTGACCAAAAGGTTGATGCCGTTACAAAATTGCAGGCAGAGTTCGAGTCTGGCATAGAAGTACGTGTCAGACACCTAGTCGATGAGCTGAGCCTCATTTACTGGTTTGTACTTAGATCACAGAACCAGAACCGGTCATTTCTACCCTCAAAGCATGTCTTCGTATCTCAAATCAACATCTAACAACCGCCACGCTCTCAGCCCTTCCTCATCTACTTCCCTTGATCGTCTTGCGCAACAATGTTGTCTCAAACGCAAACGCGCGTCCACTATCAGCATCGTCCTCCACGTCGTCCACTCCCGGAACGTCGCATGACTTGATGATTCTCCGCCAGATTTTGAATGCGTTCCTTCCCGCTCCTGGAGTCATCGAGCGTCTCGGTGATACCCGCGAAAAGGCTCGTGACAAGGCGCGTGAAACACTAGTTATCCTCGGTGGACTGGCATTCAGGGCCCCATCTGCTTCAAAGATGAAGGATAGCAAGGGGGGTCCAGAAACGCCACTTGCAATATTCGAACGTTTCTTCAGAGATAGCGGCTTTGGAAGCAAGGTCGCCAGAGTCCGAGAACAAGTAAGTAGAACCTTCCAAGCTGGTATGACGACTTCTCACTCTCTACCATAGTCAATACTAGTCCTCGTGCACATCCGCCGAACCCATCATCTTTTTCCTGTTCGACCATACGTTTCATTGCTAGTGGACACTTTGGAAGACACGGATGGGAATGTTCGCGCATGCGCAATGCCTTGCGTTATTGAGCTCTACACTGGACCGGGCGTGACAGACGCTGCTCGTTCAGACCTCAAGAAAGAGCTGACGAAGAAGGGGGTACGCAAAGCGATCGTTGAAAATATTCAGTCGCAGCTCATGCATTCCAGTCGTGCTGGAGCAAGTACTCCCCAGAGCGAGGGTTCCGCGGGCAGTGGAGAGCCTAACGCAAAGAAGGAGTATATTCCCCCAAGCATGATGCTACAACAGAATCGTCGGCCAACGGTTGGCGCGGCATCCGGAGCTACGCCTGGTATGACGAGGGCAGCAAGTCAAGGAAATGTGAGAGAGATTCCGAGGCCACGAAGTCGAGCCGCAGTTGTCTCTCCGCCTTTGTCATCACAACCTTCAAGTGAAGCAGCTAGTACGGTTGAACCTGCTTTTGTATGTTCTTTGATATCGCATCTCGCTCCGCAGAGATTGATCTGGGCAACGATTATAGATTGCATCTAGCCGAGATTTGGAAAACGAATTTCTAACATTTGCAAAATCATTTGAGGTACTGTCGACATCCTTGAATGCTTTGCCAACTTCTTAACTTGTGACGCAGGGAAAGGAAACGGAACACAACTGGGCTACCCGCGAACGTGCCATTCAACGTGTCCGTGGTATGCTCTCCGGAAATATCCATACAAGATATCCCGACGTGTTCCTCCAATGCCTAAAAGATGGATTTATGCAGTCCTCCATAAAAACAGTAAGCATCCCAAACTTACTAAAAACGTCTTACACACAGCTCTCCTTTTTTTTTCAGCTCGTCAGTTTGCGGACAACGGTTTCTGCAAACACCTGCTCTCTTTATTCCGAGCTTGCCATTGCGTTGGGCCAAGGGATTGACCCGTTTTGTGAAATGTTGTATACGAATTTGCTCCGAATGGCAGGATTTACCAAGAAAATTGCTGCTCAACAGTCCCAACGATCGCTCTCCGTCATAATGGAGCATGCTTCAGCACATCCTCGGGTTCTCCTTTCCCTCCTTTGGAACACTCTCCAAGATAAGACGGTGCAATCTCGAACATTCGTAGTATCCCACATCACCCACTATATCCAACTACATGGGATACGGGCGAGATCGCATATAGAAGCGAATGGTGGTGTGGAGATCCTAGAGAAGTCCTTGAAGAAAGCGTTGGCTGATCCCAATCCTACTGTCAGGGAAGCAGCCCGCAGTGCGTTTTGGGCATTCAACGGTGTCTGGCATGACAGGGCAGCTGTGATTCTCGAGTCTCTCGATCCTACAGCACGCAAACAGCTGGAGAAGGCATGTCCAGACCCTGAAGCCATTGCCAGTCTTCCCTCCACCGCACCAACCACACCAAGTGTCAAGAAGAGCAGCGTTGCAGCTGCGATTGCCGCCAGTCGTGCCAAAGCCAAAGCCATTGCAACTGCGCCTCCTACCCTGAGACATCAAGCAACGTCCTCATCACACGCGACACGCGCAACATCACCTACAGTACGGAGAGTTGTCTCGCCAATAAGCCCTACGGTTAAACTCTCGAGTGGGCGCAGCTCGCCATCGCCAGCTTCAAGGTCCTCGTTATCCCCTCGTTCTTCCCTCGCCCCCCTTACGCCAACAAAACCACGTGTCCTGGGTGGGACTATGCCTCGTTCTGTAAGCTCTAGCGCGGTCCTGACGTCGCATTCACGTTCCTCTACCGATTCATCGGTGTCATCCAGCCCCGAAGTAAACCGGCGCCGAGGCTCTTCTCCCTTGGTTTCACCCATATCCCCTAGTCGTTTAACTACCATCCGTAAAACTGTGCACCCAAATATTTCGGATTCCTACCACGACTCACCAACCCCTCGTCATCATGCACCTCCAGTTCCAGTTCCAGTCCCACCTCGCCAGTCAACTGTAATGCCCGATATTAATGATGATCAAACGCTCTTACTGGCAACCATTATACCCATACCCGATGACTGTGATTCTGAGATGGACGACGAGTCTGTCAATCTCATGTCTTTCTCGACTCCATATAAGGTGTATCCTCCGGCACCCAGTCAACAACGCTCATTCTCTCCCCGCTCCGATCGTTCAACGTCTTACACTAGTTCTGATGCGTTGTCGAATGGAAAACATTTAGAGACAGCACTTGTTGAGGATGCCCTTATAGCTCGAGCGGAGCAAGCACAGAGTGCTGCAGAGCGGTTGCTAGAACTGAACGACCCGGACGGTGAGGATAATCAGCACTCCACAATTCCCCCGTCACTGCTCCTTGGACGTAGCGGATCTGCAACACCAAAACCCAAAGTGCAAAATGCGCCCGCGATAATACGAAGCTTGGCTCCTCCTGTGACTCCTGACAACCGAACTGCAGCCATCTTCCGCCAGGCAGCGTTATTCAAGAATAGTCCTGTAAACATCAAAGCTATAGACAACCTCGTGAAGCCAGTTCAAGACCAGGTGCATGAGACTAGTTGGTGGTTGAAACGCACGTCCAGTGAGTTGCCATTGGTTACACATCCTTGCTATTTTCTGATTTTGGTCTTATGCACGCAGCCCTCGGCCATGCCACACCCCTCAAAGCAACTGCAGTTGAAGATCGAGTACAAGAACTCAACGACTATATTACCTCAATGGAGAGCGATCAAACTGACATTCGAGTTCTCCAAAAGTTGGCGCTGTTGTGCAGCAGCAATCCCATACCTTCCGCAACGACGTCTCCCCTGAGTCCGAGACTGGGACTTCCTTCCACCGTCTCGCCTTTCCTTGGCATCAGCCGCTCTCTTCCTCCGCTGATCCCTGATATATGGACCAAGGAAAGGAGCTTTGAACGGCTATTCAATGCTCTGATTAAGTTTCTTGATCCTCTAAGGGTGCACTAATTTGCTTTTTATTGGTACCATTTCTTACTCATTTGACCTATTTGAATAGGATGCAGAGCAACTCGAATACGGTCTCATAGTTCTATGGGAATTGCTAAGCTGCCAAGCACCATTCGTGGAAGGTCGGGAAGCCGACATCTTCGCGACTTTGTTTACTGTGCGGTACTGTAATGCTGTTGATGTAAATCTTGTCCCTTGCTGGTGTACTCTATGCTCACGACAGTCAGGTTCTTGAAGCAACTAAAACAATCCGCGATGCCCTTGCAACACGCATCGAACCTGTTTATGGTCTAACTACGATGCACGGCAGCCTGCGTGCGTTTCTAGCCGAACCTTCGTCAGATACGAGTGCCAAACACGCATCGCATGCCTTTGGACTAATCGCCATAGGCAAATTCGTCATGCGCTTGCCCGCTGAAGTTCTTGAGGAGGAGCTTCCACGCTTAAAATCTACTCTGATGGCAGCACTAAACGACAGTACTCTTGTCATTCGTGAAGCCGCGTACGCTACTATCATCGCTGCGCAGCTCGTGCTTCGGGATGAGACTCATCTCTTCACGTTGCTCGACGGGCTCGATGATAACAAGAAGAACTTACTAACGTATTACTTCGATAAGCACAACGCGAGGGACCTTGGCATAGATGGCAACGGCGTTGGAATGACGAAGCTAGAGGGTCAGATGGGGAGGTTGGACAAGCTGATGAATACCCCGCAGAGAGAGAAAGGTCGTGCATCGGAGTGAATGCTCATTGCTCACGGTATTCCATGAAATGCTTATGTTCAGCGACTAATATGGATGTGTTTCGAAGCTACTATGCTCGTTAATATGTCTATTTTCATTGCTATTTTTTATGCTGTTCGATTTGTATGACTGGCGCGTATATATACCACGTTCATTTTTTTTTTCTCCGTTTCGCATTTGCAACGCCGGTCCTGTTTATATTACACCTCATATGCTGCATAATGGAACTGATTCTTCTGATTGAGTGGCATCATTAGTTGGCATCATAAATGCCATCACAGGAGGATTTGGCAAGTCTAGCGACGAAGAGCCACTCTATATAAGAAGAAACCAATGCCTGACAGCATTCCACCGACATGACCTGCTGTATCTGTCATCGTTCTCTGCGACATCAATCAATTCAATTGACCAGATAGCACGAGGAGTTACGAAATCAACTCACAGCATCTGTAACACTCCTGTACACATCAAACGCGAGGATGCCAGGAAGGAACGCCCACGCAGGACAAGGGATGACGAAGAATATTAAAAACGTCGTCCTTGGAAATGCACAGGCGTAAAATGCGACGGTTGCTAATATTGCGCCTACACAACATTTTCATTTTCAGTGGATGAAGATGAACGTTAATGAAAGGGTGAGGAGATGTACGTACCGCTTGCGCCGTGTGAAGAGTAGTTAGATTGACGTTTGTAGAAACGGTTCCATACGAGACTCGTCATGCTAGATACGATGCCCCCTTGTGTTTTTTGTTAGGGACGTCGCGTGAGTTGAGAAGTGGAGGAATACCGAAAAAGTAGAGCGCCAAGAAACGCGAGTTCCCGAGGACTTGCATGACGCTGGGGGCCATGAAGTAGAATGAAAGGCCATTAAAGAATGCGTGTCCCATGTCTTGATGTGAAAAACATGAGGTTACTAGCGCCCACCTGCCCGATGAATGAGGCAAAATGCGCAGCAATCAAGTAAGAGTCAGACGCACACACGACCGGAGGTGATGTTTTGCCAGCTAACTAAAAAGTTGTCCCGGAGAAAGATCAAGAGTGTGGGGTCACGAGTAGTTTGCTGTAGATGTGGATGGCTGTCAGCTGTACCCTATACATTAGTCTTACTGAAAGCTCGCGCCTACGAACGTATGTGGACTTGGCGCCTTGCCAGAGAAGAAACACGCCAGCGTTTATTACGATGATGGCCACGAATATGACGTTTCCGTTTATTGAATCTAGCCAGTTTGGCCTGCGGGGTGGACGACGGGGGGAGCTATACCGGAAACGAAGCAGGTCTCTATGAGTTGCATTACGCAGCTGCGCACGAGCAAATTGAAGGAAGGTTGGCAGTGAACTGGTAGTACCAGTGGCTGTCTGAAATTGGACAATTTGCCCTGGCAGTGACAAGAACCGCGACGGTCTTAGTTGTGGAGGAGAATTAAGTTGGGAAAGGGTATTGCAGTAAGCCAGGCGACTGTTGCATTTTGATTGTATAAGTGAGCGGTGAAAGACCTGTGAGCACCTTTTCAACATGAGCAAGTGAGTCGAAAGAGTGCAATGCGTGTTGACCACAACGTTCAAGTTTATGCAATCTCATCAAATCCATAGCTTTGGGCCACGACAACGACTTAAACATGTCTCATCATCTCTTCCTGCTTTCTCCGTCTGATACGCCAATATACAGTCTGACGCACTACTCTACTAAGCTAGCGCAGCAAACGTCGTCGTCGCTTTCATCAAACTTGCCTACATGGTCTACCTCTGCGTTTGCGGGTACACTGACTGCGTTGTCAGGAGCGTCTAGCGCTACGCAGTCTCACCACGTCCAAGGGGGCGGTGTGAGGATGGGCGGAGGGCAAGATCGACATGTGATCCAAATGATTGCCAACGCAAGTCTGGATATTATTGAAGATGTCATGCGAAAGGAAAGTGCCATGTAAGTCATTACATCCCTTATCATTATATTGCTCCGCTTGATCTTGGCAAGGTATCTGAAATCTGTAGATAAATTCAATGAATGGACGGTGTCTGCGTTTGTCACCCCAGGCAGTATGTTGAAGCCTTCTCTTGTTTATTCTTCTCATCCTCACCTTAGACATGAAATTCATACTGCTGCATGAGACCAAGAATGACGATGGGATTCGGTCCTTCTTTCAGGACGTCTGGGAACTGTACCTCAAGGTCAGTCGCTCGTAGATGATTCTAGAATTGGTCTGACTGGATTGGCAGACAATGTTAAACCCATTCCACACGGCACATTCGCCGATACGCAGTATTGTGTTTGATACACGTGTTCGGGCGAGTGCGAAAAAGTATCTTTAACGACTCTGGGAGCAAGAACAATAACTTTTAGTACACGTGTACGGCGATTGCCATAGATCAATACACTAGCTTAGGCTGTGAGCTTAATTGTTATGTGGGCTGAGCTCGACGACCGGTGTTAGGGGGAATGACTGATGTAGCACTGCCACTTTTTATATCGCTTTGGCCCACTTTTATTTATGAACTCTTCCGAGTCCAATTCCTTCGCTTTGCTTTGGTTTCTCTTTCTCTTTCATCATCCACAGCATCCTTCTCCTTGTCATTCGTAAAATCACATAAAATCCTATAAAACACTTCTCTTTATTTCTTTCAATTCAGGCGTCCAGTCTCAACAGGACTCCACATATTATAATCGTCCAGCTCGTCGCTTGCAACAGCCAGCAGACAAAACTTCCTGCGTGAATATCATTTTTGTGTCTTTAAAGATACTTTTATACCTCCATTTCTCCGTACGTTCACCCGTTTCATAACGCTCTTCTCCCTAACTCTGCACTAGTTGTAACATTTCATCGCCTATCAACAACATAATCTGTCTGCCTTGTCCATTAATTCTTTCAGTGTCGTTTTAGTTACAGTCATCGTCCAACTCGCGCTCTCTACGCAATCTTCCCATTTTTTGAACTATGGCCACCATGCAGTCCAACAACCGTGCCTCCCTTCTCAATGGTCTTCGTACTGGAGGCGTGCGCTCTACGTCCATGTCTGGTCCTCATACTGCCGCTCTGGGCGGTTCATTCAACGTTCCACGATTTGCGTCTAACCAACACTCTGTTTTCGTAGAGGAGGAGGATATGGATGAAGTTGCCGAGCTTTTCTCACAAAACATGTATATCAACAATCAGGCAACTCGTCCCCTCACTGCTGCAGTAGACGGTCCAAATAACCGCTTCGTACAGCAACAAATGGCTGCTCAGAGTGCCCTCAATCCAAACAGTGTTCCATTTTACCCTTCTTATTCTCAGGGGATGCAGCCACAAAATCCTGGCGAGGTTCAGTTGCATGCGTATCAGCAGATGCAGATGATGCAATTGGAGATTGCGCGGTTACAGGTTTGTTGATTTATTTGATCGTTCACACGCGTGCTCATGATGATCATGCATTGTTCCAGTCTGAGCAGGCCCAACGTAATGCTCGTGCTCAAGCTATCCTCATTCAGCATGCTTTACGCCAGCAGATACAGAACAGGTGTGCAAGTGCCACAATTCCTTCCGTCACTACCGGTCCTCTTGAAGCAAGCTTTGATATCCGTCCTGTTGGTGGCTCTCCGCCTGCACGACGTCCTAGTCAGGCTGAACTCCTCAAAGCTCAGCTGGGAGTCCAAACTCCCCCACTTGAGGAGCAGGTGCCAATGACGGCCGTGTTGGGGGGACGAGCCGGCGTGCGTGTCACCTCTAGTGTCGCTTTCCCTAGCAGTCCCGAGACTCCGATTAGAGGATCGTCTCCTCCTGGGCAAACCACCGTGATTAGTGGTGGTACGTCGCTTGGAAATTCTTTGCCCAGTGGCAATGGACAGACCATGAAAGACAACACTCCTTCCAAGTCAGATGTCGCTGTGTCTTGGCGCCGTGGAAGCACTACTAATTCGGTTTTGAACGGTCTTCGCACGGTCTCCGCTGTTTCGCCGAGTGTTAAAATTACACCACCTCCTGGTGAACGTATTTCGCCTCCTCCTGGAAATGGTGCTACGTCTGCCAGCAAGGCGCGCCCACGCCCCTTGAGTTTTACAGCACCTCTCTCGCGCACGTTCCCTGTCATTGCCTTGGACTCTGGCAGCGAGCACGAGGATGCCTACTCAACTTCAAGTTCTGCCTCGCTCTCCAACCCCACTACCCCTCACTCTTCATCATCTTTAGACGCATCGCCACTGTCCGCCCGCGAGGAAGCAGCCAAGAAATTGTACGAGGGGCTGGGAATGGGACGTCCTATCTTACCTGTCTCACCCGTTCCCGTCGCACATAAATTTATCGGCCCTTTGAGACAGCCTCGTGGTCCGCCCTCTGGTGCTGATGAATTAGGACCCAAAAACTTTGCCACGCGCGTGCGCCGTAAGGCTATCGGCGGCCTGGGTGTTCTCATGGGTGCTCGCGAGCGCAGGGAAGCAATTGAGGCATACTAATCACGCTCGCTCGTTCGGCCTATTACAAAGTTCAACCAACTCAATATTTCGCTATGACTTGTCTCCTTGACTTCACCATTCCACTCTTTACGACGACAACAACTGCCTTGTGTGTTATAAACCCAACCCTGGGACTTTAGGTTGGAACGGACACGTTAGTGCTAGCGCTTTCTTCAACCCTGGCCTTCCCTTCACATTCGTTTCACCTTCCACTTTTACGTTCGACTTTATTTATTACTCCCTGGCGAGTGTGTGTTTTAGCTACTTTGTCTGCGGGCTTTTGATATGGTTGCCTGGTAGTACTCGGGACCCCTTTTCATCCCACCTTGCAACTTTTGTGTGTTAGGGAGGGCTATCAGTACGGCCTATGGCGCTGGTGGAAGTTGAGCTCCCACGAGTGCATGTTAGGCCTACTTCGGGCGTGCTGTTGTTTCATACTTGTACGCGTACGGTTGTTCATTTTAGCCGTTGTTCGAATGCGGATGTGCTCTCGTAAAATGTGTGTTGGATGAAAAATGAAGAATTAATTGATTGTAGTGTCAGTCTGAGTGAATCTCGAGGGATAGCGGCTTCTGCTTCTTCGTCAGAAATTCCCTACAAGCATGCGATGAAAGGCCCTTGAAGGCAATGTGTGTATCTGCACGTTTCAGTGTATAATTGTCTTGAATAGCGCCAGAGAACTTTGTCATCGAGCGTACACCATATAGGAAATTAAAAAGGGTGGCGACCCTGCCCCACTTGGCTTCCTTCCACTCAGAGGTATAGCCACGACATTCCTGCGGCTGTGAACATGCGGTTTCTGCCACAACAACATACCATACATTTTAGGACAAAGATGAGGACCGCAGTATAGGTTAACTTGTAGTAGCTGCATTTCCGCAGCAACAATGTGCCCTACCAGAAGCAAACTCCCCAGATATGAAAAGCCTATTTACACCTCTGCCCCACAATAGGCTTACCATGCTCCTAAGAAACCGTATCAGCAAAAGCCAGCACTGAAACACGAAGCAATGCATACCTGCCACTCTTCTCTACTGATCCACAGCTGGTGGAAAGTGCCAAGACTTGCTAGAATACTTCCTCCTAGCCAACCACCATACCTCCGCTCGATTGGGTTTCCAGGAGCGTGGATTTTGACCTGCAGACACATTTCTAGATCGATGGTGTATATTTAAAAGCACTTCACTCACGTGGGGGAAATTCCTGGATAGCTCTGCCTCCAAGCGATCAGCGAAACCAGGGAACAGGCTGCCTCCGCCAGTGAGGACCACATTTCCCATGAGAACTTGCCGCAGATCCGGGTCACAGGCTCGCAGGGACTCTGAAAGCAAGGTAGGGATGTTCTTTGGAAGATTTGGATTTTGCGCCTGTAGAAAGTGAGCGGCTTCGAGATCGGTTCGGTAGGGAGACACGTACCACTAGCTGCGGCGAGTGGAAGAAGAACTGTTCGCCAACTTGGTATCGCTCCGGCCCGAAGTATGTGTTGTAACCTGTCGGGAACTCGTATTGACGCGGTTGACGAGATGCAGCAGCTCTGCGATGCACGATAAGAAAAATCGAAAGCGTGCACAAAAGCAACCTACTGGTCGTTCCATCCCTGATCCAGAACGCCAGCGACGCTCTGTATCCACTCTTCGACTTCACGACTCTCGCACCAAACCCTCCAGCTTTCCGTTGTTCCAGGTATACGGTCTTCACGGAGGGTAAACCTGGGTGGTGCACCAGGCTCGACAGGCTGCATGTCATATTGATAAAATGAGTAATTCAGGCATAATAAACAACGAACCAATTTGTTGGCGATGAGTTGATGGGGGAGAAGTTCGATTCCCCGACGCGTCTGTGTGGGGTTACTCAAGATATGTCGAGCATGGGCTTGGACGAGTTTAGGTAACGCAGACGATACCAAACCTACATGATGTGAGAATGAGAAGAGCCAAATACGATCGACGCACCCTTTCGTAGTACGAAGCCATCAACTACTGGGGTGATGCTGGCCATTGCGTGCCCAACGTCTATCACTAGTGCTGAGCCCTTCCCTGCTGCAAAACTGCTCTCCAACATTGAAGACATCAGCGCCAAATAGCAAGTAAATCAGATCTTACGCATTCAGAACGCCAGTATTGGCAATATAGAAGGCAGGAACATGAAACTCCTCAAACATAATCTCTGCCATTCTTTCTCTATTTGCGGGTGTGTTCCAAGCCGGCTCGGTCACGAGGATGGGATGTTCTGAAGGATTAACTCGCATAACGTCGACCAGTGCATGCGAGATCAAAGCAGGGACCGGATTAAAATCAAAAACTGCAAAGCTAGATATAGATGCCATCCATGAACAGAATGTGAAGTTGCTTACTCAACGCATCCCGTACAGGGTTCCCGATTTCCATACCCTCTCTCCAGATCGAAGGGCCATTCTGCCCGAGGTAAAGTTTCGCGTCACTCGGGGTTTGTTTGGCGGTTGACTCGAAATTTTCTGGTGCATTTTCTGCCATCTGCACGTCGCTATCCCCTGTGGTCGACTTATAGCCATAAAACGACGGGATAATGGCCTTGGGGATATCATCCCCGGCGTATCCTGCGCGTACGGACGAGGAGCCTATATCAAGAACCAAAGCAGATACTTCATCTGCATAAAACCCGTCAAAGTCATAATATTTATGCCCAGAGACTGTCACTGACCTCCTCCGTAGTTGACCATCGCGGTTTATGATAGAGTGTAGTATGCCCGATCTAGATCTAACAAACATCTAATGGTCACGTGACTCCGACAGAAAAATAAGAAACTCAGTATGATCTTCATATCCCTTCTCGAGACTCTTTCCTAAAACATGGCGGTTACTGGCCTTGAGAGAGTGCGAAACAAGCGCAAGAAGGAGGGGGTTGAAGATGTCGAGAAAGGTCCTTTCTCTGGGGCAGTGGATTTGGAGATGCAGAGCGAAGACGAAGCAGAGGATGAGGACCGAGAGGGGGACGATGCGTCGGACGATGGAGATGTAGATGAATTCCCAGAAATTGATGTTGCCAGTGACAGCGACGAAGAAAGCGAGGAAGAGGAGGACACGGATGACCTCGACGAAGAAGACATCCTGGATGAAAACTCTGACGCCGACTCAGACTTGCATATATTCCCAAAATCTAAAAAGGTGGTTTCAAACATCACCGGACAAACAAAAGTTGTGTATCCAGAGATTGAACCTGACTATGATTCGGACTCCTCAACAGAAGATGTGAGTAGGTTCTAGCTTTTTCCTATACATCCTTGTGATGTAACTAACAATCTCAGGATCCTAACCGTGTTGGAAACATACCCATGCACTGGTACGATGATCTACCTCACTTGGGCTACGATATCAACGGAAAAAGAGTATTGCGTCCAGCTAAAGGCGACGAGCTCGATAGATTCCTTCAAACGGTGGAAGACCCCAATTCGTGGTATGCAATGCTTTCCTTCCAGTTAAGTTATACACTAATATGTTGCAGGACAACTGCTTTTGATAAAAATACCCAAATGGACAAACCGTTATCTGCTGAGGAATTAGACATTATTCGCAGACTGCAGGCTGGGGAAAATCCTGATGCGGAATACGACCCATATGAACCTACCATCGAGTGGTTCACTGGTAAAGGCAAAGAAGAAGTCATGCCTCTCTCCTCGGCCCCAGAACCAAAGCGCAGATGGCTACCAAGTAAATGGGAGAAACAAAAGGTCTATTTTCCCCTTGGTTCCATGTTACACTTCCTTATTTTATCCTTGCCAGATCATGAAGATTGTTCGTGCCATCCGTCAAGGTCGAATCGTGGGATCCAAGCCTACTGCAGCGGATAAAAAGCAGCAATTCTATGCTATATGGAACGAGCCACCGTCTAATCAACCGCCCCCGTTACCAGCACCCAAACCAAAGCTTCCTACGAATTCCGAATCCTATAATCCCCCCGAAGAATACTTGCCAACTGAAGAGGAGCGGAAACAGTGGGAGAATACTGATCCCGAAGACCGCGAACGAGACTACCTTCCTCAAAAGTATTCTTCTCTTCGTCTGGTTCCCGCATACGACCAGTTCATCAAGCAACGTTTCAATCGCCAGCTTGATCTCTATCTTGCACCACGCATACAAAGGGTGAAACTTAATGTAGACCCTAACAGCCTGCTGCCAAAACTACCAAGCCCGAATAGCTTACGGCCGTTCCCCAACTACAAGTCACTGCAATTCATGCATACTAAAGCACGAGTCAGGTGTCTAAGCATAAGTCCTGATGGCGCGTGGGTGACTAGTGGTGACGAGAGCGGAGTGATCAGCCTCTGGGAGGTCAACGTGGGGCGAGAGGTCAAGCGTTGGAACCTGGGCAGCAAAGTTGGCGCCATTGAATGGTGCCCAAGACTTGACGTTTGTTTCTTCGTTGCCGGAACGTAAGGGGTAGTTGTTCCTCACAATCACCACATTACTGACAAATGCCTTAGGGACGAACGACTACATTTTTTCATACCTCCAAATATCTCTCCTGCCATACTAACGATGACACAGTCAACCCTGGCACCCGCCACTCTTCCCCCTGCTACTCAGTCATCAATTAAATGGATATCGACATCCGGAGCTGCTGAGGACGGTCCCATTTTGACCATTGAACTCCCAAGCGCATCTGGACTGTCAAGGCAGTTGACTTGGCACAGAAAGGGAGATTATATAGCTTCAGTCTGTAAGCAAAAAGGTTTCGCGAGTACTCTCTCAATAGCTAATAGGCCTTCATTTACAGCCAGTAGCGAAACTCAAAGCAGTGTTTGGATGCATCAGATCTCACGCCGGCACTCACAGGCACCGTTCAAAAAAATCAAGGGTGCTGTTCAGATGGTGTTATTCCATCCTACGAAGCCCCACTTTTTCGTTGCGGTACGTGTTCCACTTGACGAGCTCCTTCTCGTGCTCATTCCAATGTAATAGACCCAACGTTATGTCAGACTGTATAATCTGGCTGAGCAGAAGCTGCTGAAAACTCTTATGCCTGGTATCAAATGGATATCGTCGATGGACGTACATCCGTCTGGTGACCATATTATTGTCGGCGGCTACGACCGAAAGCTGTGCTGGTTCGATCTAGAACTAAGCGAAAAACCCTACAAAGTTCTTCGGTATGTTATTCGTTTTGATTCCAAATCGATCGTTAATTTCGGCGACTTGCCACCAGCTATCACTCAAGAGCCATTCGATCACTGCATTTCCACCCAACCTACCCTCTTTTTGCGTCTTCATCTGACGACGGCTCGATCCAAATTTTCCACGCAAGGGTCTACAGTGATCTTATGACGGATCCGCTAATTGTACCCCTCAAGATATTGCGCGGCCATGATGTCCAGGAGGGACTTGGTGTGCTTCAGATCAAGTGGGTCAACAAGCAACCATGGTTGGTTAGCGCAGGGGCCGATGGCAGTGTCTCGCTGTGGTGTAGTTGAAGATCAGTCCTTTGTCTGAGTTTGACCATGAAATAACCCCTTTGTTGAGTTTGAATCTTCGAATTAGTGTGGCTGTGAACCTGAGCATGACTGACGTGGGCACCAAAGTGACCAAATCGCCACACTGAGATGTCAGGGAATAGTGCTAGGGCGTCACTAACCAATGATAGATAATGAGGTGTGTAGCTCAATGTCGGGTTTTTATAACCTATCTCATCTTGAATCGCAGGCAGGATCTCCAACATCCGCCGAGTTCATGCAGATCAGCAGATTAACTAGATATCACCAAGTGGGGGATTATCTGCTACTGCTACTAGGGCCATAAGTCGCAGCTCCGCTCCAGCAGTCCAGTACAAGTCTGTTCTCGGAAGCCTGTCTCGCATGTGTACACTCTGAGGATTTGATAGTTTCCAGTTTTCTCGTTCAATGGAAACTTAGTCCATGAAACGACCACTGGACAATCAAGCAAGAATATCATCATTGAGTCCTCGCACTTTCACCTCTGGCGCATCTGGTACCTTGGTACATCTACCTAGTGGCGACTCCGCTGCTAGATTAAGATGCTGACATGCTCGGTCATGACAACCGAGTACTAACACGAAATATCATACCCCCGTACAAGGAAATTTACCTCTGCCCGTGAACGCATGCCTGAAAGGTACGTAACGGTCCAATGAACACTGACCTGGTTCTTGCTGCGACCGAAAGAGGTCTCGACGCCACGTCGATCAGGACTGGAAATTAATTATTGGATACATTGTCAAAGAGGTATATATATCCGATGGAGCACCCAAGATATTCAGTTTACTCTCCATTAGTTGCTTCCTCATCTACTGGCTTTCTCACTGTCGCTCGTTACACCCTCCCAAGTCAATCATAATGGTTGAGTGGAAAACACTGAAGGAAGTGAAAGCAGAGGGCAGTGAGTATCGTGCTTAATTCTTAGGAATTTCCTACTCTGATCATTTTGCCCTTATAGTTGCTTTCACCAAGGTAGTCTATGTCCTGCTTGGAATTTATGTATGGGAAATCTGCACGACTGGTGGATTTGAGTTATCTGTATTCTTGGGTAAGCGTAAGCTGGCTTGGCCTTTGGTGCGTCTCTTCTCTCATCTATAATCTTGGCTGACCATGACAGCCACAGAGTATGTGCATTAACCATTGACAACTTTCCGATGCTTATGTGGTTCAAAGTCTTCTTCTTCTTGTGCCGTTACAGCATGCTCTTTGCTTTCATTGGATTGTAAGCCGCCAAACTATCCCCTTGTGTTACTGACTAAAATCAACTCTAGGATCATCTTTGTTAATATCTCCACGAAGGTAACATTATGTTTCCCTAAAATATAAAGTAACTCATCCTCGGCCTCGGTTAGATTGATTGTAATGTATGTGCTGTTTTCCATGTGCGGACTACGGCTGATATTAATATTGGTCATCCAAAGGCTTTGTATACTTTCACTTCTGTGAGTTGGTGGAGGCATCATTAGATTGCTTGAAACTAACATGAGACTCGCAGGTCGCAGGCAATTTAACAATTCTAAGTGCCTCCACCTCGCTGATGATCAGAACGTAAGTACTGTCTCGCTTTATATCATTCATTATAAGCTATTGATCTCACCTTCGAAGCATGGCGCTCTGGGAGTGGAAACGTCGCGCAGTTCTGTCGATGCTTGCCCTATCATTCGGGAAGTGCGCGATCCTAATTTGCACCATAATGACCGTGAAAGCATCATGGGATGACCAGGCTGGAACTTGTATGGTTATCAGAACAAATCACATCCTCCTGAATCTGAATCACGCCTACAGCAAGTGACCCAAGTTCTCTGCTATATTTCGCAGCTCATTCAACGTCTACCAGCCATGTCATTTGACTTCGTGATTTTGGTGATGACACTATTCGTTCTGAGAAAGCGTTTCAGGCATGAGGATCTTTCGGGCCTTCTCTGTCGCGATGGCTTGGTTTACTTCCTCGTTACATCGACTTGCAACACCGTCCCAGCCGTAGGTCCTCCTCTCAGATACTCTCTCACTTGAGCTGACATCCACACAGGTCCTAGCTGCTCTCAACCTCAACGGTGAGCCAGCTATTTTGTAATTAATTTAGAATCAACCCTGACTTGTATTGGGACTCTTAGATGAGATGAATGTGTGAGTGACTTTCACAATTACATTCCGTTTTACCGGGCTAAAACAAATGCTTGACGTAGCATCGCGATGGTAAGTTGCATGCATGGCTGCTTTATTTATCTGACTGGACTCTTTATTTCAGGTACCCGCTGCTGCAGTCTCGTACGTGCTTTGTTTTGTTCTCATGGTCATATTTATAGCGGCATACAGAGCTATTGCTGCCTGTCGTGTGTTTATTCACCTCGATGCATATAACAAAAGCAACGGCGAAAAGGTTCATAATAAACCGACGGTGGTTAATCACAACTCCACTTCTCCTTCAGTTAGCCCCACAGGTCCTAGTTCAACGCCGGGTCTTGTCAGCTTCCTGCCCTTGCCCAGTCCCAAGACAACGAAGCCGGGGATTCGTGCCACTATGGGCATTATGGATTCGTTTAGGTATGTACTTGGTCAAAAGTAAAATGAGAAGATATAATAATAATGAGTTCCAGCCCACCACAATCCGCCTGGAGGAAGCCCCCTTACGAGCGCCGCAGCGACCGCACTTCGGTCGACTCCGAGCCAGACTCGAAGTCCTTACGGTATATCTCAGCCGTTTGAGTGGATAATGGACAATGCTTCTCATCACCGTTTCATTCCGGGTTTCACAGTTCGAAGGTTGCAATTTGGAAATGTAGGAGAAATATCTGTAATCAAATGGGTTTATTCGCCCTAGTTGTTCAGTATATACTGTGACTCAGAGATAATAGTATGGAGATAGACCTCGAATTTTGTTATTGCAAATATAATGCTTTTGGTGGTATACGGATGACATGGCGATAAGTAAGGCAACCTGCACTCATAGGGTGGTACGCCATTGACCACGCATCATCGCCGACGTGACGGGCGCCCAGACCTCCGCCGCGCTGCTGGTAGTCCCTGGCGGTTCATTCTCGTCGACTTCGGTACAGGCGTCATGCCTTTTGACTTTCTCCACTCCTCCCTTCGCGAGTTCCTTGAACCGTGAGTCGAAATGCGCGATGGTTTTGTTGTTGACAACTTTTCAGAATCATCGAGTTCCATGGCATCTAACAAAACATAATCAGGTTGGAATTTTGAGACTGTCCAGAGAGCTTATAGACCTGGTGCCATAGAATCATCTGGTGGGGTAGATGTGAGCGAGGATGACTTGTACATTAGATAAACCGAAACACGAGAAAAGATGCCTTCCTCGTCTACTATCTCAAAGCTTGAAAATGCGACGAACCTTGCGCATTATCATCACCTTCCACCGGTTCTGCTAATTCCTTATCTCCATCATCAATTTTCGCCATCAATTTAGAATTGAGTCTTTGCAGACGTGCAGCCTCAGTTGCTGCGTATACACCTTCGTCGCGTTTTTTTGCTCGGAATGAGCGCTTTACTTTTGATCTAGTTGATTTTGCCATGTTGACGACAATGTGGAAGGAGTCACGACCAGCTCGCAAATGAGGGGAATTTCAAGTTGATACACACGTGACACATCATATATTTCTTTCCAAGTTCAAGATCTTGCAAAAACCATTCAAAAGCAGCCTCTTCATACTGTCTATCCGTTAGATAGTAGCCGCGCGTTACACCTTTCATTGTGGGGCACCAGACTTATCCCAAAAAGTTGGATGGTCCAAAGATAACATGTTCGTCAACTCGTGCTGTCTCCGAAGAATGATTACCAGCTCAGAAAGTACCTGAATCAGCCAGCACCACTGCCATAGGCATAAGTCTGAAAATTAGCCCGAGTCGACAGCACTGCGGATAGTTAGTCATATTGTGATGCAAGATCGTCTTCCAAGTCTAGACACCCTCTATTGCAAACGCAGGTTCAAGGACAAGCGATCATCTAGGTTTCTGATGCATCGCGATAGATCATGCAAGCACTATACAAACCTACTTCGATAGAATAAACTCTCGAAAGTCCTATGATACAACAAGAGTAATGGTCTTGAGCTGTCGATGTTTTGAGCGAACACTACACTGCATGATCATTCTGGAGGAGCTTCCCTGTAAAGTCGCAAAACATATAAGCATAGAGAATTGAAACAGAAGAAATGATACTCATGATATACAACACGTTATTACACCTGCAGGAAAGCTGGTAAACGCATCAACGATGGATCAATGAAACACATACCTGATGAAGACTTCTCCCAGAGCACCATTTGATTTCCCGTCTTGGAATTCCTCTGTGTTGGCCAGCTACACAGTATATTAGAGGTCCATAGAAATAAACATCAAACTGGTTGTTCATACCTGGAGGTTCATGTACCCATCCGTACTGACAAGGAATCCTTTGTACTCGAGCCCCCATTTTAGCTTTACAAATACCGGCTTGCCGGTAAGCTCCTGCATGAAAGGCTTGGGATTAACAGGGTTGACCTATGGTGAGTTAATATCATGACATCCAGCTATGAACTTGTTGACGCACCGACGACATCTTGGTTGTTGATAGAGGATAGATGTAAGTAAATTCGGACTTCGAAAAAGGCAAAAAGAAACCACCACATAAAACACGACTTGTGACATATCACTTTGATTCACTTTTGGCCGCGTTTGTACCGTGAACTTGTGCTTAGCATGTCAGACCGCGAAGGACACTCGGGAGCTGGACCGTCGGATGAAGATCTGTCGCTGCCGAAGGCAACAGTGGCAAAGATGATCAGTGGTATGTTTAGCATGTAGTTCGTTTTCCGATCTCTCGAACTGTTATTTGTTCCCCTCTCAGAACTACTACCAGCTGAAGTGACATGCGCAAAGGAGACGCGAGATCTAGTCATAGAGTGTTGTGTAGGTGAACATCGTCAATGATCTTTATGTACCTTATTAGGGCTCACACATTTGGTAGAATTTATTCACTTGATCTCGTCAGAGGCCAACGAGATATGTGAGCAAGAATCTAAGAAGACAATAGCACCAGAGCATATAATCGCAGCACTGAAGGCATGTTTATGGTTGATCTCTATCCTTTGCTGACTTTGCTGTAGCGGCTAGGCTTTGATTCCTTTACAACTGAAGTTGAAGATGTCTTGAAAGATCACAAGCAGCAACAAAAGGTGTGTAAAGTTCATACTGACACCCAGCATGTGATGGACTTTGTCTTAGGACCGGGAGAAGAAGGCAGACAAGATAAAAGATTCGGGTTTAACGCCAGAAGAACTTATGGCAAAGCAAGAAGAGCTTTTCGCTGCAAGTCGTGCAAGATTTGCTCAACCGCAGGGACAGCAACCACCATCTGCGGAAACTTAAGTGGTGACGCCAATAGCGAACATCCACGGGACCTGTGATTCGTATTATTGTTGTATTGGACGCTGTACATCAGTACTTCTAATGATTTTTATTTTCTATTTCTTTGTCTTGTCGCTGCCTCAGAACTTCAAGGCGTCTATGTGGAGAGTCTTGGTTCCATTCTTCAACTCCATCGGAACCCACTGTAAGGTTTGGAAGACCAAGTTGTTGAACCGTGAAAGAGGCTGACACCGAAGCATATAGTGTTGCTAGAATGCGTGAATGATGGTCTAATTAGTTCTGCGTCAACATCATGACTACACTGACAAACCTTCATAGACATCTCCGTTTGCGATGGACAATCCCGCGGCAAGCCCACCAAGAAAAGAGTTGCCAGCACCTAGTTTCTATCAGTACAATCACAGCCATGCAGATATCCGCCCAAAGAATTACCTGTGACGTCGACCACCTCCAAATTGTCGACATTCTCAGCGGAACTCCAGAATGCATCAATCCATCGCCCTTTCTCGTCAGAAGACATGACATATGCACCGAGGGCACCACTGCGTATTATAACGCTTCCACTATGTTCTTTACCCACACCCATCTTGAAGAACTCCGATGCAGCATTTTCAACAGCAGATTTCGTGACAATCAACGGAAGAGAAAGCAAGTTCAGTGCCTCCTCAGCATTTGGACTAGTGTTTGCGTGAGCAGGGAGAGACTGATGCTAACTATGTCTCGCCTACCTGAGGATTGTGATATGTGGGAGGACTGCTTTCAGCGAAGGTAACTCCTCGGGAATACATCTATCCTGCTTAATATTCAATCATTGATTGTGAAACAGAAGCCTGCACGAACAGGTATGGGTTCAAATATTGTGGTCGGGTTCCATTCTTCAACCTGTTGGATTTCTGATACGATTTGAAGTGCACGTGTGGGTGAACAAATGAAATGAACCGAAGCAGGACGTGTAAGTCGCGTTCTTTCCAAGTCGCAAGGCGTCAGTCTGATCCGCGGAGTGATGTATTCAAAACTATTGTGGTATGGGAATGTCAGATATGATGGCGATAGATGTATGAAATAGCAACCCTCGATGTTGTCCTCTGTAAAAATTCCTTGATCGAGTAGTAACGCGATTCATGTTGTCACGAAAGTGCCATAGGTTGGAACCGTAAGTCAGTAACCGATCCTCTATGTCCTGAGGGAAATCGTTTCCTCTATCAACAATCATCCCGAGGGTATCAGGAGGCAACCTGCAAGATCGATTCGTTCACAAATCCAAGTCATACAACGTATTAATGCTGACCAGATGCGAGCACCGATAATAGCATACGTTCCTCCACCTCCAATCTATTATGATGTGCAGCGTGAGGACATTGACAGCATCAATTGAATCTGTAACTAGCTTCCCTGGGGTGCCACCGTCTTTCCGGTAGGTTTCCCTTGCTCATCTGCAAAGGAAAATTCATCGATGATGAACATTCCAAAGGTCACAAATTGAATCGTCATCTCCAGAATTCAATAGTACGAGGGTATGAAACAAATTTGGACCCACAACAAGCGTTACTGTGAACCTGCCGGTTGCTTCCGGCATGGTGTTACCGCGGCGTCTCCGTTGCTATTGGTGTCTGTAACTGGACAATTATCCAGTAATCTACTATGCCACCCATGCAAGTTTGGAATGTTATATATGACCCGCTCGAATTCCCAGATTCCGTGCGTGCCATGTCGTTCAAGCTGCATTTCACGTTACCGTTCTGATTGCTCCCTATGTCCGATTAGCTTTATCGTACCGCATTGCCCCTAGTGGATCAGACAGCACAGAGCAAGATCACCAAGTTTCATCGCCGCGAAGATGCTTGTCGTACGTATGCAACTCAGCAGGCGCCCACACTGATGCCTGATCTTTCATCCAAGGATCGCTCATTGGCAGTCTCCTTCCCAGAGTCTTGCTCAAGAAGCGAGGCGTGGACAAAGATGCCATGACTTTTGCAGCCACCGACGCGGGGAAGCCATACTGTGTACGTCCTCGCAAGGATCACCCACACCTTATACTCATTCTTCGTCCAGACCACGCCTGGAATAGACCCTCCGTTGGCTTTCAACGTTACCCATGATGAATGTGTCATCGCCATGGCATTCGGAACAGGCGACTTGGGACCTCCGGCATTCAATATAGGAGTTGATGTCATGAAACTCAAAATTCCTCCGCGGACTACTTTTACTGAATTTGTTGACATCGTCGACAGTCAGGTGAAACGTCCGTGCTTCGTGTCTTCGGGCTGCGCTCATTCCCTCGCCTTATTACCGAAAGCTCACGGCTCGAGAGAAGAATTTAATTCTTGCTGATGTTACAGAGGAAGAGGCGATTCGCAGGTTTTACTACGTCTGGACCTTGAAAGAGGCTTATACCAAGGCTCTTGGGATTGGCCTCGGCTTTGATTTCAAAAGGATAGAATATGATGTTGTGGAGGAGAAAGTGACCGTCGATGGCGAACCCGCGAGAGGATGGCAGTTCTTGAGATTTGAACTGCCACAATTTGGACATAATTATGTTGGCTTCGCTGCGAAGTTTGTTGGAGGACGAGGAACAAGCATATCAGAACTAAGTGAAGGGTGTCTCGTTTGCTATGATGCTGTATCATTTGTTAACCGTGCGATTGAAGAAATGAGCTAGACAACTAGACATCTGTATCATATTAGGGATGTACTGGAAATAAATGCTATATGTTAGACTACTACGTAAATTGATTTTGGGATGACGGAAATGAGTATACTGGCGATATGTTTACCTGGAAGATTATACTCTAGAAATATGCATGTAAGTGAGATCAATATGCAAGGAAAATTTCTGAACCAAAAAGTAGGTCATCCTCAGAATGGTTACTGATTTGAAGGGGCGCTGATTGCCAAACCCTTTTTGTGCCGTCATCTTGCTTGGCCTTAGAGCCCCAGTGCATCCCGGAGAACTCGAATGCGCTGAGCTCTGTGAAGGACGTCAAAATGCTGGCCATCTGCTCATAGAATTCCTGTACCATGAAAATTAATGTTCCTGACTACTATAAATGAAAAGCCATGGCGACTTACGGCAGTGGGAGCCATGAAGATGCCCTTGGTTGACATCACTCGTAAATAGACCAAGTGAGGCACATGTCTGTGCAGTGTTTCCAAGAAGGGCACGGGAGGCGAATTTGTAACGGCTCCCAGAATGACTACAGGGACAGTCGAGCGGGCAAGGAGAGGAATATCATCCTCCAAAAGACCGCCGTTCAGATGAATGCTCTTCACCGGACGACCAGGAACAATCAATTCGGCTGTCCGGGATGAACCAATGAACTGTTCGAGTTGAGGAATAGAAGTCGGAGCAAGGTAAGGTGGTGGGGACTGGAGCGTGGACGTGGTAGGGATAGAATCTACTTCAAGCTCAAGAAGCGACGGCGTCCTATCAAGGAACCGGGCGACGTTCTCATCGAAAGAAAAGGAGCAGGTGAAGTGAAGCAAGTGCGGGAAGTGGATACGACTAGACGCTTCCTTCAACACCCAGCTCACGCTCGAATCCACGAGGAGAGTAAGAGAGGTCAACTCTGACATATTAAGAATGGCTTTAGCAAGTTGGCGATAATAGGCGAGGAAGACAGGAGCAAGCGAGTCAATAGCGATGTAAAAGGACCGCACGAAACGCGCAACATGTGGTTTCTTCGCAAAAGTGTCAATGACACATAAGTTTTGCGACCAGGCGGAAGCCGATACACTACAGTAGAGGATGCGTTGTGCGACTGGACAGAGAGTGGAGCATGTCTGAGCAAGAGCAGCGAGAGAAGAGGAAGAAAGATACTGCGCAACGCTATCGAGAAGCTCTACTGGTAAGCTGTGCATGGACATGGGTGATTAATGCAACCCGAGCTGAACGCGGGACCTCTTATAAAGGTGGGCCTCGGGCGCGCAGGTGTCTATAAAATATTATTTTGAGTGATTGCCGCCGTGTGAAGGGAAAAGGAATGTAAGCGAATTGAACTAGTAAGACTGAGAAAGTCCATGGATAGAGGATGACATTGAGATGTAAGCTTAGATTTGATTGAAATTACTTAAAAATACAAGGGAAACGAGGTGGTGGGTGCCAGCAAGCATGAGTACGGAAAATATCTTTACCGTCAATTATTACGTAATAATCCGCGAACTTAGCATAAAACAGTCAACTCAGCCTTGCACTGGCATACTAGTCATGCGCAGTCGAGGAATCATTCCACCGCTCACGAAACAAGCTTTAGATTCCAGATCCTCGCACTATTTTCGAATTCCTGCATTATGGAATGCGAAGAGGCATATTCAAACGCGAGGCGATGCTCGTTCTGGTCAGCAAAATGACGCGTTCTTCACGCGATTCTCTCAACGTTATACTAACTCGTGTATCTAGCCCCGTATCCAAGACGGACTCATATGTGTGGTGAGCTCACTCCCGCGCACGCTGGCACCCACGTCACGTTGGCTGGCTGGCTACTCCCTGAGCGGTGATTACCTTTTGAATCTATTCTCCTTTCAATCCGCTTACTTTTTCCAAATAAAGTAAAGTGTCAAAGACAATGTCCTTCTTTCCCATCAAAGATTCTTCTGGAACAACCCAATTGGTCGTACGCAAGGGGCATGCGAATGCTCATCTGACCAAGTTGTCCGAGCTTCCTGTGGAGTCCACTATTGCGATCGAGGGTGAAGTACTCGTAAGACCAGAACTGTCTCGCCGCAATGTCAGTAGGGCTTTTTTCTTCTCACAAGCCGTCATCGTTCTAGACGCTCATCCAAGGTATCTTCAAGGAAGGCACAGGACAAATTGAGGTCCAAGTAAATAACTTTACTCTTCTCAACCCTGCGCATCGCAACATGCCATTCATACCGTCGGACAATCAGACATTGGTATGCGGAGTAACGCGGAGTTATTTCACCATTAATGAGATCAATTATAGGTTAATGAAGACCTGAGAGCACATTTTCGATATCTTGATCTTCGTAGGACTGCACTTGCAGACAACATCAGAAAAAGAAGCCAAGTTGCTCGAATAATTCGGGATACTCTGCATGACGATGGTGCGTGCTCTTGATATCCGTTCGATGTCCTAAGACCACAGTCACTCCTAGGCTTTCTTGAAGTAGAGACGCCACTGCTTTTGAAATCAACGCCAGAAGGTGCAAGAGAGTTTTTGGTTCCGTCTCGTGTCGGCCAATCAACTGCACAGCGTGATGAAAAACGTACCCCCCTATTTTACGCTCTTCCGCAGTCTCCACAGCAACCAAAACAATTACTTATCTGTTCTGGAGCTGTTGACAAGTATTTTCAAATAGCCAAGTGCTTCCGCGATGAAGATGGTCGGAAGGACAGACAACCCGAGTTTACGCAAATCGATCTAGAAATGGCGTTTGTCTCATGGGGTGTGGATTCAAATATTTTCTCATCCAATACATGGCGAATCGGAGGCCACGAGGTTCGCGCCGTAATCGAAAAGCTTGTTCAACACATATGGCAGAAAGTCGAAGAAATCACACTTCCGAACGTATTCCGGGTGATCACCTACAACGAAGCAATGGCACGTGTAAGCTAGTCATTTACCAATCGAGCGACATTGTAATTTGGTCATATTAATTATCGTTCAGTATGGTTCAGACAAACCCGACACTCGGATCGATATGGAGGTTGTATAAACTGCTTGTGCGTTGAATAATGCTCACACCGCCTATACCAGATCCAGGACATTACGCCCTCGCTACCAATTCATGCTCGTGCATCATTCGAGGACCTCGGGGACATTCTTGAGGCGATCATTCTTCGTCCATCTGAGAATTGCTCATTCTTGCGGGCAAGTGAAGAATGCAATGACGAGAATGAACCAAATGTCGTTAGTTGGCCTTTTGATCATTATCGATAATTTCACATGATCAGTTTATAGAGCCGCACTATGATCGCCGATAGTAATTTGTTGAATTGGCTATGTGATAACCGATCTATCAATCTGAAGCTGAGCAGCGAGGAGCATGCCCTTTTGAATAAGACATTAGAACTCAGTAGCGGCGATACCATATGGCTATCTCGTCGTCGCAAAATTCCCGAGGTGTGTCTCTATACTATCTCCGGTGCTTCCAAGACATATTTACATGTGGATAGGGCGGGTCCACTGCTCTGGGTCGCCTCCGAACACGAATATCTGAGTTGGCACATGCCCGCGGTATGTGCTGTCTACTATTGTAGCGGAGAGGCATTCATGCCATTTGTAGGTGATTACGTACCTCCCACGATCCCTCACTTCCTATGGGTCACCGAATTTCCACTATTCACTCGCGCTGATCCTGACAAGGAGTTCTTAGCTCGCGGGCGATGGAGCAGCACACATCACCCTTTCACAGCGCCGATGTGGCAAGATATAGAAGCTATGTACGCAGGCCGTATCGATCAGGTTCGTGCCAATCCTTTTTGCAGGAGTTTTTCGTGCCAGGAGCTTAGTTTCAGCTTTACTTTTCAGGTTCGGGGACAACATTACGACCTAGTTCTGAATGGTGTTGAGATTGGTGGAGGCTCGGTTAGGATACACGATGCCACGATGCAAGAGTACATCTTTTCCCAGGTTTTGCAGGTTCGGTTCTCTGTCTCGCCCCTGTGGCGTGTTATACTTTGTCCCGACTTACTTATTTTTATAGCTGAGTGATGCTGAGAAGTCGTCGTTTGATCATCTATTACATGCCCTTAAATGCGGTGCACCCCCTCATGGCGGAATCGCTCTCGGTAGACCAATCAAATTTTCTGTAACCTACGCACTAAAAGCTGATAAAAACTCCGATCTAGGTTTTGATCGCCTGATGGCTATCCTTTGCAGGACGTCAACCATCCGGGATGTCATCGCTTTCCCAAAAACTGGCGCAGGCACAGATCTACTTTTTAGGAGTCCGGCGGCCATCAACGAAGAGGTGCTATATCAGTATGGTGTCCGTCCTACACGTTGTTAAGACCTGTCCCGGTGCTTTTGAGCACAAGCTTATCAGATTATTATCGTAACTAATCACCACATCGTAAAAAAGGTATCAATGTCCTCGTGGGCTGTTTGTGCACTACATAAACGATCATATCTTATCGTAAACACAAGCAATAAAAATGAACACGCAATTACTAGACATGTGTGAACTGTGGTGTTTCATCTGACTGTGACAACTCGGGAATGTGACTCAGGTCAGATTCTCCAATATCACTCTGAGCAGAATGTTTTATCGTCGAATCGACTACTGCGGATTGAACTGGAGTGGCATCGTCCGTGACGGAAGGATATGGTAATGCGCCATTGGTAAATGACTCCCAACTCGTATCAGGATCGAGAGTCCCTCCATGTATATTGGGCGGTGAAGCATGGGATTCTGTGGTAGGTGCACCGATAGGGTCACTCGGATGACGGACGTGTGTCTCTTCAATCACTGAAAGAACACTCCGAAGCTTAGATTCCGCCTTCCGTACGTGATGTGTAGTGCTCGGCGGATGTGACTGACGACGCTTAAGTTGGGCAGAGGGTGATTCCGAACGGGTAGGAGTTGAAGAAGGGGAGATGGAATCAGCCCATTCCGAAGTTGTGGCAAAGAAGCCCCCATTTGGAGCCCAAGAATTATTAATGATCGCTGGAGGTACGTCAGAATTTGGGGGTGGTGGTGTCATAGCCAATGGGCTCGGCGAGGGCGAGGGTGCATTGGCCATTACGGCCAATGGAGGAAGAATGGTGAAGATCTGGTCCTCCGCCTGTGGAGGTCCATATGAGTCAAAAGGGTCTGGAACCGACTGGAGCATCGCTTCCAGGATAGAATCCGATCTACGAGGCGGGGATAAGCTTTGAGTAATAGTTGATTTCAGGGTCTTAATGACTCACGCCTTATTCGTGAACCTGTCAAATACATCCATAGTCGAACGAACAGCTACGCAGACCTGAAGGCGAACAAGTCAGCATTTTACGAAGTGTGATGATTTGTCAATACGCATACCTTGCCTTGCACCACGTCCCAGACTTCTTCCTCGTGCTCCATTATTTCTTGGTAGTGTTGTGCCTTGAGACCATCAAGGTCATCTACTTGGCGCTGAAGCACCGCAAGGGCTTCACGGAAGCTTTGCAGGTCTGGATAGGGTACAGATGTCACTCAAGGCCCGAGAGAACCGGAAGAAGGGAGTCACTTCTCTGCTTTTTATTCATGTTACTTAATTCTGTCTGGCGAATAATTTCACTCTTTTCGCGAAGAGCTTTCTCATAAGATGCGGAGCGCTCCTGTGGCAATGACATGTGAAAGGGTCTGACATGAGGCTGCGGAGGAACTGCGTACGTTTACGATCGTTCGATATGTGTCCAAATGTTGCCGCAATGGTTTCTCGAAGCTCTTATCAAGTGTCTCCGCCTATTCAAAAGTGTAAGAGTTTGAAGCAATAAAGAATAAGGGTAATTCGTACAAGGACATGCCAATGGTTACCGATGAGATGATGAAGTCCTGAGGCGGCCTGCAGTCTTGTGCCTGCTTCGTACGTAGGTCCCTTCAAACTGCATGAATGAGCTACGTTTTCCCGCTTAATATTGACAATCGGAGCATACCCTGAACATTTCTCCAAAGCGTCTGCAAATGCAAAAGTCACTTTTGACATATGGAGTAAAGCAGTACGATAATTCGCGCTTGCATTCATGAGCTGCGCAGAAACCCGTCATGTATCAGGCTCTTCTGAACTTCGACGACGTATTGAGAAGGAACGCACATCGTCATAAGACTGCAAGCTGACTTTGAGGTTGGCCCGAGTAATGATCTTCTCAGGCCCGTCTACGCCAAAATTCATTGCAGAAGCGTGTGTAGCGTCTGAAAACGTGGGTGAGGGAGGACCAGGAGAGGATGTGCGCTTCGGCGATATAGCAAGGCTACGCAGTGAACGATGTTCTCGAGGCATGCTGGAACAATGAGGCTAGTTCAAACTGCTTGTACGTGATGCAGTGTAGTTGCAGAGAATGATGTCCCCTTAGCATGCGACGCTCCCCAATTGGGTAACACTACGGGCGGCTAGTGAACCTGAGATCTCTGGTCGCCTTACTGGATGTACGGTAGTTTACCAGACGTTATGAGTGTTGCTCACGGAAATAAAAAGTCACAGCAAGTAACAACTTCAGTGATGAAATACTGGAAGCTCGGGTATGAAAGAACAAGTTAATGTAACGGAGTATGCAATGAATTTCAGTATTATAGCATCAACCCATCTGCTCCATCCTGTATCCACGGGTCACCACCCAGACTTCCTTTCTGATCAGAAAAAATCAGCGGCAATGTGAAATTTACACAGGGTACAGCCGCAGTCAAATTCGTAGAAGTCTCCTAGACGGTAACCTGATGAGCAGGCCGGAATACTGAAATTTTCAAATACCAGAGGAGATCAGCCATGAAGCAAGCTGAGACTGTAACATACCTACAATGCTCAAGCCTTCACACCAGCAGAGATAGTAGTCATCTTCTCCGGTGCGTCTCTGAGGAAGAATAATTTGGCCCTTCGCTGTCGTCTTCCCTCCTTTCCACCTCCGCCACCAGCTCTCTGCAAAATTTTGATATCCTTCACATGCGGTGAGTTCACAAAGAACTGCATCTCCACGCCTGTCCGTTGTATGACATTCCGCAGGGTAAAGGATGTGTCAGGGCCCCGCCGTCGTATGGACAGCAAAACCCCGGAAAAAGTAGTAGGTGCATGCTCGAGGCTGACCGACAGTACCGAGCCAGGAAGAAGTCGGTCCGGATGTCTTCTGGCAAACCATGTAGCAAGCCATTTTTGTTTTACAGGATGCGGAAGACTTTTTTGCAAGTAAGCCATTATGCCCTTCCCTTGGCGCAAAGCCTCTACTTGGGAAGCAGGTATTTCTTGCGGTGACGGCGGAAGGATGACGACCTTCGAGAAAGGATATGCTGCAGTATTACTCGACAAATGTCTGATGAACGTTCTACATGATTTTGAGAACATAGTGACACGCGCAAGTAATTCAACTTCAAGCTTCGAATTACTTGATAGATTATGGCCGGCAAACGCCGAGCCAGTGTCCCGCATAGTAATTATCGACAATTGCATTGTAGAGCAAGCAATGTATGTATGAAAATAATACATAGCGAAAAAAAACAAGATATAGAGCGTAGCAAACGTCGATTCGCAAGTCGCACAGCCTGGTTTGAAGGGTGCACGCAAGGACACAGGGCAGCTGACGTGAAGGATACGAAAGGCCGCGCACGCGCTGTGCGGGTCAACGTCCTCAGTTTTGTGATTAGAATCCGCGCCCGCGCCCTCTGTAATACTTGCTTAGCTTGGCGGATGGAATGAATTGTAGAGACCTTACCTGCCGCGTGCTCTATAGGGGCTATATCCGTAGCCACCACGGTAGCCACCTCGATATCCACCGCGGTAACCACCTCCCCGCCCTCTCCCTCGGTTGAACCCAGGAACATTAGTCCGCTTTGTAGTTACCTGCAAATGCAATAATTAGATAACATAGTGATGCGCAGAAAGCGTCTCAAGCACTTTTATTAATCGTCCACGGAATAGGGAATTGTCCATAGCTAATGCTGCATCTATGTGTTCAAGCTCGGCAAATTCGACATAGGCGAACCTGTGAGCGAAAAATAAGACGAAGCGGATGTTACAAAAAAAACACGTACCCTTTAGGGTGTCCAGTGAACTTGTCACAAAGAATAGTTACACGATTGATCGTCCCGCAAGCCTGGAAGTGCGCTTGGATTTCTTCCGGGGTTGCCCCATAGTCCACCTAGATAGAAAGAACAACATGAGCAGAGTCATCACACGGTAGAAAGCGCAGATAGTCGTACATTGCCAACAAATACGCTCCGGCCGTCGGCGATGGACTTGTCTTCCTCAGTCTCCATTGGAACACCTTGGTCCGCCTCAGTAGCAGATCCCCCATTTGCTGACTCTGCAGCTGCCTGCAACTCCCTCAGTTTTTTTGCTTCGCGTTCCATTTCTTCGACCCGTTGTTTCATGAGCTGAATTTCCTAGCGCGCAAAGTCTAAAACGTTGAGGTTTAAGAGACGAGGAAGCAAACCTTCGATTCAAATTCGTCGCCATCATCAATTATAGGGTCCACACCCTCCGTAGTGGGTGTTTGCGTCGCGTCAATATCGGCCATGACAATAGTACTTGTGACAAGAACGAAAGTTTCATGGCCGCTAACACGCCGTGCCAAATACGGGCAAACAAATTTGATAGGTCCACCTCCGAGTTCTACTACTACTAGTACCACTAGCCAAGCACAAATTAAGTATTCAATTGTATCTATAACTCCCCAAGTACATTCGTGGAGAGTCACGGGTGAGTTTTTCTCGCGGTACACATACTGTTTGATTTTACAACTCGCCTGTTCTCAGTGCCCACTATTACTCCAATTCTTTGAAATTTTCCTGAGGCCCGGCTGCATATGCAACAGCCGAGATAACACATTATACTTCCTTCAACGCCCCATATATCTCTGCATGGAGAAATAATCCTTCAGACGATAAGATCGAGTGTTTCAGGCAGTCTGGATTGTAAGCCATGCATCCAGGTGCAATGCCGGCAGCTGCCGACTCGCTCAATGCTGTTTCCGTCTAGGAACACTGCAGTTACGAGTCTTGCGCCTCTTACATGTCTTGTCATAGATTGAAGTTATCGTCCTTTTTTTTTTTTTTTTTTTTGGGGGGGGGGGGGGTGCTTGCATGAGTTCTTGCAATTTACTGTCACTACTGTGACACGCAAGGCAAGCGATATGGCATCTCTTCTACGAACATGTGGGCAAGGAAGCTGTACCATCCTCATCTTCGTGGCTTATCCAGTAAGTTTAGAACCTGTTCGAGGTGACGCTCCTCATTTACTTTATGAGCGTCATGCGCCCACGAGATGAACCGCTTTCTACTCATACTTTCTAATATGTATGAACGTCTATGTCATTGATAGCGATATTTTCGCACAGAGACACGTTGCGTCGTTCTACAGGTCATATGCAGCTGCTACCCATATTATATGAATGACGGAAGCCCAGAGTGATTAAATTTGTGAGTGCTTTTCCTGCCATCGATGTCGTCGATATGATTTTGTTTTCTATCAAAACAAATTGCTTGCCACCTTCCATGTGGGATACCCTATATTGTTTGGAAAGCTGCCGCAGGACGACGGGACGAGTCGGGAAGGGTGCCTCGTGCAATTCTCATAAACCCCTTAATGAATATCAGATTGGATAGCATTATACGCCGACTGACCTCGTGCAACATTTGGGCATGTCATGTCATTTGGCTTGGCCACAGCACCGGTTCAACCATCGCCTTATTACATCCAATTGGAAAAGTCTCAAGAAGCACCGCTCTTTTCGGCATTTTGGAGTTGTAACCGAGATTGTTGAGTAAGGCCGACTGCATACGATCAACGTCGGGAGTCTGGCCAAAAGCTTAGGGTATGTCCTAACCCTGCGCTGGTTCAACAATCAATATGCGGCATGCAACGGGGACCATTTCAGATATATTGTATTACGGGGACTCGACGCCGAACGGGGACCTTGTGAAAGGCGGGCAAGTACCTGGAGCGTATCTGGTTAGTTTGATACCTTCAGTCTTCCGCAGTCGAATTGGTCGTATATAGTATATACTAATATTAAAATGAGGTCCTGACAGTCTCCACAGATAGGATTATACACTGGAATCAGAATGGAAGAATTTTGTAGTAATCCTTCTTCTGATGGAGTGAGCCAGTGACTTGTAGGTGATCGTAATCAGCAACGTGTTGCAGATCCCCCACGAACAACTCCGCAATGTTTCTTATTCCATGGGCCCATTTGCCGCTGAAAAAAAAACCTAAATCCTGAAAAGGCTCTTATGTACAAAAGCTATTAACGCGCGCATGTGCTGTCGACCAGACTACAATGTGCAAGCGACTCCGATCATTCGAAAAGAAATTGAAGTTGCATGGTTCGCGGCATATAGGAGCACGTTTATGTTGTGAAGTCAAAGCTTGACAGGGCAGAATGCAAGTCGATCATGACGTGAAGGTGTATGCGAGCGTGAAATTAGAAGCCTAACAGGCGCTAGCTTTAGTTGACAATGAGAAGTCACATCAATAATATTTCACCCACGATAGGGATGAGTTGTCTCCACATGGTCACACGGCGTACAAGTCATATGTTGCATGTGTTGGTTGGCAAGACGAGTCAAGAACAATGTTGGAGACACCGTATATGGCAAGTGAAGGGATGAGATGTCGTACAAACACACTTACAGCAGGTGTCACAGCATGGAGCGATAGCAAGCAGACCTTGACTCACAAGCCACGTCTGTGAGGGTAAGATCTTAAATCGAATTGATCGGTGAACTCGAATAGTCTAGAAGGATGGAGTAGCAGAAGCACAGTGTGATCACCTGAGGCGACGATACCACAGCTGGGGTCCAATCACGTATCTCAACATTTGTCCGAACTATAGGCGGCCGAACTCTTCACAGATTCCGAGGAAGTTCCGGCTCGGACAGCAGCTAAAACGGACGTTGGCCAGAAGCTTTAGTCAATGTAAGAGGTGAGCGTACACCTGAAATGCGACCGTAGTTTCGGAAGCATGCGAGCCGCACTTATTAAAAGTATTGTTTGGGGATACCGCTGTAGATGCAACCGGTCCAGGACGACCCTATATTTCTATTGAATATCATCCGAAAGCCTGGAATGCATGACATTCTCGAGGAAGAGTGGACACAATATCTAATCCACTCTCAACCCTGTCGAGACCAGATATTCAGGAGAAACACTGTAGGGGCCAAACGTAGGGTATGATATAATTCTGCCCTAGAAACCAGATCGTGAAGAGCAGAAAACATTATTAAACTTTAGACGTACGCAACGAGAATAGGTTAGGCCATCATTCTTGTACTTCATACCCTTCCATTGCTCGTCACGTCACGTATAGTCGATCATTTACCATAGACGACTGAGTAATGATATTTTTCTCGGGGAGAATTGTTTTCCGGACCGCTGACGAGCTCTTCCTAAAAAAAAATTTGTTCCGAAAAGACATTAGTTGCGCTAGAACATGTCATAATTGTCTGGCGCAACATGGTCCTGCATGGTACCTTAATGGACCTGAGAGCGTTGAGTATGGATCAAATCCATAACCGAGATATGTTGCCGGATGCGAGATGGAATTACAACATACGAGGCACAGAATCACTGAAAATGATTCCATTTCAAGTTTCCAAAGGTTTTCAACCGATCGGAGGATAAGAGCTCGAACCCCAAGAAATACTCGAGAGCGCTGCAAGAAGCCCTGTCATCGATTGGCGGTCAATTAGTAAGTTGAGCAATGCCTTTACTCGCTCGGAAACGTATAGACATAATGAATAAACTCAACTCAAATTAGTGCTATGAAGCATGCCGTCTCCAACAGGTTCGGGTTCAGAGATTTACCGAGAAGACTTTGGGAGAAAGTTGTAGATGTGGTTGGTCCACAGGAAAACTTTCTAATGATGACTCGACTCTCTTCATTTCCGAGAACAGGAAGTAATATAAAAGGTCCAAGCGTCGTCAGAGGAGTGGCCAAGAATTCCGCTCCGAACCTACTCCCGACCTGTGTCTGTCTTGTGTACAGACATCCACGGTGAGTCCTCGTTTCAGTCTGACGTATACAGTGCAACGAAAGTCATTGTCCCATCCTTAGCACAGCCTAGCATGAATCAACTTAGTCATCCGTGGCATCGGCCCGACCCGTCGACCACCTTCCGAAGATATCTTGCGGCCGTCCGACCACAAGGGCAATTGCTGGCAGTACACCACCACCACGCTTCTCCTGAGCGTACCGTACTTTACGACGATTTTTACTCAATGACACACCAATCGAAGAAGAAACGCATCGAGGATGATCCTCTTCCTACCGATGCTGGCGCAAAACCAATACAGCTTCAGCGGCGCAGAGTGTGGAGGGCATGTGAAAGTTGTAGGCAAGTCGATCGAGCCCTACATTCTCTATTCCCCAACGAGAACTAATCGCGCCGATCGCAGACGTAAGAAAATCAAGTGCGACGGCTGTGAACCCACTTGTTCTCAGTGCCAATCGTCTGGATCTCAGTGCACTTGGCTTCAGACAAAGGACAGAGCGGCTTTAAGCAGACAGTAGATATCCCTTTATCATCAATCCCTGCCTTTAACTCACTGTTTCAATAGCTATGTCCAGGAGCTCGAAGCGCGTCTCTTGCACATGGAATCACTGTTCTCTCAGATTACCCCTGTGCTAGAACAACTGGGTCCATCCTTGAATTTGCCTGGCGTCCCTGGAACCTCAGTTGGAGGTAGTGAAGGCTTTCCAGCTTCTACTGTGCTCCAAGCAATGTCATCTAAGGCTCTTGCAGACAGTCGCAGCGACGTCTCTACCCCAGAATCGTCGACAATCAAAGTGGAAGACGATGTCTCCGAAAGTCTCGGACAGCTCGCACTAGACGAGCACGGCCACATGCGCTGGATAGGTGGCTCGTCTACAATGTCTCTCATACAATCCTTCCGTACTCTCACGACATCTCCGCTCCATCGAGTCTCCCCAATGGAGGAAGACCCACGCGCGCCTGGACCTAGTGTAAATAAACTATATTTCCCAGCCTCTGTCTTCTTTGGGAAGGTTCATGCTCTCCCAGGCCCAGAAGAGGTCGAATACCCGGACGAGGACCTTTGCGATAAGCTGGTAAGTTTATATTCCTGGATTATCGGTCCTATCTAACCACATCGCGTCAAGGTGGAAACCTATTTTGAGCGTCTTCATTTTCTTATGCCTATCCTTGATAAACCCTCGTTCATGCCAAGATACAAGCGATTAATGACCAAGCGTGACGACATCGATTTTATTCAAGCAGAAGCTTCCTTCATCTCCGTGGTCTTCGCAGTGTTTGCCTGTGCAGCACACCTAGTCAACGATCCTCGTCTGACTTGCGAAAATCCAGATGATGGCGGCACGGGGATGATTTACTATGAGAGGTACGCCTGTGGCCGTCATGGAAACTTGACGTCTTCCCTGACGATAAACCCCGCTAGAGCTCTTATATTGCACTATATCAGTCACGCATCCATCCAGGTGTCTCACGTCCAGTGCTTCATTCTCATGTCTTCGTTCCTGTGTTCGGTCAACTGTCTTCCGCAGGCCTGGTTACTCGTGGGACAAGCAGTGCGAACTGCTCAAGACTTGGGTTTACACGTAAGCACCGCGCATTTTTCTGTCCGGGTTGATTGGTTAATTATTGCTGTAGCGATCCCCGCGCCGTCTCGCGATATCTACTACTGACAAAGAAACTCGCCGAAAAATATGGTGGAGCGTGTACTGCTTGGATCGTATGCTTGCTCTTGCTCTCGGCCGTCCACTTGGTATCGAAGACTCTGATTGTGATGTCGAGATACCTGTTGCGGTTGATGATGAGAACTTGGCAGATTATTTTGCTGGAGTCAATCTCCCGCAGAAATATCCATCGCTCATGACTGGGGCCATCGCTTTGACAACCCTGTACCAAATTGCGGGACGGGTTTTGCGGCAGGTATATGCTATTGATAAATGTAAAGATACGCTCGACCACGAGAGGCGCTTAGAACTCCAGCGTTCTGTAGAGGAGCTCGACGAGGAGTTGAACAGGTGGTGCGACGATCTTCCTGCCACATTCCGTAACGAGGCGGTCACAGACAAACACGTCTCCATGGGCGCGGTGCTTTGCAGTCATTATTATTCCGTACTGACCACACTACATCGCAATTTTTTGCCGGTCAAGCGTGACCAGCCTGTGCTACCCAAATCTACTGCCAGGGCTGTTTCATCTGCCCGTTCCTGCATACGACTAGCGCCATCTATTAGCAATGTCGTTCCGCCATCGCATCACCTTGCCTTCTTCATCCAGCATCTTTTTAGCTCCGCTGTCATCGTCCTTCTGTATGCCATGCACTGCACAGATGCTAGAGCTGCTGCTAGTGCTATGGATGAGGCCAAGAGTTGTCTGACGGCACTCGAGTCCTGGGAGGGACATTGGCCCGGGGCTCGCAAATGCAAGGAGCTTCTTGCGGAGTTGACAGACACCGCGGAGGAAGCGATCAGGAATGGAAATAGTGATACTAGGCAGTCTCAAATGATGCCCATGCCACCTCCTGTCGCACCTGCCATGCTTGAACGAAGGCGATCGCTCGTGTCATCCCCTGGCCAAATTCCAACGGTCAATAGGCCTATCAAAAGCAAGCCACGGAAGATCAGCCGATCGCGAGATCCCGCTTCTACTCGACGCCCGCTGACTTCACCCCCCTATCGTGTTGAATGTAAGCAGGCATGAGCTGTTTGGTGACTTTGGCTGACAGATGACGGACTACAGCGCAACGCAACAGGTCTACATCGCGCAAGCGGGGCCACGACGAGAGTGAGGGACTTGCGGGTCCAAGCTTGAGCTACCAAGGTGCCTTCTCTACCCCACAGCCTTCGAAGCCAAGCCCCCATAGCTCTCCATCGTCTGTGAACCTCCCCTCGCCGTCCATGTCCACACTCGAGACCCCTCAACAACAAGAGGGCAGCAATGTCATACAGTATAGTTATTCTGGACCCCCTCTCTCTCCTCTGCATGTATCGTCACCATATGATTATGGCATGCACCACAGTCCTCTCATCTCTTCGAGCACACATCAATGGGACTCGAACACAGTCGAACCTCGTGGAACTGATTTGTACCCATCTCCCTCACATAGCAATTCCGTTGCGTTTGGCAATTTTGAATCGCAATCCAATACGGACACTCCATGGTACTCTTCAGATCAAGGATACTCGGGTCTTTCAACCACCCCGCCCACTGCTTCGTTCGCTGCCCCTGGACTACCGTTCCTGGGGCTTGATTATATTCGCAACTACAATTCTCATGGTTACTCAGTAGGTGGTGAACCAGACTCTATCTGGCAGACTTTTGATGCTGGCGCATTTGGGTTGGATCCTGAGTTGCCCTTCACCCTTGGTGATGCTTCATCAGATCTGCACGCAGGCCAACACTCCTCGCCCTAGTTCATTTACAGGACACTTCTTGCTTGGTGTTCTCTTAGTCGAGAATGTACTTCTATGATTTTTTTTTCCTCTGCTTTCTTCACTTCCTCGTCTATCTGGTTTTGATATCCATATGTACCCACACTCTCGATTGACGACTCTGTTACTTAGAGTACGTCATTTTACGCGCTCAGAAATTACTCACTACTATAATGACTTCCGGGGCTTCTAAGACCCCAGTACTGCAATAGTAAATCTAGCTTGATCAATGAGTTGAGACTTGGCAAGTGCCAACTTGCCGACCAAACCGGCTTCGGATCCGGCTCGGGTATTATGAAGTTTCCCGATAGCCGGGTATTAGCCGGCCCGCTTAAACAAGCAGTGCTTTTCTTCTGTCATGTTTCCCGCACACTCTCAACTATCACGCAATGGCTCCTCACCCAGTTGTGGAACTAACTTCAGAAGCATCTTGGAATCTCGTACGATTTATAATATCTGTGTTGTAGCGAAAAACTCATGTCGCACAGGTCGAGGACAGGTTTACACCTTATGGGAAAGAAACGCTCGCAAAACTAGTATGTTTCCTTCAGGTATGGTGTATCCCCGCAGTACTGCGCATTCGACAAGTTTATGATATTGTATAGGATGAAATTCTTCCATCCGTGAAACTCGCACACGCGCAGCTTCCCAAAGACCCTGTGCAGCGATGGAAAACGGTGATTCCCGTAATCGAGGAGCTCAAGGTGAAAGCACGTAAGCTCGGGCTGTGGAACCTTTTCCTAAGCAAGACGCATTACCCTGAACACGGCGTCCCGTTGACCAATCTCGAAGTGTGTCCTTTTGCTTTGCTGTAAGTGCACTGTTAATATCGACGATCGGGTTAGTATGCAGTTATGGCTGAGATTCTCGGACGTGGGGGACACTTAGCTTCCGAGGCTGTGAACTGTTCGGCCCCTGATACCGGGAACATGGGTATGTGCAGGGTTTGCTGCTAATACCCTAAATTACCTGAATGCGCCTGAAGAGGTCATCGCGCGATATGGATCTCCGGAACAGCAAAGGAAGTGGCTTGTTCCTTTGCTAAATGGCGAAATTCGGTCTGCTTTTGCGATGACTGAGCGGTTTGGTTCGCCTTTGCTTTCTTTGTGCCGGTTTCGAGTAACTGACAGTGGGTAACGTTCGCAGTGTCTTCTTCGGACGCTCGCAACATCAAAACCTCTATCAAGAGGGAAGGAGATGAGATTGTTATAAATGGTCACAAATGGTATGTGTACAAGCCTTTTAGAGACTGTCATCATTCAGATCGTCATTCGTCAGGTGGATATCGGGAGCGGGCGATCCGCGTACCAAACTTCACCTCGTTATGGGAAAGAGCGACCCAGACAATGCGAACGTATACCAGCAACAAAGTGTGGTCATAGTGCCGGCAGACGCACCTGGAGTAAAGATTATCCGGCCAATGGAAATATTTGGGTACGATGATGCGCCTGAGGGGCACTGTGAGATCATATACGAAAATGTGAGGGTGCCTGTGAGCAACTTGGTGCTAGGCTGGGGACGAGGCTTTGAGGTAAATGACGTTTTGAAACGGCCTATTGATCTTGCAATTTGACTTACGGTCTATTGAAGATAATTCAAGGCCGCTTAGGGTATGCTGAGTCGAACTTTGTTACCAAGCTCTCCTTGAGTCTGACCTGCTGACAGTCCAGGACGTATTCACCATTGTATGCGCTCGATAGGTGTGGCATCGAGCGCTCTAGACCTCATGATCCAGCGCGTCACAGACCCTACCCGAAAGACTTTTGGCAAATTCCTTTACCAGCACGGCGAGTGACTGATTCATCATCGTCATGAAAATTTTAGAAGCTCACATGACCTCAATTCAGGTACGGTAGTAGCTGAAATTGTGCGGTCGCGGGCTGAGATCGAGTCTGCACGTCTTCTTGTCATGAGCGCAGCGCTTCAAGTAAGTGGTGCCTGTGTTCGTTGTCGCGGTGCTGAGAATTAATAATACGTCTTGAAGATCGACAAGCAACGGCCCAAGGGTGCGTTGAAGGAAATCGGCATTGCCAAGGCAGGGCTTCTCGATTCGCTCTTCCACTCTATGATGCAATTTATTTTGTAGCTTGTCGTTCCTGCGATGGCCTGCGGAGTGGTCGATCGGGCTATGCAAGCATATGGTGCCGAGGGTTTGAGCCAGGACCAAGAACTTGCGTCTATGTATGCTCAACTGCGGACGCTGCGGTTGGCGGATGTGCGTCTTCTGTTCCTGCATCGTCCTCTACTTGTGATTTACGCGTTTTTACAGGGACCAGATGAAGTATGTTTGCATGGCTGAAAATAGTAAATATCTTACCCCGTCTTTTAGGTTCACATCCAACAGGTCGGTCAGCGTGAGTTGAAGCGTGCACCGGAACTGCATAAGCGTGCTGCGGAACTGAAAGAAAAGGAGTTTGCTGTACTGTCTAAGGCGGGTATGAAGGCTCATCTGTGAGGATTGCCATGGTTTAGGATATTGTATCTACATTATTTAGATGAATGTCCTTGACGGGCCGGTACCACCCAACGTCATTGACTCCATTTAGGAACCGACAATTAGCGTGCGTGGTGGTTGCAAGCAACTCTTACACTCGACTTTCATGAATATTTTTTATTTGTCTGAGGTGTAATTCTTCATTTAGACGCTCATACTCATGTCTAACCACGATGATGGGATCGAGCGATACGACGTGACACCGATTTTGGAGTCTCGGTACTTTATTCTCCCCACTTCCGCAGCACTAGTGGGGGTATTCATTGGAGCGGTGCGTGGATCTCGCCTTGCGTCACTTCGTTTTCTCGCGGAGAACGCACACCGGCCACCGAAGACGATTCGGGGATGGTATCTCTACAATAAAACGAAAAATTACAAAAGAATGGCTGCTGGACTTTTATCTGGTGGCAAGGAAGGAGTTAAACTCGGGGTTACAGCACTGGTTTGGGTTGGGATTGAGGATGGATTAGGACGGTGTGGGAAGGATTTCGATGATTGGAAAGAGGTTGGAGCTGGTGTTGGTACTGCGGGGGCGTTCTCTGTTGTTTGTAAGTTTGAAGGACGTGAGGTTAAGTTGAAGTCGACTGATTTTTGCTTAGACCGACTACGATGGCGTACTGCAGGTCGTGCATTATTGCTTGGATCGATGATTGGTGGAGGAATGGGATTTCTACGATGGGTTAGAGAATACTTGAAGAGAGCCGTGGAGTCAGATTTATCCTAAAATTTTTAAAGTGAGCTCGGCTGGTAGTCTTCTTAAAACAGTAGGGAGCCTCGAACCAGCTCCACCACATATCATAAAATGAGGTCCGCTCCACTTTCGTCCGATAAGTCATCACCGTCGTCGTCGTCCTCTTCACTGTCTTTTTTGTCGATTCAAAAAATGATTAAACTCTGGTCAGCTATTGACCAGATAACACCCAGAGTAAATTCCGACGGTCATGAACGTCCTAATCCTTTCGAGGTACCATCATCGTCGCCCAGCAATGGTCTTACAACTCCCACTATTTCATCGCCAGCCGTGTCAATTCATCATCATTTACTTGGAACCGCCTCTATCTCTCCTACCACGGCGAACGCCGATCTCACGCCGCCAGGTACTATAACACATCTATCCGGTGCCTTTGCCGCTCGTATTCCTACAACCCAAATTTCCCTTCATGCACCAGATTTTTCAATGCGTGACACTAAAAAATCGCCCAACCTCCCAGACTCAATGGAGAATAAATCCAATACGCCATCGTCATCGTCCCCCTCGACTAGAACTTCTTCAATCGCATCTTCCTCAACCGCTGCTCCCCACTCAACTGGCGGTACATCAAAGGGTCAGATCCATGTCAAGCTTATATCTGCCCGCGGTCTTAATGTCACATCCGTACACTCACGACCTTATGTCGTCGTTCAATTCGAGCAAAACGAGTTCGTAAGCCGTGATCCCACAGACGAAATGGACAAAGAGGTCAAGGGAACCGCGACCGCTCTCTCTCGCACATCTTCCTCTATTGCTCTCTCAGCTCTCTCATCTATCGGCGTTCCTCGCCCACCAGGCAAGTCTAGTCCCGGAAATTCCCCCTCCTCGTCTATTTCATGCAATCAACCTTCCCCGACCCTCCTTCCTTCTACGACTCAAGGGCTTTTTGGTCGCTTATCCGCACACAATCCCGTGTGGAAACACGAGGTGTCATTGTCAGTATCCCATAATCTGCTTATCAAATTTCGCTTTCTAATTCTTTCTAGCGACGTTACATCCGAAGAATCCCTGGTTTCATTTAACCTCTATGACCGCGTCGCGGACCATCTATTTCTCGGCACAGTACAAATCAAGCCAGTGCTCATCCATGATCATACAGTTGATCAATGGTACAAGTACGTGCCATCCCGTACAACCTTCCCACTTGGCTTGTCAACTGTCATCCCGTGCTTCCGTGACTAATGTCATCATTTGCTTATGTACGCATAGACTTCGGCCGTTCGAAAACGAAGTAATAAGCGGCGAAATGCGGGTACAGATCACATTCGAGCAGTACAAGGTACGTTACGCCAGTCTAACCTCTTTCATTCTCACCCACCCACGATTTCGGCCTCCCTTTTCGCATCACTTAATCATCCCTCCCTGACAACGCTTCTCACTCACTCTCAATTTTCATGTGACAGACCAAACGTGCGCTTACACCACGCGACTTTGAGTTCCTCAAATTGATCGGACGCGGTACCTTTGGCAAAGTCTTCCAAGTCCGGAAACGCGATACAAAGCGAATTTATGCTATGAAGGTTTTATCAAAGAGAGAAATCGTTGCCAAGAAGGAGGTCGCCCACACGATCGGAGAGCGAAAGATTCTACAACGTTCTTTAGAGTCGCCATTCCTGGTTGGCCTCAAATTCAGTTTCCAGACGGATACAGATCTGTACCTGATAACAGACTTCAAGAGCGGTGGCGAGCTATTCTGGCACCTCCAGAAAGAGACCCGTTTCTCCGAAGAACGGGCTCGATTTTATATCGCAGAGCTGGTTCTGGCCTTGGAGCATCTGCACAGATACAACATTGTTTATCGGGATCTCAAGCCGGAAAATATCCTTCTTGATGCCACTGGTCATGTCGCCCTCTGCGATTTTGGGTTATCAAAGGCGGATCTACGGTCCGACGAACTCACCACGACATTCTGTGGTACAACCGAGTACCTCGCCCCTGAAGTGCTTCTAGATGAGCATGGATATAGCAAACTCGTCGACTTTTGGTCGCTGGGCGTACTCCTCTTCGAGATGTGTTGCGGTTGGAGTCCATTTTATGCCGAAGACACTCAGCAAATGTACAAGAACATTTGTTTTGGAAAGATTCGGTTCCCGAGAAACGTTATCAGTGAAGACGGCAAATTGTTCGTGAAGGGGGTGGGTGCCGTCATTCAATTTTTCGTTTCGACATTCTGACATCCGCTTATCAAGCTTTTGAACCGAAATCCTAAACATCGCTTAGGGGCACATCGCGATGCCGCGGAACTGAAAGAACATTCGTTCTTCTCATGTATAGATTGGAAAGCTCTTCTCTTCAAGCAAGTGACGCCGCCGTTCAAACCCGTCGTAGAATCGGATGAATCGACTGCGAACTTCGATCCAGAGTTCACCACTGCTAATGTCAAAGAGGTTGGTGGTGGTCTCGACGGGCATGGAAGTCCGGACGAAGAAGATCCTAGCGAAGACTGGACCCAAACGCAGGGCGGCTTGCCAGGTTCGCACATGCCGAACGGACCACTGGGTAGTGACCGTCATGTCAATGGCGTAAATCCAAGTGGTCCGGCGGCCCCCCCCTCTTCCTTACTCACTGGCAATGGCGCGGGACGTGCCATTAAGATAGGATCGCGGAAGAAGCAAGATGTAGCAGGGTCGCCACTGACGAACAGCATACAAGAGAAATTTCGCGGGTTCACGTACTCTGGAGGCGAAAGCGTGGTGATGCAGGGCATTATGGGTAGAGAACCCGACGACGATGAGGATGAGGCAGTGGCTGATGAAGAGGTTACAGAGGTGACCACAGAAGACGAGTTCGAAGACAGGGAGAGTTTCGCAGGACGGTACTCGAACCGAAGAAGAGGAATTGATGATGATATAGCCGTATGATATGTTGGCTGCGCACGTTGTCCAAGGCGGTTGGCGCCTCGCGGAGCTTCTATTCCATCGACTTGTCGAAGAAGGAAACAGACTAATTTGGACCTTTGCACTATTTGGTGCATGCGCTTGAGGTACTATGCCTCCCATACTACTTATCTGATTTAATTGCATATTTGTTCTCGCCACCCTTCCCCATGCAATTCCCCATTCTCATATCCTCTTTATGGAGCATGTTATATATATATCTTGTTCGAGGTGAACACATGATTGTTCATCGTGGATTGTTTTTACCTGCTTCTGTTATCGCTGTTGTTCTATAGTATAACGTACCACACTTTAAAGGAGTTGTAATAATTCATGCATCCCTTTCGTCGTTTGGGTGGGATACGCGGAAATTCTGCAGCAGGTTTACAGCATCTATCATTAATATCCAAGGGATAGTTCCGTCACCAATCATACAGGGTCTTTTTTCCGCGGCAGACGAGGTCGAGCCCACCACGAAAAATGGTTGGCAGGACTTGGCCATCAATGACCGTGTGCTTTACAATCGATTCTACTTCATGGGGCGTGACACGCCCATACCATACACCAGCTCCACGAGGAGTGTAGATCTGCAGGATCAACGTCAAGCTACCGTTCAAACGACAAGAAGATCACACACGATGCAGTTGCCTGCGAATTTATGTCCGCCGACATGTGAGTTCCTTAATATCAGCGCCCTGTGCTCAGCATGAAGGGACTTGAGCTGAGACTCGATTAATTGTTCCTTCTCGATGGTTGAGCTAGCTTGTAACTCGAGGGAGGGTGCGGAAGTGAGATCATGCAGGTCGGTGTGAACTTCCCAGCCTTCTCGCTCGAGATATTGTTGGAAGGCTTTTTCGTAGGCGTCAATTCAAGGCCGTGAAGGAGACCGCGGACTTACTTTTCTCTAACATTGGCGCTGCAACGGCACATCGTTTGTCTCGTCTCTTGTGCGAGCCTGGTTGGACCCATGAGACACATAGTTCAACAAGAGACTGTATAGAAACTTACACAGCAATATCAGACATGAGTATGGTAAAACCCATGTATTGAGATTGTCCAATCTGTGGGTCACCCCTGCCCGATCAAGAGCTGGATCAAGAGCAGCTTTCCAGAATGCCTCAGCACCCGCCAAAGTTCGTGGGACGCCAGAAACGACGATAAAGTCTGGAAGCACTATCACAGTCTCTTCTAACTCGTCAGGAGAGAAAGACCTGTGACTTCCGTTGAGAATGGCGAGCCTTCCTGCTTCTGTATGAGAGAAAAGACCAGACGGTAGGGGATCGTTGGTAGACTTGGGCTTCTTGGGTGTGCCCAGTGAGGAGTTGGCAGTTGTTAACAAGGCAGCAAGCGTGCCTTCGACTTCTGTCACGTCTTTCTCCCAGTCTGTTTTGCCTGTCGATATGACTACCTGTGTCATTATCATATCAGTAGATCATCCTACAATGATGCGTGAGCGCCAGGGACGCACCTGTCGGTGGTAGGGCTTCACTGATCCTAACATGTCCGAGTCCATATCAATGTCCAATCTGCTAGAGAAGTCATCGTGATCTACAGATTGATGTTGGTGCGCGTGACAAGGGAAGATTTTGATTATGATGGGCTCACCCTGATTACAAGGGTCGGCGCAAGACCTGCATTCGGCAGCCTGTCACTGGTACGTCAGCAGCCTTGAGGTCCTGATATACTTTTGGGCCATTATTATGCGAATTAAACACAAAAGCTCTGAGTTTACCAGTCAGCCGGGAGCTCATGGTGGATCGAGTGCTGGATGAGTAGTTGCACTGTTACTTATACATAGGTTTATGAAATAATTAAGGCATCATATAATAGGTTAGCTGCTATCCATAGCTATAGTATGAAAGCCACTTACTATTTCATGTGTAATCTGTATGCATATGCCGGTGCAAGATCTATTTAGTAACTCCGACTGATCTCAGTCTCAGATAAATGAAATTGAACCGAGTCTAACTGACATGGCGATTCGAAGATTGCTCACTGCGCCTTACCACCCGCGTGACGATGCTAAAAGCACATCCATGTATCTCCACGTTAACATTAGGAGTAACCGGATGAAACAGCGTAGTATATAATGCCGAGTCGCCCTAACAAGTCTGCCTAATCATCCGCAGGCCAAGTAACAACTCTAGAAAGACCGTCATGATCGGAGTAAGCAGATGTGAATAAGCAAACCGGCTTACCTAGCTAAACGCCCTGCCGTTGGTCTTCCTGTAATTGTTTGTCTATTTTCGGTGCATTCTCCTGGACTGCAGTCCACGACGGCTTTCCATCTTGGCTCACACTCACGAGCGCCTCCATCGCCTTCGCCATTCTCTGTTGGGCACTATTGGGACTTGAAGATGCCAATGATGCATCTAGTCCGATGGAAGACCTGATGCTCTTTCCGAAGAAATGACGTGGCTCCTCTTCTCTTTCGGCAACTAGCCTCTTCAGCTCTGCAAAACTGCGTTTTTCGATGTTGGTGTTGAAGTTGAGATCCTTTGTTCGAACAAAGGCTTCGTCTATTTTCTGAGAGAGGTTTTCGGGAGTTACAAAGGTGTCGCACTGGTGGTATAAAGAGACAAGGGCGCGCATGCGGACATGGTGTTTTGAAGCAGCTCGCGATATATTGCGTTTAATCACGAATGTTAAGGATGTGCATTTCGACGGGGACGGTCGGCAAAGCAACATTTGCACGGCTCAAAGGTTGCAGATCACAACGAGGTCAATTTCAGCAACGCGTTCATGTTTAAAACATGAACAAATAATACAAACATATCACGTGATTACTGTGGCTGAGTAAGCAACAGGTCAGACCTAGTAGTGGGTCACCGAACGTCTCTCCAGCGAACCGCAACAGCTAAGGTCTCGAAATTTTTATTTTCATATTGAGTGTGGTTTAAATATTACTGTCTGAAGAAATTGTGCTGAACGGATGAGATCTCAAAGAGATATGCGTGAAATAAGTGCTCCCAGGCAAGCCAAATGTATGATTTTGTCATCAGCGCTAAGCCTTCAATGACCTTTTTTGACTTCTCTGCACATTCTCGCTCGCACAAAACTGGCTGTTCTCAAGGGTTTAGACCATGTCTGGCAACATCCCCACAAAAATCTGTTGCACAGAGCTTACAGGGTCGTCTCAGGGACTCCGGATCTTGTGATAAACCATCTCACACCTCTTGCCTATGACAAGCAATCATTCTAGCCATAAAAATGTCGCCGCAATACGAAATTCATTCTAACTTCACATAAATGGACTAGATGGTGGTATGTACATGCCCATATTTTTTTCTTATTTGTCTGGGCATTGTATGGTCCGGAAATTGTATGTGATCATCAGGCAGCATATAAAGGCTCTTTGACTGGAATTCGTCTTTCATCAACATCTCCTTGTCGCCTCAGCATTTCAATTGTATTTATCCCATTCCTTGTGATATTCTGCATCTTCTAATACACTCAATTCATTTATTTAGATGTCCCATTATGTTTCAGATGTCCATGACACTTCCTACAGTGCTCCGCCTCACTTTGTGACACATCGTGAGATTGATGAAGCACACCTTCAACAGGTAGCCTACAACGAGTTGCATCAGACATAAGCTTGCCTTGCTAACAATGTACTGGTAGCTGATATCGTGTTTAACAGTCTGATAGACAAACTCTCTGACGAGGATGGTATGCCTCCTCTAATTGATGCATTCACCCCTCCGGCCTCCCCGTCACCTTCAACAACACCACATGATGGACCCACGGATGGCAAGATGTGCCATACCACGATCTACAACATGGATGAGGCTGGCAGCCATTTTGAAACACACCATGCCCACCAACACAGTGTAAAGACTGATGACTGTGAAGCTGCAGGGAGTACAGGTAATGATGCACACGAGGACAAGTAGTTTGTGAGCTATGTACTTGGGATCACTGATTAGTCTCTTCATCAACCCATTACACTCGTCAGTACCGAGTTTGTTTTATAATTTCATTTATGATTTGCTCATACTATGCCATAGTACAATGTTTGGGGTTGCATAAATGTTTCATGTGGTGACTCACACCCCAACTTTTGCATTCAACCCAGTGACATGTCTCCACAGAATACAGAACAAACACTGCAGGCTGCTCTTACAGCTGTCCTTGCAGCAGGTATTAATGAAAAAGGTTTGCCAAACTACAGCTTGCGTTCAGCAGCCTTGGATTACAGAGTTTCCTGCACGACACTCACAGCACGGTACAATGGCCAACAAACGAGGTTCGAGGCTCACACAAAAGAACAGAAGCTTACTCCATCCCAGGAGAATGCTTTGAAAGAATGGATCAAAGCATTGGGACGTCGAGGGCTGCCTATGTCACTTCACTTAGTGGCAGAACAAGCTTCAGGTCATTCTTGGTGGCAACCCTTTGTCGGAGCATTGGGCACGTCATTTCCGAACTCGCCACCCTGACTTACAGTCACGTTGGGCAAGTGGACTTGAATGTTGTCGTGTGAAGGCATTGAACCGCCCACAAGTCATGGAGTACTTCAATATCCTTGTCGAGCTCATAACGAAGTACAATATCATCCCCAGTAACATCTACAACATGGATGAGAAGGGTGTGCAGCTTTGAATTGGAAAACATACCCTTGTTCTTGTTGACCGTGATCAAAAAACTATCCAACACCTTGAAAATGGTGACCAGCAAACTTGTGACCATCATTGAAACGGTCTGTGCAGATGGCAGTTCAGTACCCCCATCAGTCATATTCAAAGCACTGCATCATAATCTCGCATGGTCACGAAACAATCCTGACCAAGCAAGGTATGTTTAAATAGACCTCAACTCATGCCAATGCCTGACTGGTTAGCAGTATATCAGTTTCTCCAAATGGGTGGACCGACAACGAGCTTGGACTCAAGTGGTTGCAGAATGATTTTGAACCTGTGAGTGCAGCCCGTAATCCATCAGGTGGTTAAAGGCTGCTTATCCTCAATGGCCACAACTCGCACTGCACATTCAAGTTTGTCAAGTTTTGTCACAATCACCATATTGTCCTGCTTTGCTTGCCATCGCACACGACACACCATCTTCAGCCTTGTGATGTTGGTGTTTTTGGGCCATTAGCGTCGAGCTGGAAGTCAGAGGTGAACAAGGCAAGCGAAGCAGGCATTAGCATTACAAAGGGCAATTTTCTCGAATTCTACCACAAAGCTTGCCAGCGAGCATTCACTCCGTCCACTATTCAGACAGCATTCCGCAAGACAGGCATCCATCCTCCGGACCCTAATATCATTGAAGATGCTGCATATGCCCCCGCACTTAACACTACGACGCAGCCAGCACAACCTGTGCCTGTTACAAGAACATCTAGACGCTTGGGCCCCTACTATTTTTCTCCTAATCCTCCTCGTATCAGCCCTCGCGTCATACCCTTACCCCGACCTCACCCTTGTCATCCTCGTCATCCTCGCATTCCCTTTCGCCCTCTACCTATCGCTTCAGCAAAGCCAGTACATCTGGCCCGATCCTTTCACTGACGAAGCATACCCATGCTCCGTTTCACCACCTGACTGATCTAGTGGACAGTCCCCTTACCCTTACCGTCCGGACAGGTAACCTATGATATGATGCACGACGCATCTCCTTTGCCCTGTTTCCTTTCTTGATCTCTGACTTGGTGCGCAGTCGCACATGCGACTTATACTTAGATCCGCAGCTGCACGATCGTGCCCCTGCACGTTTCTCTTCTTATTTTCGATCTCTGACTCACTTTCTTATCTAGCACGTTCTACCTCGACCGAACGTGCCTTCCTGTTATAGTTATACCCTTTACCGATTGCCTCTCCCGGTAGTACGAGTTATCACCCACTAATACGTCTCCTGTCCTCTATATAAACTCGCTACCATGTACTATATTCCCTAACTTGAATCTACTTGGTTCTTGACCTCCTACTCTCACCAGAGTGATCCTTTCTGCCTCGCCAGCAGTCTATATTCTATCTTCTTATCTGCTCATCGCGGATAAGCCTATAGTCTCGATCTTTACTCATCGACTTCGTCGACGAGCAAAGCCCCTGTTAACTAGTCGGACTTCTGTCCTTCTAATTAACGACGATCCTTACGATTAACCTTCGGGTGTCGTAAGCCTAGGCCGATATAGCTTATCGTCTCGCACCCACGTGACATAAGCTACCCGATTTGGACATAGGCGTCAAATCGTACTTGCCGAAGACCCGCCAAGTACGACCCCTAACCTTGGGCCAGCCCAAGGACGTCCTCGACCGTTGACGACACAAGCTCTGTTTGAGCGTCGCCAACAGATACCATCCAAGTCGTAACAGTGCCAGCCATGCTACCCGCACTCTTGGAGGTTGTAGCTGAGACAGACTCAGACCATGTTTCTGATTCTGATGAGGCCACAAGTGAACCTCCAACATCGTCAGCAACAGCTGAAACATTGCATAATGAACCTACCAGCACAACACAAACTCTCGTCAGTAGTATTCCACCTAGCAACAGCGGCAAGGCAGAGTCATATTGCCTCGTTGACTTTCCACCCATTTTGCCCTGGAACGCATCTCGGAAAGCTTATATTGTTGGCTACCATGCCCTCCGTGATTGGGCAGAGAAGGCAAAACAGCAGATGGAGGCCGACTATGCCATGAAGAAGTTGATGGAAGCCGAAAACGGATGGTTGCGACGGCAGTTGTTTGGGCAGAAGCAGAATGGCCTGCAGAGGGAAGGTGGCTCAGGCTCTCGCCACATGACCTGTGATGATATGCTCGATGCCCTTGCAAAAGCTGACTGGACTGCGAACATCAAGGTTGTTCACACCGAGGCTGCAAAAAAGTTCAGAGGAATTCGGCAGGTAATACGAGATCTGTCACGAGTACCTTTAACAAACCATTATTCTTTCTTGAATCTTCCTAAGCGCCAATACACAGCGCCTAAGTCAAACCCTAACCCTACCCTGAAAGCGTCTACCAGTTCAAAGATTCCTTTAGCGCCCACGACACGTGTCTTCGATGTGACTGATGAAGAAGATGAGTTCTTTGATTGTGAATAGATTAGATTAGATACGATAAGATAAGATATGGTCACATGATACTTCTTTAATATTCTATGACGTTCTATGGTACAATTCCCTTTTCTATTTTATGATTGGCTAGTAGTTGTAGCTCAGTTTCAATCTCCGTTTCAATAGTTGTATATAGGTAGCACGTCTTGGTCGATAGTTCCTTAGTTCAAACCTCTTGTATCTACACTGTAGCAATCCAAGTGTCACAACCCAAATAACGAATTAACGCTTGGGCAGAGACTAGGACTCAACTAAGGTTATCGGACAAGAGAGAGAGGAGCAAGTACGTCTTGGATTGCTACAGTTGTAGATACAAGAGGTTTGAACTAGAGAACTATCGACCAAGACGTGCCACCTATATACAACTATTGAAACAGAGATTGAAACTGAGTTACAACTACTGACCAATCATAAAAAGAGAAAGGGAATCGTACCATAGAACATCGTAGAATATTAAGGAAGTATCACATGACCATATCTTATCTTATCATATCTTATCTAATCTATTCACAATCAAAGAACTCGTCTTCTTCATCAGTCACATCGAAGACACGTGTCGTGGGCGCTAACGGAATTTCTGAACTGGTAGACGCTTTTGGGGTAGGGTTAGGGTTTGACTTAGGCACTGTGTATTGGCGCTTAGGAAGATTCAAGAAAGAATAGTGATTTGTTAAAGGTACTCGTGACACCAAGACGTCCTTGCTCATTCTCTTTTTGTTGTGATTATCCTTGTTTGAGTCCTAGTCTCTGCCCTAGCGTTTATTTCGTTATTGGATTGTGACAAGATCACAAAAAGGTTGAAGATGACTTACGATGGAGAGAGGAACATGACCAACAGTGCAGCTGTGAAGGAGGCTGCAAAAGCTGTCAAAACTGCAATGACACTTGCTGCAAAGCACATCGCAGATGCTCAAAAAGCAGCTAAGCGCGAGCTGGTGTTGGCTCGCAAGGCTGAAGAAGCAGCTGCCAAGAAAGCTGCAGTCAAGGCAAAGTGTTCTGCAGCAGCTGCCAAGCAAGCAGATGCAGAAGAGAAGGAACATGTTGCACAAGAGCGCAAAATTGCAGCGCGAGCAGAGAAAGAACGCAAGCAGCTGGAGAAAGCATCAAAAACCATTTGTCAACAACATGTGGAAAGTGAAAATGAAGATTCACTTAATCACAGCTCAGAAAATCTCAACCTTGTCAATGATAACACCCTCGAACCTCTTCAGCCCTCAAATATCTGTCCTCGCCCTCGTCCTCGACCCATCCTGCACCGAGTGAACAACCCATTACCTGATTTGCAACTCCATGTCCAGAGGCCCATCAATGTCCAGAACAGTGTCCTTGATGGTGAGGATGATGTTCATGCTGCAGCTGCAGCCAATGCAGACTCTGTCGTCGTTGATAAAGGGCAGCCTGTGCGACAACGCACAAAACCTTGATCGGCGGCAGGTACCGGAGATTGCCGGCGGCTGACTCGCTACACTGGTTTTGGCCAAAACTGAGACCCTCTGGCAAAATATTCGTAGACCCTCACAACACTTCTCTGAAATTCTAACAATACATGATTATGATAGCCAGAATTGTTCTCTCATTCTATGTACTTTTTCCATCACAAAACTCCATCCTCGTACTCGAAATCATAAATTAAGGCTAAGTGACCCGTTTCCTATTTAGGCACAGTAGTTGCTGCAAGAACGGAGGAAATTGTCTGAGGTCTCAACGTTAAGCAGTCATTTTTGTCAGATGTAATTTCTTCGGAGATACACGAGCAACCATATCATCATCGAATCAGGTAGAAACAGACTGTAATGTATTTTGTTGTAGTGGACTCGAAGAATTCTGTCAAGAGATAATGGCTTCGCAACTGACAATAGCCACCAATCGTTATGCGCGGTATATGCAGTCGGACCAACGTCCCGTTTTTTTAAGAATGAAAAAGCACGCGGGTGTGCCAGGACCACAAGACAAAGGTCACGCGAAACGACGTTAGTCCGTGGGGCCGAAGAAGCATTGATCACCTGCAAATTGACGGTCCAGCACAGTGCATTGATATGCACAAAGAGCTGCGCTCAAAAAAAGGTGATGCGACAACGGGCCCTGCTGCCTCAGACGTTCGAAACATAAATCCTTGACATCGTCCATCGTCGAATAACCATGTAATGCATCCCGTGTAATAGTTGTGTGCTTGTAGGAATACCTGTGAATGGGATAGATTTTCATTTGGTCACAAGCGAAAAGTATACAGCTTACCTTTAGGATTGGTCATTCAAGAGCGAGACATGTTGACTCCATCGTGCAGTATCTAGAGTACGTTGGTAAGTCGATTCTGCTAGAAGGCTCGTTACTGTAGGACCAGGGCTGCGAGGCTCGACAAGGAAGGCAGGACATAATTCCTGATTTGGCGGTAGCGGCAGAATTCTAGCGACTACCGGACATGCCTGTTATTCTGAGAAAGACATTCATAGGAAAATCAAGCCCGATATGAGGTTCAGGACTTCCTAGAAGGATTCCAGTGACGAAATAGCAACTGAATTTTTCGCACTGAGCAAGGAGCCAGGTGCCTGGTGCCGTGAGGCTCTCTAAACCCCATTATAGCACCTGGAGTCGAAGATCGAGAATGAAAGGTGAAGGTATGGACAACCAGGATTTAGATGAGGTCGATTTGAATGATGCAAAATGATTGTTGAGTAACATAGTCGGGTGATGCGAACTTTGTTTGTGTATTGGAGAGCGTGGTCGGTTTGGATTTTGTTTTACAGTGTCATCAACAATTTGGACACTTGTGTCGGTCTGTATGTCGGTTGGGCAAAACAAACAAATCAACTTGATTACACTTACCCACAACGCTCGTTGTCATCGCGGTCTATGATGACGAGACATACTTCGACAACAAACGGCTGTATCTGCGAGAGGAAACTGGCCCGTGCGCGGCCTCATTTCTCACGCCTGACATAAGCCGCACATGTTCCCCCTTGGGCCTTGATGAAAGCTCTTTTCAACATCAACGGACCTCCACAGGTTGCCAGCAAGTTCAGCGCCTTTCGCTCTTGTGATTTTTTGTGCCAAGAGGCATGTCACAGCAGCCGCCACCGACAGTGATGCCACAGAATATGCTCCCTCCTGGGGAAGCAGAACTCGCTCAAGCCAACTCCTACTACCCACAGGAACCTGCAGACCTAACGGGGGGTCTTCCCATTAACCTGGATTCTCTGCGTGATGGTCCACCAGGAAGCAAACCATTTTATCCATATTCTACGCTTATACGGTAAGCCCCTCCGAATTGACTGTAGATGCTATAGTAAACAGTCTCGCTTTGTCTGGGTGGGTAGCTATGCTATAAAGGGTTCTCCAAACCAAAAGCTACTCCTCGAAGATATCTACTACGCCATCGAGTCCCGCGTACGTGGTAACTTATTCGTATCTGCGCATTTTGCGAATCCTTAACTCCACGTCACAGTTTCCTTACTTTAGGAATGCCCCTTCTGGTTGGAAGGTGAGTAAGGTTCTTCCGATGCCGTTGGCCAATGGCTTCTATATAATTTGTATTGTCGATTGCATGCACGCGAAACACGCGAGCGCGATGTTGATGTTTGATTGTGTTCATATTTGTTTTGATCAGTTCTTCAGGCCAGGCACCAAACTGACCAACCTCGCTTCACCCGTATCTAGAACTCAGTGCGACACAATCTTTCACTCAACCCATGCTTTGAGAAAGTACCACGTCCCCTTACCGACCGAGGGAAAGGCTCCTACTGGACCGTCAATGATAACGTTGACCCGAGAACGGGTGTCCATCGAGTGAGGAAGAAGAAGCCGAAGGGCGCAAAGGGTCGACAGTCGGAGGAAGATCAGGATGTGGATTATCATCCTGAAGCGTTCAATGACCCTAATGCACAATTTGTGCAGCCACCGCCTATGCATCCTGATGAAGCAGGACCCAGTCGACAAGCGCCGTATCCTCCATATCCTCCTACGTATGCCGTTTGGTCTCAAACATCGATGCTGAACTGACGCTTTCATTAGATTTGATCCCAACTTTCAGATGATGCCTCCTCCACCTCCTGGCCTTCGTTTCCCTCCTGTGCCCATAGATGATCTGCAGGTAGACGAGAATGGGAACATCTTGTGGCGTTTGTCCTTGATGAAGGAGCTCGCGCACTTGCAGCAAATCTCATCGGAGAAGGACATGGGCGAAGATTGGTACCGCGTAATGCTTTTGCGCATGCGTGGGGCTGTCATGGCCCCACCACCTGCTTATCATGATGGTATGCACCCTCCACCTGGGATGCCGCCTCCACCTCCGCCCAACCCGGAGTTGCAGCAGTAAATCTATTCCTGAAGCGAATGTTTTAGCCCTGTCCCAACTGTCATTCTTAATATTATTAACTGGTTCCCATGTTTCAGAAAACTTCTGTCATTAGTAATTGTCTTGATTGGACAGCATTCTGAATTCATTTTATTACAGCATGTTGTCTGTAATGTCATTTTTGTATCCCTAATGGACTTCTTTGTTATCGATACATTGTGATAATGCCCCCCCGCACGTGAAGATTTCGGCCGATTGAACTCGTTCTTGTGACTGGTGCTTATCTAAGCGAAACAATATTTATCTGATTAATACACTGCTTCATCATTTTTCAGCTGACCCTGTCCTCCATCCCTTGAAGTCTTAGCGTTACGCATTTCTGATGGCACCTACGGCTATCTACGCTCCTTCTCCCTCCCAAATCACATCTGAAGTCAAGAAATCATTAATGAATGGATCATCGCCTCATGAAATCGTCAAAGGGCCTGCCCTTGCGATAGGTTCATTGGACACTGCTCAAGATGGAAAGTACCAATCACTTCTTTTGCGCCTCAATGCACAGGAAGGGCAGGCCGCCGAAAGGCAGATGCTTGACCGACTCATTGATGGAGGTATGTCTCTACAATTTGAAGCATCGCTCATTATCATCATGATTGATACAGCGATATCGTTGGCTCCGTCAAGCTATGCTTCCATCCATGTCGTGCTCTCCCCATCAGAGTATAACTCGTTATCGCCCAGTTTACCATCTCTCCTTCAGCAGACCCTTGCCGGTCTGACACCCCTGGGAACTCTCCACCTTCTTAACTTAACCGCAGGCTTCCTAAATCTTCCTCATGAGTTGACTCTAGCTGGATTCACGGTCATAGAGAGTGTGAGTGAAGGTCCTGAAGCCAGAATAGTTGCTCAGAAGCCTTTGCCAATCGCAATACCTCAACCTTTTGCACTTCCTCTCCGGAGGAAGACCGACCCTGCCAAGCAGTCCTCCAAAAAGGCTCTCTGGGAACTTTCATCACCATCAACTCCCACAATTGATGCTGAAGCCCTCCTAACAGTGGCAGATCGTGAGCGTCCAGTCCCCACGTGCGATCCTGTCATAGCAGGTGCCCCGAGGCGGAAGAAGGCGTGCAAGAATTGCTCATGTGGTCTTGCTGAGCTGGAAGCTGAGGAGGCAAAGTCAGGCAAAGTAGTTCTGCTCGACAGCGACAACGCTGTAGAGGTGGAGGCTGGTGACATGGTGAAGAGTTTGATCGCTGCCGCTAAAGCTGCACCCAAGGCAACTAGCAGTTGTGGGAGCTGCTTCTTAGGTGATGCATTCCGATGTGCCAGCTGTCCGTATCTTGGTACGTTTAAAACAATGCTCTTCGTATCAGTTCAAAACTCAGAAAATCCGTTGAAAAGGTCTGCCTGCATTTAACCCGGGTGAGAAAGTGGAGATTGACATCGGGATGGATGACATCTGAGCACTATTATTACAATTTGATCATTCGCCAAAGTATGTAAACGTTGTATGATAATATTTATACTGTACTATGTTGCTTACAAGACATTAGAAGCCATATCTATTCACCGTGTTGGTGTAGTAGAAATCACGAATACCCAATTCCAACAACCCCAGTCTGTCCTCCGAGGGAGCTGAGAAGCATACATAGTTCATCATCTCTTGGTGTGCTGGCCAGAAGATCGCTTCGCGTCTTAAGTCGCGGGTCACGGGTGTGTTGCTCTATCAGCTGGATAGTGACGTTGTATCGAATAGGGAACAATTCACATAGCTGTCGTAGCAGCGTAGCGATCTCGGGGGGTGCCGTGAATTTTTTGAGAATGTGACATCCAGGGTTAGCAAGCCACCTCGTCTTGCGGGAACCGCCTGTGGCCTGTCTCCCCTTATCGATGACATACTCCTCGTCAAATATTTGGAGTAAGGTATTCTTGTCCTCAGTGTTCATTGGACTGGGGAGGTATCGGACCATGGTGTACACCATGACATGCAGGAAGGATTCCAAATCATCTGCTAGTACATGGCGCTTGTCCTGTGTACTTTGGTCCAAGAGAGCACCAGGTACAGTTCCCTGTCACTTGAAGTTATGTCAGTATCCTGACGTGTGTATATATTATTTGCACGCACCATCTGGATTTCCAATAGCTCATCACTCGATTCGGAAGAACAGCACTCCCAGCCCATGAGAAGCCCGCGCCCCTCACTGCTGATGCCAATGTTCTCTATACTGATGTTCCGATGCAGAATTCAACCACGTTCGTAAGCTTTTTCGTGAGCTACAGTGACCCGTTAGAAATAAACATTTACTTGAGAATTCGAGATCAAACTTGCCCGTGAGAGCATCCTTAGATACGATCAGAAATTCCGTGGGGGTATTGAATGTGCTAAGGTTCCGTTCGACATCACGAAGAATGATTCGATGTCGTACGAGAGGAATGTGTGTCTTGGGGGTACAGCACCATCAGGCCTTGCTGAATAAATGGGTGATTGTTTTTGTTCCGAGGGCAGACATGTCACCGCCGTGCTCGAAGGTAGAGATATTGGGAACGCGATGGGAATGTAATTTCCGGTATACTTCTGATCCTGTTCTGATACCTTGGATATCAAGTCTGCAAGTTTCCTTGAAGAAACCGACTTTTTTTTGTGCAAGGTCGCAAACATGGAAACTACGAGTTTGTTGCTCGAGTAGGTTGCACTGCTTTGGGGCGGGGCGTGGGCCGACGTAAAAGTGGTAGGTAGTTTGAGGGGGGTCTTTCACATCTTTGGATGTTTGAAGTGCGGTATCGACGGGAACAATGTATCCACACAGAGGGTCGGAACTCCCAACGCCCAGCAGCTCACGAACAACGCTGTCTTGAGGCTCCACAAGGGAAACGGGAACCACAGATACGTCGACGCCACGGTTCCCAGGCGACGCACGATTGAACCTCCACAGGAACTCACCCAATAGGGTGAAATTGCTCGTGTATTCAAACTGCCGAGACACGACAGCACCAGAGCTGTCCCAGTACACAAAACGTGCCCAGGAGCCGCAGAGGAGAATGGAAAATCCAAAGCGACGGAACTGAGTTGCGAAGAAGGCATTGGTGCACGCCACCATATGTGCGCGGGTTGAAATGCACTGCTCGTCGGAGGACTCAAATGTGGGATAGTAATCTCTTTTAGTGTCCCAATATGGCAGCAGTTCCTCCTCAGGACAAGGTATCGGTGCGGTGAAGTCCTCATTTGGCGGCGGGTCGATGAAGGGGTCTTGTCGCACGGAAGGCTTGATGATGATCCACACCTCCATCGCGGACATGTCTGTCACTCCATTTTGAGTGCTCACACTTTTATATAACACCATCGTTGGTTCGAAGTTATATCCGCCTACGACGACAGAGGGGTCAGGAGAACCAGAAGTGTCGACAAGATCAAAATTGGTGGTGAATTTACGCAGAAATGTCGCCTGTCAGAGACACCCAAAACAGATGGGTCGGAGAAGTGTTTGTGTGAAATTCCTACAGGATCCATTGGCGATACCACGTTTGGCATTACTGGACGACCGTCTGCCTCAGGCAGGAAGTCAAGAAACTGGCGCACTGGCATTGCGCCAACGAAGCGTCCCGGGAATGAACTCGGAATCTTGGCTTCAATGCTCGGTTGTAGCTGCTTACAGATGTGGCACCCGGAGGATTCAATGATTTGAAGTGCAAGTGCCTGCAATCGATGCAACGCAATAGGGAAAGGGGGGAGAAAGTCTGCATACACGACAGGGTAGGCGACAAAAAGGGTTACTCCACTACATCTTCGTCCCAATCGTCACCCCAATCAACCACCTCCGGATCATAGTCAGCTGCGCTTTGTGCTTGCTTGATCAACTCGAGAACGGCAGCATAATCAAGCGCGGGACCTTCTCCTTCATCCGCTGACAAAGAGCCTGTGCTAGATATGTCGTCTTCGGTGGTGCGCGCTTCTACAGCAGAGTCTTGGTCGCTATTTTCGCTTTCCGCATAGTTCCCCAAAGCCCCCAACTCATCTCTTGTTTGCCTTGCAGCCGCTTTTTCCGATGCAGACTCACATTCACTTCCATAGTCACCGACGAGTCCTGAGATTGTCTTTCTCCCCGCTTTCGTACTTAGCTTTCGTCTTTTCATAGCTCTGACGTCGTGCTCGTGCTCGGACATCAGCGGGGGCTGACCCCTTTTGGCCACAATATTTCCAATGAATGTCGACGAGTCTGGATCATATACATGGATGGTGGGGAATTCGGCAAATTGCGTGCCCTGGAGCAAATCCTGAAGAGTCTGACTGGGGCAAATTTTATAGTAAGATGGGCCAGTCTGCACTCCGACGCCTGGATAACACGGAATTCTGGCCAAGTCTAGTTGCGCAGGCAAGTAACATAGAGGAAGTTTGAAGCCTTCAGGATCGTCTGGATGAGGGTGGACCAGAGAAGCGACCCATTCTGGACAAGGATGGTCTTTCTTCGGTTTGGGATGGTCCTTGTCAAAATATGCATGCTGAGGAACATGTCTTTGAAGAAGGGTGATTAGAGATGAATTAATGGCATTGCGATGCACAAGTGCGGTATATGGAACTGATGTCGTGGATGAAGAAGATTGCGCCGGCGCTCCGGGATGAAACCTGAACTCTATAGTCAATAGCGCAGTCTGCGTCCTGATAAGAGTCAGCACACGCGTAAGGGCGGAAGACAAGAGCGCACTTTGCATCAATAGTTGACTGGTTCACCTTTCTGCGCTGCATTCCGACGGGAAGGACATCCATCTCGATGTCCAAGCTGTCTAGATGAGCTTTTAACATATCCCTTTTGGATGATCCACCACCCCTTGAAGTCCCCCTCCCGCCTCTACCTCTTCCGCTGGCTCCACGTGCTCCCCCTCTTCCATTCGTATATTTTATTTTCGCATTTGTTGCGTAGCCTTCGCGACCAATTTCTCCGCCCCATTCACTCACTTTTCTGCCCACTTCTTCAAGAAAACAATAGTCGCGCATCATCGTACCCCACCCATAAGCGTTCATCTGCACATAGGCCGCCTTATTGCGTTCGCCGCTACATCCAGTGTTGGATTTGTGGGTACGAGAGCAGGGTAGAGAACATGTTGGAGTAGAGCACCTCGGGCAAGTATAACGTGCAGGGGTCGAGCATAATGCACAAAGACGAGTTGATGACCCGCTGGCGACTGATTCCAGACCAGGCGTGATAGTCTGCGCTAGAGGTGTAGAAGTCAAATGAGCCTGTAGCATGGTCGTAGCCCAATATGTTGCCAATATGGTTTTTTAGAATATCCTGCTTATACATGGTTTTACTACATTAAGAATCGAGATTGATTTACTCCTACAATTCGCTTTGACTTTGTGCAGTATCGTGTTGGCTCAAATGGTTTGATTCAAGCCAGCCAATAAATCACCCTGGATTACAAGGTCCAGTTCACATCATGGTTTTACATCGTACTCAATAAGAAGTCGAGTGTAGTGATATGGTTTGAGAACAAGAACGTGGCACAGAGTAGGGCGGCCCTCAGCAGGCAACCATATCTGATTCAGTGTAAGCAGACAACAAAGCATGACCAACCGTGCGCTTGAGTAATAATTTACAAATCCTGTCGCCGGAGGTCCAGCAGTCCTTTCATGATCAGCTGAACTTCGAGAACAGCATCAATAGCTGCACGGACTGTGCTCACTTGCACATGCCCGCTAGATGCTTGTGCGGATGTATTAACTTGAGTAGCAGTTTTGACCTCGACTTCCCAAAGCGTGTCAGTATGTGCTGGTATAGGGAGGGAAGTCTTTGGGTCGACCTAGTCAACAGTAATGTCAACTGGCGGTAAGGGAACGACAATATGAACACGGATACATACCTGCTCTTGCTGGAACATCTGTATTATCAGAGCTCCTCTTCGGAATGCATATCCACGTTTGTAGATTTGTGATCGTTGTCTAACAACACTATAAGCGTAAGCACAGACAATGAATTCTGGAGAGTATACGGACACATATCCCAGTGCCGAAGCGAAACTAAGGGCATCTCCAATCACTTCGCAAGTAGCCCACGGTCTGACAGTAGCCTCGGGATGAACGCGTACAGATTCCGGCTTGAGGTATGAAAAAAGTGTCCTATGTTATGGTTGATCCAACGCCTTCGTTCAAGTGGGTTGTCCAACCAACCATCCACTTTCTGTCCCATCTCCTAGTTCTTTTTTTGCTCTTAGCAACGCTGGCTCATCTCCTTGTACTTGCGACTGAACTCCGAACTGTTCGAATAAAATTTCACGGGTGTGCATGGGCGCTGCGGACTCCGTGTGCAGTGTCAGGCGATTGAGAATCGCCTTGAGATCCCGAGCGAAAAATTCACCGAAAAGAGCGACTTCGTAGGCATGCGCATGCGTCTGTGTGTTTGCGAACATAGACATTGGAAGTCAAGACTTTGTCAGGATGTGCGAGATAACGTGATCTAGGATAGTAAAACTTTATATCGTCCATCTCCGTATAGTGCTGTTCAATGTCCATGACTCCATGTCGCAACAAAAAGTACTGATCAGACATTAAATAGTACATAGGTGCTAAGTCGATTATGAGTACGGGTGATGACGCAGCTAATAGCTCAGGAAGCCGGTCAATGAATCCTAGTCACTGCCGCATGACAACAGAAGTTCTTTGTACTTCCTGTTTGTCACTTGGAGCGTTTTCACTGGCTGTGCTACACATGACCGCTAGTTGACAGCTCCTGGGAGGTGTTTGGAGGAGGGATCCTGGTTCTTGTATCGGACTCAGCTATGAGCTTAGCATGATATCCTCGGACATTAAGGATGAGGCGTGGTCCCAGCACGAACATCTGCACGACCGAGAAGATGTTCAGAGCACCATTGTAACCCATGGTTTTGGAGTCCTATATATATGATGAACAGTGACACGTAAATGTTAGCAAGATATCGGCATACCGAGACAGTCGAGAAATAATAACCAAGGGCGATCCAAGAACCAGCAACAAAGCTGAAACGTGCGGGACTTCAGCAGAGGAAAATAACCACAGTCAAATTAGTAACTAACCTTGCAAAGTACACCACGTGAGTCTTCATCAAAATCATGAAACAGTCTCCGATGATTGCGGCTTGCGATGATAGTCGCAATTGCCGGAAATGTTTTACAACAATCCAGACTACCAGGCACATCACGAGAACCTCCCATATAATGCGGAGTATCCAAGTGATGGACATCAGAAGGCGGACGTCTCCAGCGTGTTTATAAGTGCACTGATGAATGCCAGAAACGGCTTCCAACATTCTTCCGATGAGCCCGATGCACTTGAGTCATTTGTCAATAATTCAAGCTTACCCTTTGAATTAGTACGGTTGATTCCTATTGTAGTAATCGCTCCGCCGGCCATTGTAAGAACAAACAAGATTACAATGAGAAATATAAGCATCCTTCTTGACCCCTGATACATGGCATGTAACCGAGTGATCATGATGACTTGTATGATATTTCAGTCAAGATATCACGGAGTTATTGCAACTGGGTGACTCACCGCCCAGCATGCCATAAACTACCACATTCATACAATTTAGTACAACAAACATAATATTGCCTGGCAAAAACACAGTATGAGGTGAGTATCGGAGGATCACGAGCACCCAAGCACTCACAGCTGTTGCAGTCATTACATTGAACGAACAAGCCGATGGAGAACTCACCCCTAGGTGGGAGCGCAATTGTTTGGATGGGAATGTCAGCAATGGATGCAGAGTACGCACTAGATCTGTCAGCGGGACTGACGGAAGACTTCCTGCATGCCACTAATGAGAACAAACAATTGCAGTGTGTGAAGAGACATACCTAGCATGAACATGCTGATTGTGAGAGGTGTCCTATTAGCAATGTCAACTTGAGCTCTTTAGTCTTGAAAACATACACGACATATGGCATCCCAGCATAGCGTACCTAGAAATTCAGATATTGTCAGCACAAATTGCCAACTGCGTGTATACATGAGCTACGTACGGCGAGGTACAAAATGGTTATAAGGGTCCAACGTTGCCTCTGGGTCGAATGAATTACGTTAACTTGTTATCCTTCCGATATGGGACTCTGCTCACCCAAACGAGTTCAACCTATAACACCATTCTAAGTGAGATATCTACTCTAATGCATATGGTCTTGGCCTACCTCTCGCCCGAAGGTTAAAGCTGGAAACACCATTAGGATATCATTGGTTCTTCGATAATGTTCACTCACCCCAATCATATACCACTGCAGTAAATGATGCAACTGCGAAACCATATTCAAAGTTAGATCGAGACACGCTGATCTGACTGGCTCTCCACAAACCTGCAACATAGCTGTGAAATCGATCCGAAGTGATGACCAACCAACCGTGATCGTTCAAGACTAGATTCATATTCGAGGGGTGTGATTGAGGGAGTGGCAAACTGGGTGAACGTAAACCGATAGTATTCGTACTAGATATACCACCACCCAGCGCCCATATCGCCGAAATAAGTATCGTGAGGGTCCCTCGTTCTTGCCTTGGTTGAGCAAAGTAACTGTTGTTATACAAATTACGGTGAATGCGGAAACCCTCGATTGAATCGAAATCGGAGTTTGGCTGTGAATCTGCAAAGCAGTGACACATGCACAAGACGTTGAACACCGGAAAAGATCGAAAAGCAGTTTGGGGTGCTAGTGCTTCACTCCCGATATTATTTTTGAGATGTTCTTGGCCCTTGCATCAGTACTTTCGGCGATCACATCCGTGAGACCATGCATTTCATTGATCTCCCACATGGCAATTATCGAAAATGCCTGCGATCTCGATAATCCTTGACGAGGATCGGTATCCATCTCGCTGCAGGGCAGGGTAGCAGTGCATTCGAAGTCTGTTGTCACATGTCACAACCTGTGGGCGAGGCACAAGAAAAGTCAGGAATGAAAGATAGAACAGGTGAACACGTGGCTAACAGATACTTACCAGGCTGAAACACCCTCGACAGTGCAATCCAATGCCCCGGGTCTTCTTAATTCTTCAGCATCTGTTGCCTCGTGTGCACCTCCAAGCTCCGGTTATGATATTATCAGTATGGAAAAAAAAGATGGGACTCTGATGCAAAAAATAGCAGTTGATGGCACCGGCGTTGCATCAATTCTCACAGCCTGATTGATCATCTGTGTTGCTCTGGCGCGCATATAAGGTTAGTGGCTTAAAATAGAGACAAGAGGTCACAGGAAAGACGATTCGGAACACAGCTGTATGCATCCAGGAAGCCATATTTCTTGTTTTTTTTTGCGGCACGGGCTCACCTCGTAAACATTGTTTTTCAGTGATCTTCTATTCCAAGTTGATCTAGGTCTATATACCAAGAGGGACAAGGCATGACCTTCATCACACCCAGCGATTCCACGGGCAAGGCGCGAAAGCCGCACAGTTGATAGCTCCACTTTTACCCAATACTGACGAGGACCAGCTCGATGCCTATATCGAGTGGGCAAGTTCCCACTGTCGAATTAGACCTATGTTCTACGTGATCTCTGAGGCGCAGTGTTTGAATGCACGAGTGAGTTGAAATGGTACATGAAGGTTCGGATAGGTAATAGGTAGCGCTGCCCGCAGCCCAAAGTGATGCTTGGCGCATGCAAATACTCGTCAAATGCCCGAGATGTGTTATCGCTATGGAGACACAACAATGTATCCATGTCAGTAATCAACAACTCGAAGTAGATGGAAGTTACCTGAAATACAGCGACTGGCTATGATGAGTCTTCTCAAACAGATACTATTAGCAAGTTATAATAGCAGCACGTGGTATATCAGATTTAGATCAGGATCCCGTGGGGGACGAGACACCATTGTAAAGGGTTTGAAACTGAGAAGCACACGGCTGTGCAAGTGTCGGATATCTATAATTTCCACACCTGGCGCGATTCGTATCCCAATGATTGCAACACTCCGCCTACCGGCCCTTGTGAGTAGTTCCGGCCATAAGGACCTGCGATAGACTCGACCATTCTGCGACATATCAATGAGTAAGATCAGAACTAAGAGCATAAGTGGGGACTAACTGTTCAGGACCGCAAACCAAAAACAGTATCTTTCGGTCACTGACATCACTATCTTGCGGAAATAAACCGCGCCACCAAGGAACACGAGAGGCAGAACGGAGAGCGCCATGTATTGAATTTTTATCGATGCGACCCTTGTGTACCTCTAGGTCTGTAAAACTTTGACCTTTGGTTTCGCCAAACGAGTCAACAAATAACTTCAGCTTGAACTTCTCGGGATTACGCTGCGCGAATTCTAACAGAGGATCAAGGATATCGCGCGGAGGCAGCTCAGAAGGTGTTCTTGATGAATGCAACAGTGTGATTCGGCCTTGAAAGGATGAATTGCCAGAGAATACGGTACGCAGTAGCTGGTAGAACGGAGTAATCCCAGTACCTCCAGATATCTTGTACGCATTAGATATGAGTAATTTATAAACTTGACTATTTACTCACCAAAATGATCTCATCCCAAGCATCATCCTTCCAAGACCATGTTTTGAGAGGGCCTCGAATTTCGATGGTATCCCCGACTTGTTTCGAGTACAACCACCGGCTGACTTCGCCATGTTGATATCTTTTGATCCAAAATCTCATATTTCCGTTTTCGTCTACCCCATCGAGTGGAGTGTAAGGTCGCTCCACTTGTATGTCATCGTCTTTGATGAAGACAGACCAGATTGGTGCGAAGAGATCGCTTCCCTTGGGTACAAGTTCGGAGGGTATTGCGATAGTCAAAATTTTGTTCCGCTTGATGCAACAGTGGACGAAATGAGTTTCGCTGGTGTGAAGTGAGACGGACTGAGTGGTATGTTGTCACGAGTTGGTGCGCCTCGGGAGATGTCAGGTAAAAGAAGATAAGCGGCGACAGCAGCAGATGTGCCTCCTAGGAGCAGTATTGTTGTTGCTCTCTGTAATGATCTCGATGTACTGAGGGTTGTAAGATCTCTAGCACGAAAACCAGCATGTCTCGTTGACTGGAATACTTGAAAACCTAGCTTCAGCATTTGGTGTTGAGTTCCCAGTAACTTTACAAGTAAATGTTCTTGCCAAACAGGTGTAAACATGGATCGACCTATTTCCATTTGCAACTTTCTCCTTTAGTTGAATCTCCCGTCAGTTCAAGAAAATCACGACCTTCTCTCTTTCACAGTCTATTCTATTTTATTCACATTTAATGAGACACCTGCGCGACCCGACATGCAGCTACGCCCCAGGAACAACTATTCATATGACCTCTCATAATACCACGACGCTGGCGTTGCGATTAAATCAAATGACTACTCCCACACTCTTTTCTGCCTCAGACACGCGATACATGGTAGATCACGAGGACCCTAACGAGCTCTCAAGGTTGTCTCCAGATTCTCAGACGAATGGGTTCTCAAAGTCACCTTCTCGTTGCCTTCTCGCTGGGCTCGGTATTCACTACCAATTTGATTCCAGTAATTTGATGCAAATCGACGAGGGACACTATTCGTACGACGAAGGACAGAGTGCTTCGCATATGCGGGCGGACGATATCAGTGGCGCCCCGAGTCATTCAAACCCCTCGTGCGCGGCATTCCAACTAACAGAGGATACCGCTGAAATCTTCTGTCACTTAAATAAGTCTCAAAGCTCCCTAACGTTTTCAAGCGACACCTCGTTGCCTAACCTTGGGCACTCATCATCATCACTGGCTTCTTTATCTTCCGCTCCGTCTGTCTCTGAAAACGAGGAAGGTCAGGCTTCGAGAGAGTTCGCCCTGGCTTGTTTCCTCGCGGATGATGTTCTCCCTGGTTCACCTTCTAACATTGGTCTCATTCCTGACGTTAACATGTACAACCTTGCACTGTTTACAAAGTCACCCAGTGTAGGTGTCAATCCTTCAGCCATCATGGGACAGTCACCTGCGTCCCCTCGAGCATTCACGTCGCCTCACATCACCCCTCCCAATGTCACCTTCCGCTCTCCGCTATATATTTACGATTCAGTTCCCTCCACTCCTGGCGCGATGCAGGAATTGACTCCAGGCCCACCACCTCAGGATTGCCCATCGCCACGTCTAATTCATGATATTGTTACCATCTTGTCCACTTCAGCAACACAGGAAATCGAGCAGCCGGAGCCCATGCCAGTCATGTATACCGAACAGCCGTCCTTCGAGCAATGCGCCCCGCAGAAGAGGGCTAGGGCGTCCCCGATTATAAAGTTGGAGACATTGCCAGACGCATCCATATTGCGTGTGTTTTCTCCAAAACAGGAGGAACGTTATGTTCTTTCTAGCTGCGACAATTTTTTGCTCCCTTTCCACAACAATATGTTTCCGCCTCCACAGACCGCGGTCGAGCCAGATCGCGGTATCTACAACGATCTACATCCATCGCCGATTCTTAACGCGCACATGGGAATTGAGCTGTCTGAGCTTGCCTTCAGAGCCGAGCGCTATAGGGCACGCCATTCTGTACAAGAGATTGACCGAGGATGGCTGATGCATTTCGCGGGCAAGTTGAGCGACCGGGGAGAGCTTATAGAAGAGTTCCGATGCTACGTCGTCGGTTGTGGCCAGAGGAACAAGCGCCGAGATCACATCATCGTACATGTCGGGGCTCACGTTGATCAACGGCCATTCAGCTGTTCCATGTGGTTCGCATTATTCTTGCTATATCTCTGGCGATGACTGGCTAACACTCATTGATGATTGTCGCCAGCACACAGCGGTTCCTGCGCAAGAATGAATGCAAACGTCATGAGGCGAGCCATACTGGTGTGAGACCCTATCATTGCGAAATTTGTGGGCAGACTTTCGTTCGTCAAGATCTGCTGAAGAGACATAACAAACGGACCCATGGATTAGAGAAGGGCTTGCGCCGCAAGAAAGCGAGGATTGAGTGATTTCATGGTTAACAGAACTTTCCTTGGCCGATAATAGAGACACTTCCTAATATCGGTGACAGTCAAATCAATCAATATTGTTGGGCTGATCATGATGAAGTTGTGAAGGATATGATCAAAAACATTGATATTGCGATAGCGAAGTTTTTACAGCTTACAATGTCAGAAAAATGTATGTTTAGGGTGCAGCTCAATGCGCATGACAAATTTTCAACGCGCAGTAGCATAGAAGGAATCTAGTCTTCTCTCGTAGGTTAGTATTGTGACAACTGAATGTGACGCATGTGACGCATCACGTCGCATTCCCTTGCAAGTTTGGCAAAAAATCGGCCAACAAGCTCAACCATGTCGACCAGAGGACGGTCCATCTCCCCAAAGCCCTTGCAGGACGCCGATGTAGATATGGAGAATGGGGGAAATGATGACAAGAAGTGCAAAGTAGTTGTCATAAACGGTCTGTCTCGCAACGTCGTGCAAGCACATCTACAGACCATTTTCGCGTTCTATGGAGAAATCGTGAAGATTGACCTTCCACTCTTCCTGAAATGTAAGATTCCCGATAATTATCACTCTCGCACATCTGATTTGTTTCCATATTTAGCCGGCCAGAATCGAGGAAAGGCTGCTCTTGAATTCACAGATGCAGTATCCGCCCAGAAAGCCGTGTCACACATGAATGGCGGTCAACTAGATGGTTTGGTCGTGAAAGTCGAGTTATCTGATCTTCCGATCCGCACTCGTTCTCGTTCTCGCCCTCGCCCTCCACGCAACGGTCGTGAAAGGCGCTCACCGTCCCGGTCGCGTTCCCGCTCCCGTTCGCCGGTCTTCCGTAGAAGAGGTTATGAACCCTCCCGTTTCAATGAACCTTTCCGAGGAGGCAGAAGTTTTGGGCGTCGTGGACCCCCCGCCAGGGACACGTACCGTCCTTCTCGATCACGTTCCCGCTCGCCTATCAGGCGTGGGGATCGCCTGCCACCCAGAAGGAGGTCTCCAAGTTACGAGCGTGGAGGGATTGGGACTGGTTATGGGCGTAGGGGTCGAACTCGCTCCAGGAGCTACTCGGTGCGCTCTAGTCGCTCTCGTTCACGCACTCCTTCTAGGTCTCGCTCTCGTTCCGCATCCTACTCTTCTTATTCGCGGTACAGCCGTAGCAGAACTCGTTCAAAGTCTCTCAGCCGCGGAAGGAGGAGTTACAGTCGAGATGACATCAGAGATAGCAGGTCGAGATCTCCAGTATAAAGAGCAATTATATATTCTCTGGTATCCTTGCTGTTGTAATTATGAAAGCTACTGTTCCTGTTTTACAGTATCACAATGAAGTCTTGATCCGTACTCTAATCACTGCCCATGGAATCATCATCGGCAAGGAAGGGTCTGTCATAGATAATATTAACAGTAGTGTTGAAACAGTGAAGGGTCCCACTTACGCATATTCATAATCGTTCCTAATGGCATTTGACATCCACTCTTCATCGGCTTCTTGCTGAGCAAATCCTGGTCCTCCAGCAAGACTAAGTATGACGGGTAGAAGTACCAAGCCATGCAAAGCCCCAGAGATGATGAGAGTAAGCCACATGCGGAAGTAGTATATCTGTGGGGGTACATGAGATCTATCAATAATTCCACCGGTAATTTGAAGTCTTACTTCTAACAGCTTGGATCGAGTGAGCGCAAGGACGGACATGCCGATCAACTTTGTGAATGTGATACCGGACAGAACCTGAAAGATGTTAGTCATAACGCAGCATCGATGAGGAGGAATGCTCACTGAGGGTCCGACGTCAACAAGGGCGGTCCACATCCTCTCATCTCGCTCTTTCTGTCCAGCAGGATGATCAGCTGGCAAACCAGAACCAACACTCATGAAGGCCCTTGCAACGTGGGCACAAAACTCCACTGCAATGCCGATTGAAATAACCAGGTTCACTAGACTTATAGCATTCAGGCTGATGCCCCATACAGACATTACCCCCATGACGGACATTACTGTCAGCGCGACCACACCCGTCACAATTGTCCCTGTGCGCCACGAGCCTAGCAGGAGCGCTGTGACTACGAGCACAGCAGCCAGTCCCAGCCCGAGTATCTCCTGCGTGATGGCGATGATATGTATGTATTGGTCGAAGAAAACGTAATGCAGGGAATAAGGGAAAACCTGTGATCCAGTGAACTCTGATATCTTGGCTGCTATACGGCGTGCGACCGCCATGGAATTGATAAAATCATCTTGTGATCGAAGAGGCAAGTGTGATGTGCGGAAGTGAGATGCGACAACACCAGTTTCGTCGTCAAGCGAGAGCGCAGTGCCGAATGATGCTTTGCCTGCCAAGGGGCACGTCTCATCTGTAGGTGAGACGAGCCACTGCTTCAGATATCGCATGAATTCCTCTCCCTCAGGCAATCCGACCATGGTGATGTTCCAGGCAGGTTCCTTGCCGTATAAACAGGGTTGGCATAAACGTTCTGAATCTCTCGGTGTACAGAAAATGGAAGGATTTCTCTTGCGTACACGACAGCACGTCTCCATGGCAGGATCAAGCCACTTGAGAAAGTCGTCTATCCATGACGCAGTCGGCTGCGAGATAAACGACGACTCTGGTCTCTTCCGTTCTGCCTCGAGAACGTTAGCAACAGAGAATTCACCACAAGTCGTGAAACGACCACAGAGCTCCTGTTGGCCAGACCGCTGGGTCACGTCAAGGTCGTGAGATACGAAATAAACTGGAGGTCCGACATCCAAGTACACGTCAAGATGATCAAAGTAGTCGTTGAGGTATGAATCCGAGGGGAGAGCCAACCTTTGATCTATCAAACAATAAGCACACTAAAGTTTATTTTATATTAAATTACAAACCAAGTCCCAGCTGAATGTGCTGCATCGATATTGCAGAGAGCACGAAGAATCCCGCAAAAGTAAGGAGTACAGCACCCTTGACAACTGGTCGAAGGAGGAAAGGAGCATAGTGGCGTCGGATAAAGTGAGCAATCCTCCCTAGTCCACTTGTGTTCATGGGAGCATCACGTAGGGCAATGCGGGAAGGCCATCTGATGCAGGGGAAACAGTCAACTCGGCTTGCCTGCAGATGTGATTAGTCTAAAAAGTTTTCTGTGGACCGACAGAGGATTACCCACCTCTACGCGCTTCAGATCGATAGCAAGCGCACTGACAAAGACAGAAACTTGGAGGAGCACATTCAAGAAGACGCTACCAGCGGCATACAAGGCAAAGTTGCGTACAGCTGGCATGGGCACCAATGCACCGAGGCCAAAAGCAACTGTTTCTGTCACAGAGCTCAATAGAATTGACGGGCCCATCTTTGCCAATGTCCGCGCAACCCTTTCCTCGGCAGATAGATATAAGGGTACCGAGGCAGTATCGACGGATTCATCATGTGTCGATTCAAAAGGTGAGCGGTGAGTGTTAGGGGAGCGAGGCGCTGGGTATCCTCCGGGAACAGTTGCTGCAGCATTAGGCCCGTGGAGGAGATTTTGCCTATCAAGCTCGTGAACGAGAATAAAGACATTGTCGACACCGACAGCGAGTACAAGGAAAGGAATAACTTCGGCAATGATGAGGGTCGTCTTCACGCCGACAAGGGAGAAGAAACCGACTGAAGATGAGACGGACAAAATGACAAGTCCGATCCCGAACAAACCTAACGTGAATTTCGAACCGACGAAGAGATGGCGAGGCAGTCTCGGCAAAATGTGCGGTGTGTTACGGGAATCGACAGAGACCGAAGAGGAAGTAATGCTTGACCGTTTGAATAGCTTAGGGAAGTTGCGAGCCCACAAAGAGAGAGACGCCAATACACCCTCTTCCTCCCTTGCTGCTGACCCATTGCCCAGTGTCAATGATATATAGAGAAACATTGCAAGATACGACAGGACAACAATCCTGACTGTCAGTGTTGGTACTCCTGCTGATTTCTTCCTCTAAAGAGACGCCGGTAGAGAATGCAATATTCATGCCCGCCTCAGAGGGAATGCGTTCGCTAAGATCGACGAGATATGCCCTCAGAGCTTGTTCCCATTCGACGGCTTTCGCAATTTCTGTCTCGTCGAGTGAATTCGCCACCACATAAGTGACGACGAGAGCCTTCGCATCGAGGTATGAGTTTCGCTCAGGCATACCCTCAGGCACCCCACCTAGGACATACTGTGGGGCAAGAGGCTGCTGAAAATCTGGAAGGCAATCCACAGGGGAGTTTGCACATTGAACCAATCGGTCTTTCCAAGACTCTTCGTCGTAATCACTGAGATCATTACCGAACCATGCACCAACAGACTGTACGACACATGCTCCTTGTGGCCCGGCAGGCTTGAAACATACATCTGTGAGACCGTAGCCATTAGGGGAAGAACGGAGAGCACGTATATCACTCTCTACGTCCATCCAATATCGTAGATGGTCGTAACTGAGCACATGATCTTGCGAAGATACACCAGTATCTGTGGTCGGAGGCGGGTCGATGGTGATAGGGAGGCCTGAGAGCGCAGTGATAAATATTTGTTGTGGACGATAGAATGGACCAAAGTGTTCATCGAAGTATTCTTTCTGTAGTCTGCTTTCTGAGTCGGGAGCAACCCACAACCGAACTGGGTCAGTCTCAATGTCAAACCTTTGCCAGCCTAAGTTGAGCAGACCAATCACGGTAAACATGATTGAAAATGTCAAGAATGGCGAGGATGCTGCAGCAAGGCCTAAACGATAGAAAACGCGACGAAGGATTGTGTTGAGGCGATATTGGCGTGGCTGAGACGCTTCAATGGGGTCAAGGAGGGAAGCACCACGACCGAGCCGTCTAGATTCTGTTGATTGAGCTCCGAGGGAGTCGTTGGCGTCACCTTGCGGAATTGAGACCGCGCCCACAAGACCGCGTGTGTGTAACGTAGGGGAGCGGATGGATGCAGTGTCCACTGACAATGCCATTCTCTCGTATCTTTTCTCTCTTCGCTTCCTTATAGTGGTCTGAAGAACATATACCAATACAAAGGCAAATGCGCACAGGGAGTATGCGAGGATGAGTAGGAATGAGAGGCATGAAAGCGTGCCGACTTGGCATGTTGGGCCATTGATCTGTGGGGGCTTGTAAGGAAGTGCAGGACAGACTGTGGGGCAGTCAATGCAAGTGCAGCGGCTTTCCAGATCATTGTCAGCGCAATTCCGCGGTGTGGGATCTAGTGCAGTGAAATCAAGGGGTGTGGAGGAGGGGTAATTTATCTGGAATGGACTTCCAAGGTCCTTCTCATCTCCTAGGAACTTGAGGAATTCAGAATACGTCTTAGCACCTCCCCCAATGAGGTCCATAGCGTATCCGTTGGTGGCACTAACTTGGACGGACTTGCAGCTGTCAAAGAAACCCGAAGCAAATTGGTCGCCTACGAAAAAATCGACCGTCTTTACAGCTGTCTCTCCCGAACTGGCCTTCTGGGTATCCGTAATGTTCAGGAATGATCCCTGGTGTGGTGAACAAGTGAATAAGCAGAAAAATGAACGGAAGTTGTTTCGGCATGCAGGGCAAGACGAAATGATGAGCTCGGCTTGCGCTAGACTATCACGCAGGGTCTCGACCTGACCAGAAGTGCAGCAGGTAGGCCCTTCTACAAATTGGGCACCACAAACTGACACAAGCAAATCTCTGGCTTTGCTGTCCTCGGGCTGGCGTAATGGTGAGCAGAGACACGATTATATTACACTATAGAACGTACGTCGACCGGAGGACCATCATACGGACACGGAAGTTCCTGCCCAAACCAACCTTTCTTTCCACAAGAACCCCTCATAGCACATTGTCCAGCTCCGCTGTCCCCTTCCCATTCCAACATGGTAGAAGTTCTGAATCGAAGAACGGACGGCCAAAATAATGCAGAGTTGAGTTGTTCAGTAACGCGACTGATGATGATCAAATGAAACGTGGAAAGTAGCGGCAGCAGTCGCAGCTGAGCCAAAGGACTTATGACACGCGGTCCACGCAAGTCACTCTCTGGAGTCTGAAAGTAGCAACCTGTGAACCACGTGCAAGTTTTGGGAAATGAGGAACTACTTACATAAAAAGTTAAAAGTATTGATCACACATTACTACAACATTACTAACAATCTTGGGTCCATCGCACCATCCGCTCAATCATGGCAGAACAAACACAATCGAAGAAGCTCAACACCGCTGCAAAACCGCGAAAGCGTTTTGTCGGCTCGAAATCTGCAGCACCATCCAAATCTGGCTCGCCAGCAGCAATCGCCAATCAAATACCTGATGAGATATTGTCAGATGTTCTACTGAACCAGGCGATCAAGCAGCTTCCTGCAAATTACTCCTTCGAAATCCACAAAACGGTGCACCATGTCTGCAAGAACAAAGCAAAGATGGTCGCCCTGCAGATGCCCGAGGGCCTGCAGATGTTTGCATGCACCATAGCGGATATAATCGAGCGGTGCGCAGGTGATGGAAGTTGCTTTGCAGAGTTGCATGCTAAACTGATTCTTGATGTCGTAGTTTCACCCACGCGTTGACTGTAATCATGGGCGATGTCACTTATGGTGCATGCTGCGTGGATGATTATACTGCAGTCGCATTGGGATGCGACATGTTGGTCCATTATGGTCACAGCTGTCTTGGTGAGTTCCATGCGCTGGAGTTTGTAAGCCTTATTTCTCATTTGGCCATAGTGCCCATCGACCAAACTACAATCAAGACCTTGTATATCTTTGTCGAAATTGGAATCGATTCATCTCACTTAGCAGAGACGATACGATTAAATTTCCCAAACGACAGACAGACATTTCACAACCATTTACTCGAATATGAAGAAGATAGCGCACGGATAGCTACTGGCCAGAAAGTCGGCAAGGCTCGCCATCTCCAAATTGAAGGTCCTTCGAGTCAAGGAGAAGAGGAATTTGCAGCTCCCGACGAGCCAACAAGGTTCGCGTTGGTCTCAACAATCCAATTTGTAGCAGCTCTACAGAGGTTAAAGGAAGATCTGACGTCTCCGTATGATGACTCCGGAACGTCACCTAATGGACTGCTGCACGGTGCAGAATCAGAGTCATCAGCGGGTGATGTCTCGAAGTCGTCGTCTCGTTATCACTTCTGGACTGGCGTTTATGATGTCACGATACCAAGATCTAAACCTTTGTCTCCCGGTGAAATACTAGGATGTACTGCTCCCCTACTTGGTGACATAGACGCCTTGATGTAAGGGATCACATTTGTGTGTTCACCAAGTGTCTCATAGTATTTCAGATATCTTGGAGACGGTCGATTTCACCTAGAATCCATTATGATTGCAAATCCCTCAGTACCTGCTTTTCGATACGATCCATACTCCAAGAAAATCACGAGAGAGCTTTACAATCACGAAGAAATGCAGACGGTCCGAGATGATGCGATTCAAAAGGCCCGTCAGAGCATTACAGCTTTCTCCCAGACATCCTCTTCCCAGAGGATCGTTGCCCCAGCTGATGAAAATCCGATATGGGGCATCATCCTCGGCACTTTGGGGCGGCAGGGCAGTTTCAAGCAGATGCAGGCGATCACCCACCAACTATCTACCTCGAAGACAGTCATTCCTTATGTCCCTATCCTGCTTTCTGAACTCTCGCCCGCAAAGCTTGCACTGTTTAACCCATATGTATCGACGTTCATTCAAACGGCGTGTCCACGGTTGTCGATAGACTGGGGGTACGCTTTTGACAAACCGCTCCTCAGCCCATATGAAACAGCTGTTGCGGTAGGGCAAGCAAAAGGGTGGATGAATGAGGAGAAAGAGGGGTATGAAAGGGTTAGAGGTGGAAGATATCCTATGGATTTCTACGAAGCGGGCAGTCCATGGGCTGTTGCTAGGACGAAGTCTTCATATCTTTAATTCAAGCGCGAGTCTGAGTGGATAATGGCTGTATACTCTTAGTAGTAGGTCGCATTGGTGTAAGCCCGCTGGCCATGGTGCTTACTATACGATATACTGAAGCACTAGCTTTCACTGCCTTTTGGAGCGGACGACAGTTAGCCTATATTTAGATCATCGGGAGTCTAAACCGATTGAGTCCGACTTCAATTCCCACGTTGGTCCAACAAAAAGCTTTCTTGTCATCTATGTGTTTTGCTTATCGCAGCCAGCTGCCAGTAGCTCTCCACTGGCCGAAAACGACACACAGGTCACTGTACCTGTACTGTGACGCTGAAGAGGCGAACTGATGTGCTGGCTGTTGTTGTCAAGCCTGCCAGTTCCCTAATCGTCTGCTGACGCGCTTGCGAGGACGCGGGCATTCGAAGATATCGCAATGGCTTAGATAATGTTGGTATGTCCTTCCAGATGATAGTACTCCATGTCCTAATCGAATAATCATCTAAGGAGATGGGCGTTTTTCTACCCGTGGTCCAAGCCAGATGTTGATTCACTGAATCTGCGTGTCCTTTGAGAATGACGATGAGCTCGCCTGTCTTCGTATCCCACACTCGGATTGGTGATACGGGGAGAGGCAAGACCAGCAGTCTCAAAAATGGTCATGTAGACGACTGGCTACACTTCTTTGCGCCCAGTCTCGATTGGACAGAGAATCGTTTCTCCGTCTTCTACATCTCACTCTCTTACAGTCCCATTGAATGACTCGCTCAAGACTCGTTGATAATCTCGGCTCACTAGCCAGAAATCACGTCTTTTGTATGTCACATCTATTCCGCCATCCTAACTCCCGCTAACCACTTTCTTCCCATCAGCGCTATCGTCCGCACTTCACTTTTCAGTCTGCTTCACCACAATCATATGACATACTGTAAAAGATCACGCCTCACTTATCTCAAATTAACTGCGACCAACAATGTCTAATATTACCTCTCCAAATCAACTACTCCTTGAAAGAGCCCGTTTCTGAGTCACCCATATTCTATACCATACTCTATACCTATCTGTTGCGTAAGACGCCCATTTTCCCTTCATTAGATATAAAACTACCCTCAAATAGTTTGGATCAGGGGGGCTGACGTCTTACGATGGCCTGGAGACAACGGCATCCTCGGTCGAAGAACGCAATACCCGGGCAGGTACTTGGAAGTTTGGGGTGGTGCTACTCGTAAAGGGAGCGCTTTTTCCTTACACTGGTCTATCATATCGGTGATTGTTGCGTACCAACTTCAACGTTTCATTTCAACACCCCACTGCACGCACACGCTGATGCGATGCCTATATTTTGGTCTATAACAGTACCTCTGTAAATGGTCATGAAGTAAGACATCCAAGAGACTATGTACTTGGCATACGCTGCCCTTCGTCAAATGACAAAGGTGTTACTTTTTCAAATATCAAACGACAGATATGTACACTCGAACAGTCTACACACACGTTACACACTGTCCCTTGCGTGAGCTTGACATACTCGCAGCAGCAGTGGTGTGACTTACCCATAAACAGCTTCGACTTCATCAACTCCACCGCCAGAAGGGAAAGGACCATTGTTCTCGCGAGGGATAGGACCAAGCTCAGGCTCATCCTCCAAGTCAACAGGATTCTCATCGTCAAGACCAAACGTTACAACAGGGCGAAGTCCCGCTCCCGAACTAGATCGCCTGTTACCTGCCGGAGATTTCGGCAGCGCAGCCATAGTCTTCGGGCTCATATGCTGAAATAAATCATCAATGTCAATGAGGTGCAACTAGTTTCCAAACATTCAGACATTGGCTTACCTGCCAATCATTCACGTTCTCATCTGGAATGTCACGATCGTCACGACCGACGTCAAATCTAGAGTCATCGCCCAAATCACCGATTGATACTACGCTTTCGCTGTCGCTGATGTTATCAGCGATACTTGAGACAAGCTCTGGGAGTCGCTGCCATGCGTTCCCGCCCATTGAGATCGTTCCGAACGGCGGGAGGCCAGATTGATCGTCGGACCAACCGAGGTCAGACAAGTATTCCTCATATTCATCCTCAAACGCAAGATCTTCAGTAGTATACGGGAGGAATATGGATGGATCCGGTGCTTGAGAACGTGGAGGTGGGAAGACATCAGCTTCGACGACATTCGGAGTACCGATTGGTCGGATGATGTTTCCGAGGTCTAGCCCTGGAGGCAGGCCTTCCATGTTGTGAGAAATACTGACGGAACGCCGATGAGCCTGGGATTGTTGGCTCGGTGCCTGAGGTCCGTATCGTTTGTTGTTGTCTAGGAAATGGTTCACAATGAGTATGGCGCATACAAACGCGGGAAAGATGCATACAATACTTGACGAGGTGACGCAGAGCTTGTTCTTGTGCCTGAAAGAACATCGGCATATGATGCGAACGACGAGACACTCGTCACACACCTGAGCGTCGGAGATATCATCAACCTCCGTGCCAGTAAGCCATTCATCGCGCAGATCCGGTCGACAGTTCAGGTAGATCGACGTGATCACCTTCATATTTGCTAATAGGGGGTAAGTGTAAACGCTTACTCCTGTATCATCGCACATACATTGCCGCCACTTTCTCCCACAGAAGGGAACTTGACTCTTGATGAGTTTTAGGACATGAAGTTGAAGCAAAGGATGCGACACTCGTAACACGCGTTTCAGCACCGCCTGGACAAGTTTGTAAATAGTTAATGACGGCTCAAAACAGGTGCACTCACAGAGCTCTTGTATTGTACAAGCATCCATATACGATGTGACCGACTCTTGGATAACTTCTGCATAATTTTGGCAAAATTAATTGTGGAAAAGAAGTTGCGCCATGAGAACTCAGTAAGCATTTCGACTTCTTCCTCGTGTTTTTGGCCGTTCGGAAGAAATTTTGTCTGTAACACAATGTGAGCACCTGCACGAGGTTTCTCATCCTGCGGGCGTGGAGCAATTTTCGCGTGATGTATCTGGCAATATCGGAAGAAGCTAGATGATGTCCAAGATTAGTGTCGATACTCGTGGATTCCGTCTCACTCACTTGTGGTCAGGAGAATCGGCTTTCGATACGACGGATGACGAAACTTCTTGCAGTCCAAACATCTTCAGAATCAGCAGCAAGCAATTGGTGTCCAATAGAAGCTGGCCAAGATGATGGAATTTCATTACATCTATGGTGTACATTAGAGATGCGTTAACACACGTCAAGGGAGTACTGACGGGAAGCTTTGAACCATTTCAGCGTTAGTAACAAAATAGCTGAGACAGCTTTAGACGTAATCTCGCGATGCCGGGTTACGTCAAGGTCGTCGAGTGTCGGCGGTGGGGCAGGAGGTTGCTCAGGGGCTAAATAAAATTATGATCAACGTGTGAGAACGGACTATGGAGGTACACACGGGAGGGAACACCGGGAGGGAATACCGAAGATGTTGATGACTGAGGAGCCTGCTGCTGCCCAGTCCCAGCGGATACAGTCGCCAAAAGGAGCTTCAGCAAAACCAGTACCCATCCTGACAGGACAGGTAGTACAGCACTCTAAACGCAGGTGAGGCAATGGCGATATGACACCGAGCGAACTCACATATATTGTTTCAACCCTCTTTAGGCGCATGAAGTCTTCCTTCCTTTCTTTCGCCTTGCGCTCTTGGGCGGGAGAAGTGGAATCACCTATGGCCGCAACGGCCTCAGAAATTTTCGCATCCAGCATTGCAACATCTAGTAATGGCTCTGCAATCTCAAGATCCTGAAATAAACGTTCTCAGCAACGGCCATCCAAATTAGTAATGGGACGGCACACCTCGTTGGTGACCTGGAGTGGTTCGGCATCCCCCTCAGACCCAGGCATACAGTCAAGCCCACTCTCGGCAGTCATGCACTCTTCTCTCGTTCTCCACATTTGCCAGAGCGAGAGACTTACGTACATATGCCGATTATATAGCTTGTCTGCCTCATCGATTGCAAACGGTACGAGGCGATCATTGTTAGCGCCAAATCTACTCTTCCGCGAGAAGGGAAATAGGAACGGTCGATTTTGATCCGTCTGATATTGTTGTTTCTTGAGCTTGGGAGAAGGAGGCGGGGATGATGCAGGTGTTGCAGGCTGAGGACCCGGGCGATATCCTGGATTCGGAACATGTGATTGGAAAGGCTGATGATTCAGCGAACTTGGGAGACCAGAGTGCTGCGAGTCTGTGTCATCGTGGTGATAGTGATGGCGGACAGGAATAGGAGAATATGCCTGTGCCAATTTGGCAGTGGAAACGGGGGGCGCGGGTTTGATCGGAGGTATATCTAGTTGCGCAGGTGGAATTGGAGGTGTGAATGTCGGATATTTCACCGAAGTTTCCTGTCGGAACGTTTCAATGTCAAATGGGGTGCATTTGACGGCAACAGCTGTAATATTTTTTGTAAAACGCGTTTAATGGATTGAGAGGTGACCAACCTTCGTCGGGCACAGACGGAAGGTTGGCAAGTTCCCGGGCTAATTTCTTGACACGTGCAAGCTCTCTAATGCCTCCACAACACGCGAGAAGTGTCTTCCAAAGCACAAGGAGTAGCTAATTGCATTTTAGTTTCGCAACGCAAGCTTCAGATCTGCCGTAGTATCATACCTTCTTAATGGGGTATCCCTTCGCGCTCTTATCCCTCAATGCAGAGACCACGTTGAATAAGTAAACCGGTAACGACGGGTCCATGCTCACTAACCGATCGGAATTAGCCTGTGTGACGTCTTCCCATTGCAACACGCACTTAGTTCATCTGCGAAGTCATCGCGTTCCTTGAATATTTCAATGAGGTGGTACATCATGCCGAGATATACCGAGATTTCGGTTGTGACCTCTTCTAGAAAGTCAGCTTTTTCAGTAGGTGTGATCTGGAAGTGGGCTATATCTGCATCTGAGAGCGAGCTGTTATCAAATGGTTAGATAACCGACCACGTACTAAATAAATGCATACCAAAGTAGATCATGTTTCTGACTTGCGATTTTCATTGATTCGACGATTGTGCTTAACCCATTAGCGCTCCGCACAACCTTGCAGTTCTCGTAGATCCAGTGCAGCTGATGCTCTGGAGACGTTGTCTCGGCAAAGGTACCTGTACCAAAAACGTATGAGTATTCATCGTTTCGTCGTGTATGAGAATGGGACCTTGTAGAACGTAAAAGAGCCGACGGGCATTAGTAAATCGGATCTCCGCGTCCCTGTGCTCAAGACTTTCGAGGAGTATCTCAACGTGTGCCTTTCGCTGTGCGGGAGTAGTATCTGGGCTGGTCCACTCTATAAATACAAAGGATATGTATGATCATGACGTGCGATGGACAATGCTGCACACCTCCGGGAAACGAGCCTTTCCATGCTTTTAGGTTTTCTGCGACTTGAGGCATCTCTACGTACGAATAAAATTCATCGATCTCATTCATGACCGTGTCTTCATCGTCGTAGCGAAAGTCATAAAATGATTGCTGCATATATAATAAATACATCATGAGTACGACAAATGACGAAACATGCCTTTGGCTTCGGCGCGCATGTGACCATTGCCTTGAGCTGTCCTAGCGTTATGGAGTCTAGTCCTAGCTGGGATGCGGTGTTTGTGCCTTCTTGTTCCCCAGCAGAGTATGAAGGCGGAGCTGCAAATATCATGCCGCTCATGTTGACGTTGTTGGACGTTGTGGTTTACAATGTAACGCAGATGAATTAAAGGAACACGACTTGTCACACCAGGTATCACGTGACTTAGGCATGTAGGCCAGAAGGGTCTGTCTCTGGACTCTTATCGATGCTGGCACATGTCCAAGATTACGAGCACGGGCCGCTATAATATGAATAGTCCTAAACTAAGACTCCTGGGGAATTCACATGAACCGGAAGCGTGTATGATGGTGGCGTATGCGAGTCAGATTAAGGATTCATAGATAATTCGCTTGACTCATCCACGTTTATAATATTACAACATAAGCCTGAACGTGTCATGACATGCTCGGCAGTGACGCATACGCAAACCTTGTCACCGAGCTGCGGCCTAGCCTAGCCTAGCATGGTTCCATGGGGATGGAGCACTAAGTACATAGTCAAACCGCCGCTGCGCTCCGCATGCGGAACCAAAAACAACTGTGAGAAATTATGACATAATCAGTGCATTATAAGAATTTTTGGGTTCTCCCCCTTCTTTCAACCACGATTCTGGCTGTGGATCGACTTCGCAGTCGGTCACATTCTTGCCAATTCACTCACCGTTCTCGTTTCGGCTCATCGTCTGCGACAGCGTTTGCTTCGTTGCGATCGATTCGCTCGAGTATCGGTTTCAGATTCGGTTCAAAGTCGGAGACGCTCTCGGCGGTACAAGGTAATTACTTGCTGCAGTGTCATACTCTGATATTTCATCAACGATAGCTCATCTAATCCTCAGAGCACACAAAAAGGCACGCCTTTGCTGCGCGTTTGCCACTCATCGCCTTCCATTTCTCTTCCTTCTGCTCTTGGATCTGCTTACGACCCATCTTACGATTTTCCATTCTACTTCAATCCTTCGGGAGTCCCATCCACCACTAGATATCAGAGTCGTTTCCTACTGCGCTTTATAGTGCATTGGACGCTCTCCTCGCTGTCCTTCTTCAGTTGCAGATGCCAGTCCCCGTCCCTACCCGACAACCGGCGCACCAGGTCCATAAGTACCCCCAAACTGAAGACGCTTCAAAGTCTCATTCTTCCGTTTTCCATAATCTGAAGCACACTTTGCCTGTCTCCCCGACGGGTCCGCCACCATCTTTTGGCAGTCGTGATCAGTGGATCAATTCCCTGCCTTCTTGGAGGAGGACCAAAACTCGCCGCATATGGGAGGACGACGCGCGTTCCACTTCTGAAGAACAAAGAGAACGGGGTTTTTACCAAGGGTTGACTAGTACGGCCGACGTGCAAGTCAGTAAAGGAAATCATGCGGAAGCATGTCTTCCGCCCCTGAACACCTTCCTCCAAAAATGTGCCTTGAACACATCACAGAGTGACGTTGACCACCCAATGCATGCTGAGCACAAGACCTCTACATATACTCCCGCCTGGGGTACCGAGAGCTACGACAGTCCGGACAATGCCTCTACGCACGACTACGTATGGCCTCGGTTCGCACCTGTCCTGGAGGACTGACTGTGATGATATGATGAATGGTGATTTGGGTTCCAGTCCTATCGGTCCCATGACTCCTTTTGCAGAGTACGTGGACCGTGTAATCACCACATCTGACGGAACAACGGTATCCGACCCAATGCCGCTCAGACAAGATAATTCATATCAATGTGGACTCCATTCCTACAATTTGCTGGACTATCAGTACGCAGATCAGATCAAACAAGAGTCAGTCGATTCTGCGCCATCCGCGTCAACGAAATACAAGATGTTTGCGGAGCCAATGGCGGACTGGATCGTGTCATATGTTTGGAAAGTTTGCAAGAATTCAATCACTCTTCCTCCCGCAGTATCTCGCTACACGTAAGATCATTGTTTTTCAGCTTAATTTTCATGATCAATGTTGACGTAGGTTTTGTAGTCCTTCCATGAGCGGGCAGCAGCCAGCCCCTACAGCTCCAATGCACTTGTCTGCCTCAGTTCACGCTCTTCTAATGTCGACACTGCTACAACCATCTGCCGTGTTACTTGCTATGTGGTACATCGCTCGATTACCAGTATACTTTAGCGGGGCCACTTCAGGGTTGGGGGTAAAAGAACGGAGATTTACTGCTGAACTGCTTGATACAACTGGGGGAATTGATGGGAAAACGTTGGAGGCCAATGCCACGTTCCGACTCATCGTCCTTGGATTCATGCTGGCGAACAAGTGGCTTGATGACCATACCTTCTCCAACAAGACATGGTAAGCATCACGTTCAAGGTCCGTGTCAGGTCAAAATAACCAATTTCTCCCCTTCAGGCACACCATCTGCAAACTTCCTGTCCACTCGCTAAATAAACTCGAGTCGCTCGCCCTGGATATCCTTTCCCATGACCTGACAATATCACCCGCTGTTTGGCGCCAGTGGCTGGGGCATTTATTCTCGTATCATGTCTCGCTCTCGCCTCCTCCATACGCCCAACCGATTTCTCGTCCCTCTTCGAATCCTCAATCAATCGTTCGGAAAGTCATTGAAGAAATCATGGAAGCACCTCTCACGCATCCTAGCTCGGAGCCCGTCTTTCTCAGCTTTGAGCAGAGGAGCAAGACACAACTCAATGGGGCAGAAACGTGCGCTGACCCTTCTCACGAAGCCTATGACATCGATCTCGATGAGGATGGGCCGCTTCGCGACGAGTATTTGCCAAGGCGTCGCGTGAGCAATGGCAGTGCGACAAGCCGACGTAGTTCAGAGTTGGCTTCAAGGGTTGAGGTTGAGCGAAGAGAGGTCCGCGAGTCCGCGACCAGCCAAAATTGGAATGCGCTTCCCCCTCCGTCCAAATGGAGTCCGGCAGCTGATGAGCCCATCCGCCGTGCTAGTGACCGTCCTGCGTTATACATGCCAGTTCAGCCGCCAGCAGTATGTTGGGCGCCTGCTGTTACTTATGTACCTGTCAAAATTGCTCCGGATTATTCGACTGCCCCATATTCCAAACCAGCAGCTGTGTCCAACGGTTACTGTTACTCACAGTCTGTCCTCGCTCAACAGCCCTCACAGCCACATTGTGACGCTGATGCATTTTCCCCGCCTAATTCTGGCTACTCGTATCAAATCGGCTTTGACTACCAGTGTAGTCACGTTCGCATGTCATTCGATGGAACAGGTTACCCCTCTCAACCAATAGCAAATTCCAATTGGCCCTCTGCTGAGGCATATGGATTCCCCGCACCTCGAGTCCTCTTTGGCCCCCATCCACCTATCAATTACCAGTCGTCCTGGGTCCGTGCTTGAAGATATGTTCTGGACCAGATGCTCGCGTGCGCATCTTAGATCTCATTTTTTCCTGTTTTCCGGCTCTTAACACTACTGCAATCGATTCCGACGGCATCGCCTACGTGCCGCGCCATAATTCCGTTCCCTCTGTCCGTCCCTTCGCGGTTGTCAATACTGGATTTCTTTCTCTTCGTCGCCGGCACTGTCCATACATACACGATCCCCACCTTTGCAAGACATATCCATCCTGTCTCGGGGACAATCGCCTGTTCAATCTTCTTGATCCTCATCATTTCGATCGCGTATATTCTTATTTATATGCGCATCTGCACTTACTCTTCTCGCCGACTGAAGTTGGTGTGAAGACGACGATCTCCTCGGACTATGTGCCATACCGCGTTCATCGATTGAACATTTGCGGGTTCGCTGTTTCATTGTCGATGTATCCACCTATCATTTCGGTATCCTCATGCTCCTCAACTAATAACCTTTCATGACTTTATTTTTTCCTGCCGTCGGCTTTGGTGTTTCTTTTTGCTGCGCTTTTCTCATTCAGTACGCATAACGAAATCACTCAAAAAAACATGCAGAAAATTATTAACACTACAAAAACATTTGCTATTCTTTTATTCCCTATCCTTCCGCCTTGGCTGCTACGGTAGCTCCCTTTCCTCCTGTCTATCATCCGTCCCCCCCTCTTTGGTGGTTAGTTTAGCTTATGGCTTCTCTTTCACCTTCAGCTCTCATCCGTAGGTAAGAAGTTATGCGCCTCCTTCCTAGCATTCAATAGTTAAGCGTGAAGCCCATACGCCGTACATACTGGTTCTCGCATGTACGTTCTGATGCTTCCCTTTGAATGTTATCCTCCCGTATGTTCCTGATGAGTGTGAATGCAGGTTTGTTTAGAAAGTGGCATTCAGTCAGACGCAATTATACAGTACTCGATTGTCTACGTAGTTAGTACATGGGACTTCTTCGCTTGCTTTTAAATCTTTATCAGGATAAAAGGCACCTGCAAATGTCATCAATAATGAACGTTCAAACATATGGCTCTCATGGCAAACCTCAACATCCTCCATCTCGTCATCCATGAGCATGACTTCAACCAAAAGATGCTTGGCGTGCGGGGGAACCGGCTTCTTGCTGACGTGCTCTACCAGTTTACTGAATTTCATAGGCATCCTCTCAGCGCTCTAAATGATTCACATGAGCAGCTGCCATGAGTTAATCGCACACTTTACGAACCTTCTTCTTGTCGGTGAACGAACTCCAGAGCATGCTCACACCCTGACTAACCATGCTGACATCTAAGTTATGGTTAGTCTTAAACCAAGTGATGAATTCTTTGAGCGTCGGGTCATTCTTGAACTCCAATCGGTCCCAAAGGGTCCATTCAGTGTTCTGGAATTTGTTCTTTGCAGCAGCGATTGGCTCCGAAAAACCGAAGAAAGGCAAAGCAAGGTTGATAAAACCGTTCTTGAAGACATCTATCTTATTCTTCCCATCTATGATCTACAGTGCACGTGTCAGCGCACCCTTCCGATAAAGATAACAAGATCTTGCCTTGTAAAGTTCAAGACACACCAGACCGACAACGAGCGCGGTGGTGGTAGCGATGGCAGGAATGATTTTGCCTGCTATCTGCTTTGTGGTATGACGATCGGCCACAGTAATGTTGTAGTTCATCGCACGAAGGTTGGACGCAGCGGTGATGAGATCGATGTGATAGTTGGTGTCATCGTCCTTCTCGAACTCGACAGGATTGAGACGGTAGCCAACGAGTGACGATGGAGGAGGCAGCTTCTTGACCAAGTCAGAGACATTGTCGGGATCTGAACGGAATTATACTTTGCAGGTGAGTCTTAACATGAGTGAACGTACCAGAAGACGACTGATTGACGGGGTCGTTTTCGGTGATCTGGATCTTCACTCCGCTCTTTGGAGAGAACTCGGGAACGATCACAGAGTCTGCAACCCTCTTGAAGACCGCAGGATCGGTCTCTCCTCGAAGGCCATAATTATAGGCATGAAGATTGGCTGCAGCAATAATGAAAGAAATATGTGTGGGCTGAGGAAAATAATCAGTACTCAAGGTCTAGTAACATGCTGTGTGACGTACATCTGAAGAGTCGAACACGAGTGGGTCCGGTGCCCTCTTCGGTCCACTCCAGAATGGCTGTCCCGTGCTGGTAACATGATCCTTCGGAAGACTGTGGAGAAGCTGACGGATAGCGTTGTTAAACTTCTCCTCGAACTGCAGACGAGCCCAGATGATACACTCCTCGAACGTCAAAGGCTTGTTGGTAACCAAATATGAAACAATCTGGAAGATGTGGTCATGTGATTGGCCCGAGTATTTGAGGGAGTTCTCGAGGTAATTGGGCTCCGAAAGATATTGATTGACAGATTCCACTGGCTTAACAAACATTGCGTCGAACTCTTGACGAGCCCACTGTATTGTTATCAGACCCTGCTGGATAAGAACAAACTTAAGAGCACACCTCGATCGTGTGTGTAATGGCATTCGGGAAGTTTTTAACAGTGCATGACAATGTCTGCTTCTCTGGGGGATCTTGCGAAGACGAGTACGACTCGGTGAGATGGGGAATGACAACTTGAGTATTGCCTTTTGTGCCCATGGTACCGGATTCTAGGAGTGGTTTTTCATACAAAATGCAACGCTGGTCCATGTATACACCTACGACAAGTGCTGTCAGACGAAATTCACAGAGAGCAAGACGGAGCCTTACGTGAAGCAACGTTATCTAATGCATTTGTGACACCGTCAATCCCAGAAAAAAAGTCGTCATCGAAGACATCTTTGAAAATTTCAAAATGGGAACAATACAGAGGGTGATGAGTGACTGACTTTCTGTCGCCTGACCAACAGGATCTTGTCTACAGAGAATGTGGCCCTTCAGAGCTGGATTCATGTCTGCAACTGCTGCCGCTGCGACTTCAGATTTAAATTTCCCGAGATCTTTGGCACGGAAGAGAAATTGCCGGTTTAGGTTACTCTTTTCGATAGTGTCTAGGTCGGTGACATGGATCTTAGCGTCGGGCCCGGTAGCGAGACCCATCATGCTCCAATTCTTCAACATCTCACACCCGATTGCTCCTGCACCGACGAGGAACTGACGATGATTGGCAACCTTATCCTGGAAGGACTTGCCAAACACTGCAATCTGTCCATCATACCGGCTACCAAGGGGTTGGCAATCTTGCTCAGTCGGCAGTGTGGTCGGCAACGACTCCAAAGAATCGAAATACAAGTGCTGGAGCATAGGATGGAACTTCGCAGAGCATGCTTTGAGGACTTCTTGTGCCACGAAACCACCGATTACAGCTGCAACGGGCGGTAAATCACCGGTTGCTTGGTATGCCAGCTCTGTGATAATCTTCTCATCAGCATCGGCATCTATGTTCTTCGCCAAAGCCACCAGGGAAGCAGCATCTTTTGCGTTTCTGGGCCGAGGTAGACATTGGTGTCGTGCCTTGAATTGTGATAAAGCTTGGAACCCTGCATGGAGAGTAGCAGGCCTATCGAACTTAGCGAAGTCTGTCACGAAGAACTCTGGAGCTGCAAGCGATTCTCGCAAGGATTTCTAGAGAAAAAAATGAACTACGATCTAACGAAACTGGAATATGACTTACAAACTGGAGGATTTTGGGCATTTTCACCTGGGTAAAGATCCCACCTCGGACATACTCTCCCAGGTCTGAAGTATCACCGATGGTGAAAGTATATGGACCCTTCACTGATACTTTGCGAGGATTACAACCATTCAATTCAGTCATGCCCTGCACTTCAGTAAACGTGACAAAATCGCCATCTTCAAGACCGTGTCTTGATTCATCGAGGCATGTTACCAGCCCTTCCTTGTCCTATTTAATGGAAGTATAAATGTGACGTCGTAGTAATAGTTCATAAGACTGACTTTTGCTACTGACACGATCATTCCGGTAAGAGCTTGTTCGCCTGTAGGGTCCACGCAAGTAAATTTTGGACCAAAGTCATTGAAGATGGAGCTGATCACGATCAACAACATATAAAATGTGATTACAGCCTTCACGTACCCAAAAAGACCATGGGTCTCCGCTGAGATAAAGTGAACACCATTCTGATGTGTCCAGTCGTTGATCTCAACTTGTTTCTCGTAAGAGACGCCACATAAGACGACGGCCTGGAAGAAGTCGATATCACAATCTGGCCGACAGTGCATGAACTTACTTGGAAAGGTCGTATTAAATCGACTGAGATTTCTTGTCCTGCATTTCCTCCAAGATTCCGGACGGGGACGTAAGCATTCAGTTCGGCTAGACGAGGTAGGGTGGATGCCGCACGCGGCTTTCCGATATCGTCTTCGCGAAGGAAGTACTGTGAAAAATTCGTCAGGGACATATTTTGAGGCAGTGTGATGCCTAAGCACGCACTTGTGAGCTGAGATCCTGCACGGTGACCGGTTCTGGGTCATACAACGTCACAGACTTGACTCCCGCCAGACAAACGTTCTTTGCTGTGGAAGATATGAAAATGAAATGAATTTGTTGGAACCATGCTTGTTGGCAAAAGGGTTACCAATCTCAGCTCCGAGGCCTTGCAACCCGACGATCAGTACATTAGAGGCAGCCATCTTCTTCATCGCTGGGCGTATCACTCAGCAAACATGGTATGGTTATTATTATAGACAACACAACTTACCCTCATGTCCTAAAACATAACTGCAAAATCACGTAGGATTAATGGTGAGTGATGCAAGCCGGCGCACAGGATGACAGCAGCACCTACAGTTGACGAGAGTACAAGCCTTCATCAATCGCAGCTTCGTCAACATCCATCTTTGCTGCTAGATTACCTGCATCCGCCATGATTAAAACGTATAAAAGTAGGTGGTGGTGAAAGATAAGATCGTGGTGCAGTAATACAGCCACGGAACCACTGTAATTATGCTTGCTGATGACTAAGCCGCACAGCTAGACCAATTTTGGGACTCTGTTGACGAAGCGCAAGGGGATGAGTGAGGGGACCAAACGTTGTGCAGTATATGTGCTAGAGTACGGGCCTGGAGAACTACGTCTAAAGAGTATGCTGGAAGTGTGCTTTGACACCTGCCCACTGTTGGAAGTAAGTACAACGTCGACAGTGGACACTTACAAGCATTCTTCTATTATTTGTCATCACGAATCCTTCGATAGACTCAACATGGTATAACAAGAGACAACGGTATCACAACGAATTACAGGAATCGGAAATATCCAAAACAAAAAATCCAATCAGCAAAAGTGGAAAGTCAACGTGCGCGTGAGACGTATAGTACACGTCAAGAACTTGAAGGTAAGAAAAGCCTATATCCACCATAGGCTTGCATTGGCCGAAGCCGGCGCTGAGCTTGGAGGAGCTGCAAATGCTGCTAATGATCTCGTTAAGATCCACCAGGACAGACCATACACTACACAGAAGGCAAAGCATACTGGGGGGATGGGAAAGCAAGGGGAGCATAGAGAGGAGACGAATAGGACGGAGTTATGATGAATTTTCACCCAAGAGTGGTCTGGCAAGGGCCATAACGACCTACAGAATGGACCAAATGTGCACCAATAGTGCTCAAAGGACCCCCAACTGCGGCACCCCAGGTCCCTTGGGTAATGAATTCCAGTAAATCTAACGCTGTTGTAGGTTGCCTCGATTCTGGTGCAAAATTGTGACTGCCTGGGGCAATACCCATCGTACGGGGATTCTTATTGACGACGGGGTCTGCCTCAGGACACCAGTCACTAGGGTCCGGGAGACGGTTCTGGGGTTTGACCGGAGTGGGTACGTGGATCATCAGAGGGTCCTGGCGGGGCGCAGCAATTTGTTTCTTTCGGCCGCGGTAGCGAATGAAAGTCGTATTGACATCTACAGCTTTATTGACGGCAAGCACATCATCAAGAACACGAAATATGACGACGCTTTTATTGCTGGGAAGTTGGCTAGAGGAGACGCGAAGCCCAAGCACCCAGCTATGCCATGAAGAACTGGGGATGTACCCGAGATAGCCGAGGGATGCCAGTGCGGTCATTTCAACCTTGGTGAGGGTAGAGGAAGGAATTGCGGTTGTCTTGACCCTAAGTAGAGGTTCAGCAGTCAAGTCATTGAATAGAATGGCCTCGCGCACCAAGTCTTACTCGGGAGGCCAGTGTCGTTGATCAGTTTATCGGCCAGCCTTGCAACGACGACAAAAGCGGAGAAGAGAAGCTCGTCGAAAGTGGCCGCACCACAACAGTGGAGATGGTTAAAGATCGATACTCCTAGGAAATCATTCCCTTCGCCTATTTCTGCCATGACAATCTTAGAGATGTACCACAACGCATGAATGGCAACCATTTGAGGGTTGCCGACGGATTCAAGAATGAATCGAATGCGAGTGCCAATAATAGAAGTTACGTAATTTCGCCCATCTAATTCCCTGTTCATGGAATGAATAATCAAGCTGAATGCCTTGCCAAACAATGTATTAATGACTCACGGGTCGGGGAATACTTCATCTGCGCCGGCTTTGATAGCCAACGAGTACATGAAATGCGCGGAAAGGCTAGAGAACGCAGTTGCAATATCATCAAGGTCCGGGTTTTTGAGCGTAATGACCCGAGGGACAACGTTGCTACCTGAACGTCCAACTTGAAGAGTATCTGAAAAAGCTGTGACTACCCTGCCGACACCGTCCGAATTCAACTGAGAGAGAAGACTCTCTGTACCATCTCTCCCTTTGGTAGCGCCAGAAAAAGCCTGGGAAACGCAGCCAGGACGAGGAACAACATGACTGAGACCGGGAGGGATCATGGGCGCTGAGTTGCTCAGCACGACATCCTTGGAAAGGGCGCGTAAGCGAGGCGGCAAGCGCGACGGCTGAGACATGTCAAATAGACAGTACTCGAGCGAGTAGGAGGGCCCGCTCCCACGGGAGGCGCTCGCAAAGTTGCCTCGGGCAACTTTCGAGGAACTGGCAGCAGTAATAAAGAACAGTCCAAGCTTTTGTAACTCCGCCTGAGTTGAGCACGCTTTTACGTCGTGTGGGGGTTCCGCAGCCCCTTGCACGAGGTGGGGGTGATCAACGAAGTAGGAACGTGTTGCCCGTGAATGGGCGAAGGGGCCTTCTATGCATGCTGTGCTAAGCGCCTGCGGGGACTCGATCGTGCCCCTGCTGGTCTGTATATTTCCGCTGTCAAAGATCGGTGGCGGAAGGGTATCTGCGTCAGGGGAACAAGCCCATATTGGCTTTTTGAAGTACGGGTTACAGATAGGTGGACGTTTTGAAGACTGCCTTGAAGCAGGAGTACCTCTGATAGCAGTCATTATGGTCAATACAAATGTGGAAGGGAATGCTGATTTAGGGAATACAAACGAACGGTGCAGACCCAAGTAAATGCGGGGCGTCTTTTGTATCGCCACCCCCTCCCCAACAGGGCAAACAAACACAGGAGTAGCGTGAATGACACTATGGACAAAGCCAAAGAGAGCGATGCTCGCCGCCGCCACGACGATGTGGAAGTAAAGCTAGGACAATGAAATTATGGGTCGAGGATTTCCATCCGCTTACGACGACAACCCTGCTGGGGACAAAGCAGTCGAAGTGGCGAACACCACTCGAAGTTGTTGGGCCTTCGTCATTTCGTGTTATTACACAACTTGATCATTTCCAAAAATGGACTGCTGTCAAGAAACACGCTTACAACTTACGCAAAAACATTTGTTTGTTGTTATAGGTGCGATCCAAGTTCACAAAGGGCTATTTGTTTCGAACGTCTTTTTGGAAACTTGTCCACCGAGGACTAGTTGAGTGGCGAATTCAGAGTTGGCAGAGAAACATAAACAAATAACATTACATTGAGGAAACTGCAGGGACGATACGTATGCCACTACATGCTCGAGATCGTCTACTTCCGATAGAACTGTGGCAGTGAATAAGCACTGTATACAGGTACTGATTATGGAAGAACCTACATTACGACGGAAATTGAACCAAAGTGACAGACATCCTCTATCAAAACTACTTCGAAAGCCCCTGTGCCAGCAGGTTCAGTATTGGCGTAGCAGAGCCAGAACGTGAGGCTGCTCACCGTTTATGTGAAAATTCCCATTCCCGATTGACGATCCTGAAACCAATGTCTTCATATGGAGGCCCAGCGCTGAAATGCAGCAACACGGTGTCCTCATTCCCGGGTTCCCTGACGATTTTGTACGTAGGGGCTTTTGATTTGTCGATCAGATCCGGGTAAAAGATATTGAACTAGAGTATGACGTGAGTTGGAAGTCAGTTGTAGGGTAATTAATAAACGCATACTTTATAACCCTGAACAACCTTCGGAGGCGGGTTGTCGACGCTGATTGATGGCATCAAGAGAAGATCGAGTAAAGAAGATAGAGCACGCACTCGTAGTGAGTCTGATTATACTTATTCCATTCATAGCCAGTATGCACGCGGTTGAAGTATCTGGGTTTCCGAGGTCGGTATTTGTCCTCCCAGTTGTATGACGTAGGATTTGCAATGTTCTCCTCAAGATTAAAGAGTTCCTCCTCTTCGTCAAGCTCTCTCTCTGCCTCGGCCCTGTACAAAGCTTCGGAAGCGAGGTCAGCACCGCTTGCAACCTCTGGAGCTTCGACCTCAACCATAGGTTGAGCAGCTTTAGGCACGAAGCGCGAGGCAGCGACCGTACGGCGTTGTTTCAGCTGTCCAACAATAAGCGGGGTCTTAACCAACAGTAAAATCTATGCTTACCAAAGCACGAAGGTCGTCAAGCTCTGTCACTATATCGATTTGACGTTCGTCCTCCGTTAACTTCGTGATATCTATCAGTGACGGACTCATAGACCTGTCATAAGGTTCCACGTCCTCCTGTGTGTCTGCTTCTGCTGTAGTCACAGGTACAACATAATTTACATCTTTCAGCCCTTGAGCTACTGATCGAGCAACACCAGCAAGAAGTTCTTCCTGTGCGTGTAGAGCCTCATCGCGCTGGCGCTTGCGTAGCTGCTCAAGTCGATTGCGAACAACGACTTCATGCAGGCTCTTCAGCTTTGCCTGTCATGTGAGAGTCAGCTGCAGTATCATACCTCTGTAAAATAGGCATACCTTTGCCTTCCAAACCAGTAGTCTTTTGAGAAGCCCTTCCCAGTAGTCCGTATCAATAGGTTCGCTGCTTGCAAGCTTTGCCTGGATTTGCTTTTGAAGCGTTGCAAGGTGGTCGTAGCTTTTACCCGACAAAAGTGTAGTGATTTCTGATTCCACAGTGACTGCTGCTTCTACCCCCATGCATTCACTGGCCTTGATTCTGTCGATACGGTCTTTGCAAACCACCATCATATTCTGAAGGCATAATCAGCTAAGGCAAGATAATAGATGCAACTAACATACCGTCCAAAAGTCGATGTCCACTTCGGAGGTTTCAAGTGATAGGTAGCGCTCAATATCATCATGGAGTTCATCAATTTGGTCAGGCGAAAGATTCTGTTGGACGAGTGAGCTGCATGACACAAGCTTGAGGTCTACCATACGTACGTCGAGAATGTTATATGGCTCGTCAAGGTCAATTTCGAGGCCGGCATCATCCTCGACATCATCTTCATCCAGCGGATGTGCATACCTCAAGTTCAAGGCCAAGAAGTCAATAGCTTTTGCCCTCTTTTCCCTTATTCGAATGGCAGCCCGGCTTCGCTCCTGCTCCAACTGAAACTCCCCATCCTTCGCTATCCATTCCGACATCTGAGCAGACTCTGCCATTCTTGCCATGCGCGACTCTTCCTCTTCCCGCAGGCGTTGCTCCGCTTCCCGTTCCGCTCTGCGTCTGTTTAACCTCTCGAGCTCCTCCTTAGCATCTTGTCTTCTAATCGCATCTTTACGCTGTGCCTCCGTTAGGGACAAACCTTGCTTACGGTCTTTCTCATTCTTCTTATGCCAGCGGAACTGCTGGCCGAGGTTTACGTCGTGGAAGGGATTATCGGTTGCGCTGTATACACTAAGTTCAGCAACCTGACGAGCTTCTTCCTCTTCCTTCATGCGCAACTTCTCTGCTTTGCGGGCCCTGCGCTCCTCGGACTTGTCACGCTTGCGTCTGCTTCAGGTAAGTTGGGCGTTGGCGTGAACGAACAATAAATACACACCTCTTGTCCTTGCGCTCTTCATCTTTTTCTCTACTGTTACTTCGCTCTCTCTGTCGGTGTGGGCGTTCCTCGTCGCGATCCCTACTCCGGCTGCGCCGCCGCTTCCTGTACTCGTCTGGTGGGTCCCGTTTAGAAGAGCGCTTCTCGTCTTTGGCGTGGTCTCTATCTCTTTCACGACCGTATGAGTGAGAGTGGTGGTGGACCATGCTTGCAAGCTCGACGATAACTCGGGCCAACTTTCTGTCTCAAAGTTGCTCCAAGCTTTGGAGAACGGTGTTTGACGTTGTTTACACAGACCTGAATTGTCTTGTATGATGACATCTTGTGAGACTTTGTGTGCGGTCTATTCTTTCAATTCTTCTGTAGACTCTCAGTTCCCTGGGTTGTAAATTGTATAGCAGCGGGTGTTCACACTGATTCTGCTGATCACAAGGTGCCATGCTATTGAGGCTCCCGCACACCTACCGAGTACACTCCTTGCGGGTCCTCTCCCGCACTCTCCAGACGCAGGCACAATACGAGTATCCCTCGCACAATGAACAGGATGATTCATTTCTGCCACGATCTGGACTTGCGACGCCACGACAGGTAGTAACCATCCCGTGTTTTAAGTAAAAGAAAGACTCACAGCTTGTCACTGACAGCTTGTACGATACCTCGATGAATATATAGTTGGGCAGGAGACTGCGAAAAAGGTCCTTTCCGTCGCGTGAGCATCCATACGTATGACTCTGTAGTACGTGTAACTGAGACAGTAGGAAGTGTGTTCAACCACTATACCCGTGTTCGCGCAAATCTTGCCGCCTTTGACGACGAGAGTGGTGCGGACCCATGGTCTGAAGCAGATGAGGGTGATGGTGTGTACCGTTTATATTTTCATAATTCAGAGAGGATGTTAATGAACTCAGCACACTCTGGCGTGTCATCTGCACATTTACATCCCCACCCCCAGCGTGCCCTCCCGCGTCAATTATCACTCCAACCTCGACAACCGGTCTCGTTATTTGAGAAGAGCAATGTACTGGTAATGTACGCAGAACATGCTCATATGGAAGTATGCCCTGCTCAGAAATATTGTTTACTACAGAGGACCAACAGGATCAGGGAAGACTTTACTCGCGCGTACCCTTGCACGCGTCCTTGACGTCCCATTTTCCGTCAGCGATGCAACATCTTTCACGCAGGTGCGATAACTTCTACTACCCCTACAGGCTTTCTACCCCTTACTATGTCGAACCAGGCTGGCTGTGAGTCTACCTGATTGCCCCGCTGGAAGGTCAGCTGATATCTCTTCAGATGTCGGAGAGGATGTTGAT